CGAACGAGAGTGTTCCATTAGGATGTGAAAATCTAATTTGCTTATTGCCTGCATATATATAACACCCATAACAACGCGAAAGACAATATCCACGACGACAAATAATGGTGATCATCGGTCATTTGGACTGTCCCATTTGTTGTTGTTGTCTGTTTCAATTGGTTTCATCTATCATACATCATTCATCATTTGTCTTACCACCATTACGACAAAAAAAGACTTGACCGTTGTTGTTGTTTTTTTTCGAAAGTTTCAAAATTGTCAATTGAAATTTTTTTTATTTTATTTTATTTATTTATTTATCCGATTGCTTTTTTTTTTGCAACTGAAATAGACACTCATTGATGATGATCATCACACATAGTGGAAATGAATTGAATTTTATTTTTCATCACACCAGACTATAAACTAAACTTTCAGTTTCTCACAATTTTCACTTTTCTTGGCCTAAATTTTCTAGCTTCTTTCTTTCGTTGTTTTTTTTTTTTTGCGTGTTCAGCAAAGCATGTTGTAATTGAATTTGGAAATCTTCTTTTGTTTCTTGTGATCTTCTTTTGTTGAACGAAATAATATTTGTCGCACCCAAATCTAACCATTTTCGTCGTCTTCTTCGTCTTCTTAATATTCTTATTCCTTATATTAAATTATAATATTCCAAATGTGTGTGTGTGTGGACCTTTAATAGAATCCTGAACTAAAATGGAAAAAAAACGATTTCTGTCTCTTGGGTCTGAATGAATGTATCCATTCAGTATGTGTGTGGGAACAATGATTTGCCTTCTTTGTTTATTCGTCATATTCAGAGAAACAATTGTCATCATCATCATCGGATGTGGGGTTACAACACACCGATATATGGTGGATGCATATGGTTCACACTCTAGTAATGATGGCTATTTATAAGTGTTTTACTTTTTTTTCAAAATCGATTCACATATGGTGGTGGTAGTGATGATGTTGAATGGATTTTTTTTCCTTTCCGAAAAAATGAATAGGAAATTACATCTAGATTGGTGGTGGTAATGTTTTGTTAACATGAACATTATATTCTTGGTCGCATTCAACTAGATTCATTTCTGGAACTTGATCCATAATGGTAATGGATGGTTGTAATGACTTGAAAAAAAATGATAAAATAAAATGAGTGAAATGAAAAGAGAAAGTTTTTTTTGGAACATTAACAATGGTATAATCGATTTGCAGCACAAAAAACATTTATAGCTTGACTTGACCATTTCATTTTTTCTGGATTTTCATTGAAATCAATTTTTTTTCTGTAAAATGAAATTATTCCCTTGTCGTTTGTTCAGGTTTTTTTCGCCGACCTTTTGATTGTTTATGGGTTATTTTTTTTTGTTACAAATCCAATTCTTCTTGACCAATTGGTCAATTATCATTATGTCCAAGTTTAATAATGATAATCTGTACTTGGCATTTTTTTTGTCATGTTTTTTCTTTATTTCCTTGATTGAATCCGTGTGATGGGGGGTGGGGGGTGGATATTCAGTTTCTACCAAATTACCAAAAAAAAAAAAAAACAAAACAACAACATCGACGATAATCATAATAGCCAACGATAAAGAGAAAAACGAATCATTAGTGTGAGTTGTTGTCGGATAACGACTACGATCAACATTTTATCGGTGGTTTAGTTGAGTGTGTGTATGTGTGTTTTTTTTTTGTTTCTCGTTTTGGATATTTTCCAGCTTGATCAACAACAATGGCTTGATGATCATTTATCTTTAGTCTATAGTCTAGTTTTCTTGGTGTTTTTTTTTTTCTCTCTTCATTCGATTTTGGTTAACACATGAACATTATTTTTTTTTTCGTTGGTGGTTGGTTTAGTTAATTGTTTTTTTGCTCTAATTCAGTGTTGGGTCCAATGGACAATGACGATTTGTTGTAATGTGTCTCATGATGATGATGGTAAATGATTCAGATGATACCACCCGTCTGTAACCGTGAATATTAGCCATTTTGTAGCATCATCATCATTAACATGAACATTATTCCAATATATTCATCGATACAATCATAGATCAAATTTTCAAAATTTGCTGTTTCATCTGAATGATCAACAATACAATGAAAATGAATTCAACTTGACTTTTTTTCCAAATAAAAGAAAAAAAAAGTTGATAAAAACTCTTTGTATTCAAAAACAGAACAAAAACAAAACAACGACAATTGAATTATTGTTGTTTTGACTGTAAAACAATAGTTAGTCATTTATTATTAGTTTGATTTAAATTTCAATTTCTTCTTCTTCATCTTCGTTGTTGTTGTTGTTGTTGTCTGTTGTCTGTTGTCGTCAAACTCAAACAAAAACGTTTAATGCATTTGATCCTGATCATTTTCTTTTTTTTTTCTATTTTATTATGCTTTGATCATCAACGTCGTCGATGTCGTCGTTTTTTTTCAACAATGAAAATTTTCCATTGAAAATTCATTGATGTTGATCGTGTGTGTGTTGACATTTAATTATTCTGAATGCAACAACAAAACACGATCTATTTGATCGGATTTCTGGTTTTTCCAGTTAAAATAGTAGTTTTATGGTAAATAGATTTGATTCGATTTTTTTCTCAAGCTGATTATTGATTAGATTCTATTGTGTTTCTGAAGAGAGAACGATAGAGAGAGAGAAGAGTTAGCCAATATCAAGCCCTAATCGATCGATCGATTGATCGATTCGGAAAAAAAAGAACGAATAAATGTTCCATTTCTCTCTTTCTTCCTCATCATGTGAATATTCCTGAATAACGAAAGTACATTATTAGATATGTGAAACACAGATCACCAAAAAAAAAGAGAAAAATCAATAACAAACAAACTCAGTGAAGCAATAAAAGTCCACTTTATTTTCTATCTGCTGTTGGAATTCTTAACAATCAACCATAATATCCATATATACACACATGCATCTATTATTTGATCCTATCATTTACATTCTATAGTCTTTTGGAATTTTCAAAAAAAAAAAAAAAAATACACACACACACACAAAACGAGACAAGTGTGTGACATTTTTATTCATACATATGACACAGTTGTTTTCGACATTTGATTTTCATTTATGCTTGATGTGTGATGTGTGATGAAACAAAAAAAAAAAAAAAAATCTTTCACGTATTCATTCATTCACATTTTCGTTTTAACGCTCCATTCATCCATGAATATGATGATGATGATGAATAATAAACTCCAAAATGTTATAATAATCATAATCATAATTGAAAAAAATACGTTTTTCTCAATTTTATTATTCACTTTGTCACACACACATACACACAGAAAGACATAAACGCCCTCTATATCAAGTTATTGTTTTTTTTTCTTTGCTACATTATGATTAGTCGTTTATAATAATAATAATAATTTGCTACTTCCTTTCTCTTTTGGCCACCTCCTATTGTTGTTGTTGTTATGTTCCACCATGAAAAATAAATTCCTATGTTATCACTATTTCTCCGTGTGTGTGTGTGTGTGTGATTAATGGCAAATATGTCATATGTCTTTTTTTTCAATTTTCGATTCTGGAATTTAACATGATGTTTATGTATGCGTGTGTGTTTGTGTGTGTGTGTGTGTGTGTGAAAATGAACCCCTTCATCAGTAGTAGTGGATTGTATACATAATTCATTTTCCACATTTCAAATGAACAAAAAAAAGGACAAAAAGAAAACCCTAAATATTTTCTTCCTTGATCCTCAATGAAGATTTTCTTTCTTCAACACGCCATCAAAATTGCAATTGTATATGTGGATTGTTATTAGTTGTGAAAAAAAGTGTGTAATGAAAAAAAAACACAACGAGAAAAATGAATATGAAATATCTGGAAATTCAATTTATATTCTATTCTACCTGCTTGTTTTAATATTTTTGTAAATAAATTTTCGTTTATTTATTCATATGGTTAATGTTGGCAAGAGAGAGAGAGAGAGAGAGAGAGAGAAGGAATCATAATCATCCATCTCTGGTTGTCGTGATGAATGAATATGAATTGGAAAATGTATTAGTGTGAAGCCAACTTTTTGCCATTGGCGATTTTTTCTCGTTTTTGCATTTTGTTGTCGCCGTTTACATATTCATTTCCTATATGCACATTTCTTCTCTACAGGATCATTTCATTGCACGCACACACACACACACATGCATGCATGTTTATAAATAATAATCTGAGATGAATGAAAATGTGAACACACTACCGACGATGTTGATGATGATGGTCCCAAAAGATATTTATTTTGAATGACATTTTTTTTCTGCTTTTCCGTTTTGGTTTATTTTTTCTTTCTTTCTTTCTTTCTTGCTTGTATCCAATGATAGGAAATGAAAATTGTGGTGTCGGTGATGGTGGTGGGAAAAAATGTTTAGAGATTTCCATTTTCTCATTTTCATCATCCACTCTGGTCTACTTGTGCTTGTATGTTCATGTTGTTGTTGTTGTTGTTGTTGCTGTTGGAGAGCATTGAGAAAAAAAAACATGTCACAATGTTTGTGAAAGAAACAATGTTGAAACGTGACAATTTTTTAATTTTCGTTTCGTTTCGTTCATCTTCAATCCTTATTATCAGAAAAAAATGTTTCAGTTTTTCATGTTTTTCCATGAAAAAAAAACAGTCGCTGAAACATTAGATTCGTGTTGGTGACAGTGAATTAATTAAAAATTATTAAATAAAAACTTGATCAACATTCACTGTTTGTGTCTTTTTTTTGATAATGGTGTTCACTTCATTGTACTCAATTGGGCCAATTCTGTGCACTGGTTCCAGTGAGTGGTTTATTTTTGTTCATATGACACTGATTTGAAGATGATCATGAATTTTCAATTCTTGTTGCATTAAAAAAAAATTTTATTTTTGTTCATGGTTTTGGTTTAAAATAATGTGATGTGATGTTCTGTTTTACTCATCATTAAAATGGAAAAAAAACATCATCATCTTACTCATATATATACATCTTATTTCAAGTATGAAAGAATGAAAAACATTTTTCTCGAATGTTTTTCTGTGGCATTCATCAATAATTTATTGTCTAAACTTATGCTTCAAGTTATTATTCAAGTTCGATATTTATGGCCGTCTGGGTTGTTGAGTCAATTTTTTTTTCTTTATTGCTTCCGGCCGCTTATTATAGTGCTCATTGAAAACGGAATTTCAAATCTATTTCATTCATACATACATTCTTGTTTGCGAACGAAAAATTCAATCAACTATGGAGCATTCCAGAACGAATATATCTTGCTAAATATTCAAGAATCGTCTTTTTTTCCATTTGAACCAAGCAGCAATATTTTTATATATCGAAATGATAATGAACCCTTTAATTAAATCAATTAACTATTCACTATTCCGGCTGCTGCTATAGAATAATAAAACAAGATTATATCATAATAAATGACCATAGAAGTTGTTGTTGTTGAATCGATTAATTTATTCGGTTGATGAAAATAATATGTTATGTTATGTAATTATGATGATGATAACATCCTTTTTTCTTCATTATCTTGATATATAATCGTTTAATTTTCTTTTCTCGCTTTTAGACATTTTGCTTTAACCGATTCAACTAGTTCGGTTACATTATATGCTACATATGGACCATTTATGGCAAAGAAAACCATAAATCCATTTTCGGTTTGTCGAAATGATTCATCATCATCATCAACAACAACAAAATGGACAACATCCGTTGATTGTCAAAGAAAATTATCATCCACAATTACTGATGGCGGTGGTGGTGATAAAAAAAATAATCTAAATCACAATTACAACAACTACATATCTGAACAAATCAATGCTTATCTTGTAACGAAAGAAGTACGTCGTAGTCATCCAGTACTTCGTGTTTTATTCTATGCTAGTCATTTATTTGAGCTTCGTTCCAATCATAATAATTTTGTCACACGACCATCATCGAATAACAACAATGTTGATCGAAATGAGAAATCAATTTGTGCCGTTGTCATTGGTAAGTGAATCGGTGACAATATTTTAAATTTTTAACTCGATAATTTAACTGTTTTTTCCACACACACACACACACACAGTTCAATATCATGGTGAACGTCTATTTGGAACATGTAGCCCAAGTAGTAGTCAAAAAAATCGATTAAATGCCTGTTTGGCTGAAATTATTATTCCGGCATTGTATTGGCCACCATTAGATGTAACGAATGGTGGCAATATTTATGCAGCTAAACAACAAAAATCATCCATCGCTAAAGTTTTCTACACAATCACACATATTCCCGGTGATCAACAATGTAATGATCAGAATTTTCTTTCACTATTAGCATCACAATCACCGAATAGTAATGATAATGATGGTGATGATGATGAATCAATATCCGATTTATTCAGTGCCGAAAATTCAATGAATCTGATCCATCTATCGGATGTGTTTTTAGTTCCATTTCGTGGTAGTTATGAAGAAGTTACTAATGATAATGTTGTCACCGTACTTATACCACAGGAGCCTGTCCATCCTAATAGCAAAATTTACATTCCAGTCAAATATACGTACAATCCAGAGTATCCGGTATCGGCATTCAGTCTTCGTGTACAAGTAAAACCTGGCTTGAGAATATTGGGTGCACAATTATCACATCCAAATAAATTATGGCAACTAAGTATTGAACTTGGTACCGGGCAAACATCAGCTACTGTAACGGCATTTCTACGTGATTCATCTCTAGATAGTCAATCATTACTGGATGAATTAATGGAAAATATTTCGCAAGAAGTTTATTCTTGGTTAATTGAAATCACTGATGAAGTGAATATAGCCGAAATGAATGGTAGAATCGTGTGGCAATTATTATATGAAACGGAAACGGATAGCTACCGAAATCCGAATACTAATATTATCGATGCATCCATTGAACAACATTTTGCATCACATCGAGGTGGACAATTTTTGAAACAGGAACCAAATTTCGAAAAAGAATCAATCAAATTAACATCATTAATTGACATACAAAAAGATGTAATGGAAGAAATCATTGCCATCACTAATTCAAAAGAATTGCTTAACACGGCAATATTGAATGGTAGACAAGTATCGCGTACAATGCGTATCTATCAGGTATCTGCTGCTGGCCATATCAGTGATATTACATTTCAATGTAGCTGTCAATCGATCGATGAATCAATTCTAAAGGTTTCAACATCATGTACATCTGTTTATTTGGATGGTAGTGAAATTCGTGGCAGTCAAAATGCAACCATTCTTATACGATATGGCTCATTCATAGGTAGGATTGTTTTTTTTGTTTGCTTACTTTTGATTAATTTTTTCATCGACAAAAAAAATAGGACAAGGAAATTTTGTTGTTTGGATGCCACAAATACCGTTAGAAGTTCGTGTAAGTGATGATAAATTAAGTCAAATTAAAAAATGGCGTGTACATCGTCCAATTAATCGCATTGGTTCAATGAATTCCAATCTACCGAATCATGGTTCATCATCAATAAATGAAAATCATTTCGATACAATCGATGATGAAATGTTGGCCGATCAAAATGATAATGATGATGGTTATTGGCCCGAATTAATCAATATTCCAAATTCCATTCAGCCACAAATTTGTCAGCTGAAATTTCAGCAAACACGAATTGAAGTTTATACACGTTATATGAGTAGTGATCATGATTCAGGTCGTGAAGCATCATTAGTGAATCGTCGACATTCGATTCGCATAACGAAAATTGTACAGAATATGATTCGTGTTTCAGATAAAAAGATTTTGCGAATTTTGCGCGCAAATATTATTGAAGGCGTTAGTGCTGGCACTGCTAATGTGGAGATAATTTCGCCAATAACCGGCGCCATTATTGGTTCAAAACAAATTGAAGTCAACATGGAACGTGAAAGTATAACCAATATGAAAGTTCATTTAATATCTGGAATTCAAATGGAAATTGAACCCGTCGGTCAATTGAATCAAAATATTTGGATGGTTCGAACCAGTCTGATCAATTCATTAACAAAACAATATCAGGAAGCTTTATTGGAAGCTCGTCTTTTCTTTTCCGACCAAACATCGACATATTTATCAGAGATATCACCAAATGATTATCACTTGACCATCAATACATTTAAAGGCGTTGTAGATAATGTAACCCGTGATAATGTTATGCAGAATCGTGGTGAAGAAATCGGTACATTCATTTATGAAATACCAAGAATAATAGCATTGATGCCTGGACAAGGTGAATCGATTCATATGACAATTGATTCAATGCATTCATGTCATGAACTGAAAAAAAATTCACAACAACAACAACAACAACCACTATCATCATCATTCATAAATGTGGATGTTAATTTTGAATCACCAAATTCAATGTTTTCATTACAAAATGATGCCATTCATTATCGACGTTTTGGTGGTAATGGTGCTGTTGCCAAAGGTATTACACGTCATGATCTGTCATCATCGATTATCAATCAAGCGGTAATTATTATTATTTTTGATTAAATCAATTATACCTAATTAATCAATCAATCGATTTATAGGGAAAATCAAATGAATTCTTCAATAATCCATACTATAATAACAAGAATAAAAGAATTCCAATTGCATCGACAAAAAAACATCATCATAATCATAATGATAATATTCGATTTCAGCGACATTCAATTGCAATATCGACATCATCATTAAATCATGATGAAAATGGATCATCATCAATTAAATTTGGAATATTAAGTTTTATCACCATTGTTGGCATTGCATTCATCATCGTTGTAATTTATTCAGTATTTATCGCACATTTTCGTCAAAATCATCAAATTACAACAGCAACAACAACGGTTACACAGACAACGGCATCCAATTCGATCCAATCACAATCATCAACAAAAGGAAAAGGAATCACTGATCTGAAACCATATCTGTCTGCTTGTTTGAATCGTAGTGGCAGCAGTAATCATCAAATTGATTCCAATGTTCATGATTGGATATGGATATCGAAAGAGGAACTTGAAAATGAACAAAAAATAATAAAAAATCCAATGGAACAGGCAAAACTTTTAACACCTTTATTACATCATCATCATCATCATGATCATCATAATAATGGTGATCAGTTGAAATTATCGAAAAAATTCAGTTCAAAAAATCAAACATCATCACCAGCACCTCTTAGTAAGTTGATTTGATTTAATTCAATACGATTCCATTATATCGATTTCTCTTTATTTTGCCAAAAAAAAAATCAATAAATAGATGAATCCGATGATAACCATAATGCAATGATAAACATAACGATCAATCCAAGTGAAACTTTTTTCAAGCATAAACAAATTGGTCATCAAAATGATGATGATGATGATGTTGCTGGTGATTCGATTATTCGAAAATTCAATTTTCCCGTTCCTGGAACGATCGAGGCATGGAATGATAGTAATAGTAATAATAATAACAAGGTGATAGCTGCTATGCCACCATTATCAGAGCCATTATTGACGAAAACTCGCCACATACCTATACCGAAACAGCGTGTTAATAATAGCAACAAAAATCATCATCATAATAATCGTAATAGGCGTAATGAACAAACGAATGAATTGGTGCCTAAACGAAATTCTTCTACATCATCATCATCAGCTACACCACCACCATTACCATTGCATAGAAGAATTTCAGAATCAAATAAACGGTTAAAAATTTCATCTTCCTATAATGACAACGATATCGATGAAATTCCACCACCAATACCACCGCATCGAAATATTGATAATAATTCAGCAATAATGAAAACACCAACAACGACGACGACGATTCTAGAAAGACCAAAACAATTATTGTTACAAAATGTAAATTCTATCAATAATAGTCAACGACAATCACCACGAGAACAACAAATCGATTATCATTTTATGATGAAAATTCTAAACGATAGGCTAAAAGAATCACAAGCTTGATTTAACTCGTTAATCATCATCACCAGAAAAAAAACAGAACAGAAGCCTTATTTTTTCATCGATTTTCATCATCATCATCATCACAATTGCTTACCTCTTGACTTTTGTTTTCTTTTGTTTTGTGCAATTTTTTTCTTGTTTTTTTTCGTTGAATTTTTTTCTTTATTTTTAACTTTTTTTCCCGTCATTTTCTTCTCGTAAACCCGGGCATATCTGTTTTTTTTCGATAAAAGAAAATTTTTGTAAAATAAAATGATTTAATTAAAGCCAAATTTTAACAAATTCTATGGTTACCTTTTTAATGAAAAAAATGACAATTATCGTCATCATCATCATCATCATCGTAATTGAAACTATGGTTTCATCATGATTGCAATTATCTCGCTATCGTTGTCGTTGACAATTAACGGACCCACATATATGGTAATGTCATTTCGTTGTCATCATCAACATCACACAATATCCCCATAGTATCATCATCATCATCATCATCATTGTCGTTTGCGGATATTTTCTATTTCTCTAAGAAATTGTTTCAAATAAAATGTCGTCGTCGATGTGATTGTTTAAATTTTCATTCCCTTCGATTTTGTTTCCATTGATGATTTGATCATCATCTAAACATCCCAAAATTTTTTGTTTGAATTTGAAAATTTTTTCCGAAAATCCAATTCACTATCGAAAAGAATTTTCCCGGGTAAATATGATTCGTTTGAATTTATTCGTTCAACATATTATCAGCTATGATATTTTGATTTCTCATATGTTAAGTGTTTTCTCGTCTGATTTTTTTTTCTCAAATTAATGATTGTTTATCTTATTTTTTTTTTTTTGGTTGTCAATACTCTCGAAAATTCGGTTTGTTATAGTCTAACAATACTGTCAATGTCTAACTTTCTTTTTTTTCTCGTCTATAGTTTTCAATAATTTCAATTTTTTAATCTCGAAAATTCTAATGACCATTACTGTTGTGTTATTGAATCATTCTCTTTTTTCGATCATTATCTCATCCATCAAGTTGCTATGTGAACAAGCCAGCCGTTTGAATTTGAATCATCTTGACTTTTTTTTGTTGATAATCGAAAGACGACAATTCATTGGTTCATTTTTTTTTGTTTTGGAAAACCAAGAAAAAAATTCTAATTGTTTCACAAAAACCGCCGCCGATTAACAGAAAAAAATCCTACTAAGCAACAAGAGTGCGTGTCGTGTATGTATCTATGCATTTTTTTGTGTTATATGTCAAGTGATGAATGAACAACAATTTTCATCGTCAAGACCACCACAGAAATAGCAACAACAACAACAACAACACACAGCTATTGTCATGTTGACAACGACGATGGCCATATCGTCGTTTTTTTATGGATAAAAAATTGTTGGATTTTTTTTTGCTTGATTCAATTTGATTGTTGTTGTTGTTGTTGTTGTTGGTCGAATTTATCGTCAAATCATCGGTCGGTCGTTATGAATCGTCGACCATGGTGATGATGATAATGGTGTTGTTGTTGGTGGTAGTAATGGTGGTGGTATTGGTATTGGTCGACGACGACGACAAAGGTTTCCATTTGAATTTTTTTTTTTTTTGGTTTGTTTGTCGCACAATAACCTACCAAACAACCACATACGCCCATTGAAAACCATAGAATTTTCATTTTTTTTTCGTTTTCACTTTACCATTGTAGTCAAAGTGATGATTGTCATTTGTTTTGATTTGTGTGTGTAATATATCGCTGGTTTGTAGCTAATAATAATGATAATATTGATGATTTTAGTTTTTTTTATCATATAATTGTCCAATACACACACACATACAATATATTTAGATATCTAGGTTGGTTGACAGGCATAAACTTTACCGATTCATTATATATATCGTCGGTATAGGTAATCACCATGAAACTATTATACCAGGTGTGTGTGTGTGTGAGAGAGAGAGAGATAAAGAGAGTGATAGAAACAACAAAATACATTGATGACACTTGATGAATTCATTTCTCAAAAAATTATTGTTTATAGCTATACATTCGATCAATTGACCCTTATCCACCACACTTTTAGTCATTCAGATGATAAAGAGTTTAATTTTGATCCATTTTGTTTTCAATTAAAAATAGGTCACACTATATTGCATAGGATGACCATGAGATTCTATGAATGGCCAACAACAACAAAATTTTCTGATAATTTATTTTGGTTGGTTGGTTGGTTGGTTGTCAATGGCAAAAATAGTGGTAATTTAATTTACAACAAAAAAAATTCAGTTATCTAGTCATGTTTCTATTATGTTGTGTGAAAATAATAATAATTTCTTAAGACTAATCAAATTAATTTACAGTTAGTTACGGACAATCTGTCACTGTTATGGTTTCATCATCATAATTTTTTTCCCTTCATTCTTTTATGTTGTTTTTGTTTATTCACATTTTTGGTGGCCGTCATCGTTGTCGCCATTGGACACGCAAAACACACAGAAACACATTGAAGAAAAATAAACCGATTGAACAAGTCGTTGTGACATAATAACCACCGCCATTTTTGTTTATTCTTTCCGGTTTTTTTCCTATCGCTGTCTGTTTGTTTGCTTCAAAAGGTAAACTCTAGCAAAAAAAAAAAAAAATGTGGCCAAAATATGATAACCATTGTCTCAAATATTTCGTATCTTTTTTTTCATTTTCTCACCATTTGATGGCCATCATCATTCTCATTAACATTTAGTTTTAGTTGGTCGATTGGTCGTTGTTGGTAATGGTTGCCCATGGTTTAGGTGGTTTTTTATTCTATGGGTGGATATAATATAATAATTTTTTTTTTCTCTGATCACGATAACAAAATACCAACTGCGATTCTTCTTATATTTTGTTATTTTATTGTTTATGACACACTCTCGGCAACAGAATTGAATTGAATTGAATATATTATGAATTATAATGTAAAATAATTATTTTGCTTTATATGTTACCACGGAAGTAAAATTTTGTCATCATCAAAAAATTTTGTCATCACCGTTGTTGTTATTGTTGTCGTCGTCGTTGTCGTCGTCGTCGTCGTGGTAATGTAATTTTCATCTGTTTGTGTGTGTGTCTGTATATATAACATGCCTGATTTTTGAATGTGATCTGTTTGTGTGTATGATGATGGTTTGATTGTCGATTGTCATCACATCACATAAACAAAAAGTTATCAAAATCTGATTCAATTTTTCTTTAGTTCAACGATGATGATTACAAAATTTGAATGAAAATTTTTAAAATTTTTTTTCTCATTTAATCAGATGATATGAATTTAAAAATGAATCATCGTCATATGAAATCAACTAGTCATCAATTGTATAAAAAGAAAAAATCACGATCAATGATTTTGAATCAAATTGATCATCATCATCATCATCATCATCGTCATTGTCAACATCATCATGATAATGGTGGCTTCACTACTGGCAGTGGTGATAATGATCTAACAAATCTGAATTGGTTACAAGATGTTAATCTTGTCAAAAAAGTTTATTCCACAATAAATTTTCAACAACAAGATTCAAAAATGATGATGATTTGTAATCAAAGTCAAAATGAAATTTTCACTGATAAAGCAGATGAAAATGAAACAAAATGTTAATTAATGATCGACCAACTTTGAATTATATGGATGATGACAATGAAATCAATCATATAAATCATCATATCCATAATCGGAATACAAACAAACAACATGATGCTAGTCAAGGTAATGATGTAAAACCACCATATTCATATAGTATGCTCATATTTATGGCCATTGAATCATCACCAACACGTTCAATGATGGTTAGAGATATTTATAAATGGATCATTAATCAATATCCATTCTTTTTGACAGCTCGATCAGGTAATAATAATGATCAAATGAAAACTGAAATTGAAATGAAAAATCTAAAATTTTTTTTTTCTCTCTCTTTTGATTCTAGGCTGGAAAAATACTATTCGTCATACGCTAAGTTTACGAAAATGTTTTAAAAAAATTAATAATCATCATCATAAAGATTCAGATTTAAAAGGTGGATATTGGTATGTTGATCCAGAATATCGTTCCATTCTGTTGCAACAAGCACAACTTATCGGAAAAAATGTATTGCAATCATCATCGTCATCATCATCATCATCGTCGTCGTCATCATCGTCGTTGTCACCAAAATTAAAGTCTAAAATTTTGAAAGAAAAATTTGATAAAAATATTGGCAAAGATCTAAGACGAAAAAAGAATTTATCAACCATTATAAATCAATCGCCATCACCGAATTATAATCAAAAACAATTATATTCTACAACAACAACAAGAAAAAATGCCCGTCCTGTAAAGATGAATTCAAATTATTTTGTTTATAATCCAAATTTTATACGTATCGATAATATGACGGGAAATATTTATCGAAATTTAATTTCAATTATTAGTGTTAATCAATCGCCAAAACTTTATGCACCAGTGCCAATACCAACGATTATAACTAATCAGAATAATAATAATAATCGTAACCTATCAACGACGACAGCATTATTGTCATCAACCAACATTATGGACAAACAACAACGAGGTAAACATTATTATTTCAATTTATTAAAAGACAAACAAAATGTTTGTGATCATCATCATAATCATAATCACTTGGCAACCAGTGGTGTTTCATTCAACAACAACAACAACAGCAACGCACAAGCTACCGTGGAGAATAACAATAATAATAACAGCATACAACAATGTACAATGATGATGATGATGAAAAATGATAATAGCCATCATCATCATCATCAAACAATGGATGAATCGAATAATAATTTTTGGAAATGTTGTTCGATAACAAACAAAGCAACGACAACGACCAATGCTATAACCATGGTAAAACAACAAAATGACAAAAAATTATTGACGGCTGATAACATGACAGAAGTTTTGGATCAAAATAATAATAGAAATAATAATGAAAATGATATAAAAATTTCGAATCAAAAATCGATTATGGAAATAGATAATCGATATGTCAATGATGATGATCATAGCAATGATGATGATGATGGAATGTTACGTGATGGTGCACAGGCATTATTGAATTTTGCATCCAAAAGTTTTCTTTTCAACATGATTAATTGATTTGAATTTCAAATTTTGAGTGTAATTTCAATTATTTTGTGGAAATTTTAAATAAAAATTTGTTTTGTTTTGTGGAAATGCCATAAATTTAATAGGATTTACGGAATAATCCATTACCTAAAGTATGTATTGATATCGATAATGGAATTGATAGACCATTTGGTGCGGAAATAGTTGCCGGTGCTGTAGAAATTGCAGTTTCTACAGGTCGTATTACTTTCTCCACAATCGGTCCATGACCGGATGATTGAAAATTTGTTTCAGCAATATAATTAGAAGTTGGATAATCATTTTTGGCTAAAATTGGTACTGAAGCAACCGGTTGTGCTGGTGCTAATGCGGGTACTGTTGGTGGTGGTGGTGGTGGTAATAGAGCAGGATAAGCAGGCAATCCATGGGAATAAGCATCTTTCTGTGGTAGATAAGCTGGAGCTACATGTGTTGTTGATGTTGAATATGACATTGGAACCGAATTATAGCCACCACCAGATGAATGATGATGATGTTGTTGATTACCATATGATGGTAATGCTGGATAAACATTTGGAGCAACTGGATGAGCTGTTGAAATAGCATAATTGGATGAAGGTGATGCATAAACATTTGATAAAGCCGAAGCAATATGGGCAGTTGAAGTTGAATAGGAAAACGTACCATCATGTCGGGAAATCGTGCCATGGCCATCACCAACAACAGTATGACCTGGAATTTTATTTTTTTAAAAGTTCTAATTAGATAAAATTCAATGTTTTTTTAAATTTCACCATTAATGATATTCAATGCAGCTGGTTGCATCTGTTTTGAATCGACTGTTGTTCCAGGTTCATTTGTTTCAACTGAAGCACGAAAACCATTCACATCTGCCACATAGTTAACGATACGCATACGGCCATCAGCAGCACGTAGACCATATGAACCAATTTGAATACCGGGTGCACCTTTTTCTTTTCGAAAACTGCCACCGGTTGCATGATTTTCATTATAACCGAATGCATAATTACCATGGCCCTAAAAAAAAATTCAACACAAACATTTAAATATTTTTGAACATAATTAATGAATGACCCCACATCTTCAGATCTAGCTACAGCTGATGATCCGGTGTTTACAATTGTCGATATTGGTTGTGGTTGTGGTATACATTGAACAATGGTAATAATCGAAGCAAATGGCCACAATATGAATAAAGATTTCATTTTCAATCGAAAACAGAAAAAATCATTCGAACAAAAACAAACAAATTCCAACAAGAAACACTGATTTATATATACACGGCCAAGATGATGGCTACATGCGAATCTTTTTAGTCGCCAAAACGACGACTGAAATGAAATGGAGAAAGACTGCCAAGGCCAGCAATGAATGAATTCCTTCTACAATGAAATTCAGTTCAAAACGATCCATTATTGGCCATATTTCTAATGTCTATGTGTGATGTCTGGTGGTTTTAAAAAAGGCCCTTATGATTTATAATTAAATAAATTACAAGTTGAATTGGATTTTTTGTTTTGTTTTTGTTTTATTTTCCTATATAGAAATGATTCAAGCCAACAGCCAATGATCAACAAACAGTGAAGCGTCAATCGAAATTACAATGTTCATCGTCAATTTCAATCAGCAAACAAAACGGTGAACGATGATGAAAGCAGCCTGTTTTTTATTTATTAAAAAAATGATCAAATTAGAAAAACACAATTGTTGATCCGAGATCATGAATGGATCAAGATTTTCCAGATAACGATAACAAATTCCTATACATAGAACAAGTAACTATTGATTTGAAATGTGACATTTTAATTAAAAAAAAACTTTTTTCCCATCCAAGATCCAAGAACAACATCTGAAAGATCTATAGATAGTCGACGATCAAATTATTCATTCATCGAAATCATCTTTATTTTTTTTTTCATCGATAATCGTTTCACTTATTTGGATCCAAGGTGAATGCAAAAAATTAACACGTTCAAACGTATAGGATACAACACCCAAGCATTGAAAGATCAGAAAATAAATCATCAATTACACCATTATTAATGTATGTATATTATATAAGTTTTGTTGTCTTGATTTCATCATGATGTTTTGTTTTTGTTTTTTTTTTATTTATTTTCAATGTGTTGTAGGCGTTGATTTGTGGTTATTATCATCATCATCATTGAACGATTGTCGATGGTCGAAATTTGTTGTGAATGTATTTTATAAATCGTGATTATCCATCCATCGGCTGTCCATTGGTCACCCCAAAAATACGAAATGATTACGATTTTTATGGTGACGGAATATGTGTCTGAATACGTTATTTTATTCATAAAATTATCACTTTGTGCGAGATGAATCCATAAAAAATTGATCTTCAATGGATGGCCTTATTTGATTAACTTTTTTATATTGATGCTTATTCTGAGATCGCTTCCTTTATCACCACACAAGAAAAACAAAAGAAATCGAAATGCAAGTACAAACCTCAATCTTGAATTGAACAATGATGATGATCCACGACAATTATTTTACATACGAAATGTAAAATTCAAATCCATCATCAATAAATAGGAAAAAAAGTATCAAATTTGTATTTTATTCATGATTCATGAATGATCACAATTTTTTCAAGACTGAAAATCAAATTTTTCTATTCAATCAAACAAAAAGATGTTTTTGTTTGATTGAATGAAAACAGCAGCAACACAAAAATTATTTTTAATTGAAAAAAGCCTTTATAATGATAATGAGATGCTTATATTTTGATATTTTGTTACAATTTATTATTTATCTGGCAACAAAGCAAAATTTAAATCATGAATCATGACACACGATTATACCATTAGATTTAAATTCATCGTCCATTATCACAATAAATGGTCACACACATTCGATTTGGAATTGCAAATCAATAAATCACGATCATTCATTATCATTCAAATAATTATCACCTACGCATAAATGTGGTGAAAATGTTAAAAAAAAAATGTGGAACACAAAAACAATCATCATCAATAATAATGAACTTCAATAACAAAAAACATTGGGATTTTCAGAAACGAAATCTAAAACAATCGAATCCAATGTTTTTGTTCTATTTCGACGAATTCGACCTTGTGTGTTTGTTGTAAATTTTCAAAATCATCAATTTCAATATTCAAGAAATTGTGTGGTTTATTTATACTTTTAAAAAACTGATTAATTAATTGTTTGTGGTGAAAGCAGGGCAAAGTAAAATTATTTAGATTTAGAACAAATGAAAAGAAAACTTCTAAGAATTATGTAGAATTTTGTTGAAAGCATTGTATGATGATTCCATATCGAAAATTAATTGTCGTACTTGTTCCTCATTCAATTCCTCACTGGCACGCATCGATGACAATTTATCTAGCCATTCTTTGATTTTCATTTTTCCTTCAAAATTCTGTGGCAACAATGTCAAACGATTCATTGTATCGTATAAATCTTTGATATCGGGTTGTAACTAATGAAATGGGAAGAAAAAAATCAGAAAAAAAGAATTTTGTATTGAAAAATTTAAATACCTCATCCATAGATTTCATATTTAAACGTAAACGATCAGTAATTGTTATGAATAGCGATACAATATCAGCAATACATTTTGAGGTATTGCCTTTATCATCCTTAATCGTAATTGGCCTTCCTTCACGTATACGTTCCAATGCAGCTGGACAATCGAAACGGAATTTACTCATAAATGTTTCGATTGTTGGAAATTCATCCGATTTCACCTGATTGAATGCAACATTGAATTGTACGAGTAATTTCGAACATGTAGCCGTATATTCTTTCGATGTAATCGAATCTTTGATGTATGCTTTTTCCAAACAATTCAATGTATTAATCACCGAATAAAGATCGGCCATATTATCGTAATGTTCACGTTCACGTGCCGTACGATAAAGTCGAATCTCTTCGTATAGTTCGCCCATGTTTTTTCTCACAGCTGATCAAAATGAAATGAAAAACTTGAAAATTAATCAAAATTTTCTGGTTTTTTACCAACCTTGTTGGAAAACAAATACGAATGATACAGATTTCCAAAGTGATGAATGAATTATAACAATTGACAATTAGAAAATATAAAAATGAGTGGGTGTATTCGAGTTTTGATTAAAAGAAATAGGAAACGAATGAAAATTGTCAATAATGCGTATCAATGAAAATAATCATTTGTTTTGTTTTTGAGAAAAGTTTTCGAAAGAAAAATCCAATCATATAATGTCCTCTATGAACGATTAACATTCTATGCTCAGTCTTTTTTTTCACGTGTTTGTTTCTCCGAAGATTTTTCCTCTTCCTTTCGCCGTGTGTTTGTGTCTGTGTATGTTGTGTGTTTATAATTTGATTTTCTTGACCATTTCAAAAATTTATTGAATTTTTTACTACCAAAATGCAAAACGATCACGGTGAATGTGTTGATCTTTATATTCCGCGTAAATGGTAGGATTTTTTTTCAATTTTCAATATCAATTTACAATGACAATCGATTTTTTTTTGTTTTCTTTTGACAATAGTTCGGCATCAAACCGAATCATTCACGCTAAAGATCATGCATCGATTCAGATAAATTTCGTTGATATAGATGAAAGTGGTCTTTTCAAATCCTCGTGTACGGCTTATGCTATTTGTGGTGCATTGCGACGAATGGTTTGTATTATCTTACAGTGAAAAAAAATCATTTTTCAATTTGGTTTTTTCATAGGGTGAATCCGATGATTGTATCAATCGTTTAGCTAAACGTACTGGAATTCTACCCAGGTAAATTATTCAACAGGAATTTTATTAAATCGATCAACTAATAAATCTATCATTTATTTAGAAATTTTTAACGAAAATGATTGGAATTTTTTTCTTTTAAAATGAAATAAAATAGATTTTCCAACAACAAGATATTTTGTGTTTAATTTTCATAGATGGCGCTGTAAGAGGTTTTGATATTTGCCCAAATCAAAACGAATGCAACAGACAGAATCAGAATCATGTTAATAATCGATGAGAATTTCAGCTACAAATACTATACCACCTACCTAAACTTAAACCTACCAGGTTGAATGCGCGGATGGCGGTAACTGGATTTGATGGATATGTGGCTTGAATGGTTGATTTGTTGTTGATGGTGGTGGTGGTGTTTGCGTATTTGTTTAAACGGAGAGAGCGAGAAAGAATCAAGAATCGACAAGCAACAGAATGGCAAAAAAGCGATGATTCCTTTTGAAATTCTTTTTCGTTTTTCATCGTCATTCCTTCTCTCATTGTGTGATTTTTGTTTTCGGCGTTTGTCGATGTTGATGTTGTGTGTGTTTGTATTGTTTGTTCCAATTTCAACATTTATCATTTATTCGGTTCAATGCCATTTATGTTGGTTTTGGTTAATTAGTTTTTCTTTTATTTGTATATATCCCAATTGAACAAATCTAATTAAAACGTGAAAAATTTTTCTCTTCTATTCCACGATCAATGGCAATTTACAACACACACACACACACACACATCATCAATAACAACAACAAATCTTACGATGATTATCGTCGAATAAAGGTATATTGTTTCGTTTTATTTATTCGTGTGTGTGTGTGTGTGTGTGTGTGTGTCTTTTTTCTCATTCCATTCAACATCATCATTCGGTTTCTTTAACGACCCGTTGCCGTCATTTTGTTGTCGTTTTTTTTTTTTTGTATCATATTGCCATTGTTTTTCCATTATTATTGTTGTTTGTTTGTTGGTTGGTCGGTTGGTAGCATGGTATTATTGTTTGCATTTATTGTTGCAATCTTATTTTTTTGCATTCGTTACATTTGGTTGTCAATATTTTTATTCAAGTAACCAAGGTGCTGCTGCTGCTGTTTCCAATAAAAGTAGTGTAACTAAAAAAAAAATTCTTATTTGTCAACGGAAAATAAAGGCCCCACTGCCTAAAAAGGATCTTATGATGAAAAATGAAACAGTGTACATATGATGATGATTACAGTTGAGGGCTTAGAAGAGGAGGTATTGCTTCGATCTAATATCTGTCAATAAATGACCTACAATAATTCCAATTCTTACTATAGAACAAGAGTAATAATAATAATGAATTATTCAAGAGAAAGAAAAAAAAAATAGAATCAAAGAATCGCCAACAACAACAACAGTTCAGACAAAAAAAACATTCGATTCTATTTCGATCCATTCAAGTATTCAATTCGAAAAATTACTGTGATTTGAAAAATTAAAAAAAATTTCTAATTAAAATAAATTAATTTAAACGACCACCGAAACAAAAAAAAGTCATTATTAGCGAATGGAATGAAAAATTCCATTACCGAATCTGTGTGCATCATCATTTCCTGTCTGTATGGTCTGTTTTTTTTTTTTTCTTATGATCATTATTATTGTTTATTATGAGGATGTTTATGTGGATTCACATTTCACATCTTTACACTTTAATTATTATTAAATTAAATTGAAGACACATTAAGAAGAGAAGAAAAATCAAATTCGTCGAGGACACATAATTTTATATTTAGAATTTTTCAAATCACAGCCAACCAACCAACCAATGAATGAATGAATGAATGAATGGTTTGGGTGCCAATGTCGATGTCATTTTATTTTTAATTCCATTTCATTGCTCTTTTTCAACGGCTGAAAATTTGCAGCAAATGCACATTTAATTCTACAAAACAACGAGATCAACCCCACTTAACATTGAATTTGAATTTAAATTTGTTTTTTTTTCATCATCATTTACCATCAAGGAAAAACGGCTTACATCACACCAATATAACAACAACAACAACAACAAAACAGCTACGACAGCAGAAGCAACTATTTTAATCTATTCAATGACAGTTTCTCATTCGTTTTTTTCTTTGGTTTTACCAATCAATCAAACCTTATTAACACCGCCAACTTTGACACATAAGTAATGAAAAAAAAAATTCTTCATTCTTTCACATGTGCATGTGTATTGTTGTTGTGCACCGATTTCAGTCGAATTTGAATTTAAACGATTTGTTGCACGAATCATTGTTTACCCAACAACAACAAAATGAATGGGCATCTAGATTTTTGTTTTAAAAGTTAATTTCATCATCATCATCATCATCATCTCTCTTTATTTGATTGTTTGTTTGTTCAAATGAAAAAGACATACATAGTGCAATAGAAAAACTCTGATTGGTATGTATCTGAATTTTCTATACCTCTCTATCTATTCTTTAATTTTTTTGTTTTGTTTCTCAGCCAACATTCAATCCTATATATAAATAAATACATCTACCATTAATGAACATAAAAATGGGAAAATAAAAACGATCCACAAGAAAGTTGGGAAAAATTGGAACCAGAAAAACGAAAAGAAACGACCCAAAATCGACGAAACCAAATGACTGTGTGTGTGTGTGTGTGTGTGCGATATGTTTGACAACAAATTTTTCATCGTGTTTTTTGAAACCATCATTGGTTCCAGTTTGTCATCAACACACACCGACAATTCAGACAATTTCATTTCATACCGTTTCTCACAGCTTCATTTCTGTTTGTGGTTTTTTTTCATTGTGTGTTTTGTGTTTAATTTATGACTTACACTATTGTTGTTATCATATTATTATTGATTGACGAAAAAAAACGACTACGGCGACATAGTCTGAACATAAGAAAAAAGAATAGAAAAGAATTATTTAGGAATTGGCGATGGAAAAAATGTTGATGAAGAAGAGAATATGAATGGGCAACAAAAATACAATGACAAACACCAGCACCACCGCCACTACTACCGACGGGGCAACATCGACAAGAATTTTCTTTATGATTTTTCAATGTGACTACTCTTTTTTCGTTTCAACATTCGCCTTATGTGGTAACAAAGTAGCACCAATAAATTAACTAAAATTGAATGAAAAAGAAAAAAAAATGTCCGATAACGATGAACAAACCGATCTAATCGAATTAGAAGTGCCTCTAAATGTGAATAAAACATCATCATCATTATCATCAACTACACAAACCACCACGACAGCCTTAAATGATCAAATTAAATCAAATACATTTCCACCGGAACAATCGTCAAAAATAAATGTCCAGATTGGCCGAAAATTTCGTTGGCCAACACCTTCAATGGTCAATGCAACAGCAGCATCAGCAATAAATAATCGATCATCGCCATCAATTGTCCATCATCATTCAACATCATCAGCATTAATTAATGATGCACATCATTCTCACTCATTGGGTTATATACCGATTGATCAGACAACGACAGACATTTTGAAAAGTCGTGAAGGTCGACGTCGTGTGACCATAAATGTGGGTGGTGTTCGTCATGAGGTATTATGGCGTGCATTGGTACGATTACCACATACCCGTTTGGGTAGATTACGAGAATGTGTAACACAAGAATCGATATTTGAAATTTGTGATGATTATAATGCCGATGAAAATGAATATTTTTTCGATCGTCATCCACGTTCATTTGCAGCTATTTTAAATTTTTATCGCACAGGAAAATTACATTTAGTTGAAGAAATGTGTGTTATGGCATTCAGTGATGATCTGGATTATTGGGGCATTGATGAATTGTATTTGGAATCTTGTTGTCAGCACAAATATCATCAACGTAAAGAACATGTTTTTGAAGAGATGCGAAAAGAAGCCGAATCATTGAGGCAAAGAGATGAAGAAGAATTCGGAACGGGCAAATGTGCACAATATCAAAAATTTGTATGGGATCTATTGGAGAAGCCAACATCATCGTTTGCTGCAAGAGTATTGGCCGTCGTATCGATATTATTCATCATATTATCGACCATAGCACTTACATTGAATACGATTGATAGTTTTCAAGTGCACGATCCAATCACTGGTGCCAGTGAAGAGAATCCAAAATTAGCTATGATTGAAGCCGTATGTATTACATGGTTTACATTGGAATATATGTTGCGTTTTATGTCATCGCCGAATAAATGGAAATTCTTCAAAGGTGGCCTGAATATTATCGATTTACTTGCAATAATGCCATATTTTGTATCATTATTTCTTATTGAATCAAATAAAAGTTCCGAACAATTTCAAGATGTACGTCGTGTGGTGCAAATATTTCGTATAATGAGAATATTGCGTATATTAAAATTGGCAAGACATTCCACTGGTTTACAGAGTTTAGGTTTTACATTGAAAAATAGTTATAAAGAATTGGGATTGCTCATGCTGTTCCTCGCTATTGGTGTAATGATATTTTCAAGTCTAGCATATTTTGCCGAAAAAGATGAACTTAATACAAAATTTCGTTCAATACCCGATACTTTTTGGTGGGCAAGTATTACAATGACAACCGTTGGTTATGGTGATATTTATCCAACAACGCCATTTGGTAAAATTATTGGTGCTGCTTGTTGTATTTGTGGTGTATTGGTGGTAGCATTACCCATTCCAATTATTGGTATGTTAAATTTTTTTTTATTGAATTTTTTTTCTCAAAAAGTTTTCCACTATAGTGAATAATTTTGCTGAATTTTACAAGGTAAGTAATTTGATTTTCAGACATGAATTTTTGATATTTTTTTTCTTTGATTTAGACGCAAATGCGAAGAGAAAAAGCATTAAAACGTAAAGAAGCACTGGAAAGAGCTCGTCGTGATGGTTCGATCATATCATTTCCACATGTAAATTTACGTGATGCATTCGTTAAATCGATGGATCTGATTGATGTGATTGCTGAAAATAATAATAATACAATTAATCAACAACAGGTAAATGACAACCAACCAATGCTTATGAATGATGAAAATCAATTTTGATTTTTTCTCTCTCCCATTTTAATAGATTGATCAAATCAGTGTCGGTGGTGAATCACAAGCCAATACTGGTGTCGGTTGTTATAGAAATTTTGATCATTTTCTAAAAGGTGGTTATATGGCTGCCACGGATGCCGGACAACGTGCTGAAAGTTATTTTGAACGACCAACATCTGGAATGGTGACAACAACAAATCGAGCCAATTCTATTAGTACGAATAATCTTCTTGATTTATCACCATTATCACAAACAACAACGAATACAAATCGAATGATGATGAATCCTATGGACGATCATCAAATCATGAACAATCAAGATAATCATCCAGCAACTAGATCGAGTAAAACAAATCTAAGTTTTTCAAATCCAAATTCAATGAATCAAACATTCAATGATTCAAATAATGATGATCAAGCAACTATGAATGCAAAAAAATCAACAACAATTCTGAATAATGTTGTGAAATCTACAAATCTAATGGTAAGTTTTTTTTAAAATTCATCTTGCTTGAAATCTCTGCTTGTTTTTTTCTTTTTGTTTTTGCTTAGTTTTTGCATGTGAAAAAAAACATTTACAGCATTTGCATGTCACCACTTATTGCACATCATTATTATCCGATTCGATTTCATCATCATGATTCGATCATCTTTTTTTTCATTCATCCCCTCAACACATATGACTCCCGAATATCTTGACCACAACAACAAAATTGTGTTGTCTGTGTCAAACACATTAATGATTTATTTATTTCGAACAACAACAACAACAACAACAAAAAATTGTTTTTTCCGCCCAAAACAACAACAGACCGAAAAAGAAGAAATCCACCCCAGACAGTCTAGGCTAAAATAATTAACATTTCAATTTTATTTCTACCACCAATTCTGATTGTTGATGGTAGAGTGGCGATGATGACGGTGTTTTTTGGTTTTTGCTTGGAATAACATGACCAAAAACGTTATTATTATATGAATGAATCGGTGTGGTCATCATCATATATTTGTATTGTGTATCTTGATGGCCATTTTGAAATTCATTATTCATAAAGAAGAACATAGCGCACAGAATAACAATAACAACGTCTGAAACAACAACAAGGAATCCTGCAATAGAATCATCATCATCATCATCATCATTGAAAACTGCCCATAACACCACACACACATATCCAACGGTCGAAAGTGAAAGTAATTTACAAATGAAAAAAAATCCACATAAATGTTGGTATAATATTTTTTATCGTTTTCATTTTGAATCCAACGGAATCACACCAGCATTCACCCAGAGATAGACGAATAATATAAAATCATTACCATCAAAAATGATGATTATGATGATGATATCGGTAATGATAATTGGCGATTGCACAATCAGATGAAAAATAAAAAAAATAAAAACACTTTCACCTCCTACCAAAAAAAAAAAAAAAAATTTTTGAGCACCAAAATTTTTTCTTTTTCGTTCATCATATGAAATTGAAAATTGCTTTTTTGATCCATACCTACGTATGTTGTTGATTTATCGAAATTTTTTTTTGTTTTCTTCACCCATATTTTGGCGCATTAGGAAAACGAACAACAACAACCACATATTCTATTCGATTGATCCATCGTTTGGGAGAGAGAGAGCACAAAAATAATAAACCTGAATGAAATCAAAGCTTCAATTTTGATATAATCCACACACACAAAAACAACATACCTTTTGAATTTGATTTACCGAGAAAAATGTCAATCACAAAACGTTTTTTGTTATTTTCATACTTTCCATTTTTCCCATGTTTTTGTCATAAGAATTAAGATTCGATGCATGTTTTATGATGATGATGAGAAATTTTGAAGAAAAAAATCTCTTTCCTCTGTTTGCCAGTTGTATCGATCAATGTTGTTTTTGTATGTGTCAAGGTGACAATCTTTTGTAAATATATGAAATAAACACAGAAAATTCTGATCAGGTTGATTGATTGATTGATTATAGGATTATAATAAAAGACCAACATCGAATGCATCGATATCATCATTTTCAGTAATAAAAACAACCGATGATAAACATCGAATGATGAAACAATCAAGAAAATCGATCGATTTACGTTCGAATGAACAGCAGCGTCATTCGATGAAAGGAAGATGGCGCCAGTAACTGAATGGCTGGAATAAATAATTGTAGGTATTCGAAAAATAATCAATCTGTTCAAAAATAAAGTATTTGTTTTTTTTTTCATTTTCAAAAATTTCAAGTTTCACCTGATAATCCCCACATTATGATACAATTATGGACCGTCCAATTTTTCTCCAAATACAAACCAAAAACAAAAACATTCAACTTTAGACGATAATTTGGAACCATCACAACAACAACAACAACAACAAAAACCAATGTTTGCCATTCGAATCGTTGCGTTAATTTTTTTTTTTTTTTGGTTGGTTGGAAATTCTAAATTTTGATCTTTGATAAAATCAACATTGAAAATTTCTTTAAAAATTTGTTTTATTTATCAATTATTTTACAAAAAAAAAAATTATTAAACTTCTATAATAAAAAAAATGTTCAACAAAAAAAATGAAAGAAAATAAAATGTGGGTGAAATATGATTGTTTTGACCACCAACCTCTGGCCCTCATCATCATCATCATGATAATTTGTTCGGTATGTATCTTATGTGTGTGTGTGTATCATCTTTATATCAATCAATGGATTAAAAACTGAAAATCTAACATGGAGAGAGAGAGAAAAGTCAAAATTAAATTATAATTAGAATTGAATAAATCAAATACTGTATTGCAAAAAGAATGATGATGGAAAAGAGGGCGATTTGGTGATGGAAAATTGTTGAGTGGCTATAAAGAATTTTTTTTTTTTGCTTGAAAACAGGATTGATTGGTTGATTGAATCGATGAAATGATCAAATCTATGTAGTTTGTGTGTGTTGATTTTATGACTAGTATGATCAGTGTGTGTGTGTGTGTGTGTTTTGTATCCTGTAAATGTGAAAATTGTAATTTTGAAGAAAAAACAATTAATAATAATGACAATTTGAAATTTAAAATAGTGTGTGTGTTGCTGGTGTGCCGAGGAAAAAGATTTGACCAAATTTCATTGAGATAGAGTGACAAAGAGAAAATAACAACAAAGCTTGAGGCCAGCGAATTTTCAATATTATTTATATTTTAATATGGTGATGATAAACATAATGATGATGATGACATCTTGTGATGATGATAATTGTGAATGGTTGTTGTTGTTTTTTGGGAGGTTTTTGTTTGTGAAATTCTTGAAAATTGAAATTCAATATATCTGTAGAGAGAATAGTGAGAATGTGATGGATGTAGCCAGGAAAATGCAATGTATGTGTGTCGAATATTTCAAATATCTTCATCATGATAATACCATTTGGTTTTTTTCGGATTTTTCGAACATGTACGAACATACATTGTATTATCTGGTGGTCGTTTTTTCTCTTTACAACCAGCCAACATCGAAAGGATGCTTAAACAAACGGCTTGTACCGATAATGCTGGTGACCAATCATCGGTTAATATTGAAAGACAAATATGACCATTACTATAAACATGTGGATGTACGGGTATGTTTGAGCCAATGAATGTTACTTCCGGAGAATCGAATGGATAATTTGAACTATTTATTGATAACAAACAAATAATGATTATAAACGTTTTATTAAAAAAAAAATAAAATTGTTCAAACCTGAATTTGAAAGACAACGTAAATCGTTCTTCGGCATATAATGTTCCTTTTGGACATACAATATCTATTGACCATCTAGAATGGTAAACGAAAAACGAAATTAAAAGGAAAAAAAACCAAACATCAATCTTGACTTACTGTGACATATCCGATTCAATCTTCATTTCATCCACAAATACACCGGTTGGTGGATCTTTTTTCAATGACATTAATTCTTTTTGCAGTCGTTTCTGTTGTTGTTTGGAATGTTTAAAGATTATTAAATTTTCAATTAATTACTCAAGAAAAATCATCTCATTTACCTGCATTGATGACATGATTAGAATGGACAAACAAAAACGTTCGAATTGTTGTTGTTGTTGTTTATAAATGATTCGAATCGATCAATTTTAAAATTCGAAAAAAACTAATTGAAATTTATTGAATGAATGCTTTTTGTTTTTGTTTTACACAACATTCGAATTTGATTCAATAATAAAAAAAACAAATTGTTTGATTAAATTGTGGAATTGAAATTCTGAATGATGAAAATTATCGATGAAACAAAAATCAATCAAACATAAATCGAACAATAGAGAATACGACTAGGAAAATTAGATCAAAATTTTTTAAAATAATTGTCGATTATGATGTATCATCAAATAGTTAATTAGTTTGATCGATTATGATGACATTCACCATGATAGATATAATGAGGATGATGATTAAGATGAAGAATCCAAAAAATTCCGTTGATTCTGGTTTTTTTTTGAAACGCACATACACAACAAAAAACAGAAAGCTCACACTTTTTGGTTTGGAAACTTTTTTACCCGTATAAATTTTATAAATTTTATGGCATAAAACATCAAACATCATCGTCATCAACAATAACAACGTATAAAAAGAAAAATCCAGTTAATATACTAGTGCTGCCATCTTGTATCGACAAATCATGCTACACTGTGATTTTGATTCGAATTTTTTTCATTTGTTTTGAGTTCAAAACTTTGGTTTTCAAAATTATATTCCAGACGAGTTTTTTCAAAACGAATCTTTTCATGAGCTAATTATAATTAAATCAGTTCACTGGCAAAGTTATTTGGAAATATTCGATGTCAAATCTAATCAATTCGGAGAAAAAAAATCTAACCAAACAACAACAATGACGACGACAACGAATCAATCGTTCGAATTGTCATTATCATTGTTGGAAAAGAAAAAAAAATGAGGTTAGAATCATCATCATCATAAACAACATTTTTCCTTGTTGCAAATATTTTGATATCAATTTCATCGAAATGTGAAATGAACCGAATAACAACAACAGCAACTATTACTACTACTACTACTACTACAACCAAAAAAAAAAAAAAAAAATACCAGAAAGTGGTTAAAATGAAGATTCGAAACCCTTATCATCATCATCATCATCATCATCGAAGATAAGTATTTCAAAGTTTGAAAAGCTGATATTCATTGTTATTTCTATTGATATATAGTGTATGTGTGTATGCTTTTTTCCTATGGTCCAAACGAAATATGATCATTTGATTGATTTCTCGAATTCAAAGATTCATTCATTTTTGGCCTATCGGTGGATCCATCATCACCATCATCATAAAGATAAATATTATATTTCATCAAAGAAAACTAAAAAAGTTTTTTTCTTTCATTTTTGATTTGGTTTTTCTCCTTTCACATCTGTGTGTGTGTGTATCCAAGAGAAAAACTTTTTTTTGCAACAAGTGCGTTTGTATTTATTATTGTTATTGTTATTAGAGATTGTATCCAATGGCAATCTCTAATAACAATAATAATAAAACTTCTAAATAATTATCACATGTTTTTTTTGGCCTTTAAGTGTAGTAAAATTCATCGACCAATGATGATTATAAAGATTTCAAATATTTAATTTTTATTTTCAATTCTAGCCACAGAAATAATCAAGTGGCCAACAATTCTTTTGACATTTTTTTTCACACTTTGTGTTTCTGTTTCATCCTAATATTACTCTATTTGTTTTTTATTTTAAACCAGATAAATCAAGATGCCCAATTATGTACAACGAAAAATGAGAGAATTAAATTGTATGGGTCGTAATCATCAACGTCGACATTATGGTTCAATCGAAACAATCGATAGTGATGTTTATAATAATGATGATGATGATGATCAGCAACAAGTTAAAAGACCTGATGGAAAACGTATCGGTCTTTTTCGGTCATTTTCATTTATAAATAAGAAGAAAAAATCACAATCCCAACAACAACAGAATCTAAATGAATCAACAACAACAGAATTTAATAAGAAAACGGAAAAAACACGTTTAATTCTGGTTGGAAAAAAGAAGAAAACAGTCAACTCAAAAAATTATTCAACATTGATCGAATCGGATGATGATAATAATGATGATGATGATACATTTGAATCAATAATGAAAAATAATTCGAAAAAATCGGTACGTTTCGCCAATAATGACAATAATAATGATGATGAAAATGGTTTGAATCGAAAAACGTGGACAAAGAAGAATAAAAATCGTAAGAACAAGAAAAAGAAATCATTATTGAAACGTACTGGATCATTAATTGTACGTAGTTGCCGTTTGATGACATACGGTGCACCACATATGCCATATAACATGCCATATAATGATTGTAATGGTCCATATCATTATGATTTTTATCGTAATTATGAATATTATGATGATGGATATGGCCGTTATGATAATAATCAATATATGCGCTATGGAGAATATGGTCCGGGTAGCATTTATTTCTAAATCTGATCAACCAATAACGACAAATAATCCATCAATATCTACTTTTGTATACAAGTCCTTTTTTTAGTTCTTTTACGATTCCAATTTGCTATTTTTTGACGATGTGACAATATAATATTTTTAAATATTTTTTCTTGTTGAATTTTACATTTCTATTTGCTTTTTAATCAAGCGAAATTTTTCTCTCTGAAACCAAAACAGCCTACATAATACATACACAGCCTACACAAAGTACAAATGTTTGCAATGCAATAATAATAATCGGCTCATACATCTGGGAATCATGAGATTCATTTGATTGTGTGTGTAGTCGGTTTCGAAAAAAGAAAAAAGTTTTCCTTTTAAGTCAAAAAAAAAAAAAAAAAAAAATGAAATGGAATGGATTGGCCATTTATTTTGTTTATCATCATCATCATCATCATAAACAAATATTTTTCTTTATTTGGACATTCGATATGTTTGATGATGATTTTTATTTATGGAATTTTTTTCTTGCTGTAATGTTTAATAACCGGAACAACAAAAACATAAGGAGGTCGAAGCCAAAGAAAAATTTTCCATAGCTGATAGCTGCTGGATGTTATTCTGGTTCGATCATCAATTCATTGATTTGATCATTAAAACAAACGAAATTGTCAATGTTCTTGATTTGCGCCTTTCATTTCCATTTATGGAATGTAATTATGATGATGATGATGATGATGATGATAAACAACAAAGACCATGGCCGATCATCTTCAAATTGATTGTTTGTTTCCACTTTATGCTATTGTTTTTAAGATCAAGACAACATTCGAATGTTCGAGAACAAATTTTCAATACAAAATGTGTGAACATTTATTTTGTCAAGCTCTATATGAATCATCTGCTGCTAAATGATCATTTTTTCTCAAAAAAAAAAAAAAAAATTTTATTTGAATTTTTCTTTGCTTCGCTCTTTTCATTTTTGACCACTGTCTGTGTGTAATAATAATCATGTACAAAATTACAATAATTACGATGTTGGTAACACACATCCGGAATAATACTTTCAGTTTTCATTCATTCAATTAATTTTCCATAATTGATTGATTGATTAAATGAATAAATGAAACATTCCAAATGATGCTAAATGTTCATGTTTTATAAATTTCTTTTTATTGTGTAAATGGCAAGTTTTTTCCATCATCATCATCATCATAGTTTATTAATGGATTCAAACAAACAAACAAGCAGCAAGTAAACAAATGGTTGTTTTGATTATAATCAATCGATGGAAATAAAAAAAAAGGTTTGAAATGGCATTGATGGCTCAAAGCACTAAATGCAATGAATTTCTATTTCTTTACGATTTATAGAGTTTATCCTACGCTCACATCACATATACAATAAATGCCAACCAAACAAATCCACCAGAACAACTACAATCAACAACAATAACAACATTCAAATAAAGCAAAACCGACCAACGAACGAAAGAAAATCTCATTCTAAACATTTAACATTCGATCGTGTCTCGTGTGTCTGTATGGCAAAAATTGTTTACAAATTTTCAGATGACCATCATCATCACCCAACGATAATAATCAAACATAAGGATAGCCATTAAACCATAACAACAAAAGCAATGAACATTTGCCGAGTTGCCAATTTAGTTGAATCACTTTGAATTGGGTTTTGTTTTGTTGAATGAAGAAGTAGCATTATTGTGTATCCAATATATATCTCATATGGGAATGGTTGTGTGGTCGGAACATGTATATAATTTATATTCATGACGCCTTTTTTCGTACATCCAACCATAAGCACATATCAATCTCTCTGCAGATAGATCTACTACAACCACGACGACCATGAAAGAATGAACAGCTACAACAACGGCTACAACGAATGGAAAATCATCATCATTGTCGACAAGTGAAAAAAAAGTCTTATCCCAGTGAAAGTGAAAGTTTCATTCATTCATTCATTCATTCGTTGATACCTGCATCAAACACAAAATAACAAACAGAAAATCGACAAGAATCCACCGACAGAGAGAGTATATAAATATCGGTTTGGTTTGGTATGTCTTTGTATTATGTGGTATGTGTTGTATTAAGTATCAAAAGTTTAATAAAATCGTTTTATTTATTTTTTTCAGTCGGTTCTACTTTTTCAATGATATTTGTATATTGAGACGACATTTTGCTTGCTTGTAAAGTTGTGTCATTCACACATTCATTTATTGCGTGTGTTAATCAACGTATTTATTCAAACGTTTCCTAGTTTTGTTTTGTTTTGTTTTGTTTTCTATCATCTGAACAATCATAAATCATCATCATAAATTTTATCAACCCAAATTTATTGTATGTGTGTTCCAATAACCTAGTTTTGTGGTTGTTCGTTGGTAATCTGTTTTATTGTTCCACTTTTTTTAGTGTTTTTTTTTGGTTGTGTTTGCTATTTCATTCAATTATTCATTTAAAATCATCTAATCACTGAAATAATCATGGCACCAGAACGTAAAGTTCCTGTACAAAGGTCGGATAATAATCTGATTGATCAAGAATTCAGTTCAATTCGTACACGATTTGAAGATGAAATGAAAAAAATGGAAGAAGAAATGAATAGATTCCGTACACAACTTATGGATCGTGAACGAACATTTTTTGGACCTAGTAGTTTATCAAGTGGTAATTCGACAACACGTTCAACATTTGGTCGTGAATTGGAAAGTTCAGCACCAGGTTCGAAAGTTGGACAGATGACCACACATTGGTTGGATGATCTTAATTCACCACTTGTACAGGATAGTCCAGATGGTGGTAAAGTATTAAAATTACGTTTCGATGTCACACAATATGCACCAGAAGAAATTGTTGTCAAAACAATTGATAATCGTCTTCAGGTTGGTATTGATGATTTATTTTCTTGTTGTATTTGATTGACGTTTGTTTGTTTGTTTGTTTGTTTGAGCAAGAGCAACTCTATTGACATTTATTATCATTCCAGGATGCCATGATAATTGAATGTCATTTTTCCTTTTTGTGATGTCTTCAATACACAAATTTTTCTAATCATTGCCATCACCGGCATCTTTTGAAGAAAAATTTGCTTTTCTAATCCAATTTTGTTCATACCATTCATTCTTAACTCTTTCACTAATCGTTTTTTTTTGTTTGTTTTTCGTTCTTGATCTCATTCTAATTTTAGGTCCATGCTAAACACGAAGAAAAAAGTGACAATAAAAGCGTTTATCGTGAATATAATCGTGAATTTTTATTACCGAAAGGTACGAATCCAGAATTGATTCGTTCATCGTTATCAAAAGATGGCGTATTGACTGTCGAATCACCATTACCGGCATTGGAATATCATGATGGTGAAAAACGTATTCCCATTCAACATAAATAATGAATAATCAACGCCGAAAATTTAATGATTTCTGGTGATTGGAAAAAAAATATTAATCAACATCCAACACACACATACACATCATTTATCATACCGGATATGCTTAATTTTTTTTTTTTTTTCTTGTTTTGATTGTTGTTCGTCGTAACCACAATACAAATCCACACAAACACTAACAATAAACAAAACACAAGGCAGCATTATATTCATCAATTTTTTTTTTTCGGTGTGCATTTCATTTGTATTTAGAATTTAATTCTATATGGATCAGATGCCTTTAAAAAAGGGTTTAAAATTCCTGAATCGATCAGTTTTTTTCTATAACATGTGGTCATTTGTTTCTGTTCATTGTCATTATTTTTTGGCTCAATTTGAATAAATAATTAAAATCACTGAGGATAGATGGCGAACGTGTATTGTTTTTTTAAATGTTAGAAATTTTTTTTTTCTTTGTAAATCAACAACGAGTGTTTTAGTTTCAGTTTTTTCTATTTTTCTATTTTCATTCATCGATTCATCATGAATGATGAATATTATTATGACGTTAATTCTGTCATTGTAAAATGATTATCATTCTCTGTGTTCGATGTTCGAGAATTATTAATACACAATATACACGTCATCAACATTGTGAATAATTTGTTCAATAAATAAAGAAATAAAGACATAAAGAAACAGGAGCAAGGATTCGGATGACGAAGAAGAAGGCCACGCGTGTATATACTGTAGTATGTCATTGTCATCGAACATTCATTTTATTCGGGATCATCCCCGGGCAAATTTATCGTTCGACCTAAAAGATTATTACGATGAATTTCTAATTTTGAATCATTATCATCAAGATGAATGAGTGTGTTTAATATAAGATCCATAACGATTATCGAATGGAAAACATAAATCAACGCCCCCGCAAACAAATAATGATGCTATTTATGCATCATTGTTGGATGTCAAAGATTTATAAATATCAAATGACTGACGCCCTGATTATCTTGATCTCGATTAGAGAATGTAAAGTGTCATTTTCCGTTGTTGTTTTTATTCGGTAGGTTTTTTTTCATTCATCAAGAACCGTTTTGGATTCTAGCCAAACGATAATAATTTTTTGGCAAACAAAACATTTCACTTTCTTTCGGTTTGTTTTATTTGTTTGTTTGTTGAAATTGTTTCTATTGAAAAAAAATTCAATGGGTAAAAAAATCCATCATCATTGTTTTTGACCACAAAAAGCCAAATAAAAAAAAACAAAGAAGAAAAGCATTCGACATTATGATACGAAATGTTGTTGTTGTTGTTTGAAAAGAATTCAAGCGATAAATTGTCATCATCATCAACCACAGACATGAAAGGATTTTGATTCATCTTACCATTTGTTCGACATTGAAGTTGAAAATGAAATTATTTTATTACATACAATATCATCGACGATGAAAAAATTAAAAAAAAAATTGAAACATGACAAAGGTTGGTTATGTCGAATGAATCATAATCATCATAATATTCATATATAAATTTGAATGATTAATCATTAAAAAGAGATGGCAAAAACAAAACGATAAAAAAAACAATAATCAAATTGAGAATTTTTTCGAAAAAAAAGAAAAACAAAATCATCAAACAACGAATTACGCTATATGTGTGTGTTGTCCTTTGGATTATTCAATAAACATGGATCAACATGAATTTTTCACAATGACATTTTTTGAAGCGAAATTTCACACACACTCACACAGAAGAGTGTAATAGTTGAATGATAAATGGAAGAAACAGGCTAAGAATAAAATTCCGAGAATTAAAAAAAAATGAAATGTAATTGTGGCAACAAGTGATGTCTACGACGACGACGATGACGACAATGGCGATGGAGATGATTCCAACATTTCGAATATTCAAGTCAGTCAGTCATCAGTGTGTCTGGTGTGGTGTGTGCCTTCAAGACAAGAAGCAAGAATTCGACATTCGATACTTTTAGATTTTTTTCTTCTTTTTTTTTATTTTATTTATTCGTTGTGATGATAATTTGTGATAATCAAGTGAAAAATTTAAATTTGTTTTTTTTCATTTATTTGTTTTGAATTTTTTTTATTCGTGTTTTGCAAATGATCAAAATTTTATTGTTGAAAAATGTTTCCGTCCATTATAATTTAGATCTCATTATTCAATGTTATTCCATTCAAATCAATCAATATCGATTGTATAATAAAATACATGATGAAAAGAGTTCCATTATTGACCAACAACAAACAACAACAACAACAACAACAACCAAAGTCATTGAAATTATTCATTTATTATTTCCATAATCACCGTCGTAGACGACGAAGACGTGGAAAAATAAAACAATTAAAAAACGAAACTTTTCGAGAATTACTATTTTAATGAATATATTCATCATCAATCAATCAATCAATCGAATTAATCTATTTTCGTTTCTTTATTATTATCATCATTCATTTTACAAACAAACAAAAAAATTGTTTCAACCGAATTAATCCAACAGCGATCACAACTACAAAAAAAATCTCAAATTGAATCATCATCATGATTCCGAAGGTAATTTATTCTTTTATTGACTATAAACAGGGAATCAGGTCATTTATGGCTAATGAAATGGGGGCAACTTAAATGATGCTCTATTTTTAGTGTGAAATTCTCATTTTTTTTCTGGAAAAAAAAATTTTAAAATTGCAAATTTTTTTTTGTTCAATTTTTATTTATAGGCTATTCCTATGGAAATACGACATATCGTTTTTCTATTAATATTTTTCATTCTATATGTAATATTTGGCGGCATTGTATTCATGTTACTTGAATGGCCTGATGAACAAATTAAACGCAAAGAGATTGGATTATTATTGAATGAATTTACTGAACATATCAAACGTTTGAATCATACACAATTCACGGAAGAAAAATTTCGTTTAATTATACATGAATTATTGATGGCACAAGATAACAATCTAATCGATAGCTATGGAAACCAACAGCCATTTATAAATTGGAGTTTTATTAATTCATTCTTTTTTGCAATCACTGTGATCACTACCATTGGTTATGGTCATCTGACACCGCGAACAATAATGGGAAAATTTTTCTGCATTATTTATGCATTGTTTGGCATACCAATTACAAGTCTACTTATTGGCAGTGTTGCCGATCGTTTTAGTAAATTATATTCACCAAAAGTATGTCTCTACTTATCATATGCGAATTGTGGTAATTTGATTTGGTTATTTTTCAACAAAATTTTTCTAGAAATTACCACGCGGATTGAAACGAACCGCACCAAAATATCAACGACAATTATCTGCACGTTTTCTAATGTTAAGACGTGGACTGATATCATTGGTACCATGGTTTTTTACATTTCTTGTTGTTCCAGCATGGATTTTTCGTTATCTAGAAGGATGGTCATTCTTGGATGGTTTCTATTATTGTTTTATAACATTATCAACAATTGGTTTTGGTGATTATGTTGTTGCCGGTGGTTTTGAAAAGAATTATATCTGGATCTATAAGATTATTATTGTATTCTGGATCATATTCGGTTTGGCATATCTGTCGATGATATTGAATTTTATTACCAATGCAATACGTAGTCGAAGAATATCGAATGTAATGAATTCATTACGTGTAAAAATTAATTCAAATGGTAGTCTTGTGGCACGTATGCGCCGTAATCAAAATGATGATGATGATCATCATCATCATTGTCATTTAAATCATCATCAATATCAACGACAACAACAACAATTTCCAAGTCCAAGATTTATTAATAATAATTATCTAATTAATGATGATTATAGTAGCTATAAACAACGGCCAAATTCATCTATATTTAATAATTTTGAATCCGAACATTTAAAACGTGAGTATTGATTATTATTTATTTAAGCTTTTCGAAAAATTGATTGTCATTAATTAAGATGGACAAAAATCAACGATGCATTTATTCCATGTTTGGAAAATATTTAAATCAAAACGAACAAAAATTCAAAAAGAATCAAACAAGTAAGTGAATTGAATGATTCAAAATTCAACAAACTAATGAAACGATTATTCAATGTTTTGATCAACAGAAAATAATGCGTCCGACGACAAGTCTTCCGGAACTATCCGAATGTATGGTACGAACACAACAAGTGGCCACCATAACAATTGTTTAAAGAAGCTTAATAGTTTATTATTATTAATATAATATAATTTTTCATTGAACATCATTGGTCATTAAAAAAAAACAGTTTTCAATCATTTAATCAAGTTATATCATACAAAATTGGTAAAAGTGCTACCATCTGTTAACAATGTAAACAACTATTGTTTCAATTTCATTTTTTATTAATTTATCCATTGAAAATAGTATTCAACAGTCATCGTTGATGAGTCCGTTCATGTTTGCTAAGATGATCTTTGCGACCAAATCGTTTGTGACAAGTTCGACATTGATATGGTCGAATACCGCTATGAATACGTCGATGTCTGGTCAATTCTTCATTCCGTGTGAATGATTTGCGACAATCGGCAAAATCACATACAAATGGCCGTTCACCTATATATCGATATAATAGTGCAAACTTTGAAAATTTTTTGATAAAAATTTGATTGCTCAATACATACCTGTATGAGTTCGAATGTGGCTATTCAATTGGCTACGATTAGTGAATCGATTCTTGCATTCAAGGCAAACGAATTTTTTTACACGTTCCTTGTTGATTTGTTGCCCATTCTTTTTAGCCAAATCTTCAACTGCAGATGGCGATGATGATGATGGTAAGATGGTCAAATTGTCGGTTGGATTGTTTGCGATCAAATCATTATCATGGTTGGTGAATAATGAATAATTATTATAGAATGATAAAAGTTGATTGTAATAATAATTGTAATAGAATCCATAATTCGATTGGGTCAAAATGACATTCTCGTTTTGCTCTTGTTTTGCTGCTGTTGATGTTGATTGTTGTTGTTGTAGTTCATCTGATCCAAGTGGCTCATCATCATCAACTTGCCACGGTCGAAACCAATTCATACTCATGATGTTGATTGAATCATTGCTAGTTCAATAATGATCACATCAATTCCATGACAATCAGATGATCCACAACAAAAAAAAGTGAGAAATCATTTTGGCCTATCAATATCGATCATCGTGAACGAAAAACTAGAATCATCAACAAGTCAGTCAGATTTTCATTAATCCTTCAAAAATCAACAAACAAATTCCAATATTAAGTCAATCATATAATAAAGGCGTTGATTCCATATTACTCTTTCTATAAATTGATAAAAAGTTTGGTTATTTTTCATATGTTGAGATTTTTTTTTCAAATGACCATCACTTACCAAACATCAGAAAGAGCCCACCATCCATCCATCCATCCATCTCTATCCCACTGGCATCAAGCTGAGATTCGTGCCTGAATAAATAAAGAAGATCATGATTCCATGTTCACGAATAGCCATAATCCTTGTTTGTAGATAATATAATCTCTCTCACTCACCACCAAATCAACACATCTTTATTATCTTTACAATTTAACACCTTGTCAAGTGATTATAAACAAACAAATCAAAAACAAATGCTCATCTAATGAAACTTTAATCAACATTTACACACAACACACATGATTCATATGAATGAGAATCAGTTTACAAATCAAACAAACAATCGATTATTAAATAACTCTGTCAAAGGTTGGCTTTGCAAAATATCCATTGAATCGAATGTTACTTTGATGAATAATTTTTGTTCGTCGTTCTTCGGCAATTTCTGCAATGCCTTCGATTAGTTTCTCTAAACTCAACACCTCCCGATGAGATTTTTGACAAAGATTTTCACACATCCGTAACTGTTGTGATGTGAATGGTGATCCTCGTAGTAGACTGTCATTTGTTCGGCATATGATCGAAACCATTTGAAAAGCATTGACCGTCATCGTACAGAATCGATTCATATCGATCTGATTTTTAACACATTCCTGTCATTATAATAAAATGGAATGAAAATAAAACATTAACCATAACACTAACATTTTTACCTTGCCATATAATTTAAGAATATAGGTTCCCATCTCAGTTTCAATTTCCAAAACCTTTCTCAGTAAATTGGCTGAATTTCTAAGCAATGGATCAAGGTTTTCCAATGACTTGAAACCATCATAAGCTTCAGGATATCGAAGAAAAAATTGTCTTTTAAATCTGTCATACTGATATTTGAAATAATGTATTGGATAGATTCGATTCAGACGCAATTTGACAACATTATCATATCGCCATCTACCTATATTACGAAGACCATATGTTGCTAATAACATTCGTATCGATGTCAGTGTATCGAGAAAAGCATTGAGCACATTGATCACATCATTCATATCTTGTGAAACAATCGATGAAATTTGTTGTGGGCGATAAAGAAATCGAATCGATTTGAGCATCTCTTCCAAATATTCGGCAGCCATTATTTTCACAACCATAGCTTGTAGATATAGATCCATTTGATTCAATTTGAATGTATCATAATGAGAACAAGTTAAATATAAGGCTGATTCAAGAGCATAAATCATTTCCGACATTCGAGTGATGTGATTGATGAATAAATTCTTGAATTCAATTTTTTCTTCTTTTACTTGACAGCAATTGTCAATTATATTATTGAATACTTGTCTCATGATTCCCAATAAAACAGCCGATGACATTAGATGACCCGATGCTTTCATATTGAGCAACAATGTTGCTTGATCGTCAATCGCTATTTCAGCATTGTCTTTTTTTACATTCAGTTCATTGAATATAATGGTTTGGAATTTGGTTCCATAATTATCCGTACCGTCTGGTTCAATGATGACATCTTCTGCAGGTATTAGAAACGAACCAATCCCATGATCGTGTTCATTTTTGATTTTACAAAATACAAGATAATAATCATAATCATCACTAAGAATCCGAGATTTTTTTCCTTTTAGTAGCCAAGTATTTGTTTCTTGATCGAAACGAGCCGTAGATTGCCAAAATGGATATGTTGGTGACATGAAATAATCATTCGGCTCATCGAATGCTAATGCAATTCTTACATTTTTAAAATCAGACATTAGCCTCTGTTTTAGTTTATCATTGCTTGAGTTTTGAATTGTATTCGATATGATTGAATTACGTATTAGTAACGGCAATGTTGCTGATAAGAATTTTTTCTTTTCTTGATAACATGTTAGAAAAGAATTAGTCACTGAAAGTTGATCAAGCTTTATCAAATTGTTGGCAGATTCAAATTGCCTTGATTCATTTGTTTTGAATTCCAATGATGATCCAAGTGCTTCGAATAAATGTGCTTTTTCCACTTCGGTCAATGTTGATAGATCATAGAATCCATTTTGTTTGAGAATTTTCGGATCACCCGACAATTTTAGGAAATTTTTCCGTACAAATTCATATTGCTGTTTCAACAATACGCTTTCTTGGTCATTATCGACAAGTTTTGGAAATCTAAATCATAAGATTGTCGATTATGTGTAATATTATTATTATCTGATCAAATTACAAAATTCGGTCACTAACCTTAAATAATCGGGATCAAATTCACCGAAAAATGATCGAAAAACGAAGGATTCATGTTTAGTCGTTTTTTTCAACGATGATTTAATTCCAGTGGCTTGAACATTGAATACATCAGCATTCTTCAATGCGGTTAAAAATCGAATCAAATGAAAATTGATGGGAATCTTTTGGACCGAATTCAATCGACAACAATTGACTAGTTTATTCATTTTTTTTCCTCACATTGGACATATGTTTTTAAATCATTACGTTGTTTATGAACAGAATTGGTCGTTGAAAGTTATCGAAACAAATTGGCCATTTTAAAATGAAATAATTTACTAAAATTGGTCAATTCTTTTGATCAATTTATGGAAAAAAATCTGTAAGTGATGGGTTAAATTGAATTGTTCAATCCATATGTTTGATCACTTTCGCTATTTTCGGATTTCGCTATTTTTGGCTTTCGCTATTTTGGATCGGAATCGATTGTTTTCAATGATTCGCAAGATGTTTCAATGATCTGGAATTCAAGTTGTCAATGACATTGTCATTTAAAATTGGACATGGCAGTTTTACTAAACATTCATGTGAAATACAGACAATTGGTAAATTTTATATCCGATTTCTCGGGTGTAAAATATGTCACAATTGATTTGTAACCGGAAGTCGGCGTGGTGCAGCGGATAGCATAACTGACTTCGAAACCGGAAGTTTATCAGGGGGTCGCAGGTTCGAGTCCTGCCGTCGACGTTTTTGTTTTTTGGAAAAATAGCCAAAGTGATCAAACATGGATTTAACCATCACTTGCTAACCTAACCAACCTAATTCATGAATAAAAGAACAAAGTTTTTTTTTATTGTGTTGCAAATTTATTTAGGACCAGCCCAGTACAGTGCTTGGTATCCAGCCAAAGGTGTGAATCCTTGACGGTAAACCACCATCATAAGCAAAATTGGGTTCGGACATGTTGAAATTTGAATTGATTAATTTAAATTAAATTTATTCATTCCATGCATGAAAAAACATTGCCATCCAGTGGCCAATCATACGAACTAATAGGATTCACGTGTGTGTTTTTAATTTTGTTTGTTTGTTTGTTTGTAAATCAGATGTTGTTGTATGATTATCACCATCATGTTGATCAACACTGTTGTTAAATCGCGGCTTAATTTTCTCAAATATTGCCGTCGATGTCTGTCATCTTCTAATCAATCAATTCCCCAGCCAAAATCAGATAGTGATGGAAAAAGCAAACAAGACGAGACTACTACTTATTATACGATGGGTGATACTTTGGTTGAACCGATTCCCATTAAATCATTGAATATTTTGTCCCGAATTGAAACCTATGAGAAATATGGATCATCATTCAAAAATCTATTTCTTGGTGTGCCCGATACGGACCTGTTAAGCTTTCCATTTTTGCTGAAATCACGTAAAGAATTCCTAGAACTGACCGAACAATATGAAATGGTACGAACAACGTGGAATAAAATCAAAAAAGATGAACAAACATTGAATCTATTGAATTATAATTCACTATATAAACTGAGCGTCAGTGAAATGATGTTCATTTTCGAAGCAATTGGTGCTAGTGTTGAGAAAAATCTACCATTCGGTACCAAAGAAGATGAAGAGAATCGTTTCGAAAAACGATTATCAAAAACATTCAATATTGATCCGACATCGAAGAATCGATTCAATATCGGTGAAGCGGCATTCTCTAGTTTTCATAATTTACGTGAAGCCATAGAAACAGTAGTACCATTGATTGAAAGAAATGCAATCGTCTATTATGCATTGAGTCGTTCTTCTAATGATCATATGAAATCAATACTTGCCAACAATACAAACATTGCATTTGCATTCGATGAAGATTTTGATTCCGATCGAACCGATATCAAAATTGATAGCTGGTCAAGTCAAGCTCGATTAGCAAACGATTTCAATTCCTGGGTAATCACGGGTCGAAAAAACAACATTATCAACGGCAATTATTCACATTATTTGATTTTCACCAAAACCAATGATTACACCGAAGTGCAAGGTTTGGATAAACTCCAAAATGATGTTGGAATCATTGCTTTGCTAGCGCCAGCCAATCAAGTCAAAGTAGAATTGGATGCACAAGATTTTTTAGCCATCCAACATCAACGTATCAGTTTCGAAGATTTGGAATTGTTTCGTGATTCAAGTGAAGTGATCAATGCCACCAAGAATCTTGCTGAATTCAACAACGTAAAAGGTTGTGGACAATTGGCTGTGTCAGCTTTCATCTTGGGATTGCTCAAACAATTGCAAAAAAATACCTATGCTTACCTGGTGAACAATCGATTAGGATTGACTGATTGTGAATTTGTTCAATATAAATTGTTTGCTTCTACTTGTAAGATATACGGGCTCGAATCAATGATCTATTTAACTGCTGCCATGTATGATTCATTCGAACGAGGTGCCAATCTAGGTGGCGAATCAATCACAATCAAAACGAAAGCCGTGGAATATGCGTATGATGTTATCGGCGAATTACGATCATTATTCGGTTCACGTTATCCATTCTCATCCACCGTTTATGATTTAATTTATTATCTAGATTCATTTCTCGATTGTTCCATGAATAATCGAATGTTAATGGCCAATGAAGCAGTGAAACATTACAAGACATTTGAAGATATGACACTGAATCGATTTAATTTTATACCGAAAGAACCGATTAATACAATCAGACATTATTTGAAACAAAGAAAACTTCGTAGATATGAAACCTATTTAACGCGAGAAATGACCAAATACGTTCATCATAATCTACATGCAGCATGTGATTGGATCGAACATTTGATCAATCTTTTGCAATTTTCTATGCACTATCTTTCTACCATTCATCAAGAGGTAATTTTGAATTTCATTCAATGCATTGCAATATAGCAGTAATATTTAATTACTTTCACAGAAATTCCAGCAACAACAATTTGATCTAAATCGATTGGTAGAAATGGCAATGGATATTGAAATGATGATTTCATGTTTATCACGTGCCAATCATGCCATCTGTTATGGCATCAGGAATGGACATTCAGAAAGAGATATTTGTATGGCCATATGTAAAGAATTGTTTCTTAAACATTTACAAACCTTTGAAGCGATTGATAAACGTACGTTGATCGATAATAATGATTATTGTCGACGAATATTCGAAACAAATATGAATGAAAGAGGTTATTTTCCTAAATTATTTCAAGTTGAGTAAATGGAATAATAATCAATTATATATTATTAATATGTATTTGTATTTCATTTATTCAAAATGTGTGTGTATTGGTTTGTTGGTTGATTGGTTGGTAGTGGTCAAATCAAAAAGTTCTTACAAATAAACACAAAAATTCAAATTATCTTTTATTGTTAAATATGTGTGTGTGTGTTTGAATGAATGTTGTGTGAGGCTTTTTTGTTTGTTTGAAAAAAAATATCAATCACTGAATCATCATCACCAGTTAATCGATTCAGATTCATTTCTCTAATAATTTGTTTGAAAAAAAGGTAAAAATTGTTATGACGAAAAAAATGTATTTATAAAGAGTGAGAGAGAGAGGAAGGAAGGAAAGGATTCGAATTGATGGTAATCAGCAAAAAAAAAAAAAAAAAAAACTAAATTTAAAGCTTATTAGATTTTCACTCACACGCACACAATTCAGTCTTTTTTGCGCCTAAAAATGTGAATTTGTCATGTGTATGTGTGAATGAGTGACGAATGAATAAATGTAAAAATAATGCCGAAATTGCCAAAAATGAAAAAAAATGACAATCGATCAATCAATCAATGTTTCGATGAAATAAAAATACATTTTTCCATTTTGTTACTGTATAATAATAATAATAATAGAAATAGATAATAGAAAATTTCTAATGTTGTAATGTTATGTTGTTTGTTTCTCTCTCATGTTTATATTGAATGGGATGAGATGAAATTGTGTGATTTTTTTTTGATTCGAAAATCCATTTTTTAACAATTACAAATGATAAAAGTGATGATATAATGGGTGGTAATGCGATGGTGAGAAGAAAAACAAAAATGATAATGAAATTTTTTATAATAATGAATTGTTGTGTTGCCTTTCTTGTTATTATTATTATTAGTTGTTGTTGTTGTTGTATAATTATAGAAGTAGTAATTATGATTGAGATTTTTTTCAGCATAAAAAGTGATAGATTTTCTTTCTGATCAGCTACACATCCTCATCACTGGGGCTTTTTTGATTTTCAGCAAATGTTGACATTGATCATCATGATCATTATCATTATTATAATCGATATTATTGAACATTCTTAATGGACCTCCGAACTTTCAGCTTTGGCTGCAATGTGATTATTAGTATCTTGAAGGGTCGAATGAGGTGTTGAATGTGATGGAGTCAACGAATTGGATAATGAAGCATTTGGCATTGGTTCCACTGTGGTTGAGTGGGGAACAATAGGACCAGTGTAATTATAAGAACTAGCGCCATTCATACCGTCGCCATAAGCACCGCCGGTGAAATATTCTTTGTTGACACAATTACGTAAATTATCTGGAATGCGGCCCACAATTGCTCTACGAATCTCTGAAGCAGCCATTTCACGAAGTTCAGTAGAGCTTGCATCACTATACCAGGCTGCATGTGGCGTACAGATCAGATTCGGTGCATCTTTTAATGGACCTAATTCAATTTCAATCAATAAATAAAAAGAGTTGGACAAATTTTAAATCCTCACTAACCATGATTAGCATAAGGTTCGTTTTCATGTACATCAAGAGCAGCAGCCCGAATTCTGCCATCTTTGAGAGCGGCAGCTAAGGCGTTTTCGTCAACCAGACCACCACGAGCAGTGTTGCAAAGAAAAGCTCCTAAACAGATTGGTTGATAATTTTAATATAATACAACTACTATATATGTCAATAATGACAAAACATACCGGGTCGCATTTGTTTGATTGTGAATTCATTAATTAGATGATGATTGTGTTCGTTGAGGCTACAATGCAATGATACACAATCACTTTGAAATAAAAGGTCTTGCAAGGTGTAAACACGATTCAAACCCAATGATTTGTCAATACCATCCGGTAGATAAGGATCATAGAATATAACGTTAAAGCCGAATGCTTTAGCTCGCAACGCCACTGCAGTTCCAACACGACCTAATCAATCAATCAATAATTGAAATATATCATCATCAATACAAAAAAACACGACATACCTAAACCGACGATTCCAAGAGTATCGCCACGAATTCGAGCACATCCACTAGCAGCTTCTCGAACTTGTTCTGGACCTTGAAATTTTTTTCCATCACGTACCATATTCGCCAGCCAATACGTGCGACGATATAGATTAAGAATTAGGCACATGGTAGAATCGGCAACTTCTTCAACACCAAAACCAGGTACATTGCAAACGGCAATACCAAGTTCGCCGGCAGCTTTGATATCAACATTATCGATGCCCGAACCGATACGTACAATTATTCTGAGTGCTTTGAATTTTTCCAAATCTTCCTTGGTCAAATTGATGGTATGCCACATCAAGGCTCCAACCGCTTCATTTAAAACTTTTTCGTGGATTTCCTGAGTGGATTGAGCATCGCAAAATGCCACTGTGGCAACATCTTTCAATATGGGCATCTCAACCGAACAATCTCGTCCATCGAGAAGTGCAACCAAAGGTCGTGAATGTAATGGACCATTTGAAATATTTGGTCCACGAACTATTTAATGGAATGGGGAAGAAATAACAAATTGATTTTAATGACAATTATTCATCATCATGTGTCAACTTACTACAATCTATTCTAGCTCGTTTAAGAGTTTTTTTCTTGTCCATGCTGCCTTGTAGAATCGTTGGCTAACTGGCTGTTGTTGATGATGATGATGATGATGGAAAAATCAGATTTTTTTTTTGGTCAAATCCGATGACAAACGTCGTACCACAAACACACGGCTATTTTAAATTAATAGTCAAGTACAAATGAAAAAAAACACACGTGTCATTAGATTCTAATGAAAAATGTGGTGTGTGTAGAATAAACAAATGCGTGATAATGAAAAAAATCGATGATGAAACAATGCAACCAATTGATCAATGATGATGATTACTCGATCTATAGTCGTAAATATATTACATACCGGCTATCGAACTAACCTATTTGAATACACACACACACAAACACAATGATTGATTTTGTTGTTGATGATGATGACGATGTGCAACTATACTAATACTAATAATAATGTGCTTACACAAAAGTAAGGATTGTTGTTGTTTTGTACCAATAATAACAATATATAAATTGGATTATGAGATGAAATGATGGTAATGAATGAAACAACGAAATGAATAGAGTAGTGGTTACGTTTTTTTTACGAGATTCTTTTCTTTCTAATCTCGGTTAATGATAACAATTTTGTTTCAATCAATGTTTGAATCGATGATGAAAAACATTATTGTTGTTGATGATGATGATGATCAGTGGTTTGTTGAATTTGGTGACATGTAATCAACGACAACTAATTATTGCGATCATTAAGCGATCGAAGACAAAATCTTTTTCTATCTCTCTCTCACACACACACTTTTTCTTCTCTCGATCGCTAAAAGCTTGGTTTTTCAGAGAATTTCTAGCACAAAAGAAAAAAAATGGAGAGCAGCAGCAGCAGCAGCAGCAGTGGTAAGTGAAAAACAAAAAAGCCACAAAATAAAACCATCAGTGAATGAGTGAAATACAATGCAACAAACAAAAAACGAGCAAATCGATTGGTCGCAGTAGTAGCATTAATTATTGTTAGTATAACAACATATTTTACCGGTGGCTCTAATTTGCGGCTAAGATAGATTCATTCCGTCATTTATGAATAAATCAAATAGGGAGTGGTATTGTTCAACAAAACACGGGAAAAATAATATGCCGCGGAACCTAGGTTCCAATAGGATTATCGTTAACCGGATTAGTAAAATGAAAAATCAATCAATTGATTTCATATTTTTCGATAACATCATGAATCGAGAAAGAGAATTTCACCTTTTATGACATTTTTATAATCTGTAACAAGTAATTATTTCATGAAAATTAGGTCGTTAAGCGAGTAAGCACTGTAAATATGACGTTCACCACATTTTCGTCATTACGCGCGAATAGTGCTTATTTGTGATGGTGACATCACACACACACACACACAGAGCACGTGTATCGAGCAAAAAGAAATTGTGGATACAATGTCTTGTTGTGACAAACCAGATTAAAAAGATATATAACAATTCTTATAAAAGAATCAAATAACACATTGATAGAAAACACTTACGTTTATGAAGAAGATTTGGCATTCGATATCAAAATGTTGTTGTGATAATTTTTCAATTAGAAATTGATGAATGAAAAAAAAAATCAAAGTTCAAGGGTATTTTCTATTCTAATCGATGATAATGAATGAATTTTGAATCAGGAAAAAAAATGAATTTCAGTATAAAACAGCAACAGACATTGGAATATTGTTGTTGTTGTTCACACACATGTATTGTCTATGTCTGTGGTGGTGATGATGGATGCTCACCAATCGAATTCACCATTCCACCACTCATCATTGAATAATTGAAAAGCCGAATGTAAATGTGTGTTACACACTCAGACAGAAACATAAACACAACACACAACATATGCACTGCAGTGCTAAACTGTTGAACATTCGTGTAAACACACTGGCCATATTTTTTTTTTTACTTGCCCATGCCATTCACGCTGTCATCCACACAACATACACACACACACAGTATGAATTGTTTTCCACTCACGTCTTGCTTAATAATCATAAAAATTGTTGCTGTAGTTGTATCTTAGGCCCAATGAAAATGTCTCAAATATTTTCACACGCACACACATACACACACTATATCGTTTTGTTTTTTTTTTTGTTCATGAAACAAAAGACAGATTGATTGATTGATAACTGGATGGATTAATGAATAAAATTGGCGCCATTTCTCAGATAGTTTTCAAATGTCAACAAATTTATTCATCCAAGAATAATTGATGATGAATGCCACCATCAACAGCATATATTGATTTCCTTGCTTGCGCTCTGTTGTTGTTGTTCATTGCCATATCCCGGAAATAGACATAGACAACAACAACAAAAATAATTTGTAAACATATCATACCAGACAGACAGACAGACAGACATATATAGAAGCTATACAAACTAATAGGTTACGAAACGCTTCTTTTCGGTGCAATGTTTGCTGCTGCTGTTGTTGTTGTTGCTACAAACATTATCAATTTGGTTTATCAAAAAAAAAAATCGATACTTTTCTATTTTGTTTTGATTAGTGTCGCCATCTAATGTGACACATGGTCATTATTTCTTGAATTATGAATCACATTCAAAAAATGGATGGATTGAATAATTATTAAAGCAGCAGCAGCAGTATTATTGATGAAGGTTATTTCACATTCATTTGCCAATCATCATCATCTCATGCATCAATCGAATTGATGATAGGCCAAAGCAAAAAAAAAAGAAAAATTTTTTTGCTTGATCCGATCAACAAGTGTCCCTGCCATCATGATGATGGATAAAAACAAGACAAAAATGCCGCCTTCTAACCTCGTCGCGCCATTTTTCTTCCTCTCTCTTTTTCTGCACACTGCATGACTTGACTTGTTCAGCAAGTTTTTTTTTGTTTCGATCAAATCAAATATCTTTTTTTTGGATCCTGACAACTGATTATTCAGACCTTGGGGCAGAAATTGTTCATTACATTTCATTTCCCATCATGTGAGCAAAATAAAGCGAAAATAGTCAACAAAAGAAAAAAGAAAAAATTTATAAATAGTCGATTCCAATTGGATTGAAAAACAAAAATTCGAATCAAATTAAATTGTGAAATCAAATTCATCATCGAAAAAACTTTAGACTTGAAATTTGATATACGCCCTCAACCTCAGAAATTCAAAATAGTTTCACATCATAAAATTCACGTGAATGTGACTATTATGGCCATAGGAAATGAAAGCACAAAACAGACACAAACAGACACAAACGGTCGATGATAATGACGATAATGATTGTGAATTTGTTTGTTGATTATACTGTGTGTCTGTGTGTGTGTGTGTGCATACGTGGTATGTACATTAATGCATGCATGTATTAATAGATGGAGAGTTATATATATTTGCTATATATGAAGTAACAACATTTTTACACTAAAGGTTGAGTGAGAAGAGAGAAAGAGCAATCGACGATGAGCTTATAAAAAAAATGAACAAACAAACACACAGACACACAAACTAACGACGCCATTTTCTTTCAGGAATCCCTACCAAATGCATCGAATAAATTCATCAAATAAATTTACCATTTATAAATTTTTGTATTCAAATTTTTCTCCTGGATCACTATTACCAAAATGGCTCGAAACTTAGCCTAAATCGTACATTCTACGACAACGATGGAACCATCAACGATTCCAACACCATCGCAACAAAGTCAAAAACGGCTACGGCAACAAAACCAATCGTTCATCTTATTATTCATGAATTTAACCTGATTTTTAAACCATAAATCCAGTGCCCAAATTTCAAGGGTCTAAACACCACAAAAAACAAAAATTCGTTTCATCATGGCGTATGTATCACCATCATCATGATTAAATTTATTTATTAAATTTTAAATTTTACAAAATGTTTCAATTTACAGGTCTCTAATAATAATCAGTTCTTCTTACTACCTTTCAACTATAATCATACCATCATCATCATTATTATTATCACAACAATCAACTAGACAACAACAGTTATCATTATTTGAAATATTATCTCGTAATAATAATCAATATTTATTCGAAAAACATCAAAAACAAATAGCCGATATCGAAAATGGAGTTCAATTATCATCAGCAGCAGCAATTCGATCATTTTGCAGCCAGCAGCAGCTATGGCTGTTATGCTGAGTATGGTGAATATTCATATCATCATCATCATCAACCAGCTCATCAACCACCAGCAGCAGCAGCAGAAATACAGCCAATTCAATTTGTTTGTCATGAAAACAATTTACAATTCAAACAATCATTAAGTAACGAATATGAAACCTATCAAAGTATACCATCATTATCACCACAATCACAATCATTGAGCTATACCGATAGTTATTATTATCCATCATCAGCGGAACATTCACCATATAATGAATCGGAAGAATCAAACAGTCCATTTGGCCAAATCGATAATCTTGATTCAATATTGAATGAAATTGCGAATGCAGAAAATATCGATGACATTCTTTTGGCTAAAAATGAAGATGACCTTTATAACCTGTTAGAAACTAGTGAACACGAATGTGATTCACAAATCATTAGCGTGAATTCGGAAACATCACCCAAACGAAAACTATCCATAGATTCTAGTGGTTATTCTTCATTCGAATATGATTCGGAAACATTATCACCATCAATTACCACCATCACCACCGCTACTACTGCAACATCTACAGAAACAAAAGAAAAGAAACGAAGAAATCGTCGTTGTAAACATACGAAAGAAGAACGGGCGTTACGTAAAAAAGATCAAAATAAAAAAGCAGCAATAAAATATCGTGAAAAGAAAAAAGTAGAAACCGAAACAATCGAACAGATTGTTGAACAACTAGAACACAAACGAGATGGATTGAGCATACAATTCCGGAAAATTGAAACCGAATTCAACGTTATATTACCGTTGGCCAAAGCGGCATTCCAGATGGATCCAATTCGTGCACCAAAATTACAGCAACTGCTCGCAAGGTTACAACAAAATGGTTTCACAATTAATTAATTGGTTAAATTTATTTCATTTCAAACATATTGAAAAGAGGCTTATAAATTTGTTTTTCTCCATTCAAAATTAATAAAAAAAAATCATTAAGCATTAAAAAAAATTATTATCTTCTCTGTTGTTTGTGTGTTGATTATTGAAACTGAAAAATCTGAATGGAAATTATTCCATACATTAATGATTTAAACTTTTTCAGCATCTAAACCATGTTTGAAAAAATTCATAACAGCTTTCTCGTTGCCATCATCACCTTCACGAAACTCGAGAACGCCAACGATACCATCCGGATTGGAGCTATTGCCCAAATAGAATTGTGCATCATTTACTTTGGGCAATATTTTCTTCACAGCTTCAGTGAATTTAGTTTTAGCTTCAGCAATCTGTTCATCACTCCATTCTAAATTTTTCCATTTTTCTTGCAATGTTTTTGTATAGGTTTTCAAATAATTTTTGAAATCAGCTTTTGAAAATGACGCCTCCACTAAACGTTGATTGAGAACCAAATCATAACCAGATTCAGTTATTTCATCGGTACCTTCATCGGCTTCTTCAGCTGATGGATTGAAACCTTCGATAGCAATGTCGCCTTGTTTTCGCATAACAAACTATTTTTGAAAAAAAAAACAAACAAACAAACGATATTTTCATCAATTATCAATTTACAAAACCTAAACCATAATGATACTCACTTGACATTCAACTTCCCAGATACAATCATCGACCAGCTTGACTTTTGATGAATCGGTAAACATTTCATCGCCTAAAAAACAAACAATACACATCATCAACACAGAAATTCATTAAATTAAATTAAATCATACATACCGGTGATTAAATCCTTGTAAATGATCATTTTATAATTTATAAATTAAAAAAACGAATATAAAACGAGAAATAAAATAATGTGATGTGATGAGAATTTTGCCTGCCGAGTATGCAATACCAAATATATCGCGAATGCGGCATTGAACTTGTTGTTTTTAAAGGAAAAGGAAAACCAATGTGTGTGTTGAGCATATGCTTGAGCATAGAAGAAGCAGCACATTGATTTGAATCACAATTGCTAGCAGCATAGTGAATGAGTGAGTGATTTAAAAATTAAAAAATTTCAACAAAAACATTAAATTCATCATCAATCTTGATTAATCGATCAAAAATTTGAAATTTGAATCTGAATAATCGATAAATTTTATCTCTTTTTTCTTGTATATTCATGATTAAATTAAATGTCTGGATTCATTAAATCAGATTCAGGTACACACATGGATGTAACAAATTCTTTGAAGGGAATCACCACAAGGTAATCCATGCGGTGCTTTTTAAAATGCTTTTTATTTTGGATTCTAAATTTTCAAATTTAATTAATCTAAGCAACTAAAAAAAATGGCTATTAAAAAATTGGATAATCGTTTGCGAATATTGATTGAAAATGGAATCATTTTGGGACATCGAACAATGTTTGTGATTATTGGACCAAAAGCCCGTGATCAGGTGGTCATTCTTCATCAAATGTTATCGAAATCTCAAGTCAAAGCTCGGCCATCAGTGCTGTGGTGTTACAAAAAAGAATTGGGATTCTCTTCGTTAGTAGCCACGAATTTTTTTTTGTTCTAACCAATTAATAATTTGTTAATTTTAACAGACATCGAAAAAAGCGAATGCGATTATTACAGAAAAAAATGAAATCCGGAGTGGAATTGGACAATCTGGAAGATATGTTCGAAACATTCATAGCTCAAACTGATATTCGTTATTGTTATTATAAAGAGACACATAAAATCTTGGGCAATACGTATGGAATGTTGATATTACAAGATTTCGAAGCCATTACCCCGAATATATTGGCTCGAACCATTGAAACGGTGGAAGGTGGTGGAATCGTATGTGTTCTATTGAATCAAATCACTTCTCTTCGACAATTATACACAATGACCATGGATGTTCATACTAGATATCGAACTGAAGCTCATCAGGATGTAGTGGCCCGATTCAATGAACGATTCATATTGTCATTATCGTCATGTAAAAAATGTGTTATTGTCGATGATAAACTTGATATTGTTCCCATTTCTTCTAATCTAAGTGAAATTGTTGCTATACCTCGAAATGATTCAACCGAACTTTCCGCGGAACAAATCCAATTAAAAGAATTGAAAGAATCTTTAAAAGAAACTCAACCAATTGGTTCCATCGTCAATCTATGTAGAACTTTGGATCAAGCACAAGCAGTATTGAAATTTATTGATGTCATTTCGGAAAAGACACTTTCATCTACTGTTTCTTTGACTGCTAGTCGTGGTCGTGGTAAATCAGCTGCACTTGGCCTATCGATCGCTGCTGCAGTTGCATTCAATTATTCTAATATTTATGTCACTTCTCCATCACCGGAAAATCTAAAAACATTATTCGAATTCATTCTAAAAGGATTCGATGCCATTTCATTGAAAGAACATCTCGATTATGACATCATTCAGTCGACAAACGAAGAATTCAACAAAGCAATCGTCCGTGTCAATATCTACCGAGAACATCGTCAATGTATTCAATATATACATCCTGCTGATGCGGTGAAAGCAAATTTTCTTGCACAATCGGCCGAATTGCTAGTCATCGATGAAGCTGCCGCAATACCTTTACCGATCGTTAAATCATTGATTGGACCATATTTAATGTTCATGTCATCCACCATCAATGGATATGAAGGCACTGGTCGTTCTTTGTCATTGAAATTACTTCAACAACTTCGACAACAAAGTCGTCGATCAGACAAGCAACCGAAAAATAATCATGATGATAACATTAGTGGTCACGGTAGAGTTTTACATGAACTAACTCTTAATGAATCGATCCGATACAAAAATGGTGATGATGTTGAACAATGGTTATATCAACTTCTTTGCCTGGATGCTGCCACCGCTGGCTCTAATGAAGTTTCAGAAGATCTGAAAATTGGTAGCGGTGGTTGTCCATTGCCAGCTGATTGTCAACTGTATTACATCAATCGTGATATACTTTTCAGCTATCATAAAACATCGGAAAATTTTCTTCAAAGAATCATGGCCTTGTGTGTATCGTCACATTATAAAAATTCTCCGAATGATCTACAAATGATGTCCGATGCACCTGCCCATCATCTTTTCTGTTTATTGCCTCCAGTAACATCGAAACATTTGAAAAAATCAAAAATTCCCGATATTCTTTGTTTCATTCAAGTTTGTTTGGAAGGCGAAATCTGTAAAGATTCCATTATGGCAAGTTTGTCTCGCGGACAACGAGCCAGTGGTGATCTTATACCATGGACGATTTCACAACAATTTCAAGATTCACATTTCGCCTCATTATCAGGTGTTCGAATTGTTCGTATAGCAACTAATCCAAATTATCAGAAAATGGGCTACGGCACACGAGCTTTACAATTACTTGAAGATTATTATCGTGGTCTTTATAATGTTGATTTAATCGAATCGATCAATAATGTGGATGATGAAGCAAACGCAGAGGACAGAATAAAAACACTTGATGCACCACTACTTTTGGATCTGAAAGAACGTAAAGCAGAAAAATTAGATTATTTTGGTGTATCGTTTGGATTGACACAAGAATTACTTAAATTTTGGAAAAAATCTGGTTTTATTCCAGTCTATTTACGGCAAACAACAAACGAACTTACGGGCGAACATTCTTGTATTATGCTTAAACAATTGAACAACAATTCTATCACGACAAATAATTGGCTTCATGAATTCTGGATTGATTTTCGTAAAAGATTCATTTCGTTGCTTTCTTATGAATTTAGTAAATTTTCCACTACGTTTGCCTTGAACATTTTGCAAAACGTCTCATCATCCACCAATGATCAAACGACAACAACAACAACAGCAACAACATTGATCAAAGATGAATTGTTCATCCATATCAGTGTTTATGACTTGAAACGATTAGAATTGTATTCACAGAATTTAGTCGATTATCATTTGATCGTCGATCTATTGCCCACTGTTACGAAGCTTTATTTTCTCAATCGATTCGATCCATCGTTTCATCTATCTCATGTACAGAACGCTATTCTTTTAGGCATTGGATTACAACACAAAAATGTTGATACCATTTCTGAGGAATTCAAACTTCCTGCGACACAAATATTAGGCTTATTTAGTCGAAGTATCAAAAAAATGACAAATTATTTCCGTTCATTGTGTGAAAAAGAAATTGAAGAATCTTTACGCACGAAAAACTTGGGTCAAGCATCATCATTGAATCCACTTGAACAATCATTGGACGATGAGCTCATCGAAGTGGAAAAGCTCATCAATGACGATGAACGTAAACGAAAGAAGCAGCTTGCCAAAGATCTCAGTCAATTTGCTATCAAAGGTATTATAATTGGTAACATTTCAATATTTTTATTCTGTCTTGTTTGGTTCTTTAATAGGAAATGAAGATGATTGGGATCGTGCATTGAAAGATTCACAAAAGACATTGATATCGATCAAAAGTTTGGCAACCAAAACGACAACAAACATTAATACCATGGATCAACAGCAAACAACTCAACAGAACAAAAGATCAGGCAATAATAATAAAAAACACAAGAAATTTCGAAGGAATTAAATTTTGACATGACAAAGTGGACAATTCGTATAGGAGACAATCTCCTCTTGGATGGCGTGATGTCGACATCTTTTACATGTCCAATTTTTTCGTTGATCAATAATGGATTTACCAGTGGCAACACAAGCATGAAATTTTGTCTGACATTTTGGACACGTCGCACTATATTCCGGTATTGATTGTCCACAGAATTTACATGAAATATTTGTCGAAACATTATTACTACTACTATTTTCATCAGGAGAATTCTTGAGAAAAATTTGTACGGCCATTCGTTCATATTCAATTCTTTTCTTTTCCTCATTCGCCATTGTTGTAATAGTTGATGTTGTATTAACATTGAATAAATCATTTATACATGAATTCCACTTACATTGTTGTTCATTGTCTATTGATTCTAATTTGATGAATGCTTTCGAACAAATATCATAGCATTTGTTTGCGTATGCGGCCAAAGCAAGCAATGAATAAATCTGTTGAACAGTCAAATATTCTTCATAGTCCTGTAGATGCAATGCACAATTCATGGCTAATTGATATTTTCCACGATAAAGATTACGTTGTGTTAACAGATAGAAATGATAAGCTTCAGCACCTTTCCATGGATCTGTACTGATGATCGGTTGATGCTGTTGATCTGTGCCATTGGCAAATATATCATTCTGTGATAGTAGCTCATCCAGTGTCTCATGTTTGTTGTTTCTGCCAGAATTTTGATTATTCAATTTGTTTTCCTCATAAATAATGCCAATGAGAAGATGTAATTTTTTCAATAAACTTGCACCATCATTGTTATCCATTTTTTTGGTTTCATCAATCAATTTTATAATGATGGCCACAGCTTTATCAATCATGTTTGCATTTCTAAACACATGGGAAAAAAGTAAAACTCCAATTTGATTTAATCAAAATAAATCATACCTATAAACCTGGATCATTTCCATGTATTTATGATCCGTTTCCAAATGTTGAATATATTGTTCCAGAAGCATATCAACGTTTTTCGTTTTATATCGATTAGCCAATTCAGTGGCCATTTTCCATTCACTTAGCTTCACACAAGCATTGGTAGCCATTTCGAAATTATTGGCTCGAATATAGGCTCGAACTGAATCTTTACAGAATCCTAGGGATTCAAGAAACATTGCCATTTGAAGCAATATTTTCTCATCATTTACTTTATCCACTAATGTTACAAGAGCATCATATTTCTGTTCACTGATATAACATTCAGCCAATTGATCGTAGGCATTGATTTTCTCGTAATAACGAATGGCTTGTTGCCATTGATAATTGTCTTGATAATATTCACCTAGATTCATATAACATTCTTTCATTTCTTTGTCGTGATTTGCCAAATTGTTGTATTCTATTAAATAAAAATTCAAAAATTAAAACAAATCAATCAATAATCATTTCACTCACTTTCTAATAATGTTCTGACTCTTTCAAAATTTCCATTCATTTTATTCAGATAGACAGCTAAATCAGGTCGATCCAATTCTTGTAGATATAAGGATTCTGCTTGTTGTATGTGATTTTGATAGGCACAAACTTCAGCATTTTTCAAATTCAAATCTTTAATTCTATTTAAACGTTTCAAGAATTGTAATCCTTTATAATCACGATTTTTAATCATTGCCAGATATGCTGTTTCGATATCCAAATTTTTCAAACATTCATTGCTCACTATTGTCCATAATGATGGTAATTCCGGAATTTTTACAGCATAATTGATTGCATCGGTTATGGAATCTTTTTCATTAATAAGATTCTTAATTTCATTCACATAATGACTGGGAATATTCACAATGTAGTCATTTACGTCCAAATTATCCAAGTGATTATTAATGTCGACAATCAATTGATCCAATGCAATGGTCTGTATTGACAGTTGTTGAAATGAGCACAAATAGCCATCGAACAAAATTGGATCCAATATTTTCACGCCACCTTTATATAGATTGATGACAATAAATTTATTTTTCTCCAATAAAACAATCAAATCATTATTATCCGTCTCCCATTTGAAATCCCAGATATCCGTCAATTTAGCAACGGTGTTGCTTATTTCAATCCAATTTCCTTCGGTCCAAGTTTGTTCATTGTTGGCTTCAAAATCATATAGATAAAATCGTGAATTTCGATCAGTTAAGGCAAGTTTTGTTGAATTCTTGTTCAACGCCATACGACTAGGACTCGCGTCCAACTGGATCTTGTTAATGAAGCTGGCATTTGGCAATAGATATTGATTGATTATTCCCGATTCAAAACCAACAATAAAAAACTTTTCCGATACTGTCACACAGGAAATATTGTCATTATCGGTTACAACCACGACGAATGAAGTGGATGATGATTGCTGTTGTCGTCTGGATTTGACACCAACACTACCGCCTGCCATTAAATCGTTGTCATTGGCGATATTTTGTGTCAATTCTTGATACAAATTGTCACTATAAAATGCCAGACTTTTGAAGCTATTTGCATTATAAAGCTGTTTAAAAGGCCAAACGTAGAATGAATTATCCGATGCGACTATTACACGATTTGAATTCATACAACAGAATTTGATTTGCTGCAAATCGGTAAGATGATAATCAATCAATGTTCCAATCGAATTATACAAGTTCAAACAATAAACATCTTTATTGCTGCTGCTTTGATTGTTCTCCAGAGTGTTGTTTTTGTTGTTGTTGGATTGCAACTTATCCATCTTATCGACGACAACACAATAATGATGCCAGCAAGCCATCTGAATAAAATTATCGGCCGATCGTTCATTACGTTTATTTGTTTTCAATTCCCAAAACATCAACGATCTTTTTTTCTTTTGTTCGTCATCGAAATTGTTTCTCAGGAACGCTATTGAATTCGATAGAAAACACCAAGAGATTCGACATTTTAAATTGGCGAAATACATGAATGAATCGACAGCCAAAACCAATTTTCGACTATTTTTTTCCCATGAACAATCATAAACTTCATTTCCGGGAATTTTCGTCACAGTCAATAGTTGAGCTTGATCATTGTAAATTTTGATAAAATTCTTGTTACCCGTTGATCCAGTAACAGCAAACATATCGCCATTATAATTCCATTCAATCGATGTGATTCCCATTTCACAATAAATTAATTTTGCATTGTAATCTGATTCATTTCGCATCAATTGAATGACACCATTATCGAATGCAATGATCAATCGACGTGGATAATGATTCGAGGTGGTGCCATTCTTGAACCATTTAATGGCAATCAACTTTTCTGCTGCTTTGGCCACCACCGTATGATTCAATGACATCTTTTTCAAAAAATTACCTACATGATCAAATACATGAATCTCGACGTCTTTCGTGCCGATAAGAATAATTTTTCCATCTGGTGACCATTCCACTTTATTGAGGCTAATATTTTTCAATTCTTTTCCCCATAATCGGCTACCATCAACAGATCCGGTTATTATTGCACCATCTTTATAATATTGTGTAAATGAAATCAAATCTTACATCATGTCACTATTGACACACATTCACACATACCTTCATAAACGATGCATATTTTATTTCCATCATGTGTCCAAGCCATTCCGGTGACCAGAGATTTTTGTCGATTATTCACCATTTCTTCGTACCACATTCCTTTGTAGAACATCCATACAATAATCGTACCATTCGCGTCACTTGATGTAAGTTTTTGAAATTTTTCATTCCAACAGACACTTTCAACAGTTGCTTTATGGCTTTCTAGCGTTTGATTCACTGATAAATTTTTCGATAGATCATTTTTCGATGTTTGATGTTGATTGACATTTGATTCCAATTTAATCACTTTCAGCATACCGGCTTCACCACCACAAGCAATAAATTCATGTTCCCAACTCCAAGCAATACATCGTACTTGAGAACAATTTGGAATCGATATTTTCTTGTTTAGATGCAAAAACATGATGATAATTCATAAAATTGTATTTTCACATTGTTTCAACATTCGAACATTCAGTTTTTGTTTCCGTTTACGTTTCTATGGATACCGAAAAAACATTTAGTGCACACTGCTAGATGGCGTTGGCATGAAATTGTTATTGAGAACAAATCACATGTGTGATGTGTTTGTGTTTTGTCTAAACTTTGAATTTGATTCATTCCACATCATCATTGAATCAAACGAACAAATGGACATCAATTATACATTATACATAAATGGATTCATGTCGATATTGGCATATTTCGGCGTGAAAAATGTTATACCAAAAATGAGCTCAATGTTTATCGATGCTCATTTATTCGGCAATGATCTATGTAAAAAAGATCGAACGAAAAAAATGTCAGTGTCATTCTTGTGATGATAATAAAGAAATTTAACTTTTTTTTCCACTGATTGATTGATTTAGACCCGAATCACAAGGTGTGATTGCTGGATGCATCTATCTAATTATTCTATTCTGTTTTATACCAATACAATTCAGTCAATATAAATCAAATCATCATCATTTCAATCATGATCTCTTCACTATTAACAATCATCATCATTTGGTAAGCATTGATTGATTGATTGATTCATTGTCATGATATAACCAATGGCTTGTTCAAATAGTTTGTTCAATTTTTAGCCGGACTTTTGTCAATCTGTTGTATGCTTTTTCTTGGATTCGCCGATGATGTTTTGAATCTTAGGTGGCGTGTCAAATTATTGCTGCCCACGTTGGCTAGTCTGCCATTATTATTGGTTTATGCATTAACCTATGATAATACAACGATTATTGTTCCGAAACCATTTCGTTCATTACTAGGATTCAGTCTAGATCTCAACCTGTTGTACTATGTCTATCTTTCTTTGTTGGCTGTATTCTGTACGAATGCGATCAATATATTGGCCGGTATTAATGGTCTTGAAGTTGGACAAAGTCTATTGATTTGTCTTTCAATCATCAGTTACAATCTTGTGGAATTGTTGCGTTCATCGAATCATTACCATTCACATGTTTTTTCTTTGAACATGATGTTACCATTTTTGGCCGTTACCGGTGCTCTTTTACATTACAATTGGTATCCAGCCCGAATATTCGTTGGTGATACATTCTGTTATTTTGCTGGAATGACATTTGCCGTTGTTGGCATTTTGGGACATTTCAGTAAAACAATGTTGCTGTTTTTTCTGCCACAAATATTTAATTTTCTATATTCATGTCCACAATTGTTTCATTTTCTACCATGTCCACGACATCGATTACCCAAGTAAGTGCATTTGATAATAATAACAACAACAACAACAACATTGGTTGATTGATCATCAATTTATCGTTGCAGATACAATCCACGAACCGATCTAATGGAACCAAGTACATTTACTGTGCCCCAAAGAAGCCAAATGAGTGCAAGTGCTAATTTAATGTTGAAAATATTAACATTTCTAAGGCTAATTGAATATCGTGAAATTGGAACAAAATCCACAACAACGACGACCACCTATGAATGTTCTAATTTAACATTGATCAATCTAATGTTGGTATTTTTTGGACCAATGCGAGAATCACAGTTAACCCGATTACTATTAATTATCCAATTTATTTGCACTCTAATTGCATTCTTTATTCGTTATGGATTGAGTGAAATATTCTATTGAATCTATTTTTGTTTTGTTTTGTTTTTTGCTAAATAATAAACAAATGTGTGTATCATTATGAAAGACAGACAAAACAAAATGATTTATGTTGGAATTGTGTGTGTGGGTTTTTTTCGAAAGAAAAAAAAATTTACTGGAACAGAAATCAGACATTTATTATTTGCAAAAATGGAAAAAAAAACAAAATCTAAATATGCAGAGCATGGAGAATATTTTTGTTTTGTTTATAAAACACCTTGATATATTAAAAAAAAGCAGATAGAGAAAGAAAAAGGCAGGCTTTGGCCAAAACACAATTCTATTCTAATTGACAATTGATAAATTGTCTTTTGTAATGATATGTTAACAGAGTATATATAGATGATGATGATGATTCTGTGTGATTGTGGTTGTTGTTAACAATAACATAGAATGTGTGAGAATATAGTGGGCAACCATCCTATATATGTGAATAGCAGAGTGCCGGTCGTGATTCCAGGTTGATTCCAGTAGCTTATTTTTTTTCTCTTTATCTTTCCTTCGTTATCATCTTGTGAAAAACAAATTTATTACAATAAATGATCAAAGATTTTTTTTTCTAGAGAAACACTGCTTATCCGCCAAAAAAAAACATTTTGTTTGATACACATTTGTCGTTCACAATCAAGTTGAGGATAAGTTGAAATTTTCTTAATCATGAGTAATGTTTCGCTATAGTAGTATACTATGGAGTGTAACCGTGAGATATCGAAGAGCAATATTTTTTTTCAAAGCCGCTGTTCTCATACACACTCAACTAACCGAAAAAAAAAATTTCAACATTGGAAAAAAAAGAAGGAAGCTAAATAGATAATTTGAACGGAATAATGCATTTGCTAATGTCACGATTGTTGTACGATATATATTGACGCCAGCAACAGCAAAAATAAAATAAAATAAAATAAAAATAATTCGGTCAACCAATTTAATACAAAATGACAATAGATAGCTAGATAGTTTGTTTGTGTGTTTGATATAATAAAATAAGAATCTTAAAGCATAAAATAAAGCAGCCATCATCGTATAAACACATACATCACTGGTATATCCGGTAGCCCTAAAGGCAAGTAACAATTTAACGAAACTCAGCAGCAGGACACAACATTAATGCTTCAATAGAATCAAGAGAGAGAGAGAAAGAGGATGGCATTGAGGAGATTATATTTGCTTTTTTTATTTTCTCTCTGTTGATTTTTTTTCTGGTGTTTCCTGTCATTGCTCAACAAACAAAATGAATGAACCAGTGAATCGATCCATATTTGGCAAATGTGCCACATAAAAAAAAGTCTTTCATCAACAACAAAAACAACAACAAATAATGATCACATTGCACATCCACACACAGTGAACAAGATGAAAATCGTTCAGCGTGTTTGATTCACTGGAAAAACATTGGAATTTACTGTGTTGATGCTCATTTTAATAATAAAAAAACAAAAAATAAATAAATTTTTGCCCTCGACTAAAGTCATCATCAGTGAGGATGGGTGGATGGAAGAAAATAAAAGATTTTTTTTTCTTTGTTTGAATTGAATTGAAAATGCAGTCATCTGTAATATGACCATCATCATTATTGTGAATGCGTGAGATCAACATAATAATGATGATGATGATGATGCAAACAAAAGTCATTAGAAATGCAAAAAAAAGAGAACAATTCTGAATTCTCTGTTCTTTTGAAATTTTCAGAATTAATTCTTATGATGATTAAAGCACAGTTTGTGTGTGTATTGAAATGGAAAATCTTCAAAAAAAAAAAAAAAAAAAATTCATATTCATGAAATAATCACCAGAAAAATTAATAACCAAACCAGATTTATTGGTTGTTCACAATTTTTTTTCTTTTGGCTACAACTTTATTATTCATTCAATCAAAAAAAAGGTAATGTTCCCTTCATCATCGGCAAAATGAAATGAGCCATTTTATTTGTGCTCATCATTTGAATTGATGTGAATTTTTCTTTTCCAAGAAAAAAAAACGAACATAATGGCTTCCAGATACCCAAGTGGATGCACACACAAAAAAAAATGGAGAATAACATTATCATCACAATATCTAATCAAACAAATCAAATTCACAAAAGCACAATTTGAATGAGAGAGAGAGCATCATTAAAAAAATTGATTTTTTCGTTTTTTTTTCGAAAAATTTCAATTGTGAGTGCGTGTATCGGAAAGGCAAGTTTTCAGGCAATGAATTTACAATAATAATAATTGAGCATTGTGTATTGTTAACCCTGGAAAAACAATACGATTATTTTCTTATTTATTATCTTTATAACACAAGTCACGGGATTGATTTTGACTTTGAAATTTCAACACTTTTTTGTTCAATCATATGACAAATTTATTGAGCCATCCAATTCAATTTAATTCATGAATTTATATTTTATCGATTAATTAATCGATTGGCTGTTTGCAATCCAGATTAATAATCGACGAATCGAAAGTGAAATAAAAATAAGTGATTCAATTGAGATCGATTTTGTTTGCTTTTTATCCATTCTTTTCAACATATATATAATTATAATTGACTGTCATTTGTTGGTGGTGGCGGTGTAATATGCGCACATGGAATACACATCATCACCAACAATTATGTCATCGATCATGAAATTATCATTTAGAGAAGGAGAGAAAAAAAAGAGAGAAATAAGACTGTTATCCCTATAATAAGGACATATCGTTTTGCACTAAAATAACAATAATAATAACACTGTGTATGTGTGCGTGTATCGCAAACATTTTACATTTACTGTCAGAAAAAATCTATTGACAAAATGATTGTTGTTTGAAATTTAGAAAATCTCTTTTCTTTTGCCATTTCATATTCATTCACATAAGAAGCTTCTAATTTTTGACATAATTCTCTGTGTTTTTGATATGGCTAATATAACATTACTACATACGTAAGTGGATTGAGAGAAAAATTGAACAAAAAAAATCAAACCGTCATAACCATGGTTCTTTCTTTTTTTCCAATTTTTTTTTCACTTTATTTTTTATTATCAAAATCATAACAGGCAAATATGATGTGTTTGTAAAGAGAGTGAGAAAGAGAGAGCTCATTGAAAATCAATGATTGGACCATATACCACACACACACACACACTACATTGTTTGTGAGAATGGAATTTCATTTCCAATTCCAAATGGAACACAATAGAATCGGTTATTTGTGCGTCTATATATATATATCTATCTAAAGAGAAAAAATAAATCTGATTTCTTCTTCTTTTTTCGCTATGTATGTGGAATAATCTAAAATAATCAAAGAATGGTTGCATGATATACAAATGATATGTTCTTTCTTTCGTTGTTGTTTTATTGTTTATTGCCATTGCATTGATGCACAACTACTTAAAGTATTAAAATCGCAATAGTGTTTTATCAGTATGGAGCCATAGAATCATTATTCTATTTTGTTTTGTTTTTTGTTTTGTTTTCACTATTACCCTAATTGGTTTATAGTGGTGTATGGAGTACATATGGGATAGTAGAATGCATGTAATGGATCCACGATCAATATTGATCAATCTGTTTGTGTAATGTTGCTGTTTATTTTATTATTTATTTGGTTGGTTGTGTTTATGTTTAAAAAAAATTAATTTCACATTATAATTCCATGTGAAAACAGCGAAAAAAAGCGGCAAGCAGATTTTTTTTTCTAACAATTTTTCACTCAATATTTTCGATAACAACAACAACAACAAAAAACAAAAAACAAACAATCGATCAACCAACCAACCAACTAACTAACTAACTATTGCATTTCATCGGACAAAGATGAATGAATGCCCGTGAGTTTCGGGAATCATTTGGTGTGATGATGAGGAAAAAAATATGAATGAATCAATGAATGAAATGATAGAATTCGGGAAATTGGAAGCAATTTTTTTCTGTTCACTCTTTCATCGAGTAATTGTTTTGCATCACTTTTTTTGTTGCCTTGTGTGTGTGTGTATGGCTCCTATAAATAAGAATGATATTGAATGATACTCTCTGGTATTCCTTGTGTGTGTGTGTGTCAAACAAGGAATGTCAAACAATTATTTTTGCAAACAAGCCAAAAACTGAACCAACAGAGAGAAAGTTTTGTTGCAAACTTTTTTCTTTGCTTGAATTTCCTACTACATTTTCAGCAGTAGAATAAAGTAAACTAGAATCTCGTAGACATATTGATGACAATGATTATCACAAGTTATGAAATGGTGAGACCAATATTGTGTATCCACGATGATAGAATTATAAACCAGACAGAACAATTAAATGTTGAATGGATGCACATTGATGAAGAAGCCAAAAAAAAAAAAATAATTTTCATTTTCGGATCAAATCACTTGGGAATCAACGGAATGAATTGTCAATTTAAGCCAATAAAAAAAAATTATCATTAATTCACAATGAAAGGAAAAAAATTCTTAATAAATTCCAATCGGATCGATACCTGTCGTCTGGCGTAGCATAGATCTAAATGTTTCAATTAAGGCAGTGAAGCTGCCATTTTAGGATAACTTTTGTTTTGAATCAGAATTCTGTTTTTGACATTAAGTGCGACTTATCATCATCATCGTTGTTGTTGTTGTTGATGTTTTTTTTTTTGGTGAAAAAAAAGAAACTTGTTCAAATGAGATGCATAGTGGAAAAACGAAAACGATTTCTATTTTTATAAAGCCTCTCACTAACGCTAAATGTAGCAAGAAGTCGATGGCAATCAAAAAAAAAATATTACAACAACAACAACAAGGAGACAAGCACACAAATACAATCTATATCATTACATAACTCATAATAAACAATTTTGATTCAATGAAAAGAAATCATCGTTTTTCTTTTTTTTTTTTTTTTGTCATAATTTTTTTTTTTGCTTTTTTTATGTCCTGAAACTATGTGATCTCATTGAATGTGTACATTCTGGCATTAGTGCAAATATAAAAATCTGTTCAAACTCTGTAACAAACAAACAAACAACGTTGGAAATAAAAAAACAGTGAATGGTTATATATTTTTTTTTTTGGGCTGGCAAAAGGTCCCAGTTTTCAACTAAAGAAAGAGAAGCAAAACAGTAGTAGTCAATGTCAATAGACAATGGGCCATTAGCTGTATTTCAAACACACTTACACATAGCGACAGAGAATGGTTAGTGCTTCTAGTGGTTGATGGTTCATAATATATAATCCTGAAATCGGTTGGTTAGTTGATAGATGCTATAGTCATTTTTATAGCCAGACCTAGTTGTGTGAATTGATGAAACACACAACAAATACAAAAAGGAGGTATGCTTCATTCATTCCATTGCAAACGACAACGAAACTCTGCTCTTGAATTCGCAAGTTGGCGGCTTTAGTTTAATTTTGAAAAAAAAAAAAAAAATTTTTCGTCACACAACAACATTTTGGCTTTGATAAAATGAAATGACTATTGAGGAAAATTAAGTTGTTGTTTGTCATTTAAGAACTAAAGTGACAATTAATGTTCAACCAAAAAGCAAACGTTTCCTACATACATCATTATATTGCCATCATTCTCCAATCATCATCATCATCATCATTAGATCATGTGTGTACGTGATATGACAGTCGGTGGTTTATTAGATAAAAATGATCCATAATTGAATTTGTTGATTTTTCAATACTTTCTTCGCTTGTTTGTTTGTTTGTTAATTTAATTTGTGTTTTGTGAAAATTTGGCCTAGAAAATACCAATTAAACAATCGTGACGACGGTGGTGGTTTGAAAAAAAATTCGGTGCATCATGATCTATAATCAATAATCAATAATTGATTGATAATTTAAATTTTTAAATGAAATCCTCGTCATCACCACTACAACCAATATCCATCCATGATTCATCATTGATGATTGATTGTCACATATCACCACCACAATGTGATGGAGAACAACAACAACAACAAAAGTCGTCAAAAGCCATTAGTTTTGGATTGAAGCAAACATTGATCAAAATGATGATCATGTTACCGTCATCATCATCATCAGCGGCAGCAGCAATGTTTTATGGCCATTTATTGACAGGCTTATTATTGGTGGTTATTGTTGGATATCAATCCATATTAGTCAACTGTGAACATCGTGCCGGAAGTTATCGTAGAAATCAACAACAACAGGCATTATATCGTGCACCATGTTCCCAGACAACTGATTGTCCATTTGATAATACACAATGTAATTTAGTGAGCAAAAAATGTCAATGCAAACCGAATTTCGTCCAGGTAGATAGTTTTGTGAATCGTTCGTACATTACACATTTGGCAATGACATGTCTACATGTAGCACAATTGGATGAACGTTGTATAAGTGATATACAGTGTATTGTAGATTATAGTGAATGTCAATTAACTGTCGAAAATGTTGCTGGTGGCATCAATCGAACCATTCATATGTGTAAATGTATTTCGGGCCATGAGCTTAAACATGATCAAGCCACAGTGATAATTGATGGACAACCACATCGTGTGCGGCCAATATGCGATCCAGATAATGATCGTACGAATTCTTCATCTTGGCTTATAACGGTCGTATTGATCAGCATATTGGTACTGGTCATTCTAATTGGAACATTTGTTTTGATTGTACGTTACCAGCGTCTACGACAACCATACAATCAACAAACCATAACTAGTTTGACATCGCAAGGAGGAATCAATTCATCACATCAAATGGGTCAACATCATCCATTAGGTTCATCATCACCACCACCAATGGGTTCAGCTGAAGCTGAATTTCAAAATGATTTCATCCAAGTATTTCCGATGCATCATTTAGAACCGATGCCAGATAAAAATGTTCATGCATATATTATCAAATAGTGAGCAAACTAACAAAAAATAAAAATAAAAAAATACCCGGGATCATTATTTGCATCGTGAATCAACCAAACAACAGTAAAAACAACAGAATAACGCACAAAGTAATTTGAAAATATATTCATTGCATTTTAAAAATTGAAGCTCTAAACCGATCATTGTCTCTGCAGCCACTGTCATACACACAATCATTAAAACAGTGAGCCAACAACAAGAAAAAAAAAGGATACCTACTATCATTGTCCCGGGATCTATTTTAATTGAACGTTTTAAATAAATAAAAAAAAATTCGAAACTGGAACACCACTATCAAGTGAATTAAATGATGGTTATATGCAATGGATATGTGCGTGTGTGTGTGTGTGTGCGATGTGGTGCTTCTTATTAGTCGACTGAAATTGAGCGACTGAAACAAAAGCAGCACAACAAAATTAAATTTATTCAAACCTGGATCTAAATCGCTTTCTACACATTAAAATAAATAAAAAAAAATTGTAAAAATGGGATAAACACACACACACACACACACGAATACAAAACAAAACAAGTACCAGAGTACTACACAAAATACATATCTCGAGTATTAACAAATATTGGGAATTATCGATAATAACAAAAAAAGTGTGAATTTCGTGTAAATAATTTATTGCTTTGCTAATTTTCAGAACAAGAGAGAAACAATGAAAAAAAACCACCCTGTTTTGTTGTTACTAATTGTTATATTTGTTTGTTTGTTTTTTTTCAATTGTAATCCTTTGAAAACAAATTTTTCTTTTCTTTTTTTTTTGAAACAAAATTTGAATCTATTTATATTTTATTTTAGCAATATTGATGATGACTATTTGTTTATAAGAAAAATTTCTATTTACATTCCAAAATTCATCATCATCATCATCCAAAAATTATCACACATATACATCATGTAATAATGCAAATTTAGCACCTTTGACAATGAAATAAATTTGTTTTCAGAACAAAATTTGGTTTAAAACAAAATTGAAAAAAAGAGATTTTTCGGAAAAAAAACCGTCTGCCTCCAGTCTGTTGAGTTTTTGATTATTGAATCCCAAATGGATTCTGATGATGACGATAACTAACATCTACATGGAGAAGAAAATCTAGATTTATGTTACGCGGTTATTAAGGAAATAATATATTCTCTCTATAGACTTTCAGAGAAATTGAATCTGAACAAAAAAAAAAAAAAAAATATTCAACTTATTTTGTTGCTGATGTTTTTTTTCTTGTCTGCAGCAAAATCAAAAAAAAAAAAAAAAGTTTGATGCTAGCTACTACTAGCCCAATTCAATTAGAATAGAGCCGAAAAAAGATTAATGACTCAATGGGTAAAAAAAAGTGACAAAAGCAATATTTGCACATAAACCTAAAAAAATGGTAAAATTTTTATTTTCATTTCACCAAAAAAAAGAAAAATAATCATCACTTAATTTTCTTTCCATTTAGCAATTAAAAAATGAGGCAGCGATTTTATCATCACTACAATGAATGTAGGCTTCACTGTATTGTTTGCATTTTTTAAAAATAAAGTAAAAGACTTGATTTGATCATATTCACATTTTGTGATATAATCTAAATAATAATAATGTTCATCAGTTAACGTAAGTATATGACAAGAATAACAAACATTTCAGCAAACACACACTGAGAGATAGCGTTGGTTATAATTATAAAATTCTGGGTGACCAATCAACTTACGGGAATTGCAGTGAGTATGTGTGTGTGTGTGTGTGTTCATGTCACATGGGATATGATTTTATCTGAAACAAAAATTCTACAACAACAAACTACGTTAATTCCTTGGAATTTTGAGAAAAAAAAGATCATTCTATATATAGAAGAAGCCCGTTATCAGGAAAATGATTGGTTTAGAAAATAAAATTTTTCAAGCACAAACACAGTGAATCACGAACAAACAGAACAAACCAGATCAGTGAACAGAGCAACTTGAAAAATTCATAAAGGATAATGACTGAGGATTTTTTTAAAGAAAATATAGATTTCGTTCTGGAAAAAAACAATACTAAAATTTAATTATTAATGCCATGTGGATGTTGTTGTTTTTGTTGTTTTTTTCTGGGTGGTTGAAAATTGCAACGAACAACCAAGCCTAACAAGCAAACAATGCGATCCATGACTGACCAAGAAAAAATTTATTGTTTGCATTGCAACAACAAGCAAAAGAAATGCGTGTTAAATTGACAAAAATTATCTGCCAATCTATATAAATTATATTCGCTAATGGAACTTTATGTGTATTTGGGTTTTCTTTCATTTCTCCGAAAAGACAAAAAAAAACAAATCAGAGGTGTAACAGCCGTAATTTTTCCGTGTGTGTGTGTGTGTGTGTTTCCTTTTGCAAACATTTTGATGATGATAATGGCTCTCAACACACACTCACACACGCATTTAATAATGTCATCATAATGATGATGATGATGATGATGGTGATTGTCAATGGTCATCATCATCATTTCTTATTTTGTGGGTCGTATCGTATCTTATGTCTCGAAAAAAAAGAATCAAAGAAACAAACGACAACTTTTTTTGCATTGTTTTTTGCTTCTTTCCACATTCCATTCATCCAACCATGTATCTATTTAGCTTGAAAACTATGAAGAATATTTAGAAAACAAGCCACGAATTTCTGTTTTTTTTAATATATCTGTGAGTGAGTATGAAATTAATAGTGAAAAAATATCACAATTTACCAAAATAATGGTACAACAGATGTTGTTGTTTTATAATAATGATGTTGATGTTTGAATGGGATAGCCACACTTTTTTTCGGTGTTGTTTGTTGTTATTTGTAGAGTGTGAAGATGTGTGTGTATGTGAAAAATAAAGGTACCAACAACAACAACAACAAACACAAAAATCAAGAATGTGTTGTGCTGCTGCTCGAAAAAAAATAGAAATATTCAAGTATCAAACAAATTGTTAGATGAAAATGGCAAACAACAACAACAACAACAACACCCAGAAGTAGTAATGATGATGATAATGATAATATTATGATAACCAACCAACCTAATATTACATTACACAACGGAAAAACTAAAACAAACATCTCGTGTGAAAAGTTGTTGTTGAACATGATGATCATTTTTTTTTCAAAATGTGATAAATAACCTAAACAACAACAACGATACAAATAAATTTTTTTTTTTTTTTGAAAAAAAAATTTTAATCCATTGTAAGAATAACAAGGAATTGAATAATTTGTCATCATTCGATTGGCAATTCTTCTGTTGATAAAAATCTCAAAATGTTTACCTAGTTGCTGTTGTATTATACTAGCTAATAATAATAATAATATTCACCTCGGCTTTACCAAAGATGAAGGAGAAGAAAAAAAAAACATTCAAATATTGACACAAACATATCGAATATCTGCATCATTTATTGAAAAGTGAATTTTCATCGCCATTTTTTTATTCTCAATTCGGGGTTTGCCACATCATAACTTTTCCAGAAAAAGAGAGAGAGAGAGAATATTTATTTATTCTTTCCTAAATTATTTGTTGTTATTGTTGGTGGTGGTGGTGGTGGATATGATTCTACGATCAAGTCACGTCATCATCATAGGCATCAAAACGAAAAACGAAATTCGAATGAAATATTATAGCGATCCGTATAGAATGAGAGAGAGAGAGAGAGAGAAGAGAGAAATGGAGAGATGATATATTATAATTTGAATTTTTTTCTTTCTCGTTTCATTCAGATGTATGTGTGTATGTGTGTGTCTGTGTCTGCCGAAACGAAACAAAACAAAAAAAAAATGAAATGAAACGAAAAGAGAAAAAATTCACAGTGTTTAAATTTTTTCCGTTTTTTTTCACTAAATTCGGAATAGTTACAACAACAAGAATTTGGAAAAAAAACACAAAATTCCAAACAATGACGACCACCACGACTAGCAGCAGAACCTTGATTTCCTGGACATTTGACAATTGACAAATGGAAAAATATTCATTCTATGCTAAGCTGCCAACACACATACACACACACACAAATACGCTCGATTGAACTATACAATAGTCGACGAGAAATAAATGAAATTCAAATTCATACATGTCATATATGTTTTTTTTGCTTGAAATGAACAGAAAAAAAAAGATTTTCCAAATCATTAGGTATGCATGTCCAACAGCAATAGCAACAAAAGATAACTCATTTGTTCCATGGTTAATGAATGTCGTTGTGGGAGGAATGGCAGAGAGAAACGTACGACGATTTTTGGACCGGTTCTGTAAATGAATCAGAATCATCATTTGGTACCAAAAGGGGAATATTGCATTCATTGTGTATTCAGACATATTTAATAAAAAAAAGAATCATTTGATTGAAACAATAAAGCTCATTTACAAAGATTTTTTGTTTTTAGTATTCCGTACGCGTGCCCGCGCGCTTCTACACAATTGTATATTGTATTGATCTAATCTTTGTCAATCTGTTTTTTTTTTGTTCATTCCCTGCTGCTTGTACATGGATCATATGTTGAAGAAAAACATACAACCAACACACACACACACAGACATAGTGAAATCTGTCAAAAATTTGAATCAAAATAGAAAAAAAATCGAATATTGCATAATTTTTGTTGTTGTATCAGAAATTGAAATCAATATATGTGTTCACAGTGAGAATAAAAATTTAAATCTCAGCACAAAAAAAACTACAAAACAAAACGATAAACTCTTGATCATTTTTGAGAAAATAAAAAATGTAATAATCGTAATGGAATATACAACACATAAAATTACAAAATTCAATATCAATAGACATGTATCTGGCAAATTTCCCATCTCCCAAAATAATCATTCATTCATTACAGGAGATTTCGAGAGAAAAGTTTTTGTTTTTGTTTTTCTTTTTGATTGTTTATGGGAAAAAAAGGTTAATTTCATTTCATTTTTCTTTTAGAGGATTATGATGATGGTGAAAAGTTTTCAAAGTATTATTTCGCGATGCACATTGCAATGATATGATTAGAATTTTGTGTTTGTGTTTGGGACAAACTTTATTTATCATCATGATCAATTTGATAGATTGAAAAGTTATTGAAACTCACCAAACATCTAGTTTATTTAGAATGAAAATCATACATTTACACTCCATCATTTTTATCATCATTTGGCATGAATGATGATGAAAAAATCAATAATTCTCGACTGTTTGTTGAAAAAAAATGATTGATGCAAGACAACTCTATACAATAGATGCATTAATAATGAGAAAAACACACACACACAAGAATTTCGCCTTCTGATTCTATTATCATTGTATAATAATCATTTCTATCAAATCAGTTCAATCATTCTGACCAGATAAAAGGATTGTGCGACAACACACACACACACACACATATGTGTGTGAATATTCATTTTTCTCATCATAAAATATTCAAGGTGAATATGCTGAATATTCATATGTTGTCTATGTGTGTGTGTGTGTGTGTGTCTGCAAGATAAATCAAAAAACCGAAAAAAAGCAATTGTTATCATATAGAATATAATACAAAGCAAGATCAAATTTAAATTCGAGCATAGTTTATGATCCCAACTACTGCCACTAAATCAGCGATATTCAACCAAAGTAAACGAAAGAAAAAAGATGAAACTATTTGCTTTGGAAACCATTGTATTGTACAAGGTTTTAAGCTTGAGTGAAAATTGAGTGGAATAAAAGTCGACGACGACGACGACGACAATAAAGAAAGAATGAAAAGGCATAAAATTTAAAATTCTAATAAATGAAAAAAAAAATAAAGACTTGCCTTGACTTTTTTCTTCTGGTTTGTTGCTGTTGATTGTATGAGCTGAATGGATGATGATGCACATAAATGGTGGAGACTATGTTGACGTTTATTATATGGGCCATATATACGATGTCAATATCAAGTTTCAACTTTTATTCTTTCGGACCAAACAACAAAGCAATTTACGTTATTTGATTGCCATTTATTTATGTCTGTGTTAGTGAGGGCGCCATCACCATATTATTCGCTCTATGGCTCCTGGTTTTTTTTCATCATTTGTGGAAAAGAAAATGAAAACGAAACAAAAAAATTAAACGATTTTTTTCTGTTTTAAATATACTATAACTGCTGGTCATCAAATGCATCAGATGAATGTAGAAGGATAATTCCGTCGGGATTTCCGGACGGTTATTCTTCTTTTTCACTATTTATCACATTCATTCATTCATTCATTCATTCACGGTAAAACTATTAAATTGATATGTTGAATCTACACCAGTGTATCATCAGAAATCCTTCACACACAAAAGATTTGTTAAGTTGTTCTTTATATATTTCTTCCAAATTGATGATGATGATGATCATAATTCTTGTCAGATGCGTGGGTTATGGTGGTGATTGTGAATGCAGCATGTTAATTGAAGAATGTATGTGGAGCGTTCTTTTCTTTTCATCATAAATTCTGTTTTTTTTTCGAATAAAAAAAAGTTTGAAATGAATAAAATATCGATATGATAGGATGATGTTCATTCATCGTCGATTCAGTGTAATGTATAATGATGATGATGATGATAAATTTTGAAAATGAATCAATGAATGAGAGATAAGAATGAATTCCAATAATAATAAATGATCAATTGATTTTGCAATATTTGCTGCTTGTAGAGAAAAAAAAACTTTCCATCCACAGTTGGTCATCATCCAATTCATATTTTTTTTATTTATTTATTTATTTTTTCAGTTGTCGGATCGAAAAAGTGGAAAAAAATCGTAAACGATTCGAATGAATCAAATTGTGTGCACTACGGTCTACGTATGATGTATATTGATTCACAAATCAGAAAAACAGTGTCTCTCTCTCTCTCTTTCTCTCTCTGTGTGTGTGTAGGGAAAGAAAAATAAAACTTTAAGTTAGCCATATCGAAAATATTAGAAATGGAAATTGAGAAAAAAAATAAAAGATAAAATTACCATAATAAAGTAGTGCACAACCATGATGATTTCGACATTTTTATGTTTCGTGTGTTTGAAATTTTTTCGGTTTATACCGCGATGCCTTTTGTGCATAAATTCGATCGAAGAAAATACGGCTGACCAGGACACACAACGACAGTTTGTTGGTTGGTTGACCAATTTTTTTTTTGAGTTTCGTTTTCGTTTTTTTTCTCGCAAAAAAAAAAATGAAACAACCACGACAACAACAGAAGCAACGATAACAGTTGTACGATTTGTTGTTATATTCAGTTAAATTTTGTTTTCTCACATGAATGATTCGTGAAACACAAGAAAAAGAGGAAGAATTTGAAATTCTGAAATTGAGTGCAACGGATGGATATATGTGCGAAGGAGAACAACAACAAAAAAAACCAATTTTTTTTTGTTTCAATTCTTCTAGTTTGTTGGAGACATTTAGGAATTTGATCCACCGTTGTTGTTCATCATAAGGTTCATATAACCATGTGCTGTTGGTGAAACATTGGCCCAGCAGAAGAGAAAATCATCGACAAACGTAATCTATTATTATTATTATTATTACTAAGTGTATTACACATTGATTCATTTGTATTGATCTAGTAATTATTTTTCTGTGTACGATATTTTTTCGTCAATCCAGTTTTTTGTTTTGTTTTGTTTTGTTTTCTGTAATCGAACTCTAATAGCATGATGATGATGATGATGATGATGGAATTTTTCTTTCAGTCAATCCTGTTTGTGAGAAAAGAGAAAAAAAAGAAACAAATAAGCAAGTAGTGTAGGAAAAAGTGAGTAAAGGCAAAAAATGGCCAAATTACATCCATAAATTGTTTTTTTTTTCATCGTGCTATATATTGTTTAGCTGGCCCAAAAATCTGCCTGATTGCACATTTGACAAAAAATCGATCGATCGATTCCGGTAGTTGTACACACACATACAGCCATTGCACCATGATGATGATGTCAATGTTAAAGTCAGTCTCACACAAGTTTGTTACATATATCGAGCCAAGGCATGGTTTCATTGATCAGGTATATGCAAAAAAAAAACTTTGAATAGAAATGTTAAAGAATTAAAAACGAATTATAGATAAGAAGAAAGAAAAAAAACAGAGATAATTGACCACAAAAAAAGAGTTAAAAATGAATGAAAATTGATCATCGTTATCATCATCCTAATAATTGCTCAAAATGTGACCATTCATAGTGGATTCTATTTCCTACACCATTTTTTTTTCTTGAAAATTCAAATAAAATAAAAAAAAACTATAGCACCAAAGACAAATATAGCCTATAGAAAGATTGATTCTCAAGTCACAAAAAAAACTTAATGGTTATCGAAAATAGAGTTTGGCTCTTTGCTTACTTTATTGGATGTGTTAAAAAACATAAGATTCGAAAATAGATATATAGAATGATGATGATAACGATGACGATGATAGCCATTGTGTTTGTTTTCTTTTCTTTTTTTGTTGTCTCGGGATATAATACCGCCAAAACAAATTTGTTCGACAGCGGATACACTACTATAAATACTAGAATGAAAAAAAAAATAATTATGGTTTGATAAGCACAATTGTGTGAGAGAACAAAATGAACAACAAACAAAACAACAACACTAAGCCACCAACTGTTTTCATTTTCATTTTGTTTTTGTTTCTTGTTACTTAAAAGAATAATATATTATCACAAACCAACACCAGAATTTTTCTTTCTCTTTTTTTTTGCTAGAAAGTAAGCCAATTTTCGGTAATAATAATAAAAAACACTTTGCAAATACAAGCATCATCATTATAAACATGTTAATCGCTTATTTCAATTCTTGGTCCATCGTCGTTGCTGTTTTATCGTTATAGTGTATTCGATGATAAATATTAGCATAGATGTAAAAAAAAGATTGTGAAATTCAAATATTTTTCTTTGGCAAGGTTTACTATCAACAAAATAATGGCGCAAACTTCGAATACATATGTAGCAAAAAATCTATCCACAAAGTATGTGACACAAAAATTTATCATCTGGCTTTTATTATAAACGTTGAAATACATTTTTGCAAAAGATGGATTTTCAAAAAATCCTCGATAAACATTATTCTTGTCATCATTCTTTGATGCAAATCCTTACAACATACATTTTTTCATCTCAAATTCGTGGCATTCTATTGCGATATTCACCAGAATCTGTTTCATATCTTGAATCAACATTTCTGGCTACAAATCAAGATTTATCTTTGCTTATATCGAATACGGCGAAACCTAATCATGATAATCAAATGTTGATAAGTTACATTAAAAAATTCAATGATTCAACTAAACATTTATCAGTGGATGAGAAACCGTATCTGAATCTATTCAACAATTTAATCGGTGTAAAAATTGCTTCAAGATTTGCAAAAAATTGTAGTTTCTTCCATTACAATAAAACATTGAATTATTTGTTTCTTGTAAAAGGAAAACATTTCAATTTTTATTCTGGAAATTCTGCATCCAAATCCAAAGGTGATGATTGGAATGAAATACGACCATTGTATCGGTCAATATTGGATTCGGTTTTCGATTATCAACAATTAAACAATGACCCGTATTGGAAAGAATATGAATTTGATAAACAACAAGAAAAACATTATAAATTGTATGCAAAATTATCACCAATTAATCGCGCCGACATGTTTTATTCACGACAATCTTCTGGCCGAATCCTACGGCGATCTAGAAATGAATTTCCATTTGTTGATTTCAATGATGATCAAACTGAGGAATTGTTACGCAAAGCTTATCAAGATATTTTCGGTGATAAAGCTAAATTTATGACAATTGAACAACAACCACAACAACAACAACAACAACAACAACAGTATCAGATTGATGAATATTTATTGAAAATTTATCGAAATTTCAAAAATACAAACATTGAAAGTCTTTTAAGACATTGTTGTCCATTGTTGCCATCTGAATCGTGGACTGATGACATTATTGAAATGCGTACTTCATCGAAACAATTGTTTGGTTTCATTTACGCTATTTATTACCGAATCATCCCCATGGAAGTAATGGGCAGTAGAAAAAATTTTCGTAATTTTAACAAAACTCTCAAGCAACTATTTACCGCATGTTCGATAACTAAATTTCGTCCATGGGATATTATCTACGGCATTGATGTTGCAATGATGAAACCGCTTTTCAAAGATATCTATAAAAGTATCAATATTTTCACACAAAAAATGAAATTGAAATGCAATTTCTTTGTTGGATTTTCCGCGTGTTGAAACAAATTATTCGTTGTAAATTTCATATTACGGAAAGCCGGTCATTGAAATATTCATTGCTCTTTTATCGTTATGATTTATGGGCCAAATTTTCTAATCAAACTATTCGTCGAAATATCGAAGAAAAACATTGGCAATTGATCGACTACAAACCCATTGAGGAGACAAAAATGCAATGTAGTGATTTAGACCAATATCTCCGTTATTCATCATTACGTTTTATACCGAAACGTAAAACACTGCGTCCAATTACTAGACTTCGATATGCACGAATTGCAGCCAATCTGAAATTCAAAAAGCAAGCATCAACTTTTTCAGCATTATTGAATTGTTTGAATCAAAATTATTATGACAAACAAAATCAGTTGTCAGGATCACTGTTAAATCTGCATCAGAAATTTGTCAATTTCAAACAGAATGCAAATCTTGCCAGTGGTAATTATTACGTAGTACGTGGTGATTTTCGAAATTGTTATCCATCAATCAATCTAAGCAAATTGATGACAATCATTATGTTGGCCATTGAAAATATGACTCGGCAATGGAAATGTAAACGGGTCAAAATCGGAAACTATTCATTACCAGCAACATTGCATATGCAGAGTGTGAAATTGATTCGTAAAAAAAGAAATTACTTTCTTGAAAAAATGAAAATCATTCTTTACGATCCTAAAAGCGATGATGATGATTATCGTAATGAAAAGTTTATTGTCCAACAACTTGGCTATGTAAATCTCAATAATTGGATTATCAATGTTGATCGTTCGGAAAATAGCAGCAGTGGCAGTGGCAATAACAACGCTTTTGGTACAGAAAAAATTATCTGTCTTCTAAAAGCTTATTTGTATAAAACAATCATACGGCTTGGACGTAAAAGTAATTTGAGATATGAGAAATACGGCATCCGTCAAGGTGGACCATTATCCAATGCCTTATGTCGTATATATCTCAATTATATTTGGACCGATGCGTTCCGGAAACAATCATTCACTATTGATAAGAATGATTTATTTCAAACTTTTGCCGATGATTTCATATTCATGACGACTTCGATGGAAAAAGCGAAAAATTTTCTTGAAATTTTGAAATTAATTTCCAAAAACTTTCATCTTCACATAAATGATGAAAAACTTTTCATCAATTTTGATGATAATGAATTGAAAGAAAATTATAAAGTCCAATTCCTCGGTAGAAAATTGACTTTCAGTCCTGAACTTGGGTTCGGCATTGATTTCAATTCATTTGCTGGCCAATCAATTTTGAATACGTTCAATGCGAATCCAATGGCACCATTGTTAGTTGAAATGAAACTATTAATAGGTAAGTGTTGATCTCATGAATGACATTTACTAACTGATTGATCTGATTAAATCCAGGAAATATGCATCTTCATTGTTATCCCGAACTTTTTGATTGTCAATTAAATCCCGTGAATGCGGTTATCGACAATATTTTTCAACGAATCTTATTGCAAGCAATGAAATTGGCAAGTCTTGTTTCGAAAAAATCAACAACAATTCATTTAGCGTCAAATATCCTGAAATTCATCTATCATCTAGCCAGACGTCTATTTCAATGGATAAAAAATTGTAAAATTCAATTTCATTTAACGGAAATTCAAATACATTGGATATCGGCTGAAGCCGTCAGATTATTATGGCAAACCAAAATGAAACATCGAACCAAAGTAGAACATTCATTTATTAAAAAGTATTGTCGAATTTTACATCAACAAAGCTGTTGTGATTCTGGCCAAAAAATCAATCTCACTGGTGATGTTGGTTATCAATTTCCAAAAGAAATGTTTTTTCCATTTGATCAAATCAAACTTAGATAATTGTGAAAAATTTTAAAAAATTCCCGAAAACTTTCTTACATATTATTATAATTAAAATTTCTGTAAATTTTCTCATTACACATGTTTGTGAACATGTGGTATATATACAAAGTATACGTTGTTTCGTGTTTTCGTTTTCTTTCTGTTCGCCAAAAATGGATACAACAAAACAAGAAAATAAAAAATTCAAACCAAGTTTAAAATCAAAACAAAAAAGAAAATTACTATCAAAAAATTCATCATCGAATCATAAAGCATTTGCCATCAAATCGGCTGTCAAAGCTGAGAAACAATTTCGTCGTAAACAAGATATAATCGCTAAACGGGAACGTTTACCACAAATTGATCGTCAACCATTGGAACCACCACCATTTGTCGTATCGGTTGTTGGTCCACCAAAAGTTGGAAAAACAACATTGATTCGTGGTTTGATACGGAATTATACTCGTCAAAATATCACTCAAATTACTGGACCGATTACAATCGTGTGTAATAAAAATTTGCGTATAACATTGATCGAATGTAACAACGATATTAATTGTATGATCGATGTGGCGAAAATTTCCGATTTAGTTTTGCTTGTTGTGGATGCAAGTTTTGGTTTCGAGATGGAAACATTTGAATTCCTCAATATTTGTCAAGCACATGGTTTTCCGCGTATAATGGGTGTTTTGACGCATTTGGATGTATTCAAAAATCCAAAAAAATTACGACGAACTAAAAAACAATTGAAACACCGTTTTTGGACTGAAATTTATGCTGGTGCCAAGTTATTTTATCTTTCGAAACTAGTGCATCAAGAATACCTTCGCAATGAAATTCATAATTTGGCTCGTTTTATATCAGTGATTAAATTTCGTCCACTTGAATGGAATTCCAATCATCCATATTTGATTGTTGATCGAATGGAAGATTTAACGAATCCTGATGAAATTCGATTGCAACCAAAATGTAATCGTAAAGTTTGTCTATTCGGTTATTCTCGTGGTGCCAATTTCAAACCAAATCAAGCCGTCCATATTCCTGGTTGTGGCGATTTCCAGATTCATAGCATCAATTTTATTCCGGATCCATGTCCATTACCAGAGAAAGAACCGATAAAGAAAAAACGCAGATCATTAAAAGAGAAGGATAAATGTATCTATGCTCCAATGGCTGGTGTTGGTGGTATCGTATTTGATAAAGATGCCATTTATATTGATCTTGGTGGTAGCCATTCAATGGGAAATGATGCGGCGAAAACTATGACTGAAGATGAGCAAATTGTCGCTGAAATTAATCAAACTGCACAGCCATTAAATGTGCAGATTTCTTCATCCGAATTGAAATTATTCTCTAAAACATTTGAAGAATCGAATTCAAAAGATTCGACAAAATTACGACGAAAAGTCATTTTCGATGATGAAGACGATGATATCGACAGTGATGACAATGATGATGATGATGATGATGATGACGAAGATGAGGAATCTGATTTTAGTGAGAAAAAGCTTGCAATTGGAGAAAATTCAGAAGTGGAAGATGACGAAGATGTTGCCTTTTTTAGTTCCGATGATGATGATGATGATGATAATGACGATCTGGATGACAACAAACGAAATGAATGGAAAGATAATTTGCGGAAAAAAGCTAGTGAGTCTTTTTATCAACGTATTGCAAGAACAGTGGATATACAGAAATTGGTTTATGGTGAAATGGATTCGATAATGTTCAAAAATGAAAAAAATCCTGTTGATTCATCGAATCATGAAATTTCCGACGGACTTTTTCGGCAGATTCCGACCGATGATAGTGGCAATGATTCACGTAGTATGAAATTTACTATGAATTCATTGGAATGTTCGAATTTTCCAGCAGATTTATTAATCGATTTCGCTAATGATCCAACGGAATTGGATTCTATTCGTGATTGTTTCATCACCGGGCAATGGAATGAAAATGAAGATGCCGGAACGATTCTGGAACGAGATAAACGTCTTCGAGATGAACTTGATGCACAAGATGATGATGAATTATATGATGATTTTGAAGATTTAGAAAATATCGATGATAATGACAAAATAAAAATTGAAGATGATGAAATGATTGACGACGATAATGATGATGATGACGACGATGGAGATGGAAAAGATTTAATGGACAAGAAAATGATGAAAAAACAGCAATTCAATGAAGAATATGACAATTTGAAAAGTAAAAATGTTCTCAATACAGGTGGCGATGAAAAAATGTTTATTGATTTTGAAAAGGAAAAAATTCAAAGACAATCAGAAGTAAGTCCATTCGAGTGAATTGTGAAATGTTGAAATTACAATTTTTACATTCTATTCTCTAGTTAAATCGAAAAGAATTTGAAAATATGCCCATGGAACAACGTGTGCAGTATGAAGGTTTCCAGGCTGGTCTTTATCTTCGAATCGAATTGACGCAGGTACCGTGTGAATTGGTCACCAATTTTGATCCATCATATCCAATTATTGTTGGTGGCTTGCAGCATGCAGAGACTGACATTGGTTTTGTTCGTACACGATTGAAAAAACACCGTTGGTATAATCGAATATTGAAAACAAAAGATCCTCTAATCATATCATTGGGTTGGCGTAGATTTCAAACGCAACCATATTATTCCATTGAAGATCATAATGGTCGGAATCGTTTATTGAAATATACACCACAGCATATGCATTGTATGGCATCGTTTTGGGGACCAATAACGCCACAAAACACGGGTTTTGTTGCTTTTCAAAATATTTCAGAAAGAACCACACAATTTCGTATTGCAGCCACAGGTGTTGTTTTAGATCTGGATAAAGCTTCGCAAATTGTTAAAAAACTTAAATTAATTGGACGACCGATAAAAGTTTACAAGAAAACGGCATTCATTGGTGAAATGTTTAATTCGCCACTAGAAGTAACGAAATTTGAAGGAGCTGCCTTGCGGACTGTAAGTGGTATTCGTGGTCAAATTAAAAAACCAATTAGATCACCAGATGGTGCATTCCGTGCAACATTTGAAGATAAAATCTCATCAAATGATATTGTATTTTTACGAACATGGGTTAATGTACCGGTGGCCAAATTCTATGCAACCGTCACGTCATTATTGATGCCAATCGATCAGAAAGATCAATGGATCAGTATGAAAACTACCGGCAGATTACGTTATGAAAATCAAATAACCACACCGAATAATCCAAAATCTTATTATCAAGAATCGAAGAGAAAAGACTATCGTTTCAAACCAATGATTATACCGAATAAATTGCAGGAAGAATTACCATTCCGTTCGAAACCAAAATTAATGCCCAAAAAATCTAATCGAATCGACCGAATTGCCGTAATAAAAGATTCACATGAAAGACGAACGGATAATTTGATTAAAAAACTGAAAATGGTTTATCGTGAAACGACAAGACAAGATCGATTAGTGATGCAGAAACGTGCCGAACAACATCGAAAAGAATTGGCGAAAATTGAAAAAAATCGTGCCGAAAAACAAAAAGAACGAAAAAAACAAATTATGCGACAACTAGGAAAATCTCACAAAATTTGATTTTTTTTATTTTATTATTAAAAAAATTAAGTTTTCAATTTTTACTGTTTTTGATTTGAAAAAATTTTTCAATCAATAGTCGAGCATCTTTATGATTATTTGGCAAACGAAAACGACTGCGAATCCAATCCGATAATTTTGAATTGACCGATGATTTAGCGTAACGTTCATCAATCAATACGATTGTAGCATAATCATTTTGATGACGAATGGCACGTCCAATTGATTGATTCACAGCTCTCATGCACAGATTTTCATAATATTCATTACCGGCATCTGATTTGATGCGATTTAGATGATTAATTTTTTCCATTAATTCAATAGAATTTCTATTTGCATACGGCAATCCAACGACAACAATACCACGACCTAAATCATCACTAAAATTGATTCCTTCACTCATTTTACCACCGATAACTGAGAATAAAATTGCACTATTCATAGGTGATGATTTGATGAATTTCGTATAATTGTTCAATACGGCTTGAACTTGCGAGTTTTTCTTTGGTTCACGAAATATTCTTTTATGATTTCGTTCGAACAATTTCAATACATCTTGTTGTTCCCATTGTTTTAGCAGCGATTCTTGATAATCATACGAAGGAAAGAAAATGACAATTCCTTTGGGTATGGTTTTGACCAAATCGACAAGTAGCAAACCAGTTTCTTTGATAATAGCCGGTGAATTGCGACTGTGGTATGAATAATTCAATCGAACACCATTTGGCCCATTGGACACTCCAATAGCAACAAGTTTATCATCGCTGATTACATGATTACATGAAAAAAACATTTGACGTGTTTCTGGTATATTTAATGGCCGATATAATTGATTCACGTAATCATCGAATGGTTTCATTGTGCCACCACAAAGTATGACTGAACGACATTGTTGCAAAATATCTTGAAAATGATTACTTGGACTCAGTAATAAATATTTAAATGAAGAATTTTCAGGATTTTTCGCGTCAATTTGTATCAATATTTTGGCCTCAATATTATAGTTGATTAATGATGCGAGAAAATCTTTTATCAGATGTATTGTATTTATATTGAGAAATTCTTCCTCTTCATCATTTGTTTTTGTAATTGCCATTCTTTTCTTGTTGTCTTTTTCAGCTATTTTGACATTTTTGTTGTTGTTAATTTTTTTCAAAAATTCCAACGTACCAGATGGCTTTGTTATTTTCGTTTGAGGATTGTCATTAGTTTTTTTCGATGTTGAAAACATTTGTAATTTACTTGCAATTCTACTTTGTTCGATGAATTGCAGCAATTCGTGAATATTAATATTTTCAATATTCAATTTGATTGTCAGATCTAATGGTTGAATACATTGGTTCTCTTTTTGATTGCCAAGATGATTAAATAATTTTCGTACGACGAATATCATTTGTTTCAGATATTTCAAGTTCAATGCATTGAATCGATTATAATATCTGGCCATATACAGGGAAAGATATTTGAGCAGTAATGAAAGTTGTCGTGAACGAATTTCCAAACTATTTACATTTACAATTGTTTCCAACAGATTATGTGCTTCATCAATGATAACAATGGAATCTTGAAGTTTGATATTGAAATTTTCACGTGTTGCCCGATGCAATAGACAATTATAGGGCATTACAACAATTTCTGAATCAGGAATAACCATTCGGGTGGAATAGTATGGACACGTTTGACGTTGTTTACCCATCGATATGATTTCTTCAATATCACAAACGTCGCCAAGAATTTGTCGTCCAAATTCTTCCATTTTCAATACATTTTTATATTGACATTTTTGATTCTTTTTTTGTTTTAAATCATTACATTTTTCATTTATCATATTCAAATTATTGAAACAATTTACTTGGTTATTTATGCAATAATTAACCCGAGAACTTAGTGGTGTCAACATTAATGATTGTTGATTATCGTGGAAATATCTTGTCTTTTTGAATTCATTTATAAATTGCGATAATTGTGAATGAGTACGACTGCAATAATAAATTTTCGGCAGAAAATATGCCACATTTTTTTCATCACCATCATCTTCATTTAGATTGAAATCTTGATCGAATTGGATGATTAAGTCTTCCAGATCAGGATCATCATTGTTCGATTCATCTGAAGTTCGTTTCAGTGATGACGTTACATTGATTTGTCGATTGATACGTGAAATTTTTTTCTTTTTCAATTCTTTTGAATAGGCGATATGTCGGGTTAATTTTTCTAGCTCAACATTTAAATCGTTGATTTGATTGTTATTTGTCATTTGTTTCAATTGAACCGATAGCCAATCATCATCGTTTTTTTGTTCATCGGAATTCTGTTGTCGTAATTCATTGATTTTATTTTCAAGATTTCGTTGTTGTTTTGACTTGTAATCTTCCATCCATTTGGATAATGAACAAATAATACTCAATGATTTACCTGTACCAGTAGGACTTTCAATGATTGAAATCAGACCATTTTCAAATGATTCGTATAATTTATTCATTAATTTAATCTGTATATCGTATGGTTTGTATGGGAAATCATAATTTCGTTGATTTTGATCACACATTTTGTTGTTTACCATGGTACACAAAATCAAACAATCGGTGAAGATCGCGCTTTTTTTCCACATTGATTTGTGTTTTTCAGTAGGTACCATCAACATATGAAATGATCAAAATCAGCTGTATCGTTTATGAAACGAAATGTTTTAACGCGCCAAAAGCTCTATGAAATGAAATGAGCAGATTTGTTAGATTGAATCATTTCTCATCGAATATTCACACAAACACAAAAATGTCAAAAACTCAAAAAACGATAACAAACTTTTTCAAACGTAAAGTTATCGACGACGATGAATCGAATTGTAAAAAGGTATGACAAAAAAGTTTTTTCTTTGATTTTGTTTTTGAAAAAATTTTCCTTTTTTTAACAAAAAGCCATGCACCGATGTTGGAGGTGACAAACTTGTTTTGCGACCACAACATGATAATTTAAAGATCGTACAAAGCAATAACAACAGTCGTCTTGTTGCCGGTGGATACATATCCGCGAAATGGTATCAGAGTTTCGAACAAGAATTTCATAAATCATATTTTAAAAATTTGAAAAATTCATTACGAATGAACGGAATTCTCACACTATTTATCCACCAGAAAATCAAGTATTCAGCTGGTCATTTCATTGTGATATTGATAATGTTAAAGTGATCATTTTGGGCCAGGATCCATATCATGGCCCTAAACAAGCTAATGGTCTGGCATTCAGTGTTGAAAGAGATGTTGCTAAACCACCGAGGTATGATGGTGATGATTAAATTTTCATAAAATAATCCTCTCTTTTTTCTTAGCTTAATTAATATTTTCAAAGAAATCAAAAATGAATATCCCGAATTCAAAATACCCGCGCATGGTGATCTAAAACAATGGTCAAGTCAAGGTGTACTGCTGTTAAATGCATCACTTACTGTACGTGCAAATCAAGCAAATTCACATTCAAATCATGGCTGGGAACAATTTACCGATTCGATAATCAAATATCTGAATCAAAATTATTCAAATCGTGTTTTTATGCTTTGGGGTAATTATGCACAGAAAAAAGGTGCTGTAATCGATTCGAAGAAACATTTAGTACTGAAATCTGTACATCCAAGCCCATTATCAGTAATGCGTGGATTTTTTGGTTGTGGACATTTTAAACAGGCCAATGATTATCTAATCAAGCATGGCATTAAACCTATTGATTGGACTAAATTAGATTGATTGATTAATTGACAAAAAACACACAAATCAATTACTTTTATTAATTAATTGAAATCACACACTTAACACACACAAATGGACTTGAAATAAAAAAAATTGCAACAAAAATCTCACTATAATTTTTTCCCTTAATTAATTACCATCTAATATAACGTCTTTTGATCTAAAAAAAATTCAAATTAAAAAAAAAAGAAACGATGAACGAAACAACAACAATTTGCACACAAATCTATCCTAATTGTAATCTTCATCGCATGGTTCACATATCACCGAAAATTCCGGCAAATGTTTTACGTAAATTTCTCATTGTATCATCCACTTCTTCTTTAATTTCACCGATTGTTGTCTGCGAATCACGCTTATTTAATGGCGGTGGCTGTTTTGTCATCTGTTCATTTTCATCATTATTGATGGCGTTTGGATTGAATGAACTTGCAAATGGATTGGTCGGATTTTCATTGATTGTCTTTGTTGTTGATGTTGTTGTAGCAACAGAAGAAGGAACTGTATTTGAGGAGTGCGTGGATGATGATGATGGTGGCGGTGGTGGTGGTGGTGGTTTAGATGGTGGATTTGCTGCAAATGATGACGATGTTGGTGGTGGCGGTTTAGGTGGTAATGGTCGATTACCCGAAGATGGAGGAAAAGAGGAATCTTTTGAGCTTCTACGATTCATAATTGGCGGCGGAACAGCTGCTGACGTTGGTTGATTCATTGATGTAATCGATGATCGTTTTGATTGTTGTTCAATCGATTCTGGTTCATTAGCCGAGATGCTAGCTCGGGATTGTTGTTTGCTATGTGTTTGAATGGAAAAAAATTCATTAATTTTACAATCAACCAATCAATGAGAATAATTTACATTAGAATATTTTTGCAAATAGCATTCATCCGCTGTATGATTAATTCCACGATATTTTTACGATCCTCTTCCTGGGTATCGCCCAACAATGCCATATCTGATCCACGTACTTTGAAAATAAATTCCCGGCCATCTTTACCAATAACACCTTCTAATGAACAGATATCTAGCCCGCCGAATAAGTCGGAAACATCATCAATCCATTTTCGATAACGATCATTAAATGGTATCGGTTCCAATAAAGCGGATCCAATATTTGCTTTCCAATTTCCAGATACTGATTTTCGTCTAATCATCATCCGAACAAAAAAAAATATTAAATTACAACGAAAACGAATTGGAATAAAAATGATTCTTACGTGAATGCCTTATAATTTGTTCCAATTTTCTGCAGATTAAAATCGCATTTAGCATCGATGAATGGCTCAATAGTACAATATTTATTGGTGATCATTAAAACGCTTCGTATATCTTGATATTGGTTAATATTTTCTACTTTAACTTTTCCTAAGCCAGAACTTGATGATCCAATTTTAACGACACATGGTAATTTTGGTACACCACTCTATTGACCCATGATCAAACAGGACAAAAACAATTATAATTGGAAGAAGAAATGAATGAAATTTCATAAAACTAACTGAATCTTTATATTTTTGAAAGAACGTTTGTTCAATCAATGGAAATGATTCTTTTCCTTGTTTTCGTTGTATGGCTAATAGATTGGCAAACTTTTTAAATTGGAAAACAACAAATAAATCATTAGACAAAACTTTTCAATTGATTGATTGAACACTTACCACCCAAGCTTTATCTTGAAAATTATAGAAACTTTGCAATGAATTAATTGATGGTATTAGGCCATATTTCAAACCGACAATAATGTCACTATAATTTTGATTACCATCTTGTTGAATATGTTGACGAATCAATACGAAATCTGGTCGAAATGTTCGTGCGATTCGAAAACCATTGCGATCAACAGTATAAATGGTGACCAGGGCACCAAGTTCGGAATCGGATGATAGATTTATATCTTTAAATTCAGCCTGTTCAACTTTAATGTCCCAATCACCAATCAAACGTCTTCCACGAAAATATTTGGACCAATCAACAAGATGATCATCAATAATTAATAAGATTTTATGTCGATCTTTTATTACGGCAGCCACCTGTGATGTGGCTGCGCGTGCAATTTGTTGTACAGTATTCGTCACAATATTACTTCCTGTCAGTGATGTTGCTCTCGACAATAGACCGCTAACACCTCTTGCTGATGGCACATTTGTTACATTTGTTGCTGTTGAATGTGGCGAAACTGGTGCACTAGTGATATTTGATGATTTAAAATTCAATATCATTCCTGTGTTTGGATCAACATTTGATGTTGATGATCGTAGTGGTGACTGATTTTGGTTGATACCACTATTAGATTGATATCGTGGTTGAGTCCTTGTTGTTGTTCGATCATTGCCAAATGGCCTATTTGATGGTATTTCCTATGTTTTAAAAAACAGATTAATTTTAAACAAAAAAAATTAATGGTCTGGCTAACCTGATCATCATCATGACCTTCGCCTTGTAGGTCACCGGATGAGAAACGCCTCTTTAAAAATGTTGTGGTCGAGGCGAAACCTTGGCGAAATGTTGTAAATGAAATTTTGAATGATTTTGTATGAGCAAATCAATATTTTGAAACGATGATGGTGAAGAACTGGTGATTTCAAGAAAAAATTTCTCAAATTAATAAAATAAGACGAAAACAAACAATTGCAAAAATTTTTGAAACTTTTTCTTTTCCTCAATCGATTCGACACACACACACCCACACTGAAAAAACAAACAAGGCCCATTTAACACTATAGTGGATGTCTGTTTTTTCTTTTTTGGTGTTCCTTATTCGATCCATCCATTTTTTTCTTGCATTTCTTTCTTCCTCTGATATTCTTGCTGAAATAGAAAAATGAAACAGAAAAAGACTAGAATAACGCGCTTGCGTTTTTAGAAAGAATTTTTCGTGTCTCAGAAAAATCGAATGATCTCATTCTCTGTGTGTGTGTGTGTGTGTGTGTGGATCAAATTCATCCCGAGGTTGATCATGGATCTTTTTTTGCTATACAATTTTCTGTGTGTGCGAAATTGACATTTACAAAAATCATGATTTTTTCGAAAAAAAATAAAGATTACGTACTATATGAATGGTTATTTTCAATTTTTATTCTTAAAATCTAAAATTAGAATCACAGAGAGAAAAGTGAACAGGGTAAACTGCAAGATTGAGTGCTAAAAACCCTCCAAATTTGCAGGTTACTATCCATGCTCACAGGCTACGCTTCTTATTATGAGGTTACGCTGCTTCGTTGCAATGTAAACTGCATACTTGCAGGTTATTTTGCAGGCTAAACTGCAAAGTTGCGGGTTATTTTGCAGGCTAAACTGCAAAGTTGCATATTAACCTCCACCAAAGAATGGTAAATACACTTTCTAATTGGAGCTTAACCTCCAATTTTGAATTTCATTTTTAATCAAATTTAGAATTTAATTGATAAATTCTAAAAAATAAATTTTTAAATCATGAAATATCAAAATATCACTTCACAAATGAATAACAAACAACCCATTATGGGAATAATCTTTGATTCATTCATTTTCAATGTAATTTTACAATTTTATGATTGTTGTTGTTTTAGTTGCCAAATATTATCGGATATTTTTTGTTTTTTGAGTTTTTATTCGTAATTTTAAAGTTATGATTTATCTCGTAAAAGAATTCACCTACATCACAATTAATCTTCAAAAAAGAAAAAATAAAAGATCTATCTGGTTGAACAATCGTTTGCAAATGATCATGGTAATACACATATAACCATTTTCATAAAAATTCTGATATTTATTGCATCGATGGTGAGGAACTGTTCAATTGGTTATGAAAATGACTTACAAGAATGCAAAAAACTATTGAAACGTTGAATGCTGATAATTTTATATGATAATTAAACAAAGATTGCTCTCAAGTAACATCAAGTAATCTATCTTTGGAAACTAGCTGCGTGGCAGTAAATTACAAATGAGATGACCGAGTACAAAAATCATTTTAAAAAAATTTAATCTATTAGAGAACAATTTTTCCAACATGAAGAGTTTTCAAAACAAAATCAAAAATGAATTGACAAATCAATTCAACGAATCAATGGATCAATTCAACACTAAGAATCAATTGATGGAAAAAAAATCTTTTGCCACAGCTTTATTTGAAACTAAAAAATACAATGTTCCAACTGAACATCTTTGTATCATAAAGTCAAATTCGTGAAAAACATTCACCCTATGTTTACCAAAAAAGATCTGCCTGATATGATTTTAAACCAAAATGATGAAATTCGTCAAGTAATTGATGATCCAAAGGAATTGTTCAAAATTATATTTGTTAAAAATGATTGAAACATGCAATTGCCCTGGCTACACCGAATTGTGGTAATTGTGAATAAGCAATGGAAAAATCTTTATTGATTACAATGTCTATACTATTGCAAATTATGTCTCAGTTACCCAATGCTATTGATGCCTTTGTTTTGGAAAAAAATGATTTTAGAAATGAACAAGTGTGTGTCAAATGAGTTGGCCCAAATCATTTTAGTGCTAAATGTCTTCAATCGTCATTCTCTTGCATAAATTGTAAATGGAAGAATCCATCAAAACTAATGGGTAGCAACGAATCATAATGCATTAAGCAAATCATGTCCAACTAATTGTGTTTTAACAAATAATATGAAAAAATGAATCGTTTATGGAAATAATTTCAAGATTGCAATTTTTCAGATTAAATAATTATTTTTTATTGGTTTTTCATTGTATATTATAGATTATCAATAATATAGATAGATAAATGATTAAATAATTCAATAATTTGTAACAGTCGTTTTATATAATTCCCGGTCTGGTCGGGTATCCGGGCTTCTGAAGGGATATTTTCTGTTTACGAAGTTTATCCATCCTAATTAAAAAAGAAAAAATTGTCTAAGTTCGCGCCAACAAATTTTCCAAACTATCATGTTTGTCACAACCAAGTTAATATTGTTGGCTCAGTTGCAAGCTAATCGAATGGTCATTATGGCCTCGAGACATTTTACCCTTTCACCTTTCAAAATGTAAGCTATGCTCCACCTTGTAAAATGGTTGTTTAACTTTAACAGTTCATTTTGATGGTTATCAAAATGAACAAACATGCTTGCAAGCATTTTGCTTGACGGTTGGAAAAAATATTTTACATTTGGTCTTTGTGCAAAAATGCTCGTTTTTTTTCTCAAGCTTCGTCACTCGTCTTGTTCATTTTTTCATTGCTGATTTCGGACAATTTTTGGTGAAATGATCATGAAATTCTCAATTTTATCGGGTTATAATGATTATTTGGTACTGACTTTGTTCCATCACAAATGTTAACCAATATTTCGGGTATGTCTCATTTTATGATATTTCACTAACTTTCCATTTCTAGTTTTACTGATTTCTCATTGACATGAGAAAAATTCATAGCTATTTGGTAAGTTTGGTTATTATACTTGATAACGTTATGTTTTTTTAGGTTTGTTTCTGAAATTCGATTTTTCATCATGTTAGATATTGATTTGGCGGTTTCAGTCTTCAGTGGCATCAGATTCAAGAAAAGCTCAGTAATGTTCAACTTTAAGTTAGGAATAGGATAGGATAGGCTAGGTTTAGGAACATGATCTGAGCTTTTTCCTATTGGATTTGATGCTAGTTGAAGTTTTGAAACCAATGAATCAATTGACAAACATGATTAATTTTCGAAGATTCACGAAATGAAACACATAGTTGAAAGTGGTAATGGTAAGCAAATGAATGAATTGATTGACCGAAAAAACTAATATTTATTTCCATTTAGGTGAACATTTTGGAAATTGAATCTGGAATCAAGCCAGTTGGAGAAATCAGAGATCATGGTATGTAAATTGTTCAATTGATTACCCAAACTAACAACTATTTTCTTGACTCGTTTTCTAGATTCATTTTGGAAAAGGACAACGGAATGCACATTACGATAGATTTTTATTTACATGGTATGTGATTCTTGATTGAAATGATTGAAATAACTAACGAATTTCTTTATTTAAGATCGACAACTAGTCTTGGATCATAAAGATTGGATTGGCGAACATATGCTCATGGTCATTGGTTAATTTATAAATGGATCAATATGGACGACGAAAATTGGATCGTATAATTTGGTTTTTTAATTATTGTCATCATTGCTTTATTAATTTGGAAAAAAAATTTTAATCCTAATATGGGGGTAAAATTAATGAAGTGAATGGGGGGCAAAATGACTTCAAATTTGGAGGGTAAACTGCAGGGTTAACAAAACTTCAAATTTGGAGGGTATATATGGTGAAGCGTTCATATACAATGTTACATAAGCTGCAAGTTTGCAGGGTAAACTTCAGGGTAACCAAAAATGCAAATTTGAAGTGTAAGTTACATTGTATATGAACGGCCCCTTCATTGCAGGGTAAACTGCAAATTTACATTTTTGGTTACCATGCTTACTTTTGGCTCTGTGAACCCTTGATTTCATCATCATTAATTTAACTTTTGAGTGATCGGGTTTTTCTGTTTTTCATCTTTAAATCGTTTAAAGCGAGAAATTGGTTCAATGGAAATTAGTCCAGATACAAAGAAAATGATCGAAGAGAAACGCAAGCAAGCACAAGAACGATATTATCGTCAATTGGAAATGAAACGTAAAGTGAATGAAGAGAATAAAATGAATAATACGATTCATCATACATCGAAATATTTTTGTACCGAACGTAAATCGACAAATGTCATGGCAAATTCAAATCAATCGAGTGGTAATTCTTCACCTATGAAACAGCCGAATTCCTTCACAAAGATAAGTGATCGAAATGAAATAAAAAAAAATACGGTTAAACCACCATCATCATCAGTTTCATCATCGATGCCTGCCAAAACAGTGATCAAAAAAACAATGTCTTTGTACCTCTTGGATAATTTACGTTTTATGGTGCGTGTTGATTATGAAGAAGAATTCATCAAGAAATTTAGAAACTATGAAGGACGACAATATGATCCAGTGAAAAAAACATGGTCATTTCCACTTAAAGAATTCGAACGATTTATGGCTGATATGAAAGAATTGAAGAAACAAAATTTTGATATAAGTTTCGACAAAAATATTCCTCAATCCTTGACCAAAAAATTACTCGAATATAATAATATACACAACGTGAAAATTGATTTATCCGAAAGATTAGAATCGGATTTTTATAATAAACTTTATCCATATCAACGTGAAGGTATTATATTCGGCATAAAACGTGATGGAAAATTGTTGATTGCTGATGACATGGGTCTTGGTAAAACAATACAAGCAATCGGATTGGCCAAGTGGTTCCGTGATGATTGGCCATTGATAATCATTTGTCCATCATCATTGCGATATCAATGGAAAGTGAAAATATTGGAATATTCACCAGATATTAATGAAAAAGATATTTTCGTTGTAACGACAAGTAAAGATTTACTTCCATGTGTTCCAATCACAATTACTAGTTATGATTTAATGGTACGTATGAAAGATCGTTTAACAATTGGTGCGAATCGATTTTATCGAATGATTATAATGGATGAATCACATTATATTAAAACGGATGAATCACAAAGAACAATGGTTGCACGTGAAATTGCACGTTCATGTCAACGAATCATTCTTTTGTCGGGAACACCGGCTCTTTCTCGTCCAATTGGTAATTTTGTTTAATTTATTTGTGAAATAATTTTTAAAAATTCCAATTTTTTCTTTAGAACTATTCCCACAAATTAATCTAATTGCCCGAGATATTTTCCCATGCAAACATTCATTCGGTGTTCGTTATTGTAACGCTAAACAAAGAACATTTTTTGCAAATGGCAGACCAAAAACCGTTTGGGATTATAAAGGTGCAGATAATTTGGATGAATTACGCATCATTCTAGAGAATACAATCATGATACGTAGACTAAAAAACAATGTCTTGAATGAGCTGCCCACCAAAAGACGTGAAATGGTTTGAATTTTTTTTTCTGAAAAATTTCCTTTATTTTTTAAATTTGTTTTTTGACAGTTTTCTTTACCAATGGATCATTTGTCAGCACTTGAACGTGCCCAATTGAATTCTTATATGGTGATGATGAAGAAATCCAAAATTTATAACGATAAAAGACATATTATAATGGAATGTTTTCAAAAATCGGCCGAAAAAAAAATTACTGCTGTGATGAAATATTTAGCCGAACTGTTAGAAAAGGATATCAAATTAATCTGTTTTTGTCACCATATGGTCATGATGAATGGCGTGGAACAAATGTTACGAAAAAAACGTGTCAATTTCATCCGTATTGATGGTAGCACACCGGCAAAAGATCGACAGGAAGCGTGTAATGTATTTCAAAGTGAAGCAAAATATAAAGTGGCCTTACTCAGTCTAACGGCATGTGCTACTGGATTAAATTTGACGGCAGCATCAATGGTCATATTTACTGAATTATTTTGGACCCCAGGAATATTGGCACAAGCTGAAGATCGTGCACATCGTATTGGACAATCCAATGCTGTACGTGTCATTTATCTGGTGGCTAAAGGTACAATTGATGAAAAACTGTGGCCATTATTGTGTAAAAAATTGGAAATCTTGAACAAAACTGGCCTAAGCCGTGATACGTATGATGGTACCTTTAATCCACTTGCAGCTAATGAAGATCAATTATTATTGACAGATTTTTTCAGTTATTTGGATCAAGATACTGAGGATAATAAGGATGGTGGAAACATTCACAAAAATCAACAACCAACAACAGAATAATTGAATCTGTATTCCAATTCATTACGAATTTTGAGTTTTTTCTTTTTTTCACATTTTCAAAAATTAATGTTGGCCTTTTTTTTAAAAAAATTTGAATCTTTTTTAACTTTGATAAATATAAATGTCTTTAATGCGTATTTTTTTCTTTTCTAAAACTCATGTGTGGATTGCAATCTTTTTTGTTCATCATCATCATCATCGTCGTCGCCGTTTGGAGAAAAAAGTAATAATGACCTCGAAGAGTATAAAGTATAGTAGTTTTCCCCTTTGCATGAATTCGTGTGTATGATGAGCGTATAAATTCAAACAAGTTAACGTCGTATATATACCCCGCAATCACAAGCATCACCACTTTTTATATATGTAAAATATAGTGGAGGTGGCTTAATGATCACCACAACCATTCATTTATTGATTATCATCATCTTTTTTCTTCTATTTCAATTTTGTTTGGATAAATTTTTGTTTTTGAATAAAAAAATGATGATGGTCTATTTTGGTGAACGGGTTATTTATTGTTGTTGACATCATGATCCATGTAGAGAGTCCGCAAAAAAAAACATAGAAAGAGAAAAAAAGTGTCTGCGAGAGAGTGAAACTGAAAATTGCATCAAACAAAAAATGTTATAGATTCAAAGGTGGTAAATTATTATATCTCATCTATTTTAGATTTTTTCAACAAAAAAAATGGTCAAATGTTGCATTCAAACATTGTGGCTGTTGTTTTTGTTTCCGATAGCTAGCGCGACCAGCTGACATTGTAGTTAATTGTTAACAATTGTTGTTGATTTTTGTTGCAACAATGATCATGTTGCGCATGTTGTTGTTGATTTTTTTTTTTTTTTTGTTGAATAGCGTCGCGTAAAATAGCTGGATAAAAAAATTAATCGTATTTTAAAATTTTTAAAAATTTTCTTTCACAACTTCAATTTAATCAAGCAAGCTATAAAATAATTTGTCAATAAATCAAATTTTTTTTTGTTAAAGCTACAATATAATCAAGCCATAGCCTAACGTAGTCAGAATAATCGTCTGCAATTCATACTTGTAACAATAAAATTGTCGAATGTTTATGTATTATCTAAAATTATTGTGTTGAATGATGATTGAAAAAATTATTGTGACCATTACCATCTATTTATTTTTTTCAATATGTCAAATGACTGCGCGTGTTTTTCGTGTGTGTCATGTGTGTTTAGAATGGATACATAAAAATTATCATTCAAAATAGAGTCGACTCAAATCGAAGCTTCCTTTTTCAAAAAGTTATACTCCCTTTCTCTACATCGTATTTTGTTATCGTCGTCGTTGTCGTCGTAATAAACACATTCGATTGAGATGGATACACAGGATCTCGTTTTTTTTTCATTTCAACCACGAACCAACCAACCAACCAACCACCACAATATATACATTTTTGATGATTTTTTCAACATTCACAATTGATTTGGTATTTGTATCACACACACACACATCAAATTGCGTTTCCACCACTATTTCTCGTTCTCACCATTCATTCATTTGCTTTTTGTGCTTTAAAAGTCTGATTTTTTTCGTTCATTTGTTTCACCATCATTAAAGAAGAATAAAGTTTGTCTTCTGTCCAGGCTAATGTACCACTTCTACTGCTATTTGCTGCTATGAATTCTATCAAATTTTTATCATCGCACACACACGCGCACACAAATATATAGAAAACATTTAAACCAATTTCAACTATATCGACAATAGAGAGAAAGACTGCCTTTATTTACTATTTTGTGTCCATAAATATAATTCTTTTTTTTTTTGGACAAATTCTCTCTCACTCGATCGAATAGAAAAAAACTAATTTCATTTCGTTTCTCTTACGCGACGTCTGTCTTTCGCTGTTGTATGTTTGTGTGTGTGTGTGTATGTTTTTCTTATCCTCGATGACTCTAACACCAACAACAACAACAACAACAACATAGCTTATTTTTTCTTCTTTCTCTACTTTTTTCTTTCGTTCAAACACTATACATATACAGCAGAGAAAACAAAGATATTCAACAACGAAAAAAATTATCATCATCATCATTTTTTCTATAACTAAACATTTGGTCAAATATGATTATAATATATTCAGACTAAGCAAAAGAAAAAGATTCTTTTTCTCTTTTTTTTTTGTTGATCCTTGGGATGTGTATGATCATCGTGAAAAAAGAAAGAAATAAAGAATACGACAACAAAATTCTTTCTTTAAAAAGAACAACAGAATTTACACAAATACAGTGTGTGTTTGAATGAATGAGTGAGCCAAACAGAGAATTCAAGATCATTTGTAACGGATAAAGAGAGAAGTGGTGTTTTTTGTTTGTGTGGATCATCATCATCATCACCTGATTGATTGATCACATTTTTTGTTGTGTGTGTGTGTGTGTGTGTCCAGAGATAATAAAATAAGCCTTTTTTCCCATTTCATCATCATCAGAATGTAAGTTTTGTTCTTTTGAATTAATCGACTCTGAAGATTTTTTTTTTTTTGGAATTTGATCTAATCGATTATATTTCATTAGATTTCTATTATAATCATCATCATCATTAGAAGATGTCTTCACCATCGGCTGGAAAACGTCGTATGGATACGGACGTTCTAAAATTGTATGTTTGTTTGTTTAATCTTTAGATTTTGTTGTTTGTCTAAATTTTCTTTTTTTGTTGCATCATTTTTTTTTAGAATCGAATCCAAACATGAAGTAACAATTCTAGGTGGCCTAAATGAATTTTGTGTCAAATTTTTTGGTCCAAAAGGAAGTAAGAGAATTTTAATTTCTTTCATGTTTGTTGATGATTAATCAGATAATTTTCTTCTTTAGCATCATATGAAGGTGGCGTTTGGAAAGTTCGTGTTGATTTACCTGAAAAATATCCATTCAAATCGCCATCGATTGGATTTATGAATAAAATATTCCATCCAAATATTGATGAAGTGTATGTATTATGTATTTCACATGTGGATTATAATAAACAAACAATTCTTTCTCTGTCTTTTTAGTTCGGGCACCGTATGCCTGGATGTCATTAATCAAGCATGGACAGCATTATATGATCTATCCAATATATTTGAATCTTTTTTACCTCAATTATTAACCTATCCGAATCCAATCGATCCATTGAATGGTGATGCAGCAGCCATGTATCTACATAAACCAGAAGAATATAAAAGAAAAGTTAGAGGCAAGTTTTGGTTATTTTTTTTGTATTTGAAAAAAAGTTGCCAATCATTTGGTTTTTTTTATTATCAAAAACCAAATAGATTATGTTAAAAAATATGCGACAGAAGATGCATTACGTGAACAGGAAGAAGAATCTGATTCAAGTGAAAGCACAATGAGTGATTTTAGTGATGATGAAACCAAAGATATGGAACTTTAACACTTTATTTCCATCATCATCACCATTATCATCATTATAATCATCATCATAGAAGAAAATGTTTGAAACACATACAGAATCAAACAGAATTTATCCCAATCTAATACCCAATCAATTTATAATAATCAGCTTCATTGCATGATTTATTCATTTTCTTTTTCTTTTTAAATAATAATTTGTTAAATATTCATATGTTTATCGATTTATCATTCGTTTTATTATAATAATTCGTTATTTTTTCCTTTCTCTCTCTCTATGTCAGTTGCTCTCGAAACCACAAACACAAACACTCAAACAATATATACACTGTCTTTGTTTTGTTTTATTTTATTTTTTTTTGTTGTTGTCTGTTGTTGTTGTTGTTGTCAATTTCAGCAATTACATCGACAACGAAAACAACAACAATTCTGTATGGTTCAAATTTTTTTTTCAATTACAACACACACACCTACACCTACATACTTCCTAATTTTGTATAAATTTTACATATTCCTCTCTCTTTTTCTCTCTGTTTGTTTGTTTGTTGATGATGATGATGATGGTGGTGGTGGTGGTGGTGGTGTCGATGTTGGTGTATTAGTCTGGAGGGTATATAGTAAACTGTTTTTTATTTGCAATTTTGTCAACCACAACACACAATTAACACATCAAACGATGAAACAACACAACAGCAACAATATATCGAATCCATCTCGCGAAAGGGTGTCGTCTGAATCCAGTGTTTGTTTTTTTTCTCTCTATATACTACACATTTTTTCAAATTGGTCTCTCATTATAATCATCATCAGCATCATAATTCAATTTCCTTCATCATCATCATCATCATCGTCATCAACAATTATATTGGCCATTAATCATAATAATCATCATTTCATTTCAACGAAAAAAAATCAATAATCATTCGATGATCTTTTTTTTCTTTCTCTGTTTTTTTTTGTTCGCAATAATGCCAACAGTCTTTTCAATTTTCTTCTTCTGATGCATGCTGTTGATGTTGTTTGTTTGCTCTTCGATAATGATGAGATAGCCAAGTTTTTTTTTACACACAAAAACAAATAAACCACATGATGATGTATGATTTGATTTGTATACAATTTGTATTTCCTCGATCGTAGTGGAATATTTTCGTTCTGGGAAACACACACATACACACACACAAATTTATATCAGAAGAATCAAGAAATTAAAACATCAGGATCAACAATTAAAATCAATTGACGATTTGAATGGATGATTTACACACCATTGTCAAAAAATATGCGAAACGAAAAAACAAAACAAAACAAAAAAATCATCATCCAACCAACTGACAATTAGCATACCAATCAATCAATATATTCGACTAATCGATTTTTTAGGCTAGGTTAATAATAATAATTTTTTAAACTAATTTTTTTTTATTTTCATATTCTGTTTGTTTTTTTTCTTTCTGTTTTGTTCACTTTTATCCCTTTCTCCACCACGAACCAACATTTTATCCACGTTCGTTCAATATTATATTTTCGTATCCGATTGAGTTCACGATATTTTTTTTCGTTTATTCTATTGCTTTATTATTCCTATTTAATAACCACAATTTTTTTCGATGATGATGATGATTGTAATTTTTTTCTGTGTGTGTGTGTGAATGTTTCAACAAAATTCAAGTGAAAAATGTGAACAAAAAAGAACTATCTCGAATGGTTTATTTGTTTGTTGCATCGATAGATGGATGAATGAAAAACAAAAAAAAAATTATATCGAACATCATGACAAAAACAACATCACAACATCTGCATCATATATATTTTGATTGATATATATAACATATTAATAATAATAAAAATGCATCTATATTATATTGAAAAAAAAGTTTAATTTTAATCGAAATTGACCATCATCATGAGAGGATGGACTCGAAATGCAAATTTTCGTTTTGTTTTTGATAAATAAAATAACCAATAACCAATGTGTTTTGGATATAATTCATTCGAATTTTTTAAATTATTCAAATCTAACGCCATCTAGTGTAGGTTACTCGGCACTATTGAGTCAATGTTATAATTTTTCTATTTTCTCAGCTGTAGAAACTGAATGAATGAATGAATTCTTTCACACAAATCGCAAATTAATGTTCTGCTAAAATGGCGAATGTAATCAAAAAGGTTCGGTTAAATTTTTATTTGTTTCATCATTTCAATTTTGTAATTTTTATTTGCAGACTACTCGGCTTACTGGACTAAAAGTTTTGAAGAATCCAAGAGAGGTGACCTTTTTTTTGGAATTCTGTTCACTTACTAATGATTCACATTCTAAAATTAGGAACTAATTTCATGTTATAAAAATATCATCAAAGCTTTGAATGAAATGCCCGATAATGCTGCTTATAAACGATATACAATGGCCACCGTTAATCAACGATTAACGATTGTTCAGAACGTAATTTGTTTTTTTTTGAATTTCAATTACAATTCAAAAATTTTTTTCTTAGGAAAATGACCCATCACATATTGAACAGAAAATTAAATGTGGCCAATGTGAAGAATTATTAATTCAGGCACAAAATGAATTATCATTAGCACGAAGATTTTTAGTGGAAAAACCATGGGAGCCATTGGCACGACAATCACCAGATAATCAATGGAAATGGCCCATATAATCATTTGGCAATTTAATAATTTGATCACTTTAATTCAATTTTAAAAAATAAAAATTAGCCTTTAATAACAGCAATTGGGCGTAATTTGATACATTTTTTACTGATGCCGGCAGCATGACAAGTATCGACAACATCAGTTACATTTTTATAAGATTCTGGTGCTTCTTCCATTACTAATTTTGGTGATGCTACACGAATCGATATACCTTTTGCAGCTAAATCATTCAGGACATCTTGATAATCAAGATTTCTTCTTGATTTTGCACGTGACAAGGCACGACCAGCACCGTGACATGTAGTGCCGAATGTTTCTTGCATTCCAGTTTCCGTCCCCGTTAATACATAGCTACATGTTCCCATTGTACCACCAATTAGAACAGGTTGTCCAGTGATCTAAAGACAAAGAAAATATGAAAAAAGTGAAATTTTAAAAAAATGTACATTCTCCTACCTGATAATCCACAGGAATCAATGGATGATGTGGTGGAAAAGCTCTTGTCGATCCTTTACGATGAACAAGTAATGTTTTGGGTTTATCATCCACCAAGTGTTGTTCCACTTTAGCAATATTATGTGAAACATCATAGATGAGATGCATATCTAAATCATCGGGTGTTGAATGAAAAGTTTTCGCGAAAGCTTGACGTGTCAAAAATGTCATTGAGCTACGATTGACCCAAGCAAAATTGGCAGCCGCCGCCATTGCTTTTAGATAATTTTGACCTTCGACAGAATTGATTCGTGCACATGCCAATTGTCGATCGTTCACTTTGATGTTATCTCGTTTCATTGCTTTTTCCATCTCCAATAGAGCATCGGTTGCAACTTGATGTCCAAAACCACGGCTACCACTGTGAATCATAACACAAATTTGTCCAATGGATTCAATGCCCATTTTTTCGGCATTATATTTATCAAAAATTTCGTCCACCACTTGAATTTCAGCATAATGATTACCGGCACCTAATGTACCAAGTTGTGGTAATCCACGTTTTTTCGCCTTCATCGATACTTTACTTGGATCAGCATTTAGCATACGACCATATTCTTCACAATGTTCTTTATCTTCGGCCCATGCATAACCTTCGCGCATTGACCAATCGACACCCATTTCTAAAGCTTCTTCTAAATCTTTAGCATTCATTGGAATAATACCTTTTGACCCGACACCCACAGGAATATGATCAAATAATGATTGTGCCAATTCTTCTTTAACAGGTTGGACATCTTTCTCGAATAAATTGGTTCGTAAAAACCGTACACCACAATTGATATCGAAACCAACACCACCCGGAGAAACGATTGCTTCAGGATCATTCATATCGAATGCAGCCATATTACCTATGGCAAAACCATATCCAGAATGAATATCGGGCAAACCAATCGATTTCCCTATGATACCAGGCAATGCAGCAACATTGGCAATTTGTTTAACGCCGGGTAAAAAACCACCAAAACCTCCAGCACTACATGATGTTCGTAATTCTTCAAACATAAGTTTCTCCAAATGATCATTGACATAGAAAATTCCTTCCACCTTCATACCAGGTACAAATCCTTTTTTTATAGTCCAGCTATTGGAATTATTTCGAACCAAATATTCCAATTCTTCTTCATATGTTCGAGCCATTTTTTTCTTCTTTAATCAAATATAAAATAAAATTTGTTCAATTTGTACAATTCAATTTCTATCAATCAAACACAATCACTGTGAGAGATATTTTGAATAAACACATGCTTTTCTATTTTCACCCAACCCTAATAATCAATTCGAAATAGTCAATTATTAAAAGGAGAAACTTTTTTATTGTTCGCGCGAATCAATTCACAATTCGTCCTCGAACATAAAATGAATTGTTTGGCCTTTTTGGAATTTCATAATGCGCAGCTTCAAAGAATTGTTGTCATTTGCATCCTCTATCGTAGCATCCTACTAAAAATTCCAACATTTTTTTTTGGTTGTAAATCATGGATAAATGAAATTAATAAAAAATTCTTTGGCCAAAATGATTCACCGGATATTACAATCGTTATTTCCTTTTTATTTTGTATTTGCTGCTGCACAATATGATTATAATGATCGAACAGCAGTGAATAATCACCAGCAAATTGATTTAAATCATCGATATAATCTTGTAAATAATCCAAAAATATTTAACATTGGTGCAATACTCAGTGAATTCAAACACATTGAAGCATTTATCAACGGGATTCAAGATGCAAGTAATGAATCATTACCAGATGGCATGCGATTACTTCCGAAAGCATTTGAAATGTCACAAAATCCAATACATACTGCACGTGATGTATGTGATAAATTAATCTCATCCGAAGTTTATGCAGTGATTGTATCACATCCACAACATGGTAAACAATCACCGACATCGGTTTCATTCACTTGTGGTTTCTATAATATTCCGGGTAATTAATTGATTGATTTTTTAAAGATTGAAAATATTTTCATTTTTCCATTTTTTTGGTGGGTTTAGTGATTGGAATATCGAATCGAGATAGTAGCCTATCGAATAAGAATTTACATCCATTCTTTCTACGAACACTGTTTGTATCGCTTGAGGAGGTTTTTTCGGATGAAATTTTGATGAAATTTTTTTCTTTTCATTTTCATAGTCCACCATTTTCACATCAAGCCGATGTATGGATCAAGATGTTGTTGTATTTGGATTATAAAAATGTTGTCATCATTCATAGTTCAGATAGCGATGGCCGAGCGACATTGAATCGTTTTCAAAATCTGGCCGATGCCAGTCATAGTAAGTTATTTTCATTTTCATTTGATTGGTTTTAACTCTTTGTCTTTTTTGCGACAGTTAAAATTGAATCCATAATTGAGTATGAAACTGCGGGCATGTTGAATATTGGTCAAGATTTGAAAAATGTTCGTGATAATTATTATTGTCGTGTACTATTATTATATGCAAATGCTGATGATGCTGAAATTATTTTCCATGAAATACATCGACAAGGAATGGATCAATCGGGTTATGTTTGGATTGTATCCGAACAGGTATTTGATCAATTGATTTTCAATGAATTTCATAAGCTACAAAATTGTTTTTCTTCATCCAAGGCATTGAAAGCAAAGAATCGTTTTGATGGTATCTTGTCATTACGTCTAGAATTATCCGATGAAGAATTAATGATCGGAGATAGCGTTAAGATATTGACAAATGCATTATTGGATATGTATTATCGACATAATATCAGTGTACCACCAACAAATTGTCGCCTTACATCCTCGAATAAATGGCAAACCGGCCAGCTATTTTATGATTATCTCAAAAAACAAACACTAAATGGACGTAGTGGACGTATTACGTTCGATTCATCCGGTGATCGATTGTATTCAGAATATGAAATCTTAAATATTTATGATAATAATGAAATTAGTGTTGGAAAATATTCATTCGATTCGAATCAAATGAAAATGAAATTATCACTATTATTACACCTGATACGATGGTCCGGGAGAGAAATGCAAAAACCATTAGGTTATTTTGTACCTAAACATCTGAAAATTGGTACATTAGCCGAGAAGCCATTTGTATGGGCACGACGACCACCACTATCGGATGATAGTAATGAATGTCAAAAAGATCAAATTTTTTGTCCAAAATTTAACCAAACCACTGATCATTATGATAATTATTGCTGTCAAGGTTATTGTGTTGATCTTTTGAAAGAACTGGCAAAACGTCTGAATTTCTCATATGATCTTGAATTGGTCAGCGACGGTCAATACGGTAATTTGAATTTTGTTGATGAATCCGGCCCTAGAATCTGGACTGGTCTGGTTGGCGAATTAGTTAATAGACGTATCGATATGGTTGTTGCACCATTGACAGCAAATCCTGAACGAAGTCAAGTAATTTCATTCTCAAAACCATTCAAATATGAAGGTATCACGATCCTACAGAAACGTCAACCACGTAAAGCTACATTGGCATCATTTTTACAACCATTCCAGAATACATTATGGTTATTAGGTAAGTAAATGATGATTCATCAATTCGATCGATTCATTTATTTTGATTTTTTCTTACAGTTTTGGTATCCGTACATATTGTAGCATTAGCCTTATATCTATTGGATCTATTTAGTCCATTGGGCAATTATAAAATCAATAATGTTGCATTATCGGATGAACCGTCATTAAATTTATCCAGTGCTATTTGGTTTTCATGGGGTGTATTACTTAATAGCGGAATTGGCGAAAGTATTTATCGATTTGCTATGTTTATTCTATTCATTTTTTATTTATTTATTTTGTCAGGAACACCGCGAAGTTTCAGTGCAAGAGTACTTGGTATGGTTTGGTATGTGCGTTCACTGATTTAGAATTTTAAACTTTAATTATAATTATAATTATCCATTGGAAATAGGGCTGGTTTTGCTATGATTGTTGTAGCATCATATACGGCAAATTTAGCTGCCTTTCTTGTATTGAATCCACGTGATGATCATACATTATCCGGTATTGAAGATTCAAGATTACGAAATCCAACCGAAAGTTTTACATTTGCAACAGTCAAAGGAAGTGCAGTGGAAATGTTTTTCCGTAGTCAAGTACATTTATTCAATGCTTATCGCACGATGGAAGAAACAAATCGTAATAGTCCCGAAGAAGCAATTGAGGCAATCAAAAAAGGTAATCTAATTTACTACTATTACCTGCAGTTTGGTTAATTGCTTGATTTTGTTTTCCTTCACAGGGGAATTAGATGCATTCATTTGGGATTCACCACGATTAGAATATGAAACATCCCAGAATTGTGAATTTGTATTGTCAGGTGAATTGTTTGGCCGGTCTGGTTATTGTATTGGATTACAAAAAAATAGTTTCTGGACTGATGAAGTTACATTGGCTTTACTTCGTATGCATGAAAGTGGTTTCATGGAATCATTGGATAATAAATGGATATTATCCGATGATAAAGACTGTGAAGGTAAAATGGAACATTTCCCATACACATTGGGTATGAAAAATATGGCCGGTGTATTCATATTGGTATTTTCTGGTGTTATTACTTCATTTGGATTGATTATCATCGAAATAATCTATAAAAAACGCAAAGCAAGAAAATTACATCGATTATCTATTGCTAAAAAAATGGCTATTCGTTGGTTGGTTAAAGTTAAAGTAAGTTTTGATTATTGATAATGATTTGTGATAATTTTATTATTTCAAAACTCATCATTATAAATAATAGAGAAATCATGCAAAATATATGATGAAATCATCATCACAATCACCATCGATGACAATGATAACATCAAAATCGAAAAATATTGAAATCTATGATAAAAATGACAATCAATTTGGTTATCAATCATTTATGATACCACCACCGCCACCACCACCACAAAGATCTGTGCCATATATGTTGGATCGACCAACGAACAAACAACAACGGACAGCCCAGCAAAAAATCTATGAATTTAAACAAAGAAAATTTCTTGGATATTATTAATTAATCTGTGTTTAAATCAACAAATGCATTGCTATCCATACGATGGCCATAAATGTACAAATGACTGACTGAATTTCCCCTTTTCAATGAATTATATTCTTTAAAATGTTAGAATCTCGACTTACGAGCAATTACGAACAGTTCAGTTCAGTTCTTCTGGAACTGATATACCGTCTGTATTTTTCTTTTTTAAACAACAACAACAACAATAATGAATTAACGAGTCATAATAATTTGTGAAAGTGTGTGTGTGTGTGTGTGTGAGTGAGTATAATGAAAAATGAGGAATGTGTGTCTCATGAGTGAAATCACATCGAACAAAAGAAAGAAAAATTAACACAAAAATATGGCCGGAAATGTATGCATGTGATGGTATTCAAAAGTGGATTCAAAGTAGCGGATTCTTTTTGATTACATTTTACATTGCATGACAGAGCAGCAATTTTTCAAACAAACACTCACAAACACACACACAAACACGATCCACATTTGAATGATGATAATTGTTAGAAAAATCTATTTGATAAAAAAAATTTTCAAACAAAGTTCAATGAACAAAAAGTAAAATAAAATGAAAAAAAGATATGAAAATGAAACCAAAATAGAAATAAAAAATTCGACAATAATAACCGAATAGTTGATTAATTAAGTAGAATCTAGTTGTTGTTTTTCTTGTTCTTCATTGACAGTAGCAATATCACCAGTATTGGAGAACAATTCTTCATCTTCATTATGATGATGATGCGGATGATGTGAATGATGGCTGTGTTGATTTGGATGATTATGTGGATGTGGATTATGCGAGTGATGTTGATGATGATGATGATGATCATGGTGCGTTATATTGGAAGTTATATCATTATGATGGTTTGTTGTTGTCATTGTAATTGTTGTTGATGAATTATTACACATTGCCAATTTACGCATCTGTCTTATTACGGCTGTTGCATTGTATGCTTGCTAAATTTCATGATTGTCAAAAGAAATTTTTTTTTAAATGGAAATATCTTTTTTGTTCCAAACTTACTTTCCATTTTGTTTTAGCAAAATTTTTCTTCAATTGTTCACTAACAGAACTATGTATATTAATCTCACTAGCAGTGTTTCCGGAGATCCTATTTTTTGGGGTGAGAAAAAAATTCAAATTTAAATTATAGAAACGGAAATCGCAAAAAAATACCATGGATGTAATAGCGCATCTTTACAGGTGAATCGTTTTGAAACATCAACTGGAATTTTTTTTTTTTTTTTTTTTGATTTGATAAAAGATGAAAAAACGAATTTAAGTGAAATTCAGCAGTTATTACAAACAAAACATACCACATATAAGATGACGAATAAAATCTTTGGCTGAATCTGAGATATCATCCCAATACGGACTATCGAATTCAAAATCTCCTTTCAGAATCTGAGCAAAAAGATTTGCATCATTTTCATCATAGAATGGTGGATAACCACAAAGTAATATGTATGCAATAACACCTATACTCCATACATCCACCGATTTTCCATATGGTTTTTGTGCTAGCACCTATTTATTTATATATTTAAATTAAATTGGTGGAAAATACATTAAAATAATTGGCCTCTATATGGCGAATACCTCTGGAGCGACATAACCCGGTGTACCACATGCCGTTGCCATGACACCAGATTCTTCCATTTTTGAAAGACCAAAATCACTAATCATTATTTTTGAATCTTCAGATTGGCTATAATAAAGTAGATTCTCTGGCTGTAAATAAATTGCAGAAATAGAATAGAATATAGAATATAGAATATATGATGATTAAACAAAAACTATGAAAACCAAAACAAACCTTTAGATCTCTATGTACGACACCTTGTGAATGCATATAATCAACAGCTTCCAATATTTGTTTAATCAATAGACTAGCATCTTTTTCTGTATAGCTTCCTTTTCAACAACAATTCTATCAAATAGTTCACCACCGGTCACTCTATTTACGATGATTTTCATAAAAAAAATTTATCAGAAAAAACAATAATCTATTGAGATTTATTCTACATACAATTCCATTACTAAATAGACCTTATTACGATCTTCAAATGTTTCCACTAATTGAACAATATTTTTATGTTTAAGTCTAATACAATCAGATATGATCAGATGATGATTCATTTGTTGAAAGTTAAAGTTGTGAGCAGTGAAAAACAAAACAAAATTAGATAAATGAAAAATCAATCAATCAATCGATTAATTACTTTCTTAAAACTTTAATCTCGTTATCCAATGAATCTTCTTTGCCTTTTAATGCTTTTTTATCGATACATTTAATAGCAACCATTTGACATGGATCATGATGATTTTGTGCCAGATAAACTTGTGAGAAAGCACCACTGGATAGAAAAAAACCAAAAAAACATCGATAAACAATTTTTAGCTATACCACACATATCCTAAACACTTACGTTCCAAGTAAATCTTTTAGCTCATATTTATCTTCCACTCTTGGCATTGGATTCATTTTACCGGTCATCGTTGTTGTTGTTGTCGTCGTTGTCGCTGTTGTCTGTTGGCCATTTGGATTTGAATTAGGATTATTATTTTTGTTGTTACTATTGCTGTTAGTTTTGGTGTTTTCATTTTCGTTCACCTTATTCATTGTTGTTGTTGTCGATGATGATGATGATTGTTGTTGTTGATCTTTAACCTTACCGAATAATGGCATTTTTTAAAATTGTTGTAATCAATGAGATGATATTTCGAATGTTTATTTTCTGGATTTCAAACAACAAAAAAAAAAAATCAAAAGAAAACTATCAATGTGGATGCAGTAGTAGTGGTGATCATCTTTACTTTGAGATTTATGTGGCATTTTATTATTGTAAAAAAAAATTTCTGAATAAGGGGATGCTAAAGATGAGCGGAAGAGAAGGGAAAGCAATAACGACAACAACAACAACTACTACTACTTACATGCTCAATGATAAAGAGAAAAAATAATCGATTATTTTATTATTGCAATGTCGATATTCGATGACGTCTAGAAAAAAAAATTTGACTGAATTATACTTGGATTATAATAATACTTCAAAATGATGATTAGGATGATAAATTCACAAATCACAGATCAAAATCTTAATGACGATGGTGGCGGTTGAAATCAAATCGAATTATTATCAATTGAACTTGAATGATTTTTTGTGCTGCCACTTATATTTTATGACACATTATTTGATATTGTTGTTGTTGATAATAATGATAATTATCATCGAAAATGAATGAACAACAATCAACAATCAATTCATCATCATAATCATCACATCATAATAAAAAAATCGAATCCAATCTAGGTTTGTTGTTGTTGTTTTTTTTGTTGTTATTGTCATTGATGATGATTATGATGCCGTCGATTGATGAGTGGATGCAGTGTGATATATCATCATCATTTACGTCATTTCCATGAAGAAAACATAGACACACACACACACACACACATCGAAACTTTAATCAAAAATCAATGTCCAATGAAAAAAAAATTGTTGAATTTTTTTCTGCTTCTTGTGATCGATGATGATGATCTTTGATCAATAAACAAAAACACTGCCAGAATAACAAAAATTAGATCACAACAACACAAACACCGGATGAATGTTTGTATTCGAAATTCAATGTGTGTGTGTGTTTGTATATTTTGAGAAAATTCATATGTTGTTGTTATTGAAAATTCTCATATTGTTTATATTAGCTATAGCAAAGAAAAAAAAAACAAGTTATTAATATCGTTGAAGGATTGAAAGACAAAAAAGAAAATTTTCCAACATTCTACAATGAGCACCACTATAGTGTATTTTCCCATTTTCCGTTGTGTCATTGAACATTTTGAGCTTAGATGAGATTGTAGTGAACATATAAACATACACTTTCTGCAAAAAAAAAGAAGAAAACAAATGAATGATTAAAAAATCAAATTAAAAAAACAAACAAAAAACAAATCGACCAAAAAAACCGAGAGCAACAGACAAGCAACTCACCAATTTATTGGGGAGCACCAGAAAAATCGTAAAAAAATAATGATGATTACGCTGATACGGTTGTGGTCAGTAAGTGTGTGTTGCTGTTGTTTTTAGGCACCTTGAAATGATCTAAAAACACACACACACACAGCATAAAGTGATGAGCCCAATAACTATACTATAGTTAAGAATTATAAACTAGGAACCAGAAAAAACAACAAACAGAAAAATAAAACTGACGCGCCAATCTATACTAGACAAGCGAAGCAAAACTAAAAAAAAAATCCATTATATATGACGATGGATAATGATATGAGTGCGTGTGTGTTCTGATGATTCTGGTACCAAAATGCATCCAAGAAAAAAAAGAAAATTTTTTCTTTTTACATAATACCGTTTTAGTGTGTCTGTGTGTGTTTGTCTTTCAGAAACAAGTCATAAAGTTTTGTCTGACTTATTTTCAGACAGAAAAAGAGAGAAAGACAATTGTGTGTTGTGTATGTTGTGTGGTGGTCCAAAAATTTATCGAGATTTTTTCTATATGTCTAAATGTCTATTTATATAAAAATATATAGAATCTATAGTAGGAGTCACCTATAGAATTTTTCTTGTTGAAAGAATCAATGATTATAAAGAATGTGAAATTACAACTAGGATCCTAGTTAGTCTAGTTTTATATGGGCCGAAAAGAGACCGCGGTAATTCAAGTAATTTTCATTGAAAAATAATGATGAACAATCATGAAATGAATTTCGAATGTGAAGGGTGAAGAAAATGCGATGATGATGATTATGATTATCGTGCATGATGCAGAGGAAATGATCAAAGTAGTGGTGAAGTGGTGGCGTGCTGGTAGTAGTTTTCGTAATCGTCATTTTTTCATATCGAATTCTTTTGAATTTATTTTATTGTGTGTGTGTGTGTGTGTGTGTTCGAATTCGAATTGTCAAATTCCGATTCCGAATTTCTTTCATCATCATTATCACTTATTATTCTTGTTCATCCCGAATGGTGATAATTTTCACAATTTATATTACACAGTATGGTTCAGCGAATTATGTGGATAATAAATAATAGAGAAAAAAAAATTCTTATATTTGTGTCACCATCATGGTTAAATGAAGCATGGTGATAATCGAAATTCATACGATAAAGTAAAGAAAAAAATTATCGATTTTTTTCATATTATTAGATGGGAAATTAATGGTTCCGGTACAGTTGACATTTTTTTTTTCTTCTTTAGTATCGGATTTTTTCCGTTTCGATGATTGTAGTTTTTTTTTGAAAGAAATGTTCTTTTTTTTCTTCATTTTGATTCAATATTCTTGAAAATGCTCCGGTGGTTATATTTAGAAATGTTGAAAACACCTGAAAATAGAATTTTTGTTTCGGGTAATTTGAAACGGAATTCATGAAAGAAAATCATTAAGACAAAAATATTATGACCAGCATTGTGTAATAACATTTCTGGAATATAGAGGCCGCCATTGCTGTTAATTCCTTGTTCATCAAACACACACACACAGACACACGCACTAACGTAGAAAGAATCAAAGCAATAGTCACAATGTTTAAAGTTTTTTCTCTTGTGCGAATGGCTTTATCATTATCAATTCAGAACGTCTACCATTTTTATTTAATTTTACTATATTTTATGCTTCTAGTACAGCACGAAAAATATTACATTTTACATTGTGACCACTTATGGATGAAATAACATAAGTCGGCATTATAAAGATGATGATGATGATGCCATGCTACTCGACACAAAAAAAGTACAACGATTTGGTTATATTAAACACCCATTGTCTTTAAAGTCAATTTTTTTATTTTCAGTTTATCTTCATAATTTATTTTATTACAATTTCACCATTTTTGTTATTTTGTTGTAAAAGTGAAACCAAAAAACAAAAATGTCAATTCTATTAACACCAGATAAATTGAATCAGGTATGTAAAAAAATGAGAAATGCATTTCCGGAAACTTAAAACTTCTTTGTTCAAAGAAAATCAATCGAAATCTAAACATTGCCCATATGTTTTTTCGAAATAAAGATTACAAGTCTGCAAAAGCGTAAGTGATTTATTGTTTTTTCGAATTCAATTTGTTTAATCTCTTTTTCCATCATATCAATCACAACCAAAGATATGTCGATGAATTACTAGAAATGAAACCAGATTCACATGAAGGTTATAAATTATTATCACAAATCAATGAAGCATTTGGTCAAAATGAAATGGCCCTGAAAAATTATCAAAAATCATTGGAATTAAAAGCGACTGAATCTTATATTGTTCGTGGGGATCAAAATTATCCATCACCATCCAAATTAAAAACGACTTCTAATCGAGCGATTATAATTGGGAATCCTAAAAATGAAAATGGTCCAAATACAAGCCAGGTATATTTTGTTGTTGAGTAATTAATTTCATGATTGAAAACTTTAATTTTTTCCATAGAATACTTCTCCCACAGTGACAGTGGATTCACAAGTTTTCAAAAACATTGACAGTTTGATTGAAAAAAAATTTTCATCCGTAATGCAAGCGATTCAATTACTTTTAGATCAAGTTGCTATTGTTTCTAAAGCTCAAAAAGATACTCCAGATACTACAATGTTAAAAGTATGTGTATAAAATATTCTGATGACGTGGTTATTTTTATTGAAAATTTGAAATTTAATTCATCTATTCATCTATGATTAGCTACAATTGAATGAACTCGATAACAAAATCACAACATTATCGAATAAAAATGATGGAATCAGTAAATATTTGATATCGAATCAAAATCAAAACAAAATATTGACGGAACTAGATAAGGATAAACAAGTATTGAAAATGGAATTGGGTAAATTATCCAATACAATTAAGGAGTTTAACATAAAATTTGAACAAAAATTTAATGAATTGAATGAAAAAATTGAAAATATCAATATTTGCCGCCGAAATGATCGTGGTGGTGGTGGCGGTGGTGGTGGTGGCGATGACGATGACGACGACGACGATGATGATGATTATGACGAGGATTATGACGATGATGAAGAAAATGGTGAAAATTATCGTTTACAAAGTAAGTTAAATTTTCAATGTGAAAAATTAAACTCATTTTTTGCCGTGTTTGTAGATGAAAATGTTAATGATGTGCCATCATTATCATTATTTAAACCAATCACCACCGATCAAAGGCCATTGAATGAATTGTTTATGAAATCAAAACAAGAAAAAAATTTATGGACATGTAACATATGTGCTGTTCCGAATGATGATAATGTTTCCAATTGTGTTTCTTGTGAATCACCTAGATATCCATCGGAAAATCAAGTTGTTAAAAATCTATTTGCTTCACCCGTTACACAATCGCCCCAGCAACAGCAAACATCATCATTTTTTGGTCAAACAAATGCCACCGCCAATACAACATTCAAATTTGGTTCATTAACTTTTTCAGATTCAAAGAATACTAACGACAGCAGCAACAGCACTAGTAGAAACATTGGCGACATAAATGTTAATAATCAAACCATTTCTTTTAAACCAGCAAATTGCTCTGGTAGTCTTTTTGGATTCACAACAACTTCTGCTACGACATCGATGACAAAAACAAACGATTCATTTTCATTTGGTGGTGGTTCATTTTTTTCATTACCCAAAAACGATAATGAAAATTCATCGTTAACTACTACAACATCTCAGATGGTGGGTATTAATAATCCTGATTTGATTATTGGATCAACAGCAAATACAGGAATCCTGAACAAGCCCATTTTATCTGCCATGATTTCATCCACAACAACTGTAGCCCCAACTAAATCGTCATTTTCACTTGCTTCCAATTCTTCGAATGACACTAAAACAACAATAATTCCGCCAGTTTCATTTGTTAATTCAAATTTTTCATTCAATGCAGCCTCATTAAATGTACCAAACCCTACAGTTTCGGCCTCATTATTATTTCCCAGCCAGACTACACCATCATCAAATGCAAATTTAGATGTTTCAACATCGGCTTCATCACCATTTTCTTCGGCATTTCAATTTGGTAACATTTCTAATCAATTTCCAACGTTCAATAATCTAGGACAACAACAACAACAGCAGCAGCAGCAGGCCAATCAATTGTTGTCGTCGTCGACGCCTGGAAAAGCTCAAAATTCTGGATTATTTTCATTTTCTAATAATATGAATTTAGGCCAGAACACAGTGTTGTTTTCACCACCGAAATTAGATTCAAACAATCCACCGCAGCTGCAGCATTTAAATGATGAACATGATCAAAGTGGTGGCGGTGAAGATTTAATTTTACCAAAAGTTAATTTGCCAGAAAATTATGAGCATATTACTGGCGAAGAAGATGAATTGGAAATTTATTGTATGAAACGTGCCAAACTTTATGTTTTCGCGGCACCTGAATATAAAGAACGTGGAACAGGTGAACTGAAAATTTTAAAACATAAAATTACGAAAAAATTACGCATGGTTATGCGTCGTGATCAAGTACATACGGTTTGTTTGAACACTTTGCTCACGAAAGAGAGTAAATTTGATGAAAAACCCAAACACGTGTTGTTTCAATGTATCGATTTTAGTGACAACAAACCGGATCCACAAACATTTGCTCTTAGATCACGAGATTTGAAAGAATTTTTACAATTTATCAATGAAACTTTAGCTACTGCTGATACTGCTGAAGACGAGGAAAACAAATTGCCACAAACTAATATTACTGTTACTGATAAATTCTGTACGGACATTGAGGAGAAGATAAGCAAAGAAAAAGTTGTGTATTCATCACCCGAACAAAAATCTTCCAATGACTCAAATGATGATGATAAAGACATAGAGATTGTGTTTGTTCGTGAACCAAAACCCGAGCATTTGCAAATTATTGATTCTTTAAAATTGCCGAAAAATTTCTTTATTTATGAAGAAAAAGAACCATGTAAAGGATGTATTGGTTGTCAAGTGGATGAATTATGCTGGAATGATCTCACTTGTGATTCACTGTTGAACACCGCAGACCACAAAGAACAACAACAACAAAATGCACAATCCAATTCAACATGGACAACATCAAATGGATTATTTTCTGGCCTTACTGACAATGTTCAAACGGAGAAAATTGATACAATCAAATTGAATAAAGATCCGCATGAATGGGAAACCGAAGCGCAGAGTTTTGTATCGGAAAAAAGTAAAATGTTACCAGACAATTATGTCCATATAACTGGAGAAGAGGACGAAGAAACCGTTTATAAAGAACGAGCTAAACTTTACCGATATGTTAAAGATACCAACGAATTCAAAGAACGTGGTGTTGGTGAAATGAAAATCTTGCGAAAACGTGATACAGGTAATTGATTGGATTCAAATTCATTACAAAAAACTCATTGATTTTCTCTTTTTTTCCATTAGATGATTATCGCTTATTGATGCGTCGTGATAATGTTTATAAAATTATTTGTAATCAAAAAGTTACTGAACATTTACAATTTAAAGAACAAACTTTACAAAGTTTTATATGGGGTTGTAAAGATTTTTCCGAAAATCCCAATGGTGATGATCAAATATTTGTGATTAAATTCAAGGTATTAACAAGTCCCTGTTCTTTTTTGAATTTGAAAAATTAATTTTTTTTCTTCATAATTTTCATCAGGATGTAACACGACGAAATGCCTTTCAACAAGCTGTTAAAAATTGTTTGCCATCCAAATGAATAAATATGATATGGATGATATGAAAAAAAATTCCTTTTGAATACAGCAACAGTATATTTTCGGATAAAATTTTATTGAAAGAAAATAGTTTTTTTCAATTTTTTTCTATAAAGGTCTCCAATAGTTGTTTTGTGTGCATAAATTTCTCACGAATAAAAACAAAATTCTGATCTATTTAAATAAATTCTGTGAAAGTTTTTTTTTTAATCTGTGTGGTTATTTTCATTTAATTTTCAATGGAATATCTCCATAACCATATTTCATTTTATTTTCTTCGTATAGATTTGTCAATTCTTTCAAATATTTTTCATGCAATTCATCCACTTGCGAATCGGTAGGATGTGGTGTTTTTTCCACAAAAATTGGTCTGCCAACTAAAATTTTTTGAATTAAATTTTTGAATATTTTCTACGATCATCATCATCATACGTACCAACTGTAAAAACCTCTTTACGGAATGGCATTATACCGAATGAATATTGAAAAATTCCACGACCGAGAAATAATGGAGGTGTAAATGTTAATAATTTGTACAATTTTTCCTGTATTTTTCGACCAATCGTCATCTCTTCGTGATGCATTGTTTGATAAAGTTCATTTTCACCAAACGATATGACCGGTACTAATGATGCTCTGTTGTTTGCAGCAAAAAAAATTAGTAGAGTTAATAATCAAGAATTTATTCAGAATTACCCATTTTCTAAAGCTACTTTCGCATAACCTCTACGTTTTTTCAATGTCAATATCATTGTATTCGGTATGGTATCAAGTACTTCACGTGCACCACCTATAATTAGACCTACAGCATTTCCGGTTCCTTTTTTCTTACTTTAAATCAATAAACCAAAATTGATGATTGTGAATTTAAATAAAAAATGAATGACATGCCTGAGAATAAATTCCAAACTTTCTTTCGATGCTGAACAAGCACCAGTCAATGAGAATTGTTCACGTTGTAAAGGCATCAGAAATTGAAAATTCAAGGTGATCAAATGTGGTGTAATGCCTGGAAATAATTGGGAAAAATTTGTTCCTTCTGTACCGAAATTAACAAAATGTGAGAAACATAAAATTCCATGTGGATGCATTCCGAATATATAATTTCTATCTGCTGGTAAATCAGTGGTTTTAATCAATTTGACAGGGAAATATTCGGCAAACCAACGCCACATTGGTAAGCGGCGAAACCAATGCCATCTCCGTCCACCTTTTTGCGACAGATGAAATAATTTATTTTCAATTCAATTTCATCATCAATCATCAAACTTTAATTATTTGTGGCTCGTTTACATACCACGAACAGGAGTTTCTTGGTCGAAAATCCACCAACCCAGATAAATTAATGATAAATAATAGTAAGGTGTGAATAATAAATATAATAAAAATATCAAAACCGTGGTTCCTGAGAATAGAAAATTCGAACAATAATAAAATACGGCTGCTGTTTGTAGACGACGTCTTAATGGTATAAAAAGTGGTGCGAACTTGATACCAAGTGCCATTCTTTTATTTCTTTTTTGTTGTTGTTGTTGTTGTTGTTCAAACAGGAAAAAATTATAAATTCGTTACTTATGGCAAATCAAGTACAAATGTTTTTTTCGTTTTCTTGAAACTCATCAATTCAATTCGTCAACACATGTCAGTCATTCAGACATAATGATGTTCGTTTTGGCCACAAATAATATTTTTTAGTGTGAAAAACAAATATAACTTTTCTGTCTTTTTCTTTTTGTTGTTGTTTTTCTGTCTTTTTTTCAAACAAATAATTTATCAAGAAAAATTGATATGAAATCAATGAAAAAACTTGGTTGTTGTTGTTGTTCATGGCCATCATAATCATTAATTAGATAATCATTCAATTCTTTTGCTAAAACAAACGATGAACAGTTGTTGTTTTTCTTCTTTTTTTCGACATTTGTCAATTTATCTATATCGAACAGACATATATTGATTGATTGATAGCAAATGAGATTGGTGATAATATTCTGATTTACACTGTTTCCTTTTCCAACATCAAGTAAATATAATAATAAAATTTTCCTATATACACCCTGGATATTTGAATGAATCGAAATTGATAATTGTTCGAATTTTATTTAAGTAGATTTTCATCTGTTTTTGTTTTTGTTTTTTTTTTTTTTGGGGCACCAATCGATTTGTTTATCTGCAAATAAAGTAAAATTTTTTTTCTATTTCGAAAGAACATTTTTGATGATGATGATGATGATGAAAGCTGCTTGTAATTTTCATTTAATTTTCAATGGAATATCTCCATAACCATATTTCATTTTATTTTCTTCATATAGATTTGTCAATTCTTTCATATATTTTTCATGTAATTCATCCACTTGCGAATCGGTAGGATATGGTGTTTGTTCCACATTTATTGGTCTGCCAACTAAAATCAATGAATGAACGAATCACATTACAATCATTGATCATTATCGATCATCATCATACTTACCAACTGTAAACACCTCTTTACGAAATGGTAACATACCGAATGAATATTGAAAAATGCCACGACCTATAGATGATAATCAATGATAATCATTGGGTTAACAAATCGAGCATTAAGCATACCAAAAAATAATGGAGGAGTAAATGTTAATAATTTGTACAATTTTTCCTGTATTTTTCGAACAATTGTCATCTCTTCATGATGCATTGTTTGATAAAGTTCATTTTCACCGAACGATATGACCGGCACTAATGATGCTCTATTGTTTGCGGCAAAAGAAATTAGTAGAGTCAAGAATTTATTCAGAATTTCGATCATTACTGCATTACCCATTTTCTAGAGCTACTTTCGCATAACCTTTACGTTTTTTCAATGTCAATATCATTGTATTTGGTATGGTATCAAGCACTTCACGTGCACCACCTATAATTAGACCTACAGCATTTCCGGTTCCTTTTTTCTTACTTTAAATCAATAAATCAAAATTGATTGTGAATTTAAATAAAAAATGAATGACTTGCCTGAGAATAAATTCCAAACTTTCTTTCGATGCTGAACAAGCACCAATTGCCAACAACACTTCCCGTTGTAATGGAATTTTAAATTGCAAATTAAGCGTAACCAAATGTGGTGTAATGCCTGGAAATAATTGGGAAAAATTTGTTCCTTCCGACCAAAAATTGACAACATGAGAAAAACACAGAATTCCATGTGGATGTATTCCGAATATATAATTCTTATCCATCGGTAAATCAGCTGTTTTGATCAATCTAACTGGGAAATATTCAGCAAACAAACGCCACGTTGGTAAACGACGAAACCAATTCCATCTTCTTCCACCTTTGAAATTTATCAATTCATCAAATCAAATCCATTGTTTGAATTTTTTTTTACATACCGCGTACACAAGTTTCTTGGTCGAAAATCCACCAACACAGATAGAATAATGATATATAGTAGTATCGTGTGAATAGTAAATACAACAATAACATTGATACAACAGTCACAATAATAAGAAAATTTGTAAATAACAATACAATCGAGGTTTGTAATCGCCGTCTTAGTGGAATAAAAAGTGGTGCAAATTTAATACCTAGTACCATGGTTTTTTCTGGCTTTTTGTTTGAATTCTTTATTCAAACAAACAGAATCAAAAGAAAATATTCGATTCGAGAATTCTTATTTGGTGACTAAAGTAGAAATTTTTTTCAGTCCTTTTTTATTCGTAAACAAACACAAATGTTACAAGGAATTAATGTTGTTGATGGCAATCATTAATTTTCGACGATAATCAAATTGTCTAAAATAACGACGACAACAACAACAACATCAATGATGATGATCATGATAAATGACTGAACATTTTAAGATTGTTGTTGCTCTTCAACCAAAAAAGACAGTTTAATTTGTCACTTTTATCATATCGATTGATTGATAAAATGTACCAGGTTTCCTGAAAAAAAGCGATAAAAAATATCCTTCTAATATGTACACCACTCGGATTCGAATGAATCGAAATTGATTTTTTGAATTTACTATATGAACGCCATCTATTGACAATGGAAATATTGATTCGAATATTTTTAAAACGGCCAAATTGACGGTTCTCCATTATCGCACACACACATTTTCTCACTGTGTGTCTATTTGGTCAGAGGGAGAGAGAGAGAGAGAGGGAGAGAGGCAACAATTGTGTTAACACCATCCATTCAGCAATTTTCATCATCATTAATTTTTCAATCGTTTGTTGAAAACTTCTAATGTTCAAAAAAAGAAAAAAAGAAAAATTATTAAGCAAAAAAAAAAAAACTTGTACATGGTGAGCACAACATCATCATATACACCACAAAAAACCAGTGTTTTTTTCACTTGTTCATCATGATCAACGAAAAGAAGCAGCAGTATCAATAACAACTATAACAACTGCAACAACAACAAAAACAAAGTTTTATATCCCCTTTTTGTCTAAATGAAATGTTCGGTTATTATTTTGTTCACATTAAAATTCCGAGATTTCTTTTTCATTTCTTTCGTAATCCAAAACAAAAACGAAACTACGACTACGACCTAAAACCTTGTGTTGTTATGATAATGATCATAGTACGTTTTTTGTTATTGTTACATGTGTATGTGTGTAAATTCTTTTTTCATTTTTAAATTCGTTATATTATGGATATGGATGATCCGAGTGTATATGTTTCAAGTTGTCTGGTATTTTTTTATATATAGTTGTAGTTAGCATGATGTGATGATTGTTTCATTTTCTCATAATATCGCCTGTTGCTTCTATAATATTCTCATTCTATTCTATATTCTGTAAAATTAATTGTGTGTGTGTATGCGTTTTTTTTGTATATATGTTAATCATGGTCATGATCATGATGATGATGAATCAAGTGAATTTAATTCATTTTTTCATTAAATCCATGGTTGTTTGGCTGTAGTAGTGTGTAGACAAATAATAGTTGGTTTTAACACATATCATCATCAAATCATCTTCTATCTATATGTGGTGTGTTTATTTGTAAAATATAAATATAAATGTAAATATATAAAATGTAAATGGGCACACACACACACACACACTTCGATTTCCATTTACTACTCTGTTTTCGATTATTGTTTACTAATAATTTTCATGTTTTTTAATTTATTCAATAATTGATACAGGAAGAATGATATTGATTGATTAATTGATTTGATCGATCAATCCAGTCATTGATTGATTCAAAATTATCAACAAACCGAAAGTATTTGTTTGGTGGTGTACAAAATCTATATATTTTTTACAATCATTCTTTTCTCACTCTGATCATCATCATCACCCATCGTTCATTCATTCATTTTTTTATTGCTCAATTTGTGTGTTGTGTTATCGTAAAATTTTCTTCTTCAATCATTTAATCATCATCAATCATAAATAATAATGTCATCATCATCATCATCGTCAACAACAACGATAAAACAATCGACACATGTCCATCATTTGGTCATTATAGACAAAGATCTCTATGAAAATGGTCATTTTATTCAATCAATTAAAAAGGTATGTGTGTGAATTTTGTTGTCTATTGCATTAATACAAAATTTGTCAAATTAAAGAATTTCGATTTCAATATCGAACTTCAAACTGATATTATATCATCATCATCATCATCATCCACTGATTTGATCGACAATAATAATGATACGAAAAATGATAATCAACATGATGTTATTATTATTGAAGATAACGTCAATAATAATACAACAGAATCTTCGTTATCATCATCATCATCATCATTGAATAATGGAAAAAATATTCTTTACATAAGTAATTCATTTGAAGGGCCATTATTTCAGCATTTAATATCACAACGTAAACCAATCATTAGTGATATCGTTGTGGAATATTGTATAGAAAATCGAATGGTAAGTATTTACACGCATGTCAAACGAAAATTCAATTTTTTTTTCATTCACTAGAGTCTTCCATTGCCTAAAAATCCATTATACAATTATCTAATGAAAGATTTTGTAATATGTTTTTCGGTTCATGATAAACGTAAAATGGTATGTTTTTGATTTGTTTTTGTTTTGTTAATTAACATGAATTGTGAATCGTTTTTTAGCGCAAAACGAATGATTATCTAAATTTGATACGTTATATGAGTGGACAAAGTCGCAAAGATATGAAAAGTGGTCGATCATTTGAACGTACACATTTGATTGAATCGAAAACCGATTCAGATAATTATAATGTAAATGATTTTTGGTGAATTGAATTTTTATTTTAATCTTTTTCATCATTGAATTTATTTAGCTTGCTGTAATTTATAATTTACCAATTCTTTGTAAAGAATGGATTGATCATGTATGGGAACATCGACGTGAAATTCATTTCAATCCAAACGATGAAAATATTTTGGCCAAATATCGATTGAAACCATTAACAGATCTGCGTATTGCTTTGTATAATTTTTTGCCAAAAGAAATTGCTGAAAAAACCAAATCAATCATTGAATATGGTGGATACTCGATTTCATTTTGTGAATCCAACAACACCACACATTTGGTAATTAAAGATCAGTCTGAAGTGGATTGTCAAGAGATTATGGACAAATACTCGAATCTTCCAAAATTTATCGTTTCAGAATTGGTAAGTGATCCAAATTGAGCCATTTTTTGGATTCATAATTTTCAAATTCGAATTTACTCAGTGGTTAGAAAAATCGCTACAAACAAATTATCGCCAACCTGAAGAGGAATTTTTATTAAATCTTCCATTAATTGAAAATAAATGCAACTCTAGTCCAATGATGGCACATCATGATTGTTCCTTGAAAAATTCAATTTTATCAAGTCCAAATTTTGATAAATCATTTGACGAATCTTTTATCGGTGAGTATGGTTACAATCATCAATTTTTCTTGTCCTTTTATTTTTTTCTTTATTCAATTTTTAGCTGCTGATAAAAATGATCTCAAAAAACAAGCCATTACTCAAGAATTATATCAAACTGAATTTAATTATGTCACAATCTTGAAGGATATTTTAAAGGTTTGCATTCAATGTCGATTGGGAAATATGAAAAATCAGTTGTTTTTTTTTTTGTTGTTCTCTCTGCAAATAGATTTTTAGTGACCCGCTGAAAAATCATCGATTTCCTGGTGAACTACCAAATGAAATTGAATTGAAAACAATTTTTGGTGGTCTACCGCCAATCATTGATGTACATGAGAAAATATTGAACGAATTAGAACCGGTAGTGAAAAATTGGAAAGCTGAAAATGAAATCGGGAAAATTTTCCAAAAGCACGTGAGTGTTTTCTATCCTTTTTAATTAATGTCTGATTTTCATTCAATTTGTTTGGTTGTTCATTTTTTGTTTTAGAAACAAGATTTCCTTACTGTCTATCCACAATATGTAAATTTTTATGAAAAAACCAAAGAAATGATTGAACAATGTGTTAAAAAATATCCACGATTTAAATCTTTTCTAAAGGTAAATTAACCATAATCTATGAAAAGAAAAAATCTAATTCATATAAAAATCAACAGGCTAGTCAAGAATCACATGAATGTCGTAAACAAACGTTTCAAGAATTATTAATCAATCCTATACAAAGATTGCCTCGTATTGAATTATATTTACGAAGTAAGTTTTTTTCGGGCTGAGTCATTAGATTTTCCATTGTGTAATTCATTTCATTTTTTTTCCGTAGCATTATTAAATAGCACTGATCAACTTCATCCTGATCATAAACTTTTGAATGATGCCTTAGAAACAATTATCTCTGTTAACAAGTAAGTATTGATGACGATGATCTTTCATTGCAATTTAATTGATCTTGAAAACGAAACGAAAGAGTAATCAATTTAGGAAAGAAAAAAATTGAAGGACAAATGGAACTATTTGAACTAATGAATAATATTGAAGATTGTCCAGCCACACTATTATCGGCTAATCGACATTTTATTGCTAAATGTGATGTTAAATTATTACTGGAAAAGGATGGCATTGATGATTATGAACAACAGCATATCAGAAAATTGGAAAACAATGTTTTCACTCTGTTATTATTTACTGATTGCATTTTGGTAAGTTTTGTTGTTGATGTTTCGTTATCTGTGAATAACCTTTGTTTTTTTTGTAATTCGAATGATTGTGGTGAAGTTATGTAAAAAAAGAATCGTAACACGAACCACATCGTTGAAAGATCGTGCCAATATACCGATGAGTGCATCGAAAAAATCGAAAAAAACTTATCGTTTTATTGAAACAATCGAATTATCAGCATTAAAATGTATCATCAACGAATTTGAAGAAGCAGGTAAGTGTGGTGCTTTGAATTTTTTTTTTTTTTTTGTTTTGAATATACTAATATTAATATGAATTCTAATCATCATTATTACAGATTTGGATCCCGTTTATTTGGATGCATTTGCATTGTTTGTCAGCTATGAATCACGTTATTTTCATACATATCCATTCATTGTTAAAGATGTTGCAATGAAAAAGGATAAATTTATTGAAGAACTTGTTAATGCTTATGAACAATCAGTAAAACAATCATTATCTGATGATAATGATAATAATGATGATATTGTTGTTGTTGATGAAGATATTCAGGTAAAATATAGAAAAAAACAATCAACAATTTTTAATTGATTAATTAATTTCATTTGATTCAGTTTCTGAAGAAAGGAAATATTCATGCCATTGATTTTGATTATCTAATACTATTAGCACGTTCATTAAATAAATCCAAATATGTATTCAAACGAACCAAAGAACGACTGAATCGGAAATTATCACTACGTCGTGGTACATCGAATTTGCTATCAGCATCATTAGATAATATATCATCATCCACGTTGGTATCACCGTCATCATCACGTTTATCTAGAGTTTTTAATTTTAATTTTTTCACTCCAAAAGTAAATGATGCCGTTTAATTATTATTCAATTTGTGTCTATGTGTGCGTGGTTTAGTTTTTTTTCAAAAATTGTAATTTTTTTTTCTTTTTTCTCTTTCCAACATTCATTCATTATATTCATAGGAATTGAATCATGCTGCAGCAGACAATTTTAGCTTGCCATCAACACCGATTCCAAGGAAAAAATATTATAAAGGAGCCGCTACTGATCTTTATAGGCCAAAAAAAATTGATTAGATTCATTTTTTCAACGATCCTTCACTGAATATTAATACTCGAACTATGTGTGACTATATATATTTTACCAATTCTATATCTCTATCTCTATATATTCATCATTCTTTCATACAAATGGATCTAATTGAATAATGGTTATCTCCATAATTATAATGCTGTCGTGTTTTGGTCTCTTGGAAAATGAATCAAAAAATCGAATTAATCGTCGCTTTATTCAAACAAACACATTTATTGAAAATAAATCTCTTAATGAAAATGACGTGACCAAAGAAAAGCAAAATTTTCTGTGAATATTGATTTAGAAACAAAAACAAAAAAGAATTGAATTGAAAATAATCACCGATTAATTTAAATACAAAAAAAAAAGAGAAAACACTTGATGATACGGACCCCAAATTTCCATGTTCAGCCACCATTAACCAAACACTGAAATTATTTATTATAACAATAATGGTATGCGAAAGAGAAAATAAATTTACATGAAACGCAAATACTGTGTGTGATTTGCATCTGTCTCAATCATCATCATCATCGACGCCTACATGGAACATGAAGATTTGATTTTTTTTCTCTGTTTTTGTCCTGAAATTCATACGAATAAATTGATTGTTTATAGTTTATAGTCGAATGGAAAAGGGATTTCTTTATAAAGAAAAAAAGAAATTCAAGAAAACTATTCGAATGCGCCACACACACACACATCTTTTTTTTCTTTTGCAAACAATCGATGGAGATGGTGGAAAAAAGAAATGTTTCAATCGAATCGAATCGAATTCGATTCAATCATCATCATTCACACTATTGTTGTTGTTGTTGTTAATCACTTTGTTTGTATGATTTGGGATTAAAAGATTCTTATTCTCATTCTTGATATATGATGGGGATGGTGATGATTGTTCATCACATGAATCTCTTAAGAATCACAAGGAATAATTCTTTAGGATTTTTTTTATTTTTCATTGAAAATAAAGACGTGTGTGTGTGTTATTATTGCATACCATAGTCATGATGATGATCATCAAAATGAAATAAAAATGTAAAAAGTAATAAATATTAAAAATAATTCATTCAAACTAAACAACAACAATTAAATTGAATTGAATTCAATTCAAAAATGAAACCGATCAAAACATTTCATTCACAAATGTTTTTTGTTTGTTTGTTTGTAGCTGGATTTCGAACGCCTACAATCATCATGATGATGGTGATGAAAAGAAACAAATCACGAGTGGACCAAATGGGCATGAAAAAAAAATCCAGGCCAAATTATCAAGAATTTTGAAAATCGAAATCTACATAATAAGATTTTTTTTTCTTTTTTGAATACATAATTCCATATTTAATAGCAGTAATAGTAGTAGTAGTAGTAATAATAATAGTAGCAACGGTAGTAATAATCGTGGACCAATAATAAATGTTGTGACAATTTTTTTTAATATTCATATAAACACACATGAATCACATGAAAACACAATTCTGTCATTTTTTTTGTATTGTTGCTTGTTTCTGTCCACCATTGGCCATATAAGGATTACGTTGAAAAATCCTGATCTCATTTTCTCACTCTTTTTCGGGTTCATCAATTCCAACATTTCAGAATTCCAAATTCGATTCATGTTCGTCTGTTGTTTGTCATATGTTTTTTTCTATTATGTTTTTCTCCCTCTCTCTTTCTCAACTCCTCTGTGGTTTAACCCGGTTTTTTTTCACAATATTTCGCAATATTAATGGTGGATGATGATCATGATGGTTTTTTTCCATTTTCATTTTCACATTTTTTTAGTTTAGTTTATTTGATTGTATATGGCCCACATATATTTTCTATATATTAACCAAATAGAACAACAACAATATATACAGATTCTGATTCGAAATTCATTTTGTTTGTGTGTATTCAGAAATTCATGACGAATATTCCGGACGTAGTAGTGGTGATGGCGGCAACACTATATATAATACAGAATAATTTTATGGTCAAACATTCATGTTCCATACCTCTACTTACGTTCTCTATTTTTCATCGGTGAAATGAATAGAGGAAAAAAACCAATGAAACATTTCTTCATCATCATAGAGAGAGAGAGAGATGAGAGATCATCATCATCGAATATTTACGATTCCATCACACACGCACACACACTAAAATACACAGATAGGCAAATTTTAATGTAAATTACGAGAGAAAGAAAAAAATAGTCCATCTACACACACATACACAATCAGATTCTTCTTTTTCATTCCATTACATTTGAGCATATGCTATGTACCACCATCATCATCATCATCGTCACACACACACGCACATTGATCAAACGGGGCAAAACAACAACAAATCTCATAAGTGTGTGTGTGTGTTTATTTCCATAAATACCGACACACAGACACATAATAACCGAACCAATGAACAACAACAAAAATTGAAATCAAAAGCTAATTGTTTTTTTCTTTCATTTGAAGATTTTTTCTCTCACTCACTCTACGACTTCAATTTTTTTTCCACCACATAAGAATGAAAATGTGAATGTATCATTCGAAACAAAGCAACAAAAATTTAGTGCCGAAAAATTTCTGAGCTTTAACAATTTTCCTATGTGTGTGTGTGTATTCAAAAACGAAGACAAAAAAAGTTGCTACCATATACCACTTTTTGGATTGATTTTCTTCACTATGTGATTCACTTCACATGTTTTTGTTTGTATGTGTGTATACATGCAATTTAAATCGGCTAGTGGTTTTTCTAATTTACATAAAAAAATATCAAAGTTTTTAGTAAATGTTTTGTCATTTCTCTCTTCAATCTTCTTTTCATAAAACATGTAATTATTCATATAAAAAATTGTCAACATTGCCTGTTATATCTATCATTTTGAATAAAAAATTAATTTTTAAATCCAATTTATTCAATAACGAAAATTCATCAATCAATCAATCAATCAAATTGAACAATAAAAACACTATTATCGTCAGTGATGGTTAAAATAGAAATTAAACAACAAAAAAATATTCAATCGAATCATCATCATTATTATTGTGGCACATCCAAAACAATACTAATCGGTAAATATTTATTCAAAGTACTCTTTATATGATGATGATGATGACGTATGGCAACATAAAAATTGTCCATTGTTAAAAAAGGATTACTACACAACAAAAACGAGATAAAAAAGCAAACAATCTCGCAAAGCTTTTAGTATAATTTGAGAATCGAGAATGAAATCATCATTCATTCAGGTCATTTTGAAATTCATTTCATTCGGTGGTTGATATATATCATCACATTTAGTCGAATGAAATGATTATAGATGAATTCTCTTGATAATTTCCTTTGCCTCTACCTTTAGCAGTAAGGTAACTTTTTCTTTTTATTTTTTAACATTCTGAATAGGATTATATTTTTTTCATATTAAAAATTTATTATCTTTGTTTGTCATGCACACACCGTAATCGGTCGTTGATTTCAGAGGTTTTCGTTTTTTCTCATGAATTATAACAGTGAAGCTGACATTTTCATTTTCACATTATTTAATATATTAATTCCAGGTGTGGCGATGAATGTGGAAATTTTTGGCTCTAAATTTCAATTTTTTTCTACCGATGATCATTGAATCTAACAACCAACCAAATCATTCGACAAATACAAAATCAAAAAGGTTGATCGAAATCAACGATGATAAAAAGAATATCATTATCATCGCTACGTTCAAGTACAAAAGATTCAACAAAAATTGTTAAATATACAACATGTAGTAGCAATAAAATGGTTGATGATGATCTTGATGAAGTGGCTGTCATCAGTAGTAATGCTGCACCTGAAAATGTTCGTTATGGGGATGGACATTATCACCATCATCATTATCATTTAGCCACGGCAAACGGACCACGGGTTGTGCCCGGAATTATAACTGCAGGGGTTGATCGCACCAAACTATTGACATCATCATCATTACAAAGCGCCAATGTTATTATCAGGTAAAATGAAGACAAAACAAATCAAATGTTACCATGACATTGATTGACATTATTTGGTTTTTCATTTCTATAGAAAGCCTTCGAATATTGTCACAAATGATAATAATGACACAAATAATGATGATGATCATGATTTTAAAGATCGCTGTCCATCACAACAGTCATTAATAGCTGTTAGTTGTGGTCAACGACAACAACAGGATAAACAATCGATATTATCGACGACAACAACAACAAACGCAACATTAATAAATGGGAAAAATTCTCAAGGCAAAAAACGTTCAATCCATCAAATGACAACAGGGTTAATCAATAATGCTAGAAATGATCTGGAAATTTCGAAAAAAACACGTGAATTACGAAGAAAAGAGATAAAGAAAGAATTTGAAAAATGGGAAAATGTAACCGGATCTATGCATCATAAATCAGGCTGTAATTGGTCATTTGTGTTTGATCCATCTGGTCGTCTTTGTTATTATTGGTCATTGATCGTGAGCATTGCATTTCTTTATAATTTTTGGTCAATCATTTATCGTTGTGCATTTCAAGAGATTAATGAAAAAACCGTTGCATCATGGTTTGCACTGGATTATTTTTCCGATTTCATCTATATATTGGATATTGCTGTCAATTTTCGAACCGGATATCTAGAAGAAGGTGTTTTACAAACCGACAGTGTTAAATTACGGCAACATTACATGAATTGTACAATATTCTATATCGATTGTCTTTGTTTATTACCATTGGATATTCTTTATTTATCCATTGGCTTCAAATCTATTCTTCGTTGTTTTCGTTTGATAAAAATTTATCGTTTTTGGGCATTTTTGGATCGTACTGAACGTCATACGAATTATCCGAATATATTTCGCACATTATCCTTACTGCATTATATATTGGCCATATTCCATTGGAATGCATGTCTCAGCCATATAATACACATTAAAGACGGTTTTGGCTCTAGAGATTGGTTTACTAGATCCAAAAATAAAGACTGTGAAGGCGTTACTTGTGATTATCTTCAGTAAGTGCAGAGGATTATTTTTATTATTTAATCACTTTTTCATTTTTTTCTTTCTTTCAGCGCCATGTATTGGTCAGTATTGGCTTTGACCACAATCGGTAAGTTTTACCATAATCGTTGTCATTTGAATTTGAATAATTTTTCTTGTCTTTTTTTGCGGTGAAAATATATCGTCAATAGGTGATTTACCAACTCCACGAACTAAAAGTGAATATGTGTTCCTAATCATGCAACTTGTTTTTGGTCTTTTTCTATTTGCAAGTATGTTTTGTTGTTGCATTTCTGGATTATATCGAACAATTGACATGTTTCCTTTTTATTTGATTAGCCGTACTTGGTCACGTAGCAAACATTGTGACAAATGTTAGTGCGGCACGTAAAGAATTCCAAGGTAAGCACTGATTGATGATAATCGATTTACAATTATTGATTGATTGATTGATTTATTAATAGCAAAATTGGATGCCGTCAAAACATATATGCGTATGCGAAGAGTACCTGATCATATACAAACAAAAGTGATACGTTGGTTCGATTATCTATGGATGACGCAAAAATCTTCGGATGAAGAGCGTTCAGTTGGATGTCTTCCAGGTAAAAAAATGAAATGAAATGAAATGAAATGAAATGTTTTCTCATTTCTCTGTCTAATCTAATGTCTAATGTTTATATTAATTTTATTGGATAAATAAATCATCATCAACAACAACAACGAAAAAATTAGACAAACTTAAAGCTGAAATTGCCATCCATGTACATTTGGATACATTAAAAAGAGTGGAAATCTTCCAGAATACTGAAGCCGGATTCCTTTGTGAGCTAGTATTACGTCTGCGACCAGTATTGTTTAGTCCTGGTGATTATATTTGTCGCAAAGGTGAAGTAGGTAAAGAGATGTACATCGTTAATCGCGGAAGGTAAGTATTTTGTTTGTTTGTTTTTTCTTATTCTGGTTTATTATATTTTTTTTTTTGCATTTTGTCAAATAGATTACAGGTTGTTACCGATAATGGAAAAACAGTGTTGGCAACATTACGTGCCGGAAGTTATTTTGGTGAGATTAGTATACTAAACATGGGTACAGCTGGTAACCGTCGAACAGCATCCGTCCGTTCTGTGGGCTATTCTGATTTATTTTGTTTGAATAAACAAGTATGTGTTATGTGGTTTGGCTTTTTTCATTATTTCTTCATAAACAATATTTTCTAGGATATGTGGGATGTACTAAAAGATTATCCAGCAGCTAGAGTTAGACTTGAGGCAATTGCCGTGAAACGGTTGGAAAAATATCGTAAAGAACCGTTGAAGAAAAGTAATTTGTTTCTCTACTTGTTTCTTGCCTCAAAATACTAATTTGATTTTTTCCAACAGTTGCAATGGGACGAAGTAAAAGTACACCTGGTCTAGTCGAATCGAAAGGAAAAATACCCGTTGGCAATATGAATGTCTTACAAATGAAAGAAAATCAATCGGCATCGACAGCCACTTTATTAAAGGCTGATGATGATGATGATATTGAAGATGGCGAAGAAAAAATCAATAGCGACAAAGATAAACAACAACAAGATGAATATTGTAATACAGTAGATGAATCCACAAGCAGTATGGATACAATGAAACAATCTTCATCAAAAGAAGATAGTCATCCTGATGGTGGAACATTGATAGCACAACAACAACAACAACTAAGCTGTTGTGATATAATCTTGACAAATAAATCACAACAACAGCAGCATACACCAACGATAGCACATCAACAGCATCAAACATTTGCATCGCCATCATTAATATTAGCGGCAACAAATAATAATCATCATCAGCCACAACAACAACAAACGCAACAACAGCAAACATTGATCTATTCATCACATTTATTAAGCCCGAATATAGCATTTATGAATTTTGATAATAGATCACCACAACAACAACAACAACAGCATTCACCATCACCAATACAATCGAATAATAATACTCTTTATCCATCATCATCATCTCCATTACAATTGCCTCATACACATCAATTTCTTCAAGCTCAGCATCTGCATCCACATCATTTGCATCATCAATTTACACCATCATCATCATCATATTGTACAATAAGTCCTGCAGCATCGACAAATCAACTTCCAATTTTTTCCAATTCGGCTACTCCAATCTTGGTTCAACAACAACAACAACAAACACCATCATCAATCAATAATAACAATAGCAACAATAATTTATGTGGATCAGATGACACCAACTCCTATAATAATATACAGATTGAATTTCCAACACAAGATGCATTGTTATCTGAAATCAAACGATTACGTGAACGTTTATTAACATTAGAAACAGAAAATGCATCTATGTCAATGAAATTGAATCAACAACAATGGCAAGTGGAAAATAGGTAAATGTCAGCAAAAAATCCTTTTGATTCATACTAATAAATTGTTCTTGTTTTTAGATTGGCCGAAATTGAACATCAAATTAGTTCGGCAGCAAGCGCCAACTCTTGTTCTGCTCAATTAGGCTTTATCAGTTCGAATAATAGTTCGAATGCAAGTGTCGAGGATAATGAACGTAATAAAGAATCGATCATTTGATATATTTGTCTAATCTATAGATTACAATCAGAATCTGATCCATCATTGCAATATTGGACAAGGATTATTTTTTTCAAATACACCATTGCAGCTACATTCCTTCTTTCTGGTCATTTTTTGTTTTCGTTGTTTGTTCATTCTTTGAATTTTTACAACAACAACAAAAAAATAATAAATATTCTATTATTTGATATATAGTCGGTATCTTATTAGTTTAATGAATTGAGAGTGAAACGAATTTGTCATGTAATTTATCACTTGATTTGACAACTATAACTATAAAACCATCATTATATGTTTATTTTTTTAATTGGAAAATATGAGAACGTTCATAGGGTATATAATGATGAACATTTGCAAAAACATAAAATAATCGATGATTGATTTGTTTTGGTTTTTATCACATATTACAGTCAATTTGAGATCCTGGCCTTGAAACGGATGCATACAATTTTATTGTTAGTATCTCCTTCCATCAGATTAATCTGTATGGTTACAGGAATGGACGGATAAATCGTTTTTATCGGCAATGCTAGATTAAATTGGTTCGTGTGACCAGCAATTAGTGGACATTTTAAGCCATAATTACCACATGCTTCACTGATTAATGATAAAATGAAATTTTATAATTTTAAATTAATTCATCATCATAACGGAAACTTACTCTGGCTCAATGACGAACGGAACCTGAACACGGGCTATTTCGCCAAAAATTTTCACTTTTACCGAATCGGTTGCTTGATCTTGATGCATCAAGACAAAAAATAAATGAAAATGAAAATGAAAACAAAAAAATTCTCAAACTCACCTGAAATAAATGTTAGATTCATTGCAACATCAACACCTTTTTTCAATCGACAATAGGAATCGTTATTTTTGCACCCAGTAACATTAATCGATTCAATATGGCCAATATTTGATGGACAATTTTTGAATAAATTTTTCGAATCAATTCCAGATAGCAATGATGCAACGATAAACAATACGAATGAACAATTTGATATTTGCATTTTGGATTGATTGATTTATATTCAAAAAAGTGGGATTTTCGGAAAATACCCACGTCAGCGTAAAACAAAAACAAAAAGATTAATTTACGTTTGAAATTGCAATCTGTGATAGTCATGAAGTCATGAAATTATGAAAATGAATGAAAATTGTGTCGACATGAGAAAAGTGTTTGATTTTTATATGTTTTTTTGTTTCGTTGTACTCATCAACATCACTTTGGTTATTTGTTGACAATTAATAAATTAATACTATCGATTATTGGATGAATGAATCAAATACCATCGTGACATTAATCTCTATCAACCGTGGTAATTTGATTTTTTTTTTATTAATTTAATGTTCAAAACAAAATGCAATAACTTTCATGCAAATTGATCATGAATGTAGTTGAGATGGCATATTTTTTCAGTTAAAAAATAGTGATTAATCTATTAGTAGAAAGATGGCGCCACGGCATTTTTATTTGTGATTTTTTTCGCTCCAATTTCAACATTCACAAACTATCATTGTATGAATTGGGTTACAGTTTAAGCTCCTCCTTTGTGTATCTTTTTCCAATATTATTATTCTTTGCTCTTCACGTTATTGTTATTTTTTTGAAAAATTGATTATTGATTAGAAAGTTATAAGATTTTACGAATGATGAATTCGACAACAACAACAACAACAATGGCAAATGATTCAAAAATTACATCGTTTTCAAATAAGTTACTTCAAATGATAAACGATGATGAGATTATGAAACGAAAATTAATGGTCGATGGTGATGGTATTGGTGATGACCGAAAAATCTCTAATTTAATCAAACAATTCATATTATGGTGCTACAATGATAATGAATCCGAATTGGAAAGTGAATTGTCTGCCGAACGTTTATTGAATGTAATTGATCAGTCAGAATTGGCTATGGCTAAATCGGTTCAAACAATAAAAATGATTACACATGAACTTGATAATTATGAAAATACTTATAAAAATATTGAAAAAGCCATTGCAGATGCACGTGCAAAATTATCTACATGTAAAGCTGAATTAGCTCATGCTAAACAGATTCGCCGTTATAAACTTGATTATGATGCCATTGCCAATATAATTGAACAACATCCTAGTACGCAGGAAACACAAATCAAATTGAATGTATTGGAAAATGAAATACAAACATTGCAAAAGATTAATAATCAAATTGAATCAAAATTGGAGAAAAGACGTCGCCAGTTTCAGTTACTGTTATCGGCATCACATCAGCTGCAAAGTGTTTTGGATGAAGAAAACACCGCAACAACTACTACGGATCATCAAACCTCATCATGTTTGGTTGATAATAATAATGATCTAATGACTATTCCACCACGTACACTGGATAATGACAATAATCTGGAATCATCATCATCATCGACAAAGGAAGCTTCACCAATTTCTATGGAAACGAATTGATATTCTTATTCTTATATATAGCAACTATTTATCTTTCTTTCTTTATTTCGATTTTTTCCTGTTTAAAAGTTTTTTCCCAAATTCACTTGATTTGATTTTCAAAAATCTATATCATTCACTTGTGTTCTATTTCAATTAAATGAATTTAACAAAAAAAAAAAAAAAAAAAAATTTCTGTGTTTTATAAACGATGATTCGAGATGGCGTGTGTGTTTATTTATATTCACATGTGATTCACTTGCAAATAATATTCCACGATTATAATAAAGAAAATTGAAAAAAAAAATTTCTTATCGCCACCAAATTATTAGCTGATTCGAATACCAGAAGAAGAAAATAGAAATAAATTTTAATTCCATATTTGTCATTATTGATTTTTGTCATTTGATGACATTTTCTTCGCTTCACTCGTTTGTTATCATCATCGTCAAAAAAGTAAAAGATTGTATCTTTATTTATTTATATTTATTTATTATTTCTTCTTTTTTGGGCCATTAAATAAACAAAATCAGTTCATCCAATTCATAAAATCATTTGATAAAAGTATTGGTTTTTTTCATTAAGAAACTAAACTGTGGAATGATGATATGATTTATCGTGATCCCAAAACTGGAAAGAAAACGGTTGATTTTTATCATCATCAACATTCGAATGAGGTGCTAATGTTTTTCTTATTTTTATTTTTATTTTTATTATTATTTAGATTAATTTCATTTTTCGTCATTGAAAAGGCAACGAATTCGTTGCCCGCCATAACAAGTTTCCATTTTAAAATTTGCAACATTTTCAACAACAACACACACGAAAATCACAATGAAACAAATATTTAGCCGTAGTAAAGTATTTTTAAGCTGTAATCGTTTGATTCTGGGACAACAGCAGAAAAAATTTCTATCCCAAATAACGTCATCGAACAACAATACAAGAATCCTCTGGTCACGAATCATTCGCCCTATTTATTCTTCCTCAGCAAAGTTTTTATCAGGTGTTTTTTGTCGGTTTTAAAAGTATTCATATCCATTCTTATAATTTGATTTGTTGCATTGTTGTAGATCGTCGTTACAGTGAAAAACATGAATGGGTTCTATTGGATCCTAATGATAAAACAGTCGGGACGGTTGGAATCTCACAATATGCTCAAGAAGCATTAGGCGATGTTGTCTATGTACAATTACCCGAAATAGATTCGGAATACAATCAAAATGGTTCGTTGTTGTTATGACAAAGCAAAAAACATGCGACCAATAATTTAATTTTTCTAGATGAAATTGGCGCCATCGAAAGTGTGAAAGCAGCCAATGAAATTTATACACCGGTATCGGGTAAAATTGTTGAAACCAATAAAAATTTGGAAGAAAAACCCGGTCTAATCAATTCGTCATGTTATGATGAAGGATGGCTGTTTAAAATCAAAATCAAGGATTCGAAAGAAGTAGATGGATTGATGGACGAACAAGCATATGAAGAATTTCAAAAAACCATACCTTAAAATTTTCTTTTCTCTTTATTCGGGTTAGAGACTTATATTGTTATTAGTTTAGGAAATGATTATTAATTTACAATTGTCATATATTGCAAAATTTTTTTGAAAATAAATATAAAAAATCAAATTTTGAAACAAGTCTTGTCAAGACTAGTTTGACGATAGTGCATGTTGTCCATGAGAGAGAGAAGGATTATTCGCATTCAAAATTGTTATCAACATAAATTCTTTATCTGGAAATAAATAAATTGAATCAATCAATAATGGATGAATCGAAAATTCTTACCAGGTACAACAATGAATTCATTTCTTTTTGTTTTCATTCGAAGAAATTGAATTTCACCATTTTCCTTCAGTGCTTGATTCGACATTTCAACAATCTGTGCAATACTCATTCCATAGTTTTGTATTGTTTCCACCACTTCGTTGATGGTACTTTTGATGATAATACCGTCACGATCCACAATTAATACACCGACTACATCTTTAAATTGTCCATCAATATTTTTAAGTAATTCTTCCACTTCATTCTGTAAAGTAAGAAATTTTAATACAGGATTCTGACCGATAAATTAAAACAAACCATTTTTATTTTTCAATTGATAGATTTCTGAAAATCAATTTCGATGAAAATAAAAAAAAGTTGCGAGTTAAAATGCAACATTCATATATGACATGTATTTCTATTTCATCAGGATTGATAATATTCTGTAATTAGAATTGATATAAAAATAAAAATAAAGTTGAAGAAAAAACAATTTCAAAGAATGAATTTCAGGAAAACCGATACGATCTAAAATTGATTAATGAACATCGTCATGTGATTCATTCACCTTATCCATTTGTGTGAAGAGAAATGAAAAAATCATTCACCTGTTGATTCGACTGTTCTCATATCATTCCATCCATCACCAACAGGAATTATAATTCCTCGAATGTATCGTAACTTTATTTAATTTTGCCTGAGGCGACCAACAAATGTGAATAACAATGGCCGGATTTCCAGATATTTTCTAGTTATTTAATCAATGGAAAGGGAAAAAATAAATAAATCATGATCTGTGTTTTTTTTCAAGCACATGATACATGATGAATGTCCTACATTTTTAATTTCTAATTCAATTCAATTGAAAAAAAAACAAAATCCAAATTCAACGATTGATTGTTATGCAATAAAAGTTACAAGTACAAAAATGAATTACAATTTTTCTGTTTTTTTTTTGTTTTTTTTTGTGACAACAACAGCTATACTTATTCAAAGGTCACATTATTGAAGGATGGGACAACAGATGACAAACAACAAACACTCTTGTGATATGAAGAAGAGTGCATAAGAAATTAATATCTTCGATATATGTGGTTGGAACAAAATTGTTGATAATGTGAACGAGATGGTGACAAAAAAAGAAGAAAATTATTGAATCAAAGATTCATGCATTACAACAACATGCACAAAAGTGATTAACGTATTTCAACGTAAAAAATGTTATAATCAACGACGTTAAACAAAAATGGGAGGACATTGTATCTTCAACTAGTTTCTTTTATGGAAACTCTACAATCAATGGCGGTGAAAGTTGAAATTGATCATTGAAGCCTGAATCTAGTTGACGATATCTTGAATTTTTCTATATGCATGTGTGTGTGTGTGTGTGTGTGGTATTTGTGTTTGAATGAATTATACAGGCATGATGTATGATGTTACCATGGGGCTACTGTTACTAAAGTTTGATTCTTTAATTTGAAAAATTTTTTTCACCAAAAACTTATAAACAAATACAGCGACTATCATCATCATCGTCATCATCGGCCCAATCATTTTTAATCTTATCCATGTCCAGTTAATGCTGGTGGCTCATCACTATTACCAATCACAATGACGGCCAGAATCTATTCAATTATCAAACGTTCAGCATATCAGAATGCTTTTCCCAAAGTTAAAATTTCTCCCAACAAGTATGTGAAATTATAAATCAATATTCTATAATTGAATTGATGAATTCATTTCTATGTTTTCCACCAATAGTTTCTGGAATAAAATCAGTCTAGCTCCAAGAGATCCAATCCTGTCGATAAATCAACTTTATCAACAGGATCCGAATCCTGAAAAAATCAATCTTTCCATTGGTACATATCGAACCGAAAACAATGAATCCTATGTATTTCCAACAGTAAGAAAAGCTGAAAAAATTGTCTTTGATGACTGTTTCGTGATTGACAAAGACTATTCACCAATGGAAGGTTATATGCCGTTTAATCGTGAAGCATTTAGATTGTTATTTGGTGGTGATCGTGCTCTTGAAAAATCTGTTCGTATAACATTGATTCAGTTTTGGAATTTTTCTCATATTCTACAATTTTTTTGCAGAGCATAACCGTACAAACATTAGCCGGTACCGGTGCATTAGATTTGGGAGCTGCATTTTTGGCTAAATTTTTTCAAGGCCACAAACAAGTATCAATTTCAAATCCATCATGGATCAATCATTACTTTATATTTCGAAATTATAATTTCGATATCCATGCATTTAGATATTATGATAATAATCGTAAAACTTTTGATGAAGATGGCTTTTTCGAAGATCTTAAAAATTTGCCAAATAATTCTGTTATCCTCATACAACCTTGTGGCCATAATCCATCGGCCATTGAATTGAATGTATGGTAAAACTGAATGGAAATGAAAAAGTGATAATAATCTAATCTGATCTAATCTAATCTAATCATCCAATCCAATTTATTATTAATTTTATCAATAGTCAGATCAATGGATGATGGTATCGAGGATAGTGAGAAATAAAAATTTACTTCCATTTTTTGATATTGCTTATCATGGATTATGTTCAGGAAATATCGACCAAGATGTCAATCCAATTCGTTTGTTTGCTGAACAGGGCCATTTGATGCTTATATCGCAATCATTTTCAAAAAATATGGGTATCTATAGTGATAGAGTTGGATCATTGACCATTGTATGTGATTCAGAGAATGAAGCTTATCGTGTACAATCACAACTAAAAAATATAATCATTTCGAAATATATCTGTCCACCAACTCAAGGCGGACGACTTGTTGCCTCGATACTGTTGGATCCATCATTGAAAAAAGAATGGCAACAAGATCTGCAGCGGATTTCATCGCGATTGTCGTTGACAAGAAAAGAGCTACAATCCAAACTAGAGATAGCTTGTCCATCGTATCATCAACAATGGCGTACAATCACTGAACAACGTGGCATTTTCTGGTACTCAGGATTAACATCATCACAAGTTGAAACATTGATTAATGATTATAGTATTTATCTTTGTGAAGATGGTCGTGTCAATGTTGCCGGTTTGACTTGGAAAAATATTGATTTATTTGTCAATGTTGTGAGCAATATACTCAACAACCAATGATTTATGGTTTATGGCATATATTTATTTTATTTTATTTTTTAATTTTAATTTTAATTTATAAAATTTCAAAACCTAACTATAATGTGTTAGTCATGCATGTTGATTATTATTAAAATAAATGATGATAATTCAATTCATTATGATTGTTGTGGCTTGAATGCAACAACCAAAACCCACGATTGATCATCATTTTGGGCACGTTTGATTTTGGCAGTCCATCCATTTTCGAGATCATCGTAATCTTTTTGAGAGAATTTCGACAAGAAATCTTGTTTACCATCACTTAGTTTTTTCAATTCACGTTCTAATGATTTGACAAATTGATCTTTTGATTCTTGAACTTTAAGATTGACAAATCCTACTTCTTTCAACATTTTTTCATATTCGTTTTTTGTCCATAGTGTATAATCACGTTGTTTGACGTATTGTTGAAATTCTTCACTGGTTTGGCCATCACCACGTAGATAATCAGTAAAAACGATGCGTCCACCAGGTTTAAGCCATTTCATAAAGTTTTGGAACAATTGATGTTTGTCTTTGATGTGCAAAAGAGCATCACGGCTATAAATAGCATCATAATAATTACTTGGAAATTCAGCCTTAGTCACGTCGCACAAACGGAAATTGATTTTATCTTTCAAATGAGGTTTTTTGTTATAATAATCCATGACAACGTCCATCATATTTTGTGATAAATCCACGGCATCAATGTAAACATCATATTTTTCCACCATATAAAAGTCATGGCCACCAAGTCCCGAACCCATATCCAATAGTTTTTGGCCAGATTTCAATTCTAAATGTGGAACAATTTCTTTGGTTGTTTCAAGACCACCAGTTGAGAGATATCCTTCACCAAATATCCATTCATAACGAGCGACTCCATTTTTCGAATACTGTACTTGATCAAGAAATTTCTGATATTCAGTTGCATTGTAGTTTCCAGAACCCATGATTATTGAATTGAAGATTTGCAGCGAGAATGAATAATAATTCGGTGTGTTTGAGTAGGAATTTCGTAGAGTAGTTGATTGGTGAGCACCACACTCTGATACATTTCGATTGATTTATATAGGCAATTTGGATTGATTTTTATTTTTCATTTTTGTACATTTTCCAATCGATACAATGATTGAATGAATACAATAAAAATAACTACCGTCATCATAATCATTCATTCAGTTCATTTAAAACTCGGATGATTTTTATCTAATCTTCTTTTTTCCAGAAAAATGGCTAAATTTAAGACTGTAAAATTGCTATTTTCGCTATTGAACTTGTTGTTTATAATCAAGATTCTTCAACAAAAAATGAACGCTGATTTTTGTGCTCAAAATATGACTTGATGTAAAGAAGAAAAAAAAATATTCGAAAAATATTTGTCTGGAAATGATTAAAACAAAATAATCACCACCATCATGATGTTGATTAAAAAACATTTCAACCTTCTCGTTTTAATATTAAAGTGATGGAGCACAATTTTTTTTCATGAATTAATCAAATTCAAACATCATCATAATCATCATCATTATCAAAGATGTTGTATAAGAGTATGATTATTATTCAATTTCATTGGAAAATATGATTGGAGCATTGAATTGAATTCAATGATAATTTGATGATGGCCATAGATGGCGATACTGTATACAGTATGTTGTAGTTTTATGATATGATTTGATAATAAATATTGAACATCATCGTCATTGACAACTATTCACATCCAAGTTTTGCAAACATTCCATTCTTTTGATCATCATCCGAACAATGTCATCGAATAAACGTGGTGTACTATTTGTTTGTCTCGGTAATATTTGCCGTTCCCCAATAGCTGAAGCTGTTTTCAAAAGTTTAATCCAAAAAAGGTTCTGTTGAATACACGTGTTTTTATCATCAATGATTAATTTTGATTTTTTGTTTCGAAAAAACATTTTAGAAATGTAACTGATGAATGGTTTTGTGATAGTGCAGCAACAGCTTCATATCACACGGGTGAATTACCGGATCATCGAGCCATTGAGATATTGAAAGAACGTGGTTTGACTACCGATCATAAGGCTCGTAAATTGACAAAAGAGGATTTCACAAGATTTGAATGGATTTTCGGTATGGATGAAAGTAATATTAGTAACATCAAACGAATGGCACCATCTAATTCAACATCAAAAATTGAATTACTTGGATCCTATGATCCTGAAGGTCAATTAATTATTGAAGATCCATATTATCAAGGTGGCAATGATGGATTCATTGCAAATTATGATCAATGTTTACGTTGCTGTAAAGCATTTCTTGATAAAATGAATGAATTGAAATGAATTGCATGAAAAATTGTTTTTCATTTCAGCAAATTTATTTGATTGAATTGAATTTACATTGTATTACCTTGAGGTGTTTGTTTTTTAATCTGATTGAATATATCATTATATTGATGGATCGTATCCACTGGACCATACAATTCATTCATACGAGCTAATAAATGTTGATGTGGTTTACTAATCGAAGGGCCAACAAATGATCGTCCCAATTCTTTAATTAGATCCCAACAAGCACTTGGTACCGAACAAGGGCCATATTCGATTTCGGCAATAACCGCTTTGAAATTAGCTCCCATTGTACATGATCCAAGTTTGACAATGAAATCACCAAGCGTCCATTTTTGACCACGGACTTCAACACGAGCCAATTTTTTGGGTGAATAAAAATTTGATAAATTAGTAATTATCTGTTCGAAAGATGAATCGGCAACAATGGTTGGACCATTTTCTATCAATGAAAATGCACTGGCAGGATATTCCGATGATTGTAATAGATTGAGCAACTTTTGTGTGGGGAATATTGCGGCATTAGAATAATAAGTGTCGCATTCGATTAGAAAATTGCCCGATTTTTTTGCACCCAATGTTTCCAGATTTGTCTGAAATGTTTCGACCATTTGTGGACCGGCAGCAAAATCCGAAACAATATGAACGGAACTGACAACCATTTTGTTTCAAAAACCAATGAGATCAATAATAAAATGTGGTCAAAAGAAAAAATTGCGAGAAAAAATTTTTCGACACTGGTAACGAATATATCAAGAAACTTTCTGGAAATTGTTTTGCTTATTCATCAAAAATCATCAAAAATATTCGATTCATCTCATAAACAATTTGGAAGCTGATTGAGCAACATTGTAATTTATGAAAACATAATAATCATGTCTTCAGATGAACAATTAGATTTATCACCTACATCCCCGGGAACATCATTATCCAGCAATAATTCCAACGATGATCTAGTCATTTCAATAAAATGTTACATCAAAGTATTGATGCATGCACTACGTTATCCTCATGCCATCGTCAATGGTGTATTAGTGATGGAAAAGAAAAAGAAATCTGCTGATAAATCGAATCGGCTTGTCGATTGCATTCCGTTATTTCATTCGGGTCATGGCTTAACTCCAATGTTGGAAGTTGCTTTGAATCAAGTAATTAATGATTGAATATTAGATAAGCTATAATTATATATATTTTCATTTTAAAGGTATCGAATTATCTACAGAATAACACCAATTACACGATTGGTGGATATTATCAAGCGAATGATTATTTCCATGAAATTCCACATCCAATTCCTACGGTATTTGCTGAACGTATTTCGGATAAAATTAACGAAATCAATCCAGAATCGGTGATGATCATGTTGAATGATTATAATCTAGCTACTTTTATTGATCACGCTGAAAAGCTTAATCAACCACTATTCATGTACAATTATGTTGATGGAAAATTGAAACTAAAATCGATTAATAATAATGTTCGTGGATTTCAATTGGAAAATTTCCAAACACTTTACCAAGCCATACAGGAATTAATAGTCCGAAAACAATATCATTTAAACATTGTTGATTTCGACTCACATCTTGAGAATGTAAAACATGATTGGCGAAATACTAAACTTGATGAAATGATTGAAAATTTTGAAATTTAATAAAATAAATAATTTATTATGATTATGATGATCATTTGAAAAAATCTGAAATTCAGTCTTGAAATATTGGCCACTAGAGTTCACTGTCCTCAATAACTCGTGCATGATCGAGTGGCAGCGCGCTCAGTCCAATACATGTTGGACCCGACCATCATCTGAACAAATGTTAATCATTTATACACGGCCACCAGGACAAAAATGACCAACAACAACAACAACAACAATAAAAAGAATGCGAGCAAAAAATTTAAATTTGAAATTGGTGAAAAAGTTCTCTGCTATCAAGATAAACATATCTACGAAGCTAAATGTGTTAGCATACGAAAATCAAATACAATAATTGAATATCTAATACATTATCGGGGTTGGAAGCCCAAATACGATGAATGGGTGTTGCCAGATCGAATTCTTAAATATACACAGGATAACCTTAAACTTCAACAAAAATTACGACAATCCAATAAGAAAAGTCATAAGAAAAAATCGAAAAAAACTGAACACCATAAAACGAACACGAAAGAATCGAAGAAAAAATCAACGAAAAAAGATGAGTTGAAAAAATCCACTAGCATCGATAATACAAACAATTCTGGTATGTATTCCATTGGCAATTGAATTTGTCATTGATTTTTGTATTTTTGTATTTTCAGTAAATCACAATTATAAAAATTTAAATTCAAATGACATCGAAGTTCCCGTATACATTGAAAAACAGGAAGATTTTCTCAATAAACGTGAAGTAAAGATTCGTATACCTGAAGATTTGAAAACCATTTTGACCGACGATTGGGAATTGATTATCAATCAGAAAAAATTGGTACATCTTCCATTCAAGTTGAACATTGACAAAATATTAAATGATTATTATTTCAACAAGTCGCAGGCGGCAAAATTACCCTCAAATCATACGCTCGATGGTTACATCGATTTCCTAAACGCTATAAGACGATATTTTAATTTTTTCTCGACAAATGCCTACTATATCCATCGGAAAAACAGCAAATGGAATATTTGATTAAAAATTATGATGAATTTTCCAAGACAGCCAAATCCGATCCCTCCAATAGCAAAGATTCGAAACGTTTATTGAAAAAATTTCGAAAAGCTACACCGAAATCTGGAAACAATCGTTTTCCATCCTCATCGAATCGAACAAATGAAAGTGAAAACAACAATCAAATTTGTATTAAATCTTCTCGTCTACCATTGTTGTTCAATGATCAAAATAGTCAAACTAGTGAAACATCGGATAGTTGTAGTACGAGTACTGAAGTATCCAGTACCGAACTACAACAATGTCAACAACAGAATAAATTGGATTCAGCCACAATGATGAACATGAATGATAAACGAATCGATTTTACCAAACTTTATGGTGCTGTTCATCTATTGCGATTGTTTACTAAATTGGGACAATTCCTCTTTTACACTGATCTCAATTCGGAACGTATAAATCTAGTGAATAGCTATATTTATGATTTTCTAAAATATCTTAGTAAAAATCTTTGGCTTTTTGCCAATGAATCAGATACGTCATACATTGATTCATTTTTACTTGACAGAAATACTAGATGATCAATGTATTGTTTATTTAATTTAATTTTATTTAATTTAAAATTGATTATTTTATATTTTCTATTTTCTTTTGATAAATAAAATTTTATATAATTTTTCTAAAACAAAACCATCCATTCTAATCATCGTAATGGCTACCACGACCACGACCACCACCACCACCACCAGCATAGCCATGACCATATCCAGATCGATGCCGTGTTGCAATGACTGTTTCGATTTTTTCATGCACAGGTTTAACCTCTTGAATCCTTTTCCTGTACGGTGTAATGCTTTCTCTAATTTCTTGTATGATCGGCTTTTTAATATTGTGTATCAATATATCTGGTTGATCAATTGAATTGGATTTCTTCACCTGTCCATGACTACCGAAATGATTCTGTACGGCAACAATATTGGATGAATGTGAATTGAAACGAATTTTCAACGATAATGGTACGGAATTAATATCAACCACTGGTGTTTTATGTTCGGCACTTGTAGGTACTGAATACGTTTCGATTGCATGTTTTGATGTAAATGCAGCTTCAATGCCAGGTTCCTCTTTTCCATAATCATTATCATGATGATCAGTTTCCACTTCAGATGAATACGTTCGACCACTATTATATGATTTAACCACAGAAGCTAATGATGCCAAAACAAACATGGATAATAAAGAAAAAAACTTGATTCGTTTTTCGTTGTTATTGTGAATCAAATAAAATTGTTATGGCTGAAACTTACCGATTGATTATTGAATGAAATCATTTGATCATTACGACATTATATCCTATCCGTGGTGGATCTATTCCGAACAGATCAAAATCAAATGCTCAACTATCTTTGGTACCATATACGAGCATTCATCGAGCTTTTATACCTTTTATACCTTCGCAACAAACAAGATTTGAGACATTATTATTCTTACCCAAAGAAATGGTAAAAATTTCCTGTAACAAAAATGGGTCGTTGAGACCACCACCACGGGATAATATTATCCATTCGGTTCCGTGGAAAATTGTGCAATGACATGAAACGGTTCGATTTTTTAATTTCTTTTTTATTTATTGTTTTCATTCATCATTCATTGATACGATCATGATACAAGAAAAAATAACTTTTAACGCTTCGATGATCGTCAGTTTTTTTGTTAAAAGGATGGAAAAAAGAATCATTTCGTGTGGCTTCGTCGATTGTTATACAATAGTTTCGGTACGTGTGTGGTGTATGTATGACTAGCCCAATTGTCATCTCAATCGATCGATTGGATTGCAAAACTTCCGAACACCGAACCGGATCATTTTGATATTACATTATTATCGGGTGATAATTTCAACGCAATCATTTCACCGTTCAATTTTTTGATATGAGCCTCATAGTTGACTACCAACGTTTTTAGAACATCGTTCTCATTCTCTTTAACCTGTAAACAAATGTAAAATCAAATCTTTTCCAGTCAAGACCATCTGACAAATTTTGCATATGCATTCATACCTTTAGACATTCTCGTATAAATTCCAATTCTTCGGCAGCAATTTTTTTCTTGTGCATCGGTTCAATTTGTTTGATTTGATTTTCCAATGTTTGACATTTTTCCATGAAGAATTTCAATTGTGAACCAAGATCCGTATTTCGTTTTTGTAGATCTATTATGAATAAAGAGAAATTTTATTTTATTCATTCAATTACAGATTACAGACATCAATTAGTTATCATTATTAAATTATTACCTTCATTCTCGAATCGTAATGCTTCATAGATAAATTTATCGTTTATTTCTGGTGCAGATTTCATATGGGAATAAGCACTTCTGATTTTGCCACAAAATTCACCCAATAAAAACATTCGATTTTTCAGCTCCAGATTCTCTTGTTCCAATTTCATTAGATCAACATTTTTATCAAAATTACAAAGAAATCTATTCAACTCCACTTCTTTGGAGCGGAAATTTTTGTTCAAACCATCGATCTCTAACCGATAATGAAGCTCTAAACTTGTTTTTTCATTCAATAATTCTTCATAATCATTTTTATATTTATTCAAAGTTTGCTGCAGCTTCCCAATCTCGTTATCGTATAATCGTCTTTCCTTTTCAAATTTCAATGAATTACGTTCAGAATTGGATTTCATCAATTCAATTTCTTTCATAAGTGATTTGACTTGAGCTTGCATCGATTTAAATTGCTCTTCCAATTGGATACATTCTTTGGATTTTTTATACAGACGTCGATTTCGAATAACATGCATATTTCGTTGATGACGTTCGAAAACCAGTTGTGCATACATAATGGCAAGAATTTTTCTCATGTCTTCTTCATTTGGGTTGGAATTCAAATAATTCAATGATGGTATATGTTCAACACTACTACTTGCACTTGAATTTGTGTTCAATATTGAATCACGACGACTTGTCTGATTAGAATCTTCATGTGGATCATCGGCTGAAAGATGACATGGTTCATTTGCTGTTGATGAATCTTTAAGATAAAATTCACTCAATGTTGATAATGTTCTATCCAATAGTTCATGTGGCGAACTAAATTCCAATTTGGCTGGTGTCTGAAAATCAATCGATGATGATGATGATAGAAATAGATGTCGTTTCGATTCATGCAACAATCGATTGAAATTAACATTTTTTGCAGATGACAATGATTTTGTTTCTTTTGTAAAATCTACAGATTTACATGTTTTATTCGCCACAGATGTTGACGTTTGTTTCAATCCGGCATTCGGATCATCCAATATTAGATTAACACGTTGAGATTTTTCCAGCGAATATTTTCGTCTCGTTTCTTGGCTAGTATTGCTGTATTGTATTACATTTTGTTTATCTTTAATATTTGGACCATCTTTTATGATTTCGAATGAATCATCGACATTTTCAAAATAAAGCATAGGACATGATTTACTGTATCCAAAATCATCATCATCATCATATCGACCCGTTTCCGCTTGACAATTACTTTGATAACGAATACGAGTATTCAATTGTTTGAATGATGATTTAACATTCGCAATCAATTCATCATTCAATTTGCCAATTGCAATACAATCATGAATTTGATTCTTACCATTATCATCATCATTACTGGGTGTACATTTATCATCGTCGTCGAATGAAGTGAATTCATTACGATTGTTGGATTTGGTTTGAGTTTGATTTTTTGTATTGCTAATGGGCAATTTGGTACTGTTTCCATTTTCTAGATTATAACTTATTATTTCAATATCAACATCATCATTTTCAGCGCTGTGATGATCGATCAAATTATAGTGATTACGTTGAGTTGAGTTAAATAAATGATTATCGATCGGTGATGATTGTTTCGAAGAAGATGTCATCAGATCATTTTGTTTCAAATTATTTGTTTGAACAGCAGCAGCAACAGCAACATTACCAATTTCTTTGATTGGCTCGAAAGGTGAAAAACAGGGCTGTTTTTTATTGATATTTTTCTTCTGCATAGAATTCAACGATGCTTTTGCTGCATTGGCCGATATTGCTACAGGTTTGACAAGATTCTTTTTTTCACTATTCATTGCAGATGGTAGTTGTTGGTGTTCACCATCAATAAATGTCGATGACGAGACAATTTTCTGGCTCATATCTATTGCTTCTTGTGCCGATTCAAGATTATCCGAATCTGTTTTGTTCGTTATTACCAAATGAGTACTATGTTTCAATGAACTAAGTGATGATAAATTTTGTTCCCTTTCGTTGTTGTTGATTGCTTCACTAAGTTCAGAGAAAATAGCATTCGATTGATCCATTGGATAGAATGGTTCTTGTTGTTGATGGTGGTGGTGGTTACCGGTTATTTCATCATCATCGTCATCATCATCATCTTGTTTGGATGGAAATTCGTAAAATTGTGAAACATCTTCAACAAAATATGATGATGATTCAATTGGATCAATGGAATATTGTCCACATTCTTCCAATATATCATGAGGTTCTTTATAAAACCAACGAGTTTTGTCACATTCACGATCTTTTGATGCAGTTATAAGAAATGGATGGAAACGAATCTTATTCAACATTGGCTGAATAATCTGTCGAAATACAGCACTATTCTCTTTACTGCAACCCATTCCATAAGTAGTTTTAAGATATTCAAGAAAATTACAAGGATATATTGCATACAGCCGAATGAAGACACGATAGACAATAGAATTCAAATTGAGGAATGATAGATTTTTTCTATCGGTTGAACCATTCTTGTTGCTAGCAGCATGTTGAAACGACGACATTCCTTTATAAAGAAATGTCGATAAACGTGAAAAACAAACGAATATATCTTCAAGACATTGTGCCATTAAACAAGGTAATGCTGCAAGCAATTCCACCAGAATCAATGCAGATATCGCAAGTATAACTATTTCTCGATCATTCTATTATATTCATAAACAAGAGTTAAAAGTTAGCTTAATTCAAAAACAGTATACCTTTAAAATGTTGAAAAAACAATTCAATAAAGGCATGTTGATAATGCTCGGTAGCCATGATGGTGACCGATGAACAATGTTGGAAATGAGAATAAAAACAGCAAACCGTTTTTCAACAATACATTGAACGGTAATTTTTTTCATCAAAATATTAAACAGACACTATATTTTCAATTTTCAAATTTCAAATTAAAATAAAAAATTATTTTCAATGAAATAAAATTCATCATGTTAATAACCTCGTCCAATGGTGTTGAAATTCCCACAAGAATTTTAAATACACGATCCGAAAATGATTGTAGATAAAGATCCACTAATTTTTCAACGAAACTTTCTTTAAAATGACGTTCATGAGTTTTGTGTTTACCTGGAAATTTAAAAAACATAAACATAAACAAAAATAATGGTTACAAAATTGACAACTTACTCTCATCCAATAATTCAAATATCTGTTCATATAATGATTCAAATTCCTCATTATTGGAAACTTTTTGAATTTTCGATAATAATTCTTGCATTTGAATTTTATTATTATTATTATTATTATTATTGGCGTTGTTGTTGTTATTATTATTAACCATTATTATTTCAAAATTCTTGTTCCAGCTGACAAATACAATATCAAATGATGATTACGATGATGACGATGATGACACAAACGAATAACAAGAAAAAAATGAACAACAAAAAAAAATAAATCGAAAGACAACGCAAGAGAGAACAAACAAGCCAGACTAGAAATTCATGAAAATCCGGTGTAGCTGGCAGCAGCAGCTGTTTTTCACAAATCAGAAATGCTTCGAGTTTTTTTTTCTATTAATATAAACAAAACATACAGCAACCATTCGTTCTGTCATCTTATGCACACACACACACACACAGAAACCACCAACCGATAGTGATGGACGAATTAATGAAAAGTTTTTTGTCTTTAATTTACCTTAATTATTGATATAATTCATATTTTTTATCTCATTATCTTAAATTCTTGACAGGTTAATAAAGACTAGAGACAAAAATAGACTATAAATTTTGCCCGTATATCAAATTGTGTTTTGAGAATTCCGCACGCGCAAACGAAACGAAAGAAATTCTTCATTTCTCAATGATTCAATTTATTTTTTTTGCTTAAATTTAAATCATATAACTCAAGTGTTAATGGACCAATTAATTTCATATCAATTTTCAACATTAAATCCAAAAATTGTTCATTCAGATATCGTATCTCCTGGATACCTGTTAATAATTTAAGATAGATTGAACGTCCTTCGCAAATGGATGAATATTTGACTTGTAAATATTTTCGTAATAGATGACTGTATGTTTGAAATTGTACGGCGATATAATCACGATGAATTAGATTTGATCTTTCCGGATAGAACAGGATCATCATTGATAACTGTGTCGCAAAAGTTGAATGGAATTAGATTCGATTAGAAAGCAAATAAATAAATATGGAAATATCGATTACCAGATTAAGAATTGAATCATCATTACGCCAATCATATCGAAATGAAATGAATAAATTTCGTAAACGAGCAATCATTTCTTCCCCATAGGTTTGTTGCAGATAATCATCGTCGAATACAATGAATGAATGGCGGTCTTCTGCGTCTGGATTAGGCAGCAAACATGATTTACGTGATTCGTCGAAAAATCTCAAATTAATAATCCATTTAATATCAATGGCACTGGCTTTCAACAATTGTATCTGATCTTCTTGACACATTCTTTTGAATGGTGGTATATTCTTCACTGTTATAATTAAATTTTTCATACTCATTTCCAGATATTTAAGTCCATCCTGTACATGACGTATGATTTTTTTATTTTCAGGATTATCACCTAAATCATATAATGTTCGCAGATAATGATTAACTTCGTCCAATTTTTCTTGTTCCAATGGATTCAATTCAAACAGTTGTTTTTGTCGCTCTTGTTCATCATCAGGGTTAATGTTTGTGACTGATGATGTTTGGTGATCCAATGGATTCAATGTGTGTTCCAATCGAATAGCATGACGATAAGCAAAATCGGAAATGTGCCAAATATAATTACTGCAACTTGATAATTCTATTATCGGTGCAGCTTTTTCTAAATTGTCAAACATTTCGTGACCATTTGAATTATTGTCGTCGTCGTCGTCGTTATTTATACTATATGCTGCTGTTGTTGTTGTTGTTGTACTATTCTTGTTGCGTAAACAATTTGAATTTTCAAAACATTCGAATTGGTCATCATTCATCAAAAAGTATTTTTTGCCATCACAATATTGTTTGTTGTTGTCGTTCAGAACGTCGTTTGAATTAGAATGGCTACTGTTGTTGTTATCATTTGTAACGATCCCAATGACTTGTTTGACATTTTTCTCATTTTTTGATTCATATTTTATTTCATTTAAATTGCAATTTTTCGTGCCAAAAATATCTTTCTTGTTATCATTGATCATTGACATATTGCCAACAACATCATGATCATTATAACATTGGTTTGTCGGCCATTCGTGGCCATTATCAGTAATAATATTACTGCTTCCCATTGTTGAATGGTTTTTCGTTTCACATTTTTTATTAATAAATTTGATCAAATCATCATTTTGGACCAAACAGTCCATCGATGAGTCATTATTATTATCCATTAATAACGGTATGATGATTATATTTGTCGGCGATGATTGTTCATCATCATCACTGCCACCATCATCGGAAGTTGAGGTTTTTGGTTGTTGTTGTTCCGAACTATTGGGCCGTATATCATGACGTCGACGATGTTTTCGATGTATATTCAACTTTTTATAATGTTCGGTGAGAATCCAATCCTAGACAAACAATCGTTCAAAAGAGAATGAAGAAACAGAAAAAAAACAAACAAAAAAGCAAATAAAATATGCAAAATGATTATCATCACCATCATCCATCTCCACTGAGAATCAAAATCATTGGAAAAACAATCATTAAATTCATCATTTTTTGTTTACTTTTCGCATTCCAATTTCGAAACATTTTTTCAATCGACATTGGCGACAATTTTTTCTTGTACGGGCTGTCATTTTACAATTGCCTCCGGTTGAACAACGAAAATTCTATTAATCATCGAATTTTTTTTGTTTTGTTTTGTATTGGGAAAGGAATCGTAATACAATATCGAGATCATGATCGTGATGAAATAAACAAATAAACAAATAGAAAATTGAAAAACAAAAAACAAAACAAAACAAAAACGAACCTTGTTACGAAGTGCATTACGACGAAAAAATGCTTTACACGATTCACATGTTAATGCATTGAAATTATAACCTAAAAATGATGATAATTAACAAACATTGATTGATTGATTTAATCGATCAACAACAATACCTAAAGCTTTATCACCACATACACCACAGATTTTGTTCTTCAATGGAAAGTCCATTTTCTCATCAGCATTTCTTCTTTTTCAAGGTTGTGTTTCTATTTTTGCAAGAAAAAATGTCAAGAGAATATTATGAAAAAGAAGAAACTTTCAAATTACTTTAATGATGTATTGATTTGATTTGATTGGAAATGAAAAAAACACTAAAAATAACAACGACAACAACAAGAAACACATAAACAAAACAAAAAAAAATTCAATTAAAAATTCAAAACAACAACGACAACAACAACAAAATCAATTTTTATCGTCAATTCACGAATGTAATGATTATTTCTTTTTCATCAGCATCATCAACATTGAATTACAATAATAATGATGATCATGATGATCATCTGAATGTGGTGACAATAGTACTCGATTTGTGTATGTGTGTGCGTTTGCATGTGTTTTGGTTGGTTATTTTTTTATGATTGATAAATTATTTGTTTATTGCCATGATGATGGTGATAATGATATTTTTACCAGAGATTTACACATTTGAATGTTTGTGGCAGCAATATCAAATTTGATAATTTTTTTTATCGGTAATCCAGTGAAAGAAATATTTTAAAAGAGTGTGTGTTTTCCAGAATTGGTTGATTTTTAATTTTTAATTCTTGATTTTTTTGATTTTGTCTTTGTTGTCGTTCGTGTTGGTGGATTCGAATTGTAAGCCAATTTCAAATCATCGGTCATTGAACTGGCAGATTAGTATTTAGAATCCAAAAAATTGGGATTTCAACGAAAAGAAACAACGAAAACTTGGATTAATCAAAGCGTAACCAAAAAAAAAGGAAAAAACGAAAAAGTTCCCAATTAAAAAAATTCACTTGCTATATTTATCTATCTGTGAGCAAGATGGAAAAAATGCAGTAATATGCTTGTTTCAATAAACATAATTGTTACATTCGGCAAACAGATTCATTCATTGAGTGAGAGATTTCTTTTCAAGAATCACCCGAATGAATAAATTATAGTAAAGTAAAAGATTATCTTGATTGTTCAGCAAACATATTTTCGAGGGTGCGAAAATGTAAAAAATATGCTTAATGATTTACCATTTTTATGGTAGACTGAATTTTTCTTTTTTTTCATTACATTATGACTATTATCTATTATTATTATTATTATTATAATAATTATGAGGATGATTTTTTCCTGAATGAATTAATCGAAAAATATCCATAGGTGCCTTGAAGCATTTGATTTTTTATTCAACAGTTAGTTTCATTAGTCATGAATGTTGTTGTTTGATCATAATGATCAATGTTTTGCTTTTGGGTTTCTTCTGGTTTACCTTTCTGGTGTGCGTTTGTTTGTGTGTTAAAACATGTTGTCATTATTGGAACTCGTCAATCTGGTTTTTTCGAATGTTGTTGTTGACTTGTTCGATATTCAATAATGATGATGGTGAGGATTTTTTTCCATCATCATCATTATTTACAATGCGACTAAAAGCCCATTGCAGACTATTATAATGATGACTTTTCCAAATTCCAAACTCATCTCTGGATTATAATTTCAATGATTATAAAATAATGGACTCCAAGTTCTGTGTGCTGTGTTGTTAGATAGATTCATCATTTTTTTATTTGTCCATTATACATGACAACATTACACATTACTACTGGGAAATTGTCAGAGTCAATAATTCATCATTTAGTTGCTGATCAATACGAAAACAAATACGAATAGAAAAATGATTAATTGACTGTAGAATATCTACTACTATTCTTTATTGGGAAAAAAACCCAAAACACACACACACACATTGTGACTTTATTGCCAAGGTTTTTATTCTTACCGTCCAAGAGAGTTTTCCACTTCGTCATCATCATTAATGTGTGTGTCTGTGTGTGTGTTCATCCCACATCCTACATCAAAACATTTTTTTTGAAGATAGAGATAGTCTTGAAAATAAGGCAATGCAATTGTGTTGTTGTTGTTTGGGCACCACCACCATCATCATCAATAACCAACCATTATTATTGCGTTTGCTCGAGTCAAGCCAAGCCGAAAAAAACCACCAAAAAAAGTTCTCAAAGCTATAGCTTGCAAAGTAACTAAAATCATGTTGATGAATTTCACAGTGAGTGAGGTTTTATTCACTTTTTTTTAAAAATTCTCTCTGCAAAGAATATACCATCCATCCATCCATCCACTTTTGTCTTCAATAACAACAACATCATTATCATCATCATACAGCATTGAGATGATGACGACAGAAACAAACAAAATAATGAAAAAATTACAAATCCATCTAAACGACTCTGTTGCTGATGTTGATTTTGATTATCTGCTGCTATATATTCAATTATTGGCGCATGCTCATTTTTCATAGTTTGTTGCGTTTCCTATGACGACATTTAATTTTTCAATATATTCACCATACATGCGTCAATAATATCAGAGAAATCTGGAACAGCAACAAAACGGCATTGGTCATGATGGTTGACACACAAATTGGAACCAAAATCAACATCACGAGTATTGATATATCGTATATATCAATATCGCTGCATTAGAGAAAAGTCGTGGTGCAAGGCCGAATTCAAAATGAGAAAAAAACATTTGAATAAAGTCTCGAGACTCTCGAAAAAAGAGAAACAAAACACATAGTGATTGCATGCAACGTACAGCAAATAGTGGCCGGCAAAATTTTTTTTTGTTTTGTTTTTGCGTGTGGAACCAGAAAAAAATAAATAATCGATATCCGAACCAACAGTCGTCATTTCTTTCGAATGATAAGAATGCGCCTGTGTATTCGATATGCGCTGTTGTGCTATTTGTTCATTAATGTGTTGTGCACATGTGGCGTCTGCTATTTTATCAACAATTTCGTTTCAATTCATTCACGGATTCGGGTATTCGGGTATTAAAAAAGAATTCTTGTCTTGTGTCATTTATTGTTGTTGTGCTATATCCCCATCCATTCACACTATTCCCAATCGTCATGGATTGTTTGATTCGTTCTTCAACATCATCGGTTACAATGTAACAAATTTTCTTTCCATTATTTGTCAGATGATCTTAATTTCAATTTCAATTTTAAAAATCATTAATTGCTGATCCACAGATTATTAAATATGATGATGATGATGATTTTGAACGAAACGAATTCGATTCCATCAAATGACAAATACACACCACACATAAAGGCATTATTATACAGATTATACAGATCTCACTCATTCTTCATTTGAAAAAGGAGCGATATACACTGTATGTATGTATGTTTAGATGAAACAAAAGTATCCAATTAAAAACTGTTGAATAGTAGTCATTGATATCCAGTCTTGCCTGATCTCGTGTGTGCTCAACCTTCATCGATCTTTATTTTTCTTCTGATCAACTGTATTTGTAAATCTCATCGTTTTCATTGGTTTTATTATTGTCATTAAACTAATTAAATAAATAACAACAACCAAGAGGGAGTACGGCGTGAAAAGCGGTAGTAGCTATCTATGTGTCCGCTCGACTGATGATGATGAAAAGAAGAAGGAGGAGGAGGATGGATGAATGAATGAATGAATGAATGAATGAATGATGATGATGAAGAGTAAGAAGAGAAATACAATCAACCAAAAAAAAAAACTAACCAAACCAACCAACCAAGTTTAGTTGTCGATCAGCTATCAAATAATTGACAACAACAAAATCATCAACAATCATCATCATCATCATAATAAACACATTGCAAGTGTTTGTGTGTGTGTGTGTGTGTGTGTGAAATACACAATTTTCTCTTCTTTTTTTGGCGTCATCAACAACAACAATATTCATAAACATATGCATCGATGACAGCAACATTGAATTTCGATTCGACAATGGTATATTTTTTTGATCAATAATTTTCAAAGTCTATTCCATGTGTGTCTGTCATTGTCAGTGTCATTGTCGTACAGCTTGTCATTTAAAAAAAAAATCCAGAATGAAATTTTGCCGTTGTTGTCTCCAAATTTTCTCTCTGGTGTTATTTTTCAAAAAAAAACTGCAGACAAAAATAATCGTAGCCGTTTTTTATTTTATTATTAACAACAATCGGTGCATTTTTTATTTTCTTACTTTTCGTTTTTACCGTTTCCTTGCCCCCTTTTTTTGCATCTATCTCTCTCTCTCTTTTTTGCACATACCACATTTGAAAACAAACACACAGTTATACACACTATCCAGTAAAGTTTTTTTTCCATGTTAATGATAATGATGATGATGATGATATATTTCATCCCTATCTCTTTGCTTTCTCTCTGATCTTTATTGATGGTGTATGTGTGAGCTGTGTATACATGTATGATATGGATATGGATGTGTGTATCCATCTCTTATCCTCGATTAAAAACCGAGAAAAAAAAATCTTTTTTTATTCTCCAACATCACAAATATACAACACAGAGACGGTATCGTTTACGATTTATTTTTGCTTGATAGATTTTCTTTCAAACTGTTACTACCACACACATCTTCTTTTACCCAATCGATGCTCATCACAATATCAACAACAAAATTCATCGATATTTTATGGTTGTGGTGAAAGAACAAAAAATATCTGAAAATTGCCATTGTCGTTTTAGCCTAATCTAACTATATTACAATGTGTTGTGTTATTGATTCTATGTATTCACAACATTCACATTTTTATAAAGAAGAGAAATTATAATGCAATTTCACAAGAATATCAACAACAAAGCAGAAAAAAAAATTTCATGCATGACGACGACAAGTATCTTTCGATTTTTCTTGCTAATACGACGTGTGCGTGTGTACGATGTTTGTTTTCATTTTTTTTTCTACATTCAAATGTTGTGAATAGAAATTCGCCGCTTTTTATTTTCTGATGATTTTGTGTGTTTGTGTCATATCACAAATTTCAGTAACCGACAAATTATCACGAATTGGAATTTTTTGTTTTGTTTTGTTTTTGCACCATTATTCGAAATATTTGATGATTTAAGAAAATTCAAATTTTTCGACTGAAAAATATTTTTCCTGAAAAGTGTGTACAGTATGTTTGGGTCATTGCACGGTTTTTTTCTCATCAGATTTTAACTAACAAGAGAGCATAGTTTATAATCGATTGGTTCCATTTCTAATACTTTTTTTTTAATTTTTGTGATGATTCTTTGAATAAAACAAACAAAAAACTGCTTGTTGATATGTACCCCATGATGATGACCATGATTACAATGGGAAATGTCTATATGTGCCATTCATTTATCAAACAACAACATTAACAACAGAAATGGACAAACTGAAAACAACATTTTATCAAATGATAGAAAGAAGAAGATGAAAAAGAAAACCGTCCACCCATATTTGTCACAATAACAATTTTTTTTTGATGCATTGATTTATATTTTCACCCTTAAAAAATTCATTCAGAGATTCAAGTTGAATTTACACATCATAATCAAATGAATAATGTCCATTTTTTTTAACTCGTAAACAATGACTGTGAAATGTCAATGGCAAATATTTACTCATGAAAACGATCAACTACTACTACTACTATTATACCGATCACATTGATTTTTTTCGTTTTTTGTTGCAACAATTTAAATTCCCGTTTTCTGTTTGTTTATTATTTTTTCCCTTGTCATCATGATCATCATCATCCTGAAAAATGTTAGCAAAAAATTATGTATTAATGTGCAAGTTCATGATGATTTTTTTTTTGATATTAATTTTCAATTACAATGCTATGTTATTTAATAATGGCAATAACGATAATGATGATAAAATTGTGTATTGTATACAATGTTTATTTAGAGTTGAGTGTGCGTGTTATTACATAATAATCGTCATCATCAGTTTATCCGATTCTATTCTATATATCACTTTTGTCCATCTGCGAGTCTGTGTGTCTTTAGAACGAAATTCAATTAAATTGATACAACTGTGATAATTGAATTATAAGCACCACATTACATTACACATTATGGCTTTTTTTTGTTGATTTTGTCATTTTAAAATTCCTTTTTTTTTGGTTCACATTCTTGAAATTATATGATCACAATAATAATGTATTTCGAAAAGATTATCCAATCAATTTGATTGACTTTTGTGTCATCCGGGCCATATAGATCTGTTTTTTTTCTATATAGAATGTTGAATTGCGTTCTATATATATATTCTGGTGAATTTGTGTGATAAATCATTATTTTGTTTCTAATTTAGTTATCATATTTTTCACGTGTATCTGTGTGTATAGTGTTGGTTTTCTATATATGTTGTATGTTGTGTGTTGTGTGTCGCAAGCCAAAAAAACACTCTTTATCTATCTAACTACTCAACTGTTGTTATTGGGGGTTCTAATTCAAATATTCACACAACAGGAATAAAAAGGAAAAAAATACGACAGCAAACACCAGCGAAAACATAGTAGCTAGCCGCGAATCGCTGTTGAACATTTTTTTTTTTTTTTTTTGTTGTTGTTGCCTTTTTCCTCTTCCTCGGCAACGGAAATAAATGATAAAGATGAATTTGTGTGTGTGTTTGCTAGTATGTGAGATAAAAGGAAAAAACGAAACGAAATGAAAAAAATGTTCAACAGTGAAGCGCATGAATATTGTATCCAATTTTTTTCGTTTTCCAACCAAAATGATACATAGATTTAGACAGAGAGAGAGAGAGAGAGAGAGGCTATTTTTTCTTGTTTGTTGTTATCAATCAATCTATTTATCTGTCTGTTCATTATGGTGAATTTGATAGTGTGACATTTTTTTTTATTTTATTTTTTGATCTTTTTTAACCCTCAACCCTGGCAAAATGGTGATGAATATTTTCATCATAAAAAACCACTACATTCAGTGTCATGTTTGTTTATGTGGTTCGATGCTTAGAATGACGATGATATGTGAATACATCTTAGTCAGTCATTTTCTCTTTTTTGATTTATATTTATATTAATATTAATTAATCGCAAACTAATCAATCGTCATCATGATCAGGACAGGGGTTCAGTACAGTTTGATTTCAAGTTTTAATGTGTGGATAAAAGATGGATTGATGAAACAAAAACGTTAATAAAATACAGCAAAACAGGTTTTTCTTTCTTATTCACATCTTCTTTTTTTTTATTAATTCACTCATTCGTTATTTGGGTTAATAATAATTATTTTCTACCAAATGCCTATATCCTCTGTCTGTGCGTGTGTGTGTATTTTCCCTAAAGTAATTATTTTCGCATACAACTTTAAATCCTTGTTCAACGTGTTTAGATGATCATCTTAATTTTTCTCTATTTTTTTTCTTCTTTTTTCATTGGCCACTATCGTCGTCATCATCATCTTTCTGCTTGCAATTCATCAACATTTTCTTCTATTACAGAAAAAATTGGATACCTACCCCAATCATTAATGATACAATAGTAAAGTTGTCAGGGGTGATATGGATAACAATACAAATCATTCCAATCATCATCATTACCAAAAGAAGCGAATATCGATTAGCATTCATTATTGTAAATAAATAATCGAAATTGAAAAAAAACGAAACAAAACAAAACAACAGAGCCATGATGGAGGATAGTGATGATCATTTGAAATATAAACCAAATAAATTGTGTGGAATTTGTGGTGATAAAGCATTGGGTAAGTATTGGATTTTGTTTGAAATGGAAAAAACTATTAATTAATTTGGAAACAAAATACCACAGGCTACAACTTTAATGCAATAACATGTGAAGCATGTAAAGCATTCTTTCGACGAAACGCCCTTAGAACAAAGGTAAGTCATTTTCTTTTCATTTTTTTTTTTTTTTTTTGCTTTTGTTAAATTTGCCCATTGCTTATTGATTTAGGATTTTAAATGTCCATTTGATGGTAATTGTAAAATAGATTTGGTTACCCGTCGATTCTGTCAGAAATGTCGATTGAAAAAATGTTTCGACATTGGAATGAAAAAAGTAATGATGATGATGATGATGATTTATTATTAGATCATCGAATGATTTGTTTGTTTGTTTTTCATTCATTCTCAATTGTTTTCTCTTTCTTTATATTATATAGGAATGGATATTATCCGATGAAGAGAAACGAGTAAAAAGAGATAAAATAATGGAAAATCGTAGGAAAAAAGAATTGTCATCAACATCATCATTATCCTCGCCATCATCATCCTCTATTCATCAGGTAATGATGGCCAATGGAAACACTAACAATATCGATGTGATGATGTCGTCGATCACTAGTCAAGAAGACAATAGTAACCATTCCGACAACACATCATCATCGAACCAATCATTTGTTGTGAATGATAATAAGTCGATTTACAATACAGTTAACAATAACAATCATCATAGTAATAAAACTTTAATGAAAATGCCGGCCAATGGTAATGTGAATACCCATCATCAACCAATTAATCGGGATATTCCGGAAAATAATCATCACAACAATCGAAATAATCAGAAAGAAAATTTTTTCAATTCTTTATACCTATTCGAACAACATAAATATCAACAGAATCTATATTTATCGAGTAAATTTTTCCCTATTTCTCCTCGAACCGAAAACAACAACAACAACATGAACCATATTCGACATCAAGATTTGTAAATAATAATAACAACATTAAGTCATCAAATCAACCACCATCATCATACCAACATCATCATCATCATCATCATCATCATCATTATACTCATCCTCTTCATTCTCCTCAACCTCAACCTCAACCTCAATATCATCATCATCAACAACATCATTATCAACAACAGCAACTACAACCTCAATCACAACCTTTGCCTCAAATTCATTCTTCTTCTGCATATGAAAAGTCGATTAACCCGACCGCAACAATGTCTCCAAATAGATCGTTGTCACTGGCAATGAAAACAACAAATTTTCAAGGATCTCTACCATCACCACCATCTAGCCATTCATCTTTGTGCAATATCAATGCAAAAAACAACAATAGAAATATTGAACCTGATCATCTTAATATTAAAACCGAGTGCAATGACCCTATGCAAACAAACAGCACATACAACATATCATCATCGCCAGTTGTTGACCAATGTCAACGTCCAATTTTTCCTCTTAAAACCGAACCAGATGAATACGTTACACTGGCAAAGCATCATATATCATCGATAATTGATAACAATCACAATCAATTCAATGGCAAAGGACAGTGTCAATCTAGTTGCCAATCGAATTCATTCACCGATCATCATCATAGACCATTCATTTCATCTGACGAAAGTGAAAGTGCCAACACTGTTCTAAGTACATACAACAATAATTCCAGTGATGCAGAAAATTTCAAAGAATCTGCATCGAAACAGCCTGTAAACATAAGCAAAGAAGGTAATTATTATTTTGTATGATATGATGATAAATGCCAAATTGACCCATTTTGTTTTTTTTTATTATTATTCATATTCATATTGAATAACAACAACAAAATATAGATGTATGTCGTTCACCAACATCTCCATTAAATGATAAAACTTTTTTGACAAATGTTTCATCTACATTGCCTGAGGAAAAATCCGGCCTAAGTGGAGCCAACAAATATGAAGATAACTTTGCCAAAATGATGAAAGGCCAATCAGCTGGTAATCGTATCAGTGTTTTTCAATTGAATCTAAATGCAATGGCGCCCGAGTCCATTTCCGAATCCTATAATTATATTGAAACTTATCGTTTGGAAGAGCTTGCGGATGCTTGTGCACAATTACATCATTGGTGCAATTATAGATCGATTTTATATGAAATGCGCAATCTAAAAGAAATCTATCGAGTTGCTGAACATGTATTTCAACATTTTATTTCGATGGCCAAAATGGTTACTGCATTTACTAATTTATGCGAAACTGATCAACTATCATTGCTCAAGTATTCGGTTACAGAGATACTTATCTTGCGTTCAGTGTCTTGTTTTCTGCCCAATGAAGATGCTTGGATTTTCAATCTAGATGTATGTTTTTCTCAAATATATAAAATGTATATTGATTTGTTGATTTATTGATTTATTGATTTATTCATATTAATCACAACTATAGAATAATGAAAAAGGTACATTACTACAATTCAACACTTGCAAAACACAATTATCGGATTCAGAATTTAGCGATGATATAAGACATTTCATTTTGGCCGTACCGGAAAATTGTCGAAATGATCGTAACTTGTTCGATTTAGCGACAATGGTTGTTCTCTTCAATCCCAATTGTTCCGAACTGAAACATAAAGATGTTGTTAGGTGAGTTGTAAATCAATATCTACCATTTCCTTGATTTCTTGTTGTTTTTTTTATCACAAGATTGGAACACATCACATATTGCCATTTGCTCTGCAAATATATTCACATCAATTATTCATCATCATCATCATCACCGTCAGCGTCGTCTATGGTTGAACATGATACAACAAAAGCTATTCAGTTCAATACAATGTTGAATCTCATTGATCGTTTACATAAAATCAATCAAAAGTTTAATAATGTTTTTCCATTCCGTTTCATTACTGAAGAGTACAACAAAAAACGTTTGGCTCAAATATAAAATAATCATCAAACCTCTGGTCCTCAAAAAAAACAATCATTTTTTGTTCATTTGTTTGGTACTTGAAATTTAAAAACCTTTTTTTGGTTTTTCTCTCTCAACACTGAAAAAACTTATTTGTGTAATTATTATTTGTTGAATATATATATTTTTTGTTTTTATTTTTATTTTCATAATTATTATTATTAACATTATTATTATTATTATTATTGTTGTTGTTGTTGTTGTTGCTGTTGCTGTTGCTTTATACAACATGTTTATCATTTTATCTTTCAATATCAATTCTCTCTGTAAACACTCAAAAAAATTTCTCCACCAAGTGATTCCTTTTCAAAAAACAAACAAAAAATTATCTCTGGGTTTAATATCGTCATCATTGTTAATTTGAAAATTTTTATTACGTAATAAATTCTCACAAAAATCTTTTTGACTGAAATTTATTGTTTTTTTTTCAAAAAAAAAAATTGGAAAAAAATTCAAAATTCGCTCTCAAATTAAACGGAACGTACTATTTGAACGACAAGGCTCACGAAAAAGTCTGAAAGAAAAACATGCGGCTTGATTTTTTTATTTTGATTTTTGTTATGAATAATAAATAATATTCGTCTGCATTTTGGTCATCAGTTTATCGATTTGTTTATGAAATCCACCGTAACCATCAAAAAGAAAAAATGACACATAATTACGTTGTCACTGCACAAAAATCTACGGCAGTTTTTAACGCCATTTCAGGTAATCTATTCTTACTATTCTTTGCTTGAATTAATATGATTGCTAAATTCAATTCAGGAAATTTTACATCTCCCACTGATTTGAATTTAATTCTGGACAAATTATGTCGAATCGAAGTTCACCTAGTGACAGCCGAAGGTTTACGATCATTGAAAGAAATTCCTCTTAATGGTCGAATATCTGTCATAAAATCTTTTCGTATGCCCAATGAAGATAAAGATCTTTTGTTTATCATGACACTCAAAAATAATTTAATGATTCTTGAGTTAAGTCGTGATCCAAAACATGGTGATTTTGAGGTCAACACAAGAGCCCATGGTATTATTACTGAAAAATCCGATCGACCATCAGAGAATGGTACACTTTGTGATGTGAATGCCAAAGCTCGAATTATTGCCTTGAGAATATATGATGGAATATTGAATGTATTGAAGCTGGATTTCAAAAATCGGAACATCAAATCCTACAATATTCGAGTGGAAGAAAATACTCTTATCGATTTTGTATTTCTTCATGGGTACGATAAACCAGTACTTTGTTTCATCTATCAAGAAGATCGAAGTCGCCATTTGAAAACGTATGAAATAACCGAAGATCGAGAACTTCGTCGTGGACCTTGGCTACAGGAAAATATCGAATCAGATTCATCTATGTTAATACCCGTATCCGAACCTTATGGCGGTGTCATCGTGGTTGGCCAAGAATCAATCACTCATATCATTGATCAAAATCAATATACTGCAATTGCACCACCCGAGATTGCAAGTTCAAATTTTTCATGTTTTTGCAAAATCGATACTAATCGTTTTCTGCTCGGTGATCTAAGTGGACAATTGTTCATATTGATTTTGCATCCCAATGTTCAAGTTGCTTCATCGTCGTCGGCGCCAGTTTCACCATATGGTTTGAAACTGATTTCATTGGGCGAGACATCTGTTTCCAGTTGCCTTTCGTATTTAGACAACAATTATGTATTTGTTGGCTCAAGATTTGGCGATTCACAATTGATCAAACTCAAACACGATGATAATGATACCAGGAAATATATCGAAATAATGGATACGTATGTTAGTTTAGCACCTATCGTTGATATTCTCGTTGTTGACCTTGACAAACAAGGTCAAGATCAATTGATCACATGTTCGGGTGCATATAAAGAAGGATCTTTGCGTATCATCCGTAACGGTATCGGTATCAATGAATTGGCCACTATCGATTTACCCGGAATCAAAGGCGTTTGGCAATTGAAAGTCAATTCGATCTACGATAATGTCGTTGCAATGGCTTTCGTTGGGCAGACAAAACTATTAAAATTAAAAAATGAAGAAGTGGAAGAAACTTTTATCACGGGTTTTGATTGTTCACAAGAAACGATGTATACCGGTAACATTATTGCCGATCAATTTGAAATGATTGTTCAAATAACGGCCAATTGTATTCGATTGTTATCGGTACACGACAATAGAATCACAAGTAAATGGATTCCACCAAGCAATATAACATTGGTTTCTGTCAATGATTGTCAAATAATTTGCAGTTCCAGAAATAAATTACTATATTTGGAAGTGATCCGATCGGAAATTAAATTGATCAATGAAATTGAAATGGAATATGAAGCTTCATGTCTGGATATTAGCTCGTTGACCGAAAAACGAAGCAAACTTTGTGCCGTTGGATTATGGAAAGATATCTCGGTTCGAATTATGAGCCTACCGGATTTTAAACTTTTGCATACGGAAAAACTTGGTGGTGAAATTATTGCCCGTTCAACATTAATGGCTCATTTCGATCATACCAGTTATCTATTCACAGCCATTGGTGATGGATCATTGCTTTCGTATATTTTGAACACTGAAACTGGTACATTGTCTGAGAAGAAAAAAGTAGTTCTAGGAACACATCCAACATTTTTGAAAATGTTCAAGACTAATTCATCTAGCAATATATTTGCCTGTTCCGATCGTCCAGCTGTCATCTATTCAAGTAATAATAAATTAATATTCTCCAATGTCAATCTAAAAGAAGTGAATCATATGTGCACATTAAATTCGGAAGGCTATCCTGATTCATTGATATTGACCAACGATAGCCAATTATTGATTGGTCAGATAGATCAGATTCAAAAACTTCATATTCGAACGATTGCATTGAATGAAACTCCCAGACGTATAGCTTATCAAGAGTCCACGCAGACATTTGGTGTGATAACAATGCGATATGATGTACAGCTTGAAGATGGCCAAATGGTTTCCTCACGGATTAGCGCCAGTACTTTGGCGCAAAACATTACTCATTCACGATCATTACCGACAATGGTGAAACCAACACAGATTTCCAATCACTTCTATCCGAATGAATTGGAAGTTTATCATCTATTGATTATTGATCAAACAACGTTTGAAGTTTTACATGCCCATCAATTTATGGTCAACGAATATGCCACTAGTTTGGTTTCCTGTAAACTGGGCAATGATGCCAATCATTATTATATTGTTGGAACGACATTTATGATTTCCGATGATATTGAACCGAAAGCAGGCCGTATTATTGTATTTCAACTTGTCGATGGTAAACTTCAACAAGTTGCTGAAAAAGAAATCAAAGGAGTGCCGTTTTGGCTCCATGAATTTCATGGAAAACTTTTAGCTGCCATCAATACATCGATACGATTATTCGAATGGACATCGACACATGAACTTCATATGGAATCATCGGTATTTTCATCGACATTGGCCATTCATACGAAAACCAAAGGAGATTTCGTATTACTTGGTGATTTACTGCGATCATTCTCACTGTTTGCATATAGTCCACTTGGTGGAACTTTTACTCAATTAGCCCATGATCTCGAATCGGCTTGGTTGTCAGCCATGGAAATCATTGATGACGATACATTTATTGGTGCTGATACTAATTTCAATCTATATCTCGCTCAAAAAGATTTGTAAGTCTTGGTTGTTCTATTGATGATTGCTAATGTTTTTGTTTTTTTTTTCCATTTCAAAAGGAATGTGGCAGACGATCCGGATAGATCGAAATTTCTTACCCAATGTGGTTTCTTTCATTTGGGTGATCTTGTCAATGTCATGAAACATGGTTATCTTGTTATGAATTATCCACACGAAATGAATAATCCAATCATCAATAAACCGATTCTTTTCGGTACATACTCTGGGAGCATCGGTAAGAATTTTTGTTAGAAAAAACCATCTCTTGTAATTATTAATGTCCTATTATTACATGTATTATAGGTTTAATTGCACAAATACCAAAAGATTATTACGAATTTCTATTGAAATTACAAAAGAATCTAGCATCTAAAATCAAATCGGTTGGAAAAATTGATTACGATTTCTGGCGAACCTATACGAACGACAAGAAAACCGAACCATCATTGAATTTTATTGATGGTGATCTTATCGAATCATTTTTGGATTTAAACAGTACCGAAATGGCCGAATGTGCTGAAGGGATAATGGTAATGGGCAATATATATTTTTTATTTTTTATTATTGAAAAATTGTCATTTTTCTTTTCATTACATTTAGTATAATATGAATGGCCAGAATCGAACAGCCACTGTAGATGATATCATCAAAATTGTTGAGGAATTGTCACGAATTCATTGATTTACATCATTGGCAATGGTACTATTGAACGAACAAACGGGGTATTTGTTACTGTTTCATATTTGGTTCTTTTTGTCTTTCTACACAGTCCAATCACCACTTTGCGTTTGGTTTTGTTTCTTGTTTTACCATCAAATTCATCCAATTTTTGTTTGTAATGGTCCAAAATTTTAACACGATAATCATTATTTCTCGGTGTTGTACAGGAATAAAAGCCATTCATATTTAAAATTGTTTCATACATTTTTTTCAAAATTATTCTCCGTACTATAAATGATTCATTCAGTAGAGTTTGTTTTGCTAAATGATTAAAAATATTGTCGCACATAGATTTTAATAGACGATCATCATTGATCAATGCTAACCACTGAATAAATGGTAGCAATAATTCGTAATAGATTTGGGGCCTAGCAGCTTCATCGATTTTTTCATCTACGATCAATTTTAGTTCTTCAAGATAAATGTCACAAATATGAAGAAACAGACCAATGGATTGTGATGTCACCGATATGATATAGTCAATGACATCGGCTTTAATTTCAAATGTTCGATGTTGGTTCACGATACTTTGACGATAATTTTTTAGGAAAATTTCATGTTCAAACAATTTTTGTTGTTCATTGTTGTTGTGGACAGTTTGTATTTGTTTTTGCAAACAATTTCTGAGCATGATACGAATGAGAAACATATATTTATCAATGCGAAATGCATCGATACTGTTCCAGGATTCAGCTAATGCTTTGAAGCCCGACATAAGGAATGATCCGTTGTCCGAGGATCCCATTTCGATAATCAATTCTTCGCCACCTTTTCGCATTTCTTCATACCAAACGATGTAGTAAAATCCTCTCCATAATTGCATCCACTGAATCATTGTCAAATCATTCGGACAGTTTTGCATCATTTTTCGTAAGGTTGCCAGACGTTTTGCGTGGGTTTGAGGAGCGGAAACTCGTTGAACAAAATTCAAGACAAATAATTCGTTACTTGTTTTATTCTTCATGTTGATTTTTGAATAATTTTGCAAAATGAATGCCATATATATGCACACCGCGTGTGGCAAATATCAAATCATCATTAAACATGTGATCACTGTTGGATACTTGATTCGTATGAACTTGGCATATTAAAGTGTTTTCACCAAGTAAAAAAAACCAACCATGGATAATAACAGCTTGAAAACTGATAATTTGGACATTAAATATCGTAATGATTTCCTCTATTTTCTTAGTAAAAGTCAACAGAATAAAGCATCGATCCGTTTCATAGAAAACGCACAAGATAAGGATGCCAATATAGAAGCGTATGATCCCAGTGTCAAACATTTGGCTGTTAGTAATCTACAAACATCGATCGGTTTACAGAAACATGCTATTCTTCGAAGTAATGATATAGAATGTGTAAAATTTTCGAAAACAATAAATTTTAATAATTAAATTCTTCAACGAGAGAATATATGCACATGAATTATCAATGATGGGTTGGTTTTTTGCCATCCACATAAAAATTTCGTGTTGCAGGCGGTAGTGTGACTTGAATATCTTGTAAATCTTTTTTTAAAATAATTTGACAACCTAAAGAGTGAAATAAATGAATTAAAAATCTATAAATGCATTTGATTGCAGTTAATTACTTAATCTAGAATTTGATTTAAGAAATGGAGCCATATCTAGAAGATCCTCTTCTTCTTCACTGGCTTCAGGTATTTTATCGAAATAATCATCACGAACATATACATGACATGTACAGCAAGCTAATGATGCTTCACATGCACCTTCAATATCGATAGAATTTTTTTGAGCTAAATACATAACATTATCACCGGCAGTGCCTTCAACAGTAATCTTTTCGCCTTTATTTGTTATGTAATGGACACGTATTTTCTCGGCCACACTATCATCATTATCATTCTCAGCAGCATTATTATTATTCGAAGTATCATCAGTTTGCAAAGTCGATGTGAATGATATGTTTCGTGGTGAGCTTATTAATTTATTATTATTAAGATTAAGATTGATGATTTGAAAGAATCTTCTAGCATTAAATGATGAATTTGATAACAATTTACAAAACATTTCTGGCTTTTCATCAAACATTTAAACTACTATTGAACCACACATGACAGACACAATCGAATGTGCGTCACACACACAAACATTTCGATGGTAGTTTAAACAATCGATATTTCAATGAATCGATGGGAATATAATTCGAAAAATATCATAAAATCGTCATTGTCATTATTTATTCCATATGCATATTTATTGATTATTGATTTCCGAATAATATTTTTGTAATCTTTATGTATATCATTATCATTGGAATACCATAAAACGCTATGATGGCCGATCCAATATGAAATGTTTTTCTTATTTCATTCGCCAGATGATCATGCTTTTGAAAGTCTTGAACACTTTTGATTGCCACACAGATCGCTATGATGATGCACAATATTAAAAATGTAATCATTACATAGATGAATTTACGTATTGGTTTTCCGGCTAAAATCTGATAAAAAATGCCATAAATAACACCGGTAGAACCGAACACAACAAAAAACCATCTGATTGCTGCATAGATGCCGATGACATAATTGTTTTCATCGTTGTTCGTATCAATACATTCACGAAATAATAAATTGAATGACAAATACATTGGTGGAACAAGATCAAGAAATCGTATGCAATTCGGTGTAGCAAATCCACCTTCTAATCGCATATTAGATTGTGGACTGGCTGGAAATGGACTTTGTTCACATTTTTCTTTCGGCATCGATTTGATTCGTTGTTCAATACAACAAATGAAACCATTTTCCTGTTTAGTATTCTGTATGCTAATCATTGATACATAGAATTCGGCACCATCTTTATGATCATCATGAGTTATAGCTATGTTTTTCACCGATTTGATTTCCGAGTTCCGAAACAACAAGAATTTCATGACACAATAATCTTTGCTTGTTTCGTTGTACATATTTGGACGAAAAAATTTCGGTGTAATTTGAATGGATATTTTTTCTGTGGTGCCAACAAAAAAAGTGATCATGACTTTTGTTTTTTTAAAATCAATGCTGCTTTTCCGATGAAAATATACCACATGGATTACGTAAATATGTCGATAAGAGTTTAATGTTTTATTATCATTATTGTTTTGTTTTAGACACACTTTATTCCATAAATTGGTTGAACATCGTTCGTTCACTAGGATGGATAATATCAACGACATGATAGACAATAATAAACCGATTACGATTAATGAGACAAAGTACGTATCGAGGGTTAATTTGAATTCCATCAAAGTGTCGAGAATTTCGAATCGATACATTTTGATTACAATGGCTTGACCTGGTATGTTTTTTTTGTCGAAACAATCTTTTTTCATATATAAAAACGAAAAGTTCGCCAACTAAAAAAGTTCTAATTACCAATTATTGCCAATTATTACCAATTATAAATTATAAATGTTTAATAAATGTTCCCCCCTTTCGTTTGTTTGTTAGATTGGCAATATCATAATCGATTGAAATCTGGAGATTAATCTGTAATTTTTGGCCGTTGTCGTAAACATCTTATGACATGAAATGGGGCAAAAAATAGATATACGGAACTCGATTTGTTATTCAAGTGGAATTTCATTACTGCATTCGATAGATTACAATGGATAATCAACTTTGATATTTGCGGATTAGTGCTCATAGCGATGATCATTATCATTAAAGATCGATTCAATCATCAATAATTTTATTGCAGATAGACAGACAAATTGAATACTATTTAAACCCTTGATATAAGCTAATAACGAGCCTCTTTTTGTTTCATATTGATCAGTGATCTGTAACAACAACAACAACAGTGAATCAAATCCGAAAGGATGAAGATTGAAATTTTTTGTCTATTTTTAATTACATCATCATTATGGATGATGTCGATAGAAGCAGCTCGTGGTAAGATTATTGATTATCGTTGTTTTTTCCTGAATTCACATTTTGTTTTTAGAACCGGCCGTTTCACCTTATGTGGATGCAACAAGAATGCCGAATGAGAATTATCTTGTCGATCTTCATCGTGAAACAGGACTAAATTCAGTTACATTAGCATTTGTATTGGGAACGGGTTATGGTTGTACACCTAGTTGGGGTGGTGAGAGTACATTGCAAGATTCGAGAATAATAAATGCTGTGAAAGCATTCAAAAATGTTGGCGGTGATGTTATTGTTGCTACTGGTGGTGCAATGGGACCATATTTAGAGGCAACTTGTTCGTCACCCGATCAATTGGCCGATGCATATAAAAAAGCATTAGACATTGTAGATAGTACACATCTAGATATCGATATCGGTAAGTGGTGGTCACATTCATTGTTGATGATAATAAATTAATCCACAAGTGGTTTACCATTTTTTCCCATGCACACTCATATATAATCCTATTAAGAGGCATCAATCAATGTTGATATAATGATGAATGCATTGAAAAAATTACGATCCATGATACCATCATTGACCATATCATTTACAATGATGGTCCAAGGTGATGATTATGGTATTGTCGACATTCTTGGGGTTGATATATTGAAACGTGCCGTTCAGAATAATGTTGAAGTTAACATTGTTAATGGTATGACAATGGAATTCGGATCCAAGCGCGCATCATGGGGTGATGCAGTCATAGCTGCTAGTGAAAGTTTACATCGACAAATGAAACAAGTTTGGCCACATAAATCTGATGAAGAATTGTATACAATGATCGGTGTGACACCAATGATTGGCCGTAATTTTAATGGTAAAATATTCCAAATCAAACATGTTGAACAATTGGTCGATTGGGCTAAACAGAGGAAAATCGGTCATCTATCCTTCTGGTCGGTGGGTAGAGATAATGGTGATTGTCCGGGTGGCGGTGTTTCACCATCATGTTCAAGTATTGCTCAGAATAAATTTGAATTTAGTAAAATTTTCCAACAATATTCCGGTACACATATTCCGGACCATTTTTCTACGACTAAAAAGCCAAGTACAGAAAATCCTCATCATTCAACAAAACCTAAACCATTGAAAATTGATTGTTCCACTGGTGTACAATATATTCCACATGAAACGTATTGTGATAAATATTATTGGTGTTTCGAAGGTAAACCACATCTGGAACAATGTGCAAATCATCTGGTTTGGGATCCGAAAATTAATTCCTGTAATTATGCTGAAAGTGCACAACGTACTGATTGCATTTAAGAATAGAGAATGTTTGAAATTATTTTAATGAACTAAGTACTAATTAAAATGGCATTTTCAATTTTCAATTTTCAATTTGAATTTGAATTTCATTGATTACGATCCATATCGATATGATGATGATGTTGACTTTGTCTCAATCTCATTTTCCATTATAAGCATTATTATACACACATACACAAAAACAGAAGGAAAAACCAAATGAAAGAGAAATTTACCCGGTCGATTTTTTCGATTGTGAACATCATCATCATGATGATGATGATGATCGTTTTCTTTTTTTACTTTTTATTTTTCACTCCCCGTGCGTGTGTGTGTGTGTGTGTACACAAGATATACGATAAAGTGCAAACGCGTTTCCATGAAGAAGAAATAGAAAAAAAAATCAAGAAATTAAATGTGTGCAAGCCAATGATGAACCAAAATAGCAATGACGATCATCATCATGATCCTTTGATCATCCGACAAACTTGTTACAATAAGACGAATACACACGAATTATTTATCGAAATAAAAAAACGAATGAACGGAACGTATCCAAAAGAAAAATAACGAAATTTTTTTTAATCGTTGTCGTCTCGATGATGTTGTTTGATGATAATGTTCACGAAAATTTTGAACGATGGATACTTTTTTTGAAAAGAAAATCCAGCAGTAAAAAAATCCATTTTACTGACCCGTTGATCACGAGACATTTTATCTCTCTCTCTCTCTCTTTTTCCCCTCATCACCAACAACCTGTTGACCGATCTTGACCGAACGCATTTTGTGGGCTGAATATAAATGTAGTAGCTATACAGTACCAAAAAAAAAAAAAAAAAAAACAAATCAACATTCGTTTGATACATTCGAAGAAAAATTATGATGAGTGCAAAATCAGTTTACCACTAACCATTGATATAGATGACTGATAAGGACAGAAATCGTCATCATCATCATCATCATTTTCTATAATTACAAATGATGATTATTAACCAAAAGCTTAATTGAATGATTTTTTCTATTTTTTAAAAATAAAAACAACGGTATCCATGATTATCTTTCGATGCAAAACTGGATGATCATTGATTTCAATTTTTCTTTTCTCTGGCCATCGGAAGAATGCTGCTCATCATCATCATCATCGTCATCGTCATAATCATAATCATCGATCATTAATCATGATCGAAGGGAAGAAAATTAATTTCCAATAAATTCAAGCAATACACACTATATACACCTTTTAGACACGCAACTCTATTTCTATCGATCATGTGAATAATTTTCATTGCTGTGTTGTTATATTTGATCACATTTGAAAATTACCTTTTCTTCGTTTGTTTCGAAGGCTTACTTATTTATTGCTTTGCTCAGAGATAATTTAATTTAATTTATTTTCATTTCATCTCCATATGAATGAATGCCCCTTTTGGCTTCTTGTGAATGAAGAACGGAAAGAAAAAAATTTCACTCATATCAATCCATTCGATCTATAATACACACACACTCAAATAAAATCGGAAATCCGAATGTTACACGCTTATCGATTTTATAACAAAGTGAAAACAGACAAAATTGATTCAATTTCCGTGCGAAAAAGGCTCAATGATCGTAATCATAGGTAAGAAAATCATTCACACTGCATTTCAATAATTGTGTGTTATTTAGCATCGTGCAAATTTTTTTCCACTCTCTCTCTCTCCATCTCTCATTATTGATTCCGAAAAAAACAAAACACAAAAATCTTGCCTTTTTTCTGCAACAATTTTCCTCATTTATCATTTGAAAAATTGAATCGATCATTCAATCTTTATTTTTTTCTTTTTTCTTTTTAAAAATTTACACATAGCATTGTAACAAAGACGAAGAAGAAGAAGAAAAATAAAAGTGACGGGCAACTGGTATATAACTGGTAATTACCGTATAGGTTAACGTACATTTGGTGAGATTCTATTATTATCATAAAAAACGAATCGTTCGATTTTGATTATCGTCGATCATCATCATGATCCAAACATCCATCTATCTATCCATCAGTTGATTCATTTTTTATTCTTGGAAAACTATTTCTCTGGATGCTATTTCAATAACGGATAGTCGTTAGATACATAATTGTACACAAAGAGATGGATAAATCCGTTATATTTGAACCAAAAAAAAATATTAAGAACTAAAGAAGATTTCCAAAAAAAATTGGACAAAAAATCGTCGTCATGTCTATGATGATTATCATCATCATGGCTCATCGTTCATTCAATTCGATTCGTTTTGATATGATTTCTCATCCATTCATTCATTCTCAACATGATAATAATGATTGATGACTTTTTTTAACTTTTTTTTGATAAATTCATTCCCTCCCTGTCTCGGATAATTTTTTGTGGTTTTTCTTTCGTCTCGATAATCATTGAATTATGATGTAACCTGTCGTATTGCCTGGCGAACACAGATTAACACTTCCTTTTTATTTTTACTTTGCAGACTATAAAAAAAAACAAAATAAACACCGAAACAGACAATATGTGCAGAACATTCATATTGTGTAATTTGGACAATAATTAATTTCCATAATTTGGCATGAATGAACATTCTCCAAAACAATTAGTAACCAAAATAAACATCCTTCAATAAATCATCCAATCAGGTTTGTATGTCATTCATGTGTGGCCGGATGTTATATTTATTCTTTCTCTATATACATCAAATATGGCAAATGGTCATTTTTGGCATTTTTGGAAAGCTTGAAAATGAAACTTCTCTGTGTGTATAAATATAAATATAAATAACGGTATTATTGTTCTTGCTCTTGTTCTTTGTGTGTGTGTTTGTTTCTGCTTTTTAAAAAGATTCCAAAACTTTGACGAATTATCATTATAGAGAATATAATAGTGTTTGATTGACTCATACACGGTTGTGGTTCAAATATGAAGGAATGAATGAATGGAGTGACCAATAAACAAACGGTGTGGACGACCTGTTGGATGGATGGTCATTTCATTTTTTATTTTATTTTTTTTTTTTAAACGAGTTGTTCATGAATGAATGTATGGATATAACAACAACAAGTCATCTCATATCATTATCGATCGTATACGCCGTTGTTTGCCGAAATCGTTTTTTTCATTTATTCACTGAAAATGATCGACGCGAATGGATGAGGCTTGAAAAAAGAAAAGAGGCAAATGGCAAAAATAGTGAGCAAAAAAGTGATCACCAAGATCAACATCACTTGAGAAATTCTAACGTTCGAATGAAAAAAGTACCTATCCTACAAGTCCGTTCCCAAAGAAAGTTGGTAAATCGAAATTCTAACATTTTAATTGATTGTCATCCTTTTTGACATTTTCAGAATTTCAAATTTGTATCGCTTTTGTGAATTTGCGATTTTTTTCTCTTGTTTATTCGAAAACGAAAAAAAGAAAATTTTAAAAAAGACAAACCAAATTAAACTTGGTTCATCATATTCATTGATTCATTGATTCATTCATCATAATAAATTCAACAATAACAAGCAATATGTATTTTAGTCATATTGATAAGCTATAGATACGGTCATCATCATGAACATAAAGGAAAAGCCGATGGACGATCGGATCAGACATTGTTATGGAGATAAAAAAAAGAGAAAAAAGCAGCGAACGAGAGAGAGAGAGAGAACAACGATAGATGATATCCATTCATCCATTATAGCTATGAGACTTGTTGTTGTTGTTGTTGATGATGATGATGATGATCATTGCAAATGTTGGTTTTTAGTTTAGAAAAGTATATTTGCTATAGTATAGTGATGATGTTTTTTTGGATAATTCAACTGACCTCATTCTTATGGTGGTCATTCCACCTTCGTTCTAATTCAGAAGAAAAGCAGAAAACAAACGACGTCGCCATCGTCGTCGGATCTCATCATGGATCTTTTCAATCACCATATATATAAAAGTGATGCTTGAGGGCTACCATTTATTTATATAATGATAATGTATATAATGTATAACCAACCAATGATGATGATGATGATGATGATGAAAGAAAATCGGTAGGAAACAAGAGAAAAAAGAAAAAAGATAAGCGAATACCAGGTTTACAAACACAACATAACTAATACAGAGAAAGATGGATGATTTGAAGCTGACGTTGTGTTGTTGTTCGTCGGTTTTAATTTTAGAAATTTGTTTTTTTTTCACTACTAATCATTTCATTTGGTCATTTAGAGATTTCGTTCGATTTTCGCCTTTTTTTCATTTTCTTCTTTTTCTTCTTCTGATGATGATGATGATTGGCTGGTATGGTTTATTCAAGTCTGCCGGTTGTTGTTGTTGTTGTCGTTGTCGTTTTTCTTGAATGGTAAAAGAGACAATCAAAAATGCCAATGGAAAGAGCGCCACACACATAAACTGTTGGTATATGGTACATACTCATGGTTTGAATTTCACTTTTATCCATAAAATAAAAAATGAAAAAAGTCTCCCACTCATGTTAGTTAGTTCTTCTTTTTCTTTTTCATTTATATGAAATCACCAAAAGTTTAAACATCCTTGTTGAAGCATCGTTTTTTCCATTCGTAACTCGTTCGACACTTTGTTAGTTATACACACACACACACACACACACACACACACACACTATATTGACCATACCAAACCAGCCGAAAAATCGGACACACACACACATATCCGATCGACATATCTCAAACGACATCGAACAGATCGACGTACGTTCATTCATTCATTCATTCATTTTTTGTTCATTTATCGTATCGGTTACAGCATTCATTCATTTGCCAGCAATCGTTGACTTTGGTCATTCATCAGTTTCATTGATTTTTTGTTTTTCTTCTTGTTGCTTTCTTGTTGTTGGTTACCAAAAAATCTCTTCACATAACTTGGATAAATATACACCGAACAAATAGACATCATGTACAACAACAAAATCACTTGTTTATTAGTTTGTATGCTATTGCATATTGTTTCTGGTCAATTTTCTTTCGGCGGTAGCAGCGATAGCGGTTTCTCGGGATTCAAATTATCCGGCCCATTAGGTCAATTGATGCGTGGATCAAGTCCATTGAATTTAATGACATCAAATTATGGTTTTGGCCAAATTCTTGGATCATTGATCAACAGTGGTTCGAATAGCGGTGGACCATTAAGTCAATTGGCTACGGCAGCATCATCTCAATATATAAATGCCCTACGAAGTAATCCATTGTTGAGTCAATTCGCTAATGTTGCAGCTGGCCAACAATCAGGACCACCATCAGCAGCAAGTCCATATGCTGCTCCACCATCACATCAACCACATTCACCACATCATCATTCTATGTACCAGAATCCAATGGCTCTTTTAGGTGGTGACAGTTCAATGTATGGACCACCACAGCAACCAGGTTATGATCATCATTTTGGTGGCAGCAATGTTTTCCCACAATTTGCAACACCAGACAGTAAGAGTCTTTTTTTTGTTTCATCCACTATAACGATACCTCGTTCATTTTCTTAACAGACTATTTCCCCAATGGCCAATATGGTGGCCCACCACCAATTCCATCGTATGGACCACAATCCTCATATGGATCACAGTTGCCATCACCAATCCATCACCTTGATCGTAAAAAATAATAGATAATGCAGCGAGTTATGCATAAAAAAATCCTCAATAATTTTACCTTGAATCATTTTCCTCGTCATCATCGCCATCATCATCATTATCATCATCATCATCACATCATTAAAGCGTTAATTTTTATAATGAAAATTCACAAAGCCCAATACTTCTTCAGTCACAAATTAATCAAAAACAATCAAACTAACACACACTGCTGCTTGTCCAATTTTTTTTTTCACTTTCGTTTCCTTTCTGTTCGTGGTGTGTACATTCATGTACATAGTATTTTTTCTCGTCATTCATTCATTCATTCATTCATTCATTCTTTTCTCAATTTTCGTCTTTAGACCAACTAACAAATCATTCAACAGAAACAAAAACAAAAACACCGAGATGTTTTCGATTTTTATTTGTTTTCTTTTCGAGAATAATTTTTTGATTTTTGAATAAATAAATTTAAATTTCATTACAAAACAAAACAAAAAGCATGAAACTTTTCCAAAATCAATCAAGCATTGTATCAGATGTAATAATCTACTAGTATAATATTAATATATTTATTGTTGATTTTTTAATTTCATTTTTTCACTAAAATAACATTATGTGGAAATGAAAGAAAATGTTATTTACAGCAAACACACGGGAGGATAACAAAATTAGATTAATGAGAAAACGAGAAAAAAATGACAATTTGTTGTTTCAATAGGAAAGAGCTTTTCTCCAAATGAACGAATCCATAGAAAAGGAATGTCTGTGAAGATTTTTTTTTAGAATCTTTTAGAATTTCTTGGGGACCAATCAGATGAAATGAAATGAGTAGGAGGTACCATCAGTAGTTTCGAATATTGTTGGCATATTAATGCTCGAAAAATACTATCGATTTATTGGCCGTGGTGGTAATGATGGTTTTTCCAGTGCAGCAAATGCAGCATTAGCTAAATGATTTTGTACCTGTGGATTGGTAGCTATTTTAATCATCTGATTCTGCACTTGTTGATTATTGGCCACTTGATTCAGAAAATTATTGACTAATGGACTTGGACTGACTCTTCTGTGTTTGGGTGATGATCGGGGCAGGGGAAGAAATGCAAAGAATTAATATATTTTCCATTCAATAATTAAATTGGTAAAGAAATTTTAAAAGACATTTATTATAATTATTGCAGCCAAATTAATCAGTTTATATAATAATAAATCAATTTATAACATTAGCAATCATCAATCATCAAATTCAATTCAATTTCAATCATTTATATTATTAATAATAGAGAATAGAGATAGAGATTACTTAGTAATTGATTAGTAGATTTGAACGAGAATTTTCAAAGAAATTGAAAGCAGAACTGTGAAGCAGAAGCATTATTGATAAGAAACGAATGGTCGAGAGAGATTTGACTAAACACACGTTGATTATCTGAGATGATGAATTAAATGTGGTAGATGTGTGTGTGTGCACAGGTGTTGGAGAGAAAAAATGTATATGTGGTTGAAAACAGTTGACATTTCAATTTCAATTTCAATATTATCATTATTATTATTATTATGCACTAGGAATAAAGTATTTATATTTATGAATGTGTTATAAATGGGTAATAAATCAAACATTAACCATCAATATATATGAGAAGATAATCAAGAGAAAAAACATGATATTCTATTCATTTGGTTGTATCAAAGTATCGGAATTGAGATTCTGGATTCAGTTTGTGTTTTCCCAAGATAGTGGGTAACAAATAATTAAGCAGAACGTTTTCAACATTAAATAATTGTTTGTTGTGGTTGTTGAGACTAATGATTTAGTAGATTTTTTATTTATGTGATCCGAATCCAAAAGCATCGAGCACTGAATCAGTAACAGCCTGTGTGATGCCTTGCTGTATACCTTGTTGGATACGTGGTGGTAGATTAGGCATTCCTCCTCCTCGTCTGATTGTGTTTGTAAACAATGTTTTGATTTGATTTGTTTTTTGGCACAGAAAAAATGGATTAAATTATAAATAAGAGATAAGAGATTAGAAAGCACAGAGATTGATTGGTTAGATATTTACATTTGAAACAGATTTGTTGTGGTTGTTTTGTTTTGGAGCAGTAATTGTTGTTAACAGCAAAATAAGCAGCAGCAGCAGCGTTGTTATTCAAATGTATTTGATTGATTATATGGACATGTATGGACAAATCGATTTATGGGAAACAAATTAAGACAAGGACAATGAAGCACAGATTAGTTTAGAGAAAAGTTTGTACTATTACTTGACGATAATAATAATAATTCGTCTCACTTTGCTCGATAAACAAGAATGGTAGATTGATAAAAAATGAAAAAAAAGTTACTCACGTTGGTATCAATGGAGGCGGTAATCCTCCAGGACGAACTGGTGGTGGTGCTGTTCCTCTGCCTGGAACGTTCGGGGCCGGACGTCCAGGTGGTGGTGGTGCACCTCGGCTTGGATTCGAGCTTGGTGGTGGTGGCCGATTCATTGGAGCTGTTGGATTTGTTGCCGGTGGCGGTGCTTTTGATATATTATTACTCATTGGTGTTGGCGATGGCGCCATATTACGCCATGACCAATCATCTTTAATGGGTGGTGGCGCCGGTTGATAGCTAGTCTGCATTGATACATCGCCAATGATTTGTAATGCTTGTTTGCAAGCATGATACATTCGCAACATTTCTTCTCGTTTACGTTCTTCTTCTGGAGATTCTTCCATCATCGTTGACTATTGAAATGAATTTGATTTCATAAGTAATGATAGCAACAAGAAAAATTTTACTCACCTGATCACCAGCTTGATAAAGTTGAGCCAACAGCTCTGAGTAAATGAAATCTTTCGATTCATTGATCATAAGATGCATGATGATCTTGGGAACGAGGTCCCTATAAATGAGAAAAAATAGACATTTAATGTTTTCGTCTGTTGAAAAAATGATCAAATATTTACCGATATGTTTTGGTGACGATTTTCATGTATGAATCGACCAAATTTCTAATTGTTTCCACTTGTCGTTCCAATTGTGGATCAAGACTAGATACACCTGCATCGGCACCATCTTCACCGCCGTTGGCTGTACTGGCTTCACTACTACGTTCGGGATAGACACCAGCACGAAGGAATGATGCTTTCCATGAATCAACATCTTCCTGTGATTCACATGACAATTCTAATTGTTTATAATCTTTATAGACATTTCTTTGATCAGGATTGAACAATGCAAACGTATGTCGTCGTGACATAAAACCGGATTCCATGTCCTAGTGGCAAAGTAGTAATCACGTGGCATCATTATAAACAATTGTTAATAATAACAACAAAAAAGGTACCTTAATTTTGAGACCATCAAGTGGAAGCATGTATTTCTTATCTTTTTCTTCTTCATCTTTATACCAGGACAACGATTCACTGGTCAATACAAACCAATAATCACGTGAACCACCTTTCATGATACCCAAATTGTGAATATTCATGTAGCCTTTACGAATTACCTAAAATGATTTCAACAATTGTTGATTGATAAATTAGTTCATATTCAATGCATTCCTAAGCTTATACATTAATAGATTATTATCGGATCTAAACCTATCTAAAACTACTTAAAGATCGAGAATCTTACCCCAGTCTTTTTTTCAACAAAACAATAACAATAATGCAGCATTTAGAAAGGGAAAAAAATTAAATGTGATCAACAATGAGTTATCAATGCTAGAATCGATTCTGATACAATACATGTAAGCAGATTATTACCTGATTTCCTAGTTTGCGTTTCTGTGAATTGTCTGCTGATTGTTGAGCATTGGAAAATCCAATGAAATCTTCGTGATTTGTGTTCATATAGGCCAATTCAACATCGCATAACATCATTATTTGGTCTTTTGTTTTTTGTTCACGTTCACGGACATGTGACATTATGATTCGTTCTGTTTCTTCTTGTAGCCTTGGATATCGAACCATTTTCTGTGTACAACGGCGAACAACATTACCCATTTCGGCAATAACTAAATCAACGCATTTAATTGATGGTTCTCGAAGCTGACCGATTTGTCGTTTAACAATAGCTTCAAAGGCCATATCGGGTGTGAACAAACCGACACGAATACCATGAATGTTTCGAATGGCAAACGCAATCTCACGTCGGAGTTCTTTCTCGTCGAATTCCATTTTAACAATTTCAAATGGAAAACGTTCATGAAATATGCGATTGATACGAGCACCACCGGATAATTCGGATGTATTGATTGCAGCTGAACCGGATCCTTCAATGTTTCGTTCGAAATCTGTTTGTAGCTGTTGTATCATCTGCAACATTGCTTTTGTCTTTCTAGTCGGATCGTCCGGACGAAAGTTTTTATATTCTTCCACTTCTTTTTCCAGCTGTAACATTTGCTTCTGGAGCTTATCGCGCAATGCAGGCAATGTATCACGAATGTGATTGGTCAGTTGTTGATTAAGCACACGTTGAAGATATGGTGTGCCCATACGGTCTGCCATATGACGATATGATGGGTGGGAGAGGAAAAATTTTCGTTCAGCATCTAAAGCTGTTTTGATGTCTTTACGTCCCTCGATGTCACGTTGTGAACGATTAACCACACCGATATAACCACGTCGGAGTGGTAATAATTTGTTCTCAAGAATATCTTTGGCATCGGTACCTTCGTCCATCAAATCAAGTTTAGTAATTACACCGATGGTACGTAAACCTTCTGGATCAACTTCTTTAGCCAATTTTAAAGCGTCAGATGTAGCCAAATCTTGATTTGCACTTGTTACGGCCAAAATCAGACAATTTTCACGACGAATATATGTCAAAAGCATTTCACGAATTTGATGCTCAATGTCGGCTGGTTGATCACCGACCGGTACTTTTGTCATGCCTAAGAGAGATATTAGTTTCCATTACAAAAAAAACAAACACTCTAATTTTGTTTATGTCATGACTAACCGGGTAAATCAATCAAAGTTAAATTTAATACATGAGGTGAATAAACTCGAAGATTGATTGGTATTGGCGAGATGCCTTTGTTTGATCCGGTGGTTCGATCGGTTTCATCCTCAATTTCTTTACGTATTTCATCAAAGTTGGTGAACTTTTTACCACGACAATGTAAGAACTCGCCATATTCTAGTGAATAATAACATCAACAACAACAAACATTGAGTAATAAAAAACTCATTTTTGAATATACAAACCCATATTCGAGTGGATCAGTTGCAATACGAGCGGTCTTCGTGTGACGATACCTGAACCACGTGGAAGAAAATCTCTACCGACAAAATTTTCCAAAACAGATGATTTACCCGCAGATTGGCCACCAATAACTGCTATCTGTGGCAAGTCCAATGACATGGACACACCTGTAACGAATAAAAAACCATTTGATGATGAATAACCCAATCAACTAGAATTCAACATACCCAATGCAGAAAATGCATCTTGCAATTTATTGACAATGGGGATAAGGCCTTCCATCCCGTCGTTGCCAGCGACCATTAATTGTTGAAAGACAAATCAATCAAAAATCGTTTGTTTTTTGCTGATCCACTTGGGAGGCAAAACTGAAATCGTCATGAAAGATCTAGTTTTGGTAGAAATAAAATGAAAAAATGCAAATTTTGATTAGAATTTCTCATAGACTGATGAATTATGCGACAAATGAATGAACGAGAGGAAATCATTCACAATCTAATGCAATGAATTCCTATATAGAGAGGTGGATCAATGAACGAATTCGAATGTTTGACAAATGCTCGACGAATGAATGAATGAATAAATGAATGGTCGAGAAAAAACAACAACAAAAGAAAAGAATAAGGATTGCTACAAAAAAAGAATTGAATTCACAATTGATTAATCACCTATAACATTCAATTTCAAGAACAGGCAGCTGTTTCAGAAATTATCTTTTTTTACGCTTTATTTTTGGATGAAAACTGTTGTTACTTTGTGATGATGATGATATAATACAAATTGAATTGAATTGAATAAATATATCATGAATCTCATGCACACACACACAAACACAAACAATACACACAATACACACAAACAAACTCAAACTAAACTCGGAAAATAATGAACAGAACAAAAAACGATAAACGAACGAGTCAACCAAACAACCGCCTCTCTTTTCTGGCAATCATCATCATCATGATCAATGGCGTAACAAGCAAGATTAATGCATGCATGCATTACACATCCACTTATTTTTTTAACTGGCGCTACAAGACTATCGATTACGCATGCGTTTAGGTTTTTTCTTTCTCGTTGCTTTTGCATTATTATTGCTCATCATCATCATCATCATGATTTCACGCCCACCACAAATTGAGAAAAATTCAATCAATTTTCAATAATCAAAAAAACTTTGCATCTCTGATTGTCTATTGTGATTGATGAAAATTAATTGTATTCACAATTCAATTCAGTCACTAGTCAGTTTTTGGATAAATGATGATCACTCACTTCTTGAATCATTATTGGTCAACAAATTGATTATCAAAAACGTACCTTTTATTATTATCTGTGATTATTGTTGGCGTTTTAGCCGATTATTTATTGAATTTGATAACAAAGAAAATAAAACTAAAATGTCACTTTTTTATTGTTCCAAAATATTAAATCGTCGTGTGTGTGTGTGTGTTTGTGTTTGTGTGTGAGATTCAAAGCTAATTGATAATGATGACCAATTTATTCATTTTAGGCGATTGTTTTGATTCAATTCAATGATGATAATGATTCGATGGTGGTGATGGTGATGACGCACAACAACAATTGATTTTTATTTTGGAAGACTTTTTTCGGTTCATAGATGACGATGATGATTTGATTATTAAAACAAAAGCAAATAAAAAACAAAATTGATGAAACGAAATACAGATCAATGAATCAAAAAGATGGAAACCATTCAGATGATGAAAAAACGAAAACAAAAAATAACGTTTGGTCCAAAGCCCCTATGAGAGAGTGAGAAAAAGGCCCTTGAATGTGACACTCACTGTTCGATATGGAAAAGGCAATGAAGAATTTTTTGTTCTCTTGAAGGTCTTACCATTCAACGGCAACGGCAACGACTATGAAACCAAACAAAAAAAACTGTATCTAACACTGGCCTATATATGTGAAGCTATCATTGCGCCGGTTTTTTTCGGTGAAATTTCATGAAAATGGTTCCAAATTTTTTTTGCGCAAATGCCCAGTTAGTGTGCAGTGTGTACTATATATTTGGTTAGTAGATTCTTGCATATATTTGATGTGGCAATTTAGTTTAATAGTTTTGTTGGTCAATAACAAATGAAAATATGAATAACACACACATGAAGACATGGATTTAAAGATCTTCAAACCAATATCCATTGGTCCATTTTTCCAGTAAATTCCTGGTAACCATCCATAAACGGCTTTGTACATCCAGATTATATGATAACATGCTTGATCTGGTTGCTTTACTGTCTTCGAAATATTCGCCACCTTTTTGCTTTAATTGACTTGACAATGATGCATATATTATGGTTTCTGCACCGGCTTTTGTGTCCTGAAAAAAATGAAATCAAATATCGGTGATCGGTGATCGATGATCGATGTTGATTGGTTGATTACTTACACGAAATGTCAATTGATTCGCTAGTGATGGATATTGTTTCATTATTTCGATCGTGTTCAATAGATCTGTATCAACTAATCCTGGATGTACAGCAAATACTTTAACACGTTCATTCCAATCTTGTTTAATGCTCAATGTACGATTCAGTGAATAGATGAACATCAAAACAGATAGTTTGGATAATCCATACGCATAATGTGGTGAATATACTTGCAGTGATTGCAAATCATTAAAACGAATTCTTGTTGGGATATGATGTAAACATGATGTAACCAATACCAATCGTGATTGATCACGTTCATCTTTTGCTGTTCGATATAGATATGGCAATAGATAATATGACATCAATACATGACCAAGATAATTGATAGAAAATTGCGATTCAAAACCATCCTCGGATAATTTGAATGGCGGAAACATTACACCGGCATTGCCAATAAAATAATTCAATCGCGTATCATTTTGACTCTTGAATCGATCCAAAAATCTTATCACCGAATTCATAGACATTAGATCTAGATGCCAGATTTCTAGATTCCATTTGCCAACCGGTATGCCTTTCGTTATCGATTTATATCGGGATTCTATTTTTCTTGGATCATTCGATGAAGCCGTAGTGATTACACGAGCACCTTTACGGAGAAATGATCGAACCACTTCGACACCAAGACCGCGACTACCACCAGTAATGATGGCAACTTTGCCCTCTAGATTGCCACGAATATCAGGATCATTTTCATTTAAAATTCGAATATTATTCTGATATGGTGCAACTTTGCGTTGGTGTTCACGCAATAGATATGGCAGAACCACAGCATAAAATTGAAGACGATTTGCCGTTATGAATACTGGATCTATGAATGAATGAATAAAATGAAAATGAAAATGTTTGACATTTATACAAATACTCACTGATGACAATTTCGAAGCCCTTCACATCACTACTTTGGTGAGATAGAACGGCCAAAGCAGAAAGAAGTGGTGCAAAAATATTCATGATGATTTCTTGTGTTTCAGCAAACTAGAGAAACCACTGGATGAGATGATCTTGTTTGTTTCTGTCAAAAAAAAAATTACAAACTGAAATTTTTTTCAAAATTGGAATAGCCAATGTTTTTTCCCAAACGGAAATCAATTATTAATCATTGGATTACCTCCCAATCGATGATGATCTGATTTCCTGATAATCTGATTTCGAAACAAAACAAAATGTAGGGTATGTGATCATCAGACAAACAAATGATGAATGATTGATGACACACAATACAATGTGTTGGATGTGATTTTTTTTTGGCTTTAAATTGCTGATGATTTTTTCAATAGTAATGTTCAGAATGAATTTTTGTTTTGTTTTAAAATGAAAAATGTTCGCGCTTGCGCATCTGTGTTGATGTATCGAAAACGTCATTCATTGATTTACAATATCACGCCTCGTGTGTGTGTGTGATTTACGTATTTAACACATGGTTGGTATAAAAAACTTTTTCTTATAAATAAATATCACCATCCACATCCATCCATTATTATTGTAATAATGTACTGTGGTGTTTAAATAAAATGGCCACTAATAACACCGTTAAGTTCGTAATCAATTATGATCCGATCAAGGTATTTGTTTATTATTTGTTCGGTTGAAATGAAATGAAATGAAATGTATCGATACATTTATTTTACAGGGTCGATCACTAATAGCAAAGGAAACGATTGTTATGGGTGAAATAATCTTTGAAGAATCGCCATTAGTTTGTTCGCAGTTTTTATGGAATGCTGAATGTAAATATGACGCTTGTCAATATTGTTTAACACCATTAGAAACGGCTGAAGAGAATGTTTCCAGATTGACAAAAGAATGCATTCAATTACCATATGTTGAACAATGTTGTCAGACCGATAAATGTAAACATGTCGATTGTTTAGGTTGTGGTCGACAGGAACGATATTGTTCGATTGAATGTCGTCAACGTGCGCGTGAAAGTTATCATCAAACATTGTGCCCGTCACAATCAGAAACGATGGCTATCAATTTGAATAAATTGTGTCAACATTGGAAATCGATTCACTATCCACCTGAAACAGCCAGTATAATGTTATTGGTGAAAATTCTAGCTCGTATCAAACAGGATGCAACTGTTGTAGAAAAATTGCAACAATTTTCAAGTAATACTGCCCAAGAATCAGAAAAATTTGTCCATATTTTATGTGGCGATAAATTTCAGGAACAAATCATTATTCTTCGTCAGATTATCGTGGATTTATTTCCAAATGAGGAAATATTGAATCCTTTCTTGACTGAAAATGGCTTTAAATCACTATTGGCGATAGTTGGAAAAAATAGCCAAGGAATTGGAACAAGTGCATTCAGTCAATGGGCACGAAATTGTGAACGATTAGTTGCCAATAATCCAGCCGAATGTGAACAAATTAATCAATTGATTGATGGATTATTTGAAAAAATGGAACAAATTTCTGGATGTTTCATAAACACAGAAGGATCTGGTCTTTATGAACTGCAGAGCTGTATTAATCATAGTTGTCAACCAAATAGTGAAACATGTTTCCAACATAACAATTTCATTCTATCATTGAAAGCATTGGAAACAATCAATCCGGGCGAAGAAATAACCATTTGCTATCTGGATGAATGTTGGAAAGATCGAAGTCGACATAGCCGAAATAAATATCTACAGCAAAATTATTTATTCACTTGTCATTGTCCAAAATGTCAACAACAAACAAATGATGCCGATGAAACCAGTGATGAAGAAGATGAAGACAGCGATTTACAATCAAATCCCGATGATGACGAAGCAATGAATTGTGATTGATTATTTGTAAAACATTGGTGAATACTTTGATCAATTTATTCGATTCATTTATCATTTTTGTATTGCAAATATTTACCATTAATTGTTATAACGATTCGATCCTCTTTGTCGTCGATTGTTTGCTTTTCAAAATGAACGGTACAATCGATTGCTGACATTATACCATCACCGAATTCTTCTTTTATCAATGTTTTGAATGTATCGCCATAAATGTCGAGCAATTCGTTGAGTCTTCGAATGGTCGGATCACGTGTTACCGTCTGATTGACCAATCCTCGATTATCCGGAATCGAACCAAGTATTTGAATGAGTTTTTCCATTTCATCACCTGGTCTTTGTATGCTTAGAATTTTTACCAATTGTCGAGATAATTGTTCGTTTATAGGATGCTGTCCAAGAATGGCCGATGTTAGCCATACTTTATTCACTTCAAGTTTATTGGCAAGTTCTGCGAACTTTAAATTCGATTTACGTTTAGCATCTAAAATTATTTTTGACGCAACATTTTTTGACATGAAATTCAAATTCAAATCAGAATTAATTGTCGAATTGTAACGCGAAAAATTTCGCATCAAAGATGATAAATTTCGATTCATTTTCGAGTTGAAAAATTTTATAAATAAATAAACACTGATACATTGTATGTGAACAGTGCAAAATTCTTAGCGCATGCGTCTGTTTTAATCTGAGCACAATGCAGTTGAATATTATTCAATCCAAAAAATGAGCTCGCCGATCTGCCATTGAGTTTGGGGCTGGTACGATTGTTTGTCATTTGAATATATACCAGATTCCAAAAATCTACTTGGCCATCTATCTAACACCTCAAAATAATCATCATGGCTCGTGGTTTCCGTAGCTGGAATCCAGATTGCAAAGTATATGTGGGTAATCTTCAAGACAATTGTCTCAAAACTGATGTGGAAAATGCTTTTGCCAAATTTGGACCATTAAAAAATGTTTGGGTGGCTCGAAATCCTCCCGGCTTTGCATTTGTTGAATTCGAAGATAGCCGCGATGCCGAAGATTCGGTTCGTGCTTTGGATGGAACGTAAGTTTGACCGATTGTCATGAATTGAATTTTTGACAAATTGCAAATTTTCTCAAAAAATAGTCGAATTGGTGGAAATCGAGTTCGTGTTGAAATGTCTCATGGCCGTAGTCGACGAGGCGGCGGTGGTCGCCGGTTTGGTGGTGGTGCAGGAGGACCGGGCTATGATCGTAGTGGCGGTGCCGATCGTTATGGTGGACCAAGGTATTAACCATACATTGTTGAAAACAATTTAACTATCAAGTATATTCTATTTATGAATCAATAGACGTGATTACCGACGTCGAAGTATTTCCCGATCTCGTTCGAGGTATTTATGTTTTTGAAATTGTAAAAAATTATGAAAAAAAAAATTTCAAATGCTAATTTTCAAAGTTAGTCCATATATGTGTGTGAATAACGTTTCAAGATGAATAACGTTTCAGTTGAGTTGTAGTCTTAAAGTGTTGGCCATTTTTTCCTTCCATGATTTTTATTTGTTTTTCTTTTCTTTTTTTTAAAATTTTTTTTTTGTTTTTCTCTATCATTCTCTGCACATTATTATGCAATTCTATATATCCTTTTTTATGAAACCAATTTAGGTGATTTACCAACCACCTAATATCCCTTCTACTACATTCATACAACTACTGCTACTTCAGTGTTCACCTTGAATATTATTGAACTTCGGTTCCGGTAAAAAACAAACAAAAAACTTTGATGATGTTTGCGGACAACGGTCAACCGCCGATGACCGCCCATTTTTGGCATGCATCTTTATCTTCAAATTGATATGTTTATGCCTGTTTTTCTGAATAGCTTATTGATTTGATGTGACATCTTGAGCCGATTGTCGGTTCGTCTGTCTCATCATCAGTCATACTGTTTTGTTCTGCCAATGCATCGAACGCAAAACATTTAAGTATATATTGATTATTGATTATTGATTGATAATTTTTGTTAAAAATCTGAATTCAAGGAAACCAAAATCTAATTTATAGCGTAACTTGATCATAACTTGTCCCATAGAAAAACATCTTTAACCGAAAAGAAATCTGATAGCCCCAGTGAAAGTTGAATTTGTTTCCATTTGTTTGCCAAGACAAACAAATATCATCGACTACTTTGATAATACCGACGATTGATCTGATTTCTGACCAAAAATTTAATTCCACAGCGCGATTGTCATCGTTATTGCTTTGATTTGATTGCAGAAAGATACACTTACATTTCCATTTCCGAAATGTTAACAAATTGAGTCGCATCAGTGCAGAGAAACATCGGCCCTCTATCTGTCTATTGATCTTGGATCATTCGTTCGAATAGTCATAAAGCAACACAACTTTACCACTTGTTCAACTGTATAGCGCTGCTACACTTCCAAATTGATATTTTGACAGCCGTTGTTAGACAAGACAAACCATTGTTGGACGATTTCGAGAGCCAAACTTGGATTCTGGTGTTGCTTCGATGATTGTTCGAAATGAAATGATGTATAATATCGAACATCATGAATTCTTCCATTCATTCATTCATTCATTCATTCAAATTCGGTATAGTACCAAATTATCAATGTTGATAAGATGTGTGTCATTTTTTGAATTGACTAAAACAAAAATGCAAATTATCTCAAATCATTATCATCATTATCATTATTAATATTAATATACATCCATCTACTACCTATTTGCCATTCATTCTGTTTGTCATTACTGAATCTCTTTTTCATCTCGTCTGGATTGATATTGATTTCGGTCCATTTTTTAGGTCACCACCACGACGACGATATTCAAGCCGCACACCAAGCCGATCTCGTTCACGTTCCACATCTCGTAATCGACCAAGGACTCCACCATCTCGCTCACCATCACGTGAAAGACGATGAAATGAAATGGACGACATAACATTGAAATTGAAATAGATTCTTTTCTCTTCACTTGACATCATCGACATTTGGTTTGAATGAATCTGGAAACAAACATTTAATTTTTCCATTATATTTTATTCTATTTTTTCTTCATTTTAAATCATTCTTCTTATTTAGTATATAATAATGTGACCAACATTGATAATTGCATGAATATTTGACTATTTTCAATTTCACTTTAGTTCTTGAAAAAGGCAATTTAAAGAATTTTTTTTGTTTTTGTTTGCTTTTAACAATTCTCTCTCTCTCTCTCTCAAATCACATCACGCGCGTCACGATCAGCTTGAAAGTAGATACCGTTCATAGATGCAGTACATGAGTCATTCGATAAAACTAACATATCGATTGAATTGTTATGATCGAATGTGTTGGTGGTTAGTCTATTAAACAATGTTTCCATTCGATTGTTTATGTGAATGGTTAGTTCTTTTGGCATTACTTTGTCAATTAACATCAGGTGATGAATCGATCATTTCGAAAGACAATTCATCGTCAGAATTGGATACACTTCTGACATCACCAAATTGGACAAAGAATAGCAATGGTAATTGGTGTGATAATGAACTTTGTCCAGACAAAAATTATGGTCCTCATTCACCCTATGTACCTTGTGATCATTTACCGATGGATTTTATTGAATGTGATGAATTGATAGATCATCAAGGTAATGAAACATCTTATCATCAAAGCGGAGGCCTAGGATGTCTGCAGTTTCAAGGTGGACAACGAGGTAAGCATACATTATTACTTGATAATCATTGATGATTGATTGTTTCGTTTCAAATTTAGGCATCTACTTTGGTTCTAGTTATTGTCATGCTTTAAGTTTTATCGAATGTTATGGTAATCGAACTTTTATCCGCAAAGGTCTACCATGTGTTCGATATAATGGTCATTATTTTATCACAGCATTATTGTTTTCTGTTTTATTGGGATTTCTCGGTATGGATCGATTCTATCTTGGCCATATCGGAACGGCAATCGGTAAATTATTAACGATTGGTGGTGTTGGAATCTGGTGGATTGTCGATATCATCCTATTGATCACTGGTAATCTTGTTCCCGAAGATGGTAGTAATTGGATGCCTTATGTCTAAACTTGAAACTAAATGTAAATGTGATCACCATCTTGAATCGGTAATCAATCAAGTTGATTGTAAATATTATTTTTTCGTATGAAATGTTTTTTTTATAAACACTTTTGTTTATGTTTACATAATCGTGTATTATTATTAAAAATTGAAAATCCATTTTTTAATTTCTGTCTCTGTTTATTCTTTATCTTCAATTTTTCTTTCTCATGCATATCATCATAGGACATGATGAGAGATAAGATAGAGGGAGAGAGAGAGAGAGTGAGTGGGATAATTTCTGTCTGTCTTTCTCTTTCTCTCTTTGGGGGGTGATTGTCCGTCCGGGTTTTTGTTTGTTTTGGCCACTTTATTATGTTTGCTCATTTAAGAGGGCAAAGAGTTGTGATAGATCGATGATGATGATGATGATGGCAGCCGTCGAGCAGAACAAGACAAAGTAGAGGCCACACTAAATCAGAATGATGATGATGATAATCAGTCAATGTAAACGAACCAGATGGATGGTTTGTTTTCTACATTTTGTATGTTTTTAGTCGGGCAAGAAATCCACAAATTACAAATGAAGAAGAGAAAGCTTTAAGGATTTAAGGCTCATATAATGATATTGATGGTGAATCTGTTGAAAAAAAATAAGAGAAAAGTATCAACGACAACTGCAATTCGAATGTAAAAAAAGTGAACTATACCCAAACTTACCAAAACCATTTTTTTACTTTTTTCGTTTCGTTTTCGTTTCGTTTTTGCTCATTCAATTCAATATATTCGCTTGTTCGACTCTGTTGTTGAGATGAATTCGGATCATCACCACCCACGATTCTGTTAACATTTGGTCTCGACTATTTTTCTCTCGCTTGTTTTCTCGATTTTGTGTGTATATTATGTGTGTGTGTGTGTGTGTTAAATGGTGATTACTAAACATTTAAATCAAGTCAGTAAAAACAAACAATCCATTTCAAATGCAATGCCAGTTCAACGTCTGCAGGAGGTCAATTATTATTCGACAATCTCTGGAACAAATCAGCAAACAATAATATGGTGAATTGTGGTCAATTTAAAATGAACGTTTTCTTTCTTTGACCAAATTGTTCTTGTTTGATTGAGTGATAGATAGATTAGCTTCAGATCTGGGACTAGAAATTTATAAATAAAAGTCCATTTATAATTAACTTTGACTGTGTAGATGTTAAACAATATACCTGTTAGTGGACAAAGAAAATCTGGAATCGAACCAATAAAACGGTCATCACAATTTATTTGGTGGTCAGTCAGTTGTCTATTGACCGACCGGTTATATGAAATGAAATGACCATCATCTATTCATTGTTTGTTTGTGAATTGATGATGGTGATGATGATGATTTAATTTTCAATTCTTCAGTTTGTTTCCGTCCAGATCTGATACTACCAAGTTCACATACTCATACATCATCAATCATCAATCATCAATCATGTCAACTATATCAACTATATTAACATCATCAGTGATTTATCGAACTCGTCATGTTTATTCATCATTATTGATAGTGTTGTGGTTGGTGGTGGTAAATATTGATGCCAACACTTTCATTTGGGACCCAAACAATACAGATAATATCGATCTTGTACGACCATTCAACCGTCATACAACGTTTGCCAATCCACCGAAATGTGTTCATATACCAGCCAATCTTACATTGTGTCATGGTATCAAATACAATGAAATGCGTATACCTAATCTACTTTATCATGAAACAATCAATGAAGTTATCGAACAATCCAGTTCATGGATTCAATTGATTAAAATTGGCTGCCATCCTGATACCCAATTATTCCTATGTTCTCTCTTCAGTCCTGTGTAAGTTATTGCTGAGTTTTTATTGGTAGATTTTAGTTAATGGACTATGCTACTACAGATGTTTAGATCAAACCATACCACCATGTCGATCTTTATGTGAAAATGTTAAGCAAAGTTGTGAACCATCCATGCTCATACATGGATATAGTTGGCCACCAATGATGCAATGTAATTTATTTCCTATCGAGAATAATATGTGCATCGAATCACAACAGGTGACTAGTGGACCATCATCATCGATTCGAGGCAATAAGCAGCAAACTAATAAAAATGACCAATCTAACAACCGAACCGAAAATGAACAATTTCAACGGCAATTAATGAATTCTATATGCAATTCAGATTGGGGTAAGTTTCTATTTGATTGTAGATTTCGATCACACTCAGTAAAATACCCATTTAGTAATCAAAATTGGCCTGAATCAAATCCGTAACAATCGAGTACGAGTGAAAAAATTCAAACCCTTATTTGGAACATTGAATGTATCACCGCCATTCATTTTGACATTAAACAAATCTATGATGATTGGTTCGACCGAATCTACTGGCACTACCGGTATGCCGAGTATAAAACCGAATCGAGAAAAATTTATCGTCATTGGTCGTGGTAATAATCATGCACATGATCTATCGATAAGTTTAGCGGTTAGTTGGCTAAAAAATACGCCTCAAATCAAGAAAGCTATTCGTAAAGTGAAAAGTAGTAATGGCTGCAAGAAATTCATGATTTCCACTGCACAACAATCATCAACGAATGTTTCTTTGAAAACGACAAATGGACAAACAAAGCGTAATCGAAATAGGAATCGTAAAAAGAACTCAAATATGGCACGAAGTCATTAACGAATCGATCGATGAATAAATGGTCATTTTAGATATTTTTATTTTCTGTACTTGATTCAATTGATTGGATATACAAAAAAAAATCATTATATAAAAGCAATCATTAAATTATGTTTATCAATATCAATATCAATATCGTAACGAATCAATCAATTTATTGAATAAATTGAAACCAATCTGAATGATCTTAGAATATATGAAATATACTTGGTCACTCATATATTAAACCATTGGGATTAGATTGTTGAACAACTAACTGGCCATCATGTATAGATTGTCATTGCTTAAAGCAAGATGTTTATGGCCCAGAATGCTAATTAGCAGCATTATAATCAACATTGGTGTGCAGATTGTATACATTGAATCGAATAATGCCTATTACATTGAACAATGTATGACGAAAATCATCGAGGAAGTTCAACCGTGCAGTGAACGTGCCATACAGAATTGGAATCTGAATCATAGCTATTTTGTTCCATCCAAATTAAGTACTTGTTGTGCAAATTGGCAAGTATATGAATGTTTCATACAGGCAGCACTGGTAAGTTGTTTAGTTTTGCCTATTAGATTTATCTATAATCCACACGATGTTCCCCGTGAAACAGACTGGATGTACATTGTTTGAATTTCAGGCCATTGTCAACAATATGACCATGGATGCAATACTGTTGCAACGAAACAATTGTTCACGATTCAAATATCATTCCGAAGTCTGTTCATCATACAATAGTGGCTGGATGAACGACCATCATTGCCATCATATAATGATCATTTCTATGGCATCATTGTCTATGGTTTCATTTTATTTAACACCAATTTATTAGATTATAGATTATAGATAGATAGATTATAGATTATTATTATTATATACACCAGAAAAGTCAACCATGAACCAGTCGGAATAGTGGCAAATTACCATTATCAATCTTGATCGTCGAAAATTTTCTGTAGTATGGAATTGATGTCATAATTATTACTCAATGTCATGTTGAGATATTTTTGTGAATATAGTTGAATAATGTCGCGAATAAAGTATTTCTCCTGTTGTACAATGTTCGAAACAATCTCATTGAATGGCCATGTTAGTGGTTCGGAAATCAGTTTAAAATCGCCGAAAGATTTTATTTGAAATGAATTTGTAAACAAAAACTGACGACTGAAATCGAGTGTGAATCCAGCACGAAATCTACATTGTTCGATTCGGATGCCAAGCTTCCATTTTTTCACGAAAATTTTCCCATCCATATTAACGTCGGCCATAAAATCGGCTGTTATGTTTGCTGCATAAAATGTCATGTTGAAAGCCCAAATGGATGATTCCAATGAATTTTCCATTTCAATCGATTCTTTCACCGGTTCTATTTCGTCCAAACCATAGATTTTCAATTCATAAACATCTGCTTGGCCGTAATTACGAAGTTGAATGCTTTGCACCGTATCGATGATCAACGGTTTCAATTGACCACCATAATCCAATTTCATATGTTTGATCAATTGAACAGTGAATTCATAAATAACACTTTGTTTGTATTCCACCGAATCGGATAACCGCTTGTTTTCTTGTTCTATTGGAATCAGAAACAATTGAAATTATCAACATGAGTGAAATGACGAATGAAATTTGTCATCACAAACCTTCTTCGATCGTTTGTCTCATCTTTTCCGTTGGTGATTGGAATGATGGTCGAGTTTTGAAATGCACAATGATTTTCGGTTTAATTGGGTTATTATTCACCACACAACTGCCACGAGTTATAATTTCAATTTCACACTTGTCACGTGTCGACTTGGTTTTCGTTCCAGTATCAATATCATTCAGACGATATAGATTATCCATCAATGATTGTCCATTATGGATATCCATCGTGGTTGACGGGCTACTGTTTTGCAGTAATATCAGAGCGATAATTATTGTGTAGAAATGGCAATCATTTGGATTATTCATAGTTGATTTTTTTCTATAGAAAACACACGAGGAGTTGATGAATGAAATGTGGCAGAAATTTGTTGGAAAATGAAAACAATTTTCTCAATTTCTCAATTTTTCAATTTTTCAATTTTACTCGATGACGAATCTGTTTGCATAATGATTGTATGCTGATAACAAAACGGATATTGCCATCGTCCATTCTACACATTACGTTATTGTTGCCATTTCATTCAAGAGAGTGCAATCTATATATTCACTTGTTGGATGAATTTTTTGACATTTATTTTAGTCCATCCAACAACACCCAAATTCAATCACGATTCGCTGAATGTCGTATTCACAATTTTTGACGTCTTAATTTTGATGTATATCATTATCCTATGTATTAATCCAATGTATTAAATGTTGAAATTGGGATTTTTTCTCCATCTGATCACTTGCAATGGATTTTTACCAACTTTTTTCTTGAACGGACTTGTTGTTGTTGTTGAAAATTTAATTAAAACACCATTGTTTGCCACTATTATAAAATTGACAAATTTTTTCGTTAGAAAACTTTAAATTTGTCCTAGGGTTTTGTGGTTAGAAGAAAATTATGAGCAGCATTCAATCGAATACCGATGATTTTGAAAGTGATAAAATTCAATTACGCATTTGTATAAATGAAAAAACCGAAAATGATGCCGTCCAGGTAGCTATTGATCTACAAAAACGATTACAAAATGATTTAGAAAAAATTCTGTCAAAAGAAACGGATGGTAAAGAGAATGTAAAAGTGAACATCAGAAGCAAACTATCATCACCGTCGTCAGCTTTATCTAGGAAAAGATCGTCCAAGTCATCGTTGAAAACAAGGTCGAGAAAATTATCTTCATTGACGGAAAATTTAAGAAAATCATTGCAAATATCTGGGAAAATAAAAAGTCCACTATATGAACCGTGTTCTAGCAAAATAACAGCTGCTACTACTCCGGCAATCACTAATAAAGTGAACAATAATTCTGGAAAAGCTTTTTCCGGTGTACTAGTAGTTCCATTGAATGCAATGGACAATCAACAACGTGAACAGTATAAATTCGAAGTAAAAAATCATCAAAGTCCAATCATTTCATCGAATGATCAAAAAAGGTCCGAAAATCCACTCGTCATTATGGATGAAGAACAACAACCAAATTTTTTCCACTTTCAATCATACGGATCCTCCCGGTTACCGGTGCGACGAAATGTGTTTGATATATTCGGTATCTATCCAAAACGATCGACACAAAATATTCGACAAAGACCACGACGACGTTCAAATAGTTGGTTTAATCACACACGATCGAGAAGATTACCACGATTTAAGCAACGAAATCGGTTCCCATTACGACGAAAATTTCGATCACCATCGTCGAGAGGACGACGAAACACACCAATCAAAATGCAATCAGATCAAAGATCGGAATCAAGCACGTCATTTTGTTCATTAAATACTTGTGATATGGCTGAAGAAGAATTACGACAACCATGGATTCAACAACAATCACCAACATATCATCAACCGAAATCAAATTACCAAAATGTAGATACCACAACTATCACGGCAAACTTGGCCGCGCACCACTAGCTCATATGAAATTAAAAATATTTGCTCAAATTCTATAAAGTTTTTTTCTTTGCTAAAAATTTTACTTGTAAAAAAGTTATCGCATTCAACACACCGAATGAAAATTGGTGGTTATTACTTTGAAAAATGATCAACAAAATTATAATCTGTGCTCATGTATAATATGTTCATATTCATGATGATGCACAAATATCATGTGTAATTCTAGATGCACAAATTAAAAAAAAAATATCAACAGATGACAGTGAGAAAAAACGGTAATCATCAAGCAGACAAACACAGACACACTTTCCTTTGGTGGCTATTTCGGTTTTTCTTCTGACCAGGAATAATGATGAACGACGCAAGCAACAGGAGACAAGAGCGAATAATAAAAAAAAAATGGAAACAATAACCAGATCGCGAGTGAAAAAAATATGAATGTTTGATGGCTTATGATTATGAAAATCGAAACAATACGATTGGATTGTGGGAAAAGGGCAATTCATCAGTTGTAAAATGGACGTGATTTGATGAGATCACCAGTGTTCAAACGTCGACGTGGTCGATCATCAAGTATGTAAATTTCATTTCGTACGCTACGAGCCATTTTTTTTATAGAATCGGCCATCGATTCACCGGGATTAATTCGAAAACTCTATGAAGAAGGAAATTTTAAAATTTATGGACAAATTTCATTTCAACAATTCTTACCTCTTCCATTTCACGATCGTTTCGCCTACCACCGAACTGAGGTATCTGTATTGGCAAAGAATTTGCAATTTGTGTCGATGGATGATAATGCTGTCGTTGGCTCGAATAATCATCATGATCATCATGATAAAAATTTTGTTGTTGTGCATGATGATTAATATTATGGGAAACCAAGGATGAGGAAATTTTTCGTTGTAAATTTCGATGATCGGAAGATGAAATCGGTAAGCCAACAACAACATTACCACTAGCACTTGAGGAATATGATTCATCATTCATTATGTTGTATGTTTGGTTATTAAGTACTGATGAATATTGGTGTGATTCTTTCAACGGAAAGACATTGTCACGACGTTCTTCATGAAGATCATCATCATCATCATCATTCAATTGTTCACCGACCTGATCATCATCATTATCATCACTGTTATCACGTTGTCGCACAACACGACCATACGATTCCATTGATGAGCCACCAAATTGATTTGCATCCAAATCATCAATATCGAATATGGAATCAAATTCATCAGAATTTTTCACTGCAGTATGCACTGTCGACAATGAGGATGGTAGATCACTAGCAGATATCTTTTGTGATCGGTTATCAAATTGAATTGCTGAAAATAAAATCAAAACAAAAATAGAATTAGTCAGAATTTATCCCGCAATGAATCGGTTGTCATTTACAATTTTTATCCATCACAAACGAATCAGTTAATCGACGATGCTGTCGAACAGCAGCATCATTACGATTCTCTTTATTGTCTTTGTTATCCTCATCATTGTTGTTGTCGATATTGTGACGGATTTTGATTGCTTCGATCATTCGCAAAAATGATTGCTTGTTATTCAATGTTTTCTGATAAATTTGTTTGAATTGTTTTTCCTGTTCAGATGAAAAACGTTTAATACGTTCATTCATGTGGAGCTTTTCTTGTTTCAAAAACATTTTGATTTTATCGGCTACATCCGCCTGTATGTAGTTTGAAACCAAAAAATATGAATTGTCACTGTCGGTTCTAGCGATTCCCGAATCGCCGGTATTATGTTGTTTCATTTCATTATTTAGATTGGTCATCAATCGATCAGGCACTATGATGCCTAATGCAGGTGAAAAATTTTTCGATGATTTTAATTCCAATATCGCTTTTTCATCACTCTACAGTGAATGTGTAAACAAAACAATGAGAATGGAAAATTAATCGTCAATCGTCAATCATTTTAAAAATAAATTTACCAATAACGAAGAATTGGCAAAAGCAATCGATCCTTTGGATGAATCAACCATCATATGACTCGATGATGATGATGATGATGTTTTCGAAATAAAGATAGCATGAGTTTCTAATTCACATACGGTACAGAAGACTATCTGCAAATTGTCCTCAATCACTCTTTTCAAACACAGATATTCGTAATTCTGTAATGGAGAAAGAAATATTAATAATTGACAAGTCAAGAATAATCCAATTTACAATTTTAATTCCAGCCGGAATAATTTGAATCAAATTCGAATTGATTAGAAATTGATCCAAATCTTGATCACTGTTTTGGTTACGTCCCAATAGTTCGAATGTTTTTTCAATTGAAGGTTGTTCACGTTGATCATGAATCAATTGAACATTCAAACAACGGCATGTCAACAATTTCGATTGTAGAGTCATTTTGTCTGTCACACAATTGTCAAATAATTTCTTTTTCTGTAGAACTATAGTTGAAAATTTTCAATAACAATCAACCAAAGGGTTTTCTTCCTAATGATGAGTTGATTTTATAGAAAGGCAAACAAATTCATTTGATGCTTGCTTCATACAACAGTTTTAAACTGTTTGGATGATGACGATGATGATCAAATTATTTTGATTTTGATTTTGATTTTGTTCTTGTTGTTGTTGTTGCTGACTTGTTGGTTGGCTTTCATTGAGATTCGATTTTTTTTCAATATATTGAATCGGTTCGTTGACAATTCTTTGTGTGTCAAATAAACATTATGGTTGTTGTTGTTGTTGTTGTTGTTGCTGCTGCTGTATCATCATCATCATCATCAATAATAATTATTTGTTTTGATTTTGATGATTATTTATATCTTGTCAAATCATAACCATAATCGATCAATTGAAAAATAAAATGGAATCAATTTTTGCTCAGTTGTTTCAGTAATTTCACATTACAGTAGCATATGTGTATTGATGATGATTTTAGTGATATACAACAATTGTTTGTATATTGGCTGCTTGGTGTGTGTGTGTTTGTTTGTTTGTTTGAAAATCAATGGCTTTTAGTATAGCAGCAGAAGATATATGAGAGCATTTAGGTTTTTCCATCCATCCAAATCGATAATAACAATCGCTGGTGTAAATTTATGAATGTAATCAACACACACACAAACACATCAATGCAAATTTAGATTTAGATATTCAAAGATGAGCACATTTGCCATCGATCGAAGAAAAACAAGAAACAAAAAACAAAAAAACAAAAAAACAAAAAAAAATGATAATGTGTTGATGTGATTGAAATCGTAAATTGATTGCCAATTATGTGTGTGATTCTTTTGAATTCAATTCAATTCATCATCATAATCGAACGTTGTTGGCAGCATGAAATGATGAATATGATTCTTCAACCATCAACGGTGATGACTATGTCTCTTACCAGAAATCAAATCTTGGGTAGTGTAGGGAGATAAACACAAACAAACAAAACAAAAAATCGAATGAATAAATGTCTCGATTCGATTCCGATGTTGTCGTTAATTTCTTGATTTTTCAATCAAATTTGTTTTTACTGTTTGGCTATGGTTTTTTTCGTGTGTTATATATGTGTGATGGATTTTTGTGTGTGTGCGTGAGTGATACATGTATGCATATTGTGTTGTAGCCTTGAGATGAAAAAAAAAATCGCTTTGCCAAGCTTTTTATTGAACGCGATACATACAAAACTCTCACTTGTTTCTTTCTTTCTTTTTTCTGTTGTTGTTGTACATCTCTTTGCAGACAATATGTGTGTAGCTGGTTGGTTCTTTGGTTGTGATGATCTCTTTCTCCCTTTTTTCTCACCACTATTTTTTTTGGATGATGAAATTTTTGTTGTTGTTGCTGAGTTTTTGAATCAGAAAGAGAAAGAGAATTAAATCGAATCGGATCTAATGAATTGAATATGAAACGAATGAATGAAAAAAACTGTCTGCACACACACACACACACACACACACACGGCAACAACAACAATTTCCGAATGAAGATTAAAAGTATACAGTGCATTTCCCATATTTATTGCACACTTTTTTTCGAATTTTTCTTGTTCTTGAATTTATCAAATTATCATGTCCACTGAATTTTCATTTTCTTCTCATTTCATTATCAACGTGGAATAGACTCATCTTTTTGTTGTTGATTAATTATTCTTAGTCATAAAATAAACCAGACAAAATGATGAAAACAAAATTTTACTGTATCAACGACGACAACTAATCAAAAGACAGACACATTCATGCATGTATGATTACGCCACTAAGTAACACGCAAGCGCATTTCATTTGACAAAAATTTTTTTTTTTTTTTTTTTTGAAAGAAACTTTGTCGAATCAGAAATAATCACCATTTTTCCGGTTTCATTTTAATTTTGATGCAACTCAATTTTACAGATTTCCATGCTGACCAGAACAATATATTCAATCTGTACAAACGATGGATAATTATTTTGTTGAATTTGAAACGGAAAAAAATTCCCGCACTTGAGAAATTTGAATTTTCAACACTTATATACTACCATCTAGTGCACAAATGCATAAACACCATCGAATGAATTGTATCCTGTTTAGCAGAGAAAAACGAATCATTTTGAGATCAATTATTGGGCAATTTTTTTCTATATAAAAAAATAGACATTGTTCGTTCCAATTGGATCTGCAAATATTTCTTTTCTCTCCTGTCAATTGAGTGTGTGTGTGTGTGTGCATAAAAATAATGATAACCTCTATATATAAAAATGAATGAAAACTTTTCAATAGTGGCAATTTTTCGGGTCATTCATATATACCATTACTTTTGTCGTCGTATCGTTGGTGTGTGCGTCTTTGATTTCTAGTTCTTTCTACGAATGAATGAATGAATGAGTGTAGCACACATATGCGTACATCCGTCTGTTTGGTCGATAGTCTGTCGTTGTTGTGTTGTGTGTGTGTGATGTAAACATGGTATTATTTTGTGTTTGAGTTTTTTGTTGAGCACTCACTCACACACACACACAGATTTTATTTGTTTGGGTGTTTGTGTATTTGTGTATTTCATTCGCATTTCATTTTGGATCATCTTTCTTGGTTGTTGCAAAGAATCCCATTGTGTATTTTTACCAGAATGGTGATGTATTGTGCACCCTTTTTTTGTGTGTTTGGGATCAGAATGTTGTGTTTGTGTGTGTGTGTTGGCGAATGAAAGGGTGTTTTTTGGTTTCGAATAAAAACAAAACAAACATTTTAATGTTTTAGCGAATTTTTTTTTCTGTGTGTGTATATTACAGTGATATTTTCCCAACAAAAAGAAACAATTTCTCATGGAATTTAATAATTTGAAATAAAAATGTAATTTGAAAGCAAAATATAGCTAACCGGCTATAGCTACAAATTCTATTGTGATTTTTTGTGTCTGAGTGTGTGAATGATTTGAACCATCAATTTAATCATCATCATCTGAATAGAGTAGCAATTGCTATTATTTATCCCCTTGAATTTTTCCATTTCAATCATTCTTTGTTATACTCTGAAGCAATATAATAATAATCACAGTAAATCGCAGACAATTAAAAGTGAGTATCGATTCAATTTTGATTATATATCCTATACGTTTATATTTACATGGTGGTGGAAATTGCGTCTCTTTTTTTACAACGTAAAAAATGAAAAAGCACTCTTGCTTCTTCAGTCTGCGGTGCTGTATAGATGATTATTATGGCGAGCAATTTTTTTTCTTTTGTTCGCTGAGGTTTTGACATTTTTTTGACGTCTTTGCCAAAAAATGTTTTGCTAGTTGTCGCCGTTGTTTTGTTGGTATATTGGAGATGAGCCGGCTTTTTATTACACTCGCCATTACCGTTATATTTTTGCTCACTACTAAGAAATTGAACATGATTGTTGTCAATATTTATTCACCACATTCATGATGAATCTTTTCTTGTGTGTGTGTGTGTGTGGTGAATTTTATTAATTTTTCGAGTCAATTTCCATTATCATTTTTGTGCGATTCGAATTTTTTCCTTATTAGACCTGTAATGCTTGATAATAATTGCCGTGGTGAACAAGTATTTATATCAACACGATCACTGACGACGACGACGACAACAACAACAACAACGACAACCACAGTGAATAGTAGCCGAAATATTATCAATGGTGATAGAAGAAACATTCATTGCATAACGTTTGACACTGAAGATTGTGAAGATCAACAACATTTGTCCACCACCATCAATCGACGTTTAGGTGATGAAAACGATTCTATGAAAAGTGCATTTATTGTACCAAATAGTAATATTGTGAATCATCATAATCTGATCATCGAATCATCACCTTGTTTAACATCATCTTCTCATATCTCATATCATTCACTGCAACAACAACAACAACAACAACATCGACATTCACCTTTGATAAATAAACGACGACGTTTAGATTTAATCATCAATGAATTGAATCATCATCACACTAATGAAGGTTTCTATAATTTTAATTTTGAATATTTTTGAGCACTAATAACAATAACAACTATATTAATAATTCTTAGGTGTAGGATTATTATTGGCTAATCAAGTCGAAGATATCACTTCCACATCCATCCAAAATGAAACTAATGATTTTCGTCAATTGACAAGCCACCACGATGGTAAACAAAAGCATCAACAACGAATAGACGACGATGATGATGATGGTGATCGTAGTCATGATCATCCATTGAATCATAGGAAAAAGAATCATCCTTATCATTCCGTTAATAGAGGTGATAATCAACAACAACATACTGTCCATGGCAATTTTATTGTGAATTTATCGTCCAAACAAAGCCACCTTGGTGATCTAGACATACAAATTAACGAACCAAATGATTATTCCTCATCTTTGAATCAAAAATATCAAAATGTACAAGTAAGTCATCCAGTGATAATGATAATGATTGTTGTTAATTAGTAAAAGAAAATTTTATCCATCACGTTGAATCATTCACAGCAGCAACAATCGTTGAAACGAAAATATCCTCATTCTCATGATAATATTATCACCAATAATGACCATGAACCATCAATATTACCAGGCCGTAGTTACAGTAAAAACCTTCATACAACTACAACAAGACGAAACTCGTACAACGACTCAGCAGCAGCTTCGGGTAAATTCTGCATTTGGCACTTGAACATTTTTTAAGTTTTGAATTTTTAAAACAGCATCCAAAGCATTTGTTATCGGTCGAAACGGTGGCGGCTGTGGCAATAACCGAGTTGAACAACTCTTTCTAAGTAAAGATTCGTCAGCAAATTTATTGTTACCAAGTGTTTGTCCAGCAGCAGTAACGGCACTGACAGCGACCAGTATTGCTACTGGTACTGTCAGTCGAACAATAATCACAACGGCGCCCGCAACTTCCAAAGCATCTTCCTCGAATTCCGAGGGAGATTATCAGCTGGTTCAACATGAAGTTCTTCAATCTGCCAATCACCATTATGAGGTGTTGGAATTTTTGGGTCGTGGTACATTCGGTCAGGTAACTAAATGTTGGAAAAAAGGAACCAATGAAATTGTGGCCATCAAAATATTGAAGAATCATCCATCGTATGCTCGACAAGGCCAGATCGAAGTCAGCATACTTCATCGGTTGAGCCAGGAAAATGCAGACGAAGTAAGATCATGTTTACTTTATTTTTATCAAAATTGACTCTCACTCACTCACTCACTTGTCTTTAAATTCTAGTGGAATTTCGTTCGAGCTTATGAATGCTTTACGCACAAGAATCATACCTGTTTGGTGTTTGAAATGTTGGAGCAAAACTTGTATGACTTTTTAAAGCAGAATAAATTCAGTCCTTTGCCACTTAAATTTATCCGTCCAATATTGCATCAAGTTTTGACTGCACTTCTCAAGCTCAAAGTAAGTGAATGAATGAATGAATGAAACTTTTACTTTAATGTAATTTTTCCAAAATTAAATAAAGCAACTTGGCCTAATCCATGCGGATTTGAAACCAGAAAATATTATGCTTTGTGATCCGGTTCGTCAACCTTTTCGTGTGAAAGTGATCGATTTTGGTTCAGCTTCTCATGTGTCCAAAGCGGTTTGTTCCACTTATCTTCAATCACGTTACTATCGTGCTCCGGAAATCATTCTCGGTTTACCTTTTTGTGAGGCTATCGATATGTGGTCATTGGGTTGTGTGATTGCCGAACTATTTCTCGGTTGGCCTCTATATCCCGGTTCATCGGAATATGATCAGATCCGTTATATTTGTCAAACACAAGGTTTACCCAATGAACATATGTTGAATCAAGCAACAAAAACTACTCGTTTTTTCTGCCGAGAAAATAATTCAAATTATCCATTTTGGCGTTTGAAATCACCAGATGAACATGAAGTAGAAACCAATATTCGATCAAAAGAGGGCGAAAGTACATTTTCAACTGTTTGGATGATATGGCTCAAGTGAATGTTCCAACAGAATTGGATGGCCTTGATTTGTTGGCCGAAAAGAGTGATCGTCGTGAATTTATCGATTTATTGAAACGGATGTTGACATTGGATCAAGAACGTAGAATCACGCCTGGCGAAGCATTGAATCACAGTTTTGTCGTTTTGAATCATTTGATTGAATTTCCGAATTGTTCGGTTCTCCTGTCATCAGCCAAAATGATGGAAGTATGCCGTCGTCGTATATTTAGTAATCACACCACTAATAATCACCATCATCACCATTCATCATCGGGATCATCATTAGTCAATGGACATAATTCTAACGTGGTCGGTAGTCATCAAGTTAGTTATGATTCTAATGCTGGTGGTTTGAATGCAGCAACGACCGCAGCAGCTGCTGCTTCTTCAACTGGGCATCAAACCATGGCCATTATCGCTAATAATTTCAATTCACCATCAGCAGCAAATGCTGTTTCAGCAGCCATATCGTTTAACAATCACTTGACCGCCACAAATAATAATGTCCAATCAGCAGCGGCTAACGCTGCTGCTGCTGCGGCTGCGGCTGCCTATCAATTTCATCCATCAGCAGCGGCCAATTTTTATTCTGGCCCCCATAATTTATCGGTTACAGGTCAAGCAAATCAATCAACTCGTACATCAAATCACCATCAACAACAATCTGCCGCTATAGCTCGAGCGGCGGCCATTTCTAATCCATATGCGGCCGTGGCTCGTGCTGCAGTTGTAGCGGCTGCAGCTGGTGCTGCTGCTGCTTCTCAATCGGCGGCCACAGATCCATTTGTTCCTGGAGCGTCTTCATTGTGTATGCCTTCGATTCTCTGTTCTAATCCTTATTCACCGGCTGGCAAACATCCAAATGCTGCCGCAGCTATGATGCCAATGACTGCAGCTGTTCAATTTCAACCTTCAGCTACCTTTTTCACTCAAATGGCTGCTGCCGCAGCAGCTTCTGGTGGTCAGCAATATGTTCCAGTTTCAGTTGTCGCTGCTGCTGAACAGAATGGCCGTCAAATGTTGTTGACAAATCCTAACCTGGCCAACGTAGCTGCTGCCGCAGCAATACAATCAGCGGCCACTGTCGGTGGTTGGCCATCGGCTGCAACCAATTCAAATGGACGCCATCAACCGATGTTTGCAATGCCATCTGCATGGCAACAGTTTCAAGCTTCCACTGGTCGTGTCCATCAACACCATCAACCATTGAGTGATGCTGCCGCAGATGCTTGGTCCCGATCGCTTATGATGGCTGAACGAGCTGCTGGAATGTTGCCACCGGATCAAGCGGCTGCTGCAGCTGCTCTGGCTTTACCGATGGAATTTCATCATGCCGCTGATCAAACATCATCAATTTATGAACAATTGCGTAATCACCAAAATTGTTCCAATCTGATACAATCGGCAAATGTTTTAGCTGCTGCGGCAAACGTGGCAAATCCATGGAATGCTGTTGTTGCAGCTTGCGGTGGAGGAAATGGACCACAACCAACCGCTGCATCATCATCATCGGTTGCATCTAATTCGATCAATAATAACGCCCATCCAAATCAGTATTCGGCCAGTCAGACAAATTGTGTATCAGTGTCAGCTAATCTTAATAATAATCAGAATCAGAATCATATGTTTCCCGGTGCTCACCAACACAGCACTCATTCTTCGGCATCAAATTCATCCACTCAACATCATCATCATAATCATCATCATTCGATATTACAGAATATTTCGGGCTCTGGTTGTCCAACATCAAACATAGCTAAACGTAATCAAACCATTCATCATCATAGTAATCAACAACAACAACAGCAGCAACAACAACAGCAGCAACAACAACAACAACAACAACAACAACTACAGATTGTGAATATGGCCCAAAATGTCAATTCAATGATTCAAAATTCACAGATCAATAACAATTTATTGGCAGCAACAACAAAACCATTGAAAATAAAAGAACACATTTCACCGGTGAAAAAGAGAGCCAAAGAATCATCTCCTCAACATAAATGGCTTCAAGATTCTATTCGTAATAACCAGATTGATCTGGCTAATTTTGAGCCACAAATGAACCACCAAAATCATTTATCGTTCTCCAATACACATTCACCTCCCCCAAATGGAAATTTGATTTTTCGTGGCGCATCATTCGACCAACAACAACAACAACAACAACAACACCACCACCATCATCATCATCATCAATCATCACAGCCACATCATTCATCATCGATGGGATTGAATCAAAATTTGAAAATCAGTTCTTCATTATCACGTAGTTCGTCATGGCTCAATCAATCCAATGGTAACATTCATCATCATGGCAATCAAACCATTACTATTGAAGATACACCATCGCCTGCTGTTTCAGTCATCACCATTAGCGATTCGGATGATGAAAAACTTATGGATCCAAGGTTTGTGAATTTAGTTGAAATTGATTGAGTAATTTATTCATTGAATCATTTGAATAGCACTACGAGTGGTGGCCAAAAAAGTAATCAAACTTCAAGTTATAAACCTTCGATGCAACATGCTTCAAATTCGGTAAATTCCACCACTGGTAGTGTTGTAGCATTGACTCCGGAAGAACCATTATCAACTGAATCATATTCACATCAACAGCATTTCGATCAAGCCCACAACGGCGGTGGTTCAATCAATAAATCATCATCATTTATTTTTGATAATCATCAAAGGAATCTGATGAAACCAACATCTAAATTGATACATTCATATTCCACTTCTGCAATCGTCAAGAATCCTCACAGTAATAGTAATCATAGCTCGCTTTCACAAGTGGCCGCCGATACGACTACGTCATCAATTATGGAATTTCCTGAATTAGGTAAGATTCGGCTACTTTAGTGTTGTTCAGACATGAGTTTCTAATTGATTATTTTCATATAGAAAATTTTTCACAAAAAAAACGAATTCTTGCCAAGAATCGATCACTGCAACAACAACAACAACAACAACAACAACAACAATCATATGACAATCCACATTCAATCGCCAAACAAGAAATGATCATCAATGACGAGGAACTTTGTACTTCAAGTACGAGCCGTTTAAATAATTGGAATCGAGATTCAACATCATTTCGACACGCGAAAGTTGAAAATTATGATTATGATGATGAACAAACGTTGCAAGATGTGACGCCAAAACCACAAATGAATTACCAATTCTCTACACCTGGTTCAAAGGTGAGAACATATAAATTTATATTAATATTAATATGGATTCATTTTGATAATGATAACCATCACAATCTCTTTCTATTCTGTAGAAATATCCAGTTCTAGCTGGTGTAGTCACCAATCAACAGCAATTATCATCTCCATTGACTGCGTCCAATTCACATAATTCACTTTATTCACCACAAAGTTCTGATAATTCACTGTATCGTGATTATGCAGCAGCCGTATATGCAGCATCATCATCATCATCATCATCGATGGCTATGCCTCATCAAGGTTCTTCAAAACGTCAACCTTCATCACAAATTTCAACATCTTCGTCATTGAATTTACCGGCACCACCACCAGCCCATCATAATCCACATAACATTAGCAAAAGTCATCATCACCATAATAATCATCCATCCACAATGTCTGGAATGCCTTCCTCCGGTATGGTGGTGAATGTTTCAGCAAATCCACAAACATGCGGACATGGACATCATCACATGATGCAACATCATGGCCGACCAAATAGTACAGGAAATCCATTACCGGCACATTTGCAATCGCAATCACATCATAATTCCATTCATCATCATGGTAGTGGCGGTGGTGTTAATGGCATGGTTTCCGCTGCCATACGATTCGCAGCAGCCACACAATCGAATTATGCCGCAGCAGCTGCGGCTGCAGCATACAATAATCCTCTACCACAAACTACTGGTGGTGGTGGTGGTGGTGCTGGTGCTGGTGGATCATCATCAGCTGTCGCTGCCAAAGCAGCAGTCGCAGCTCAATACCAAAATCTTTACCAGCTGTTTGCTGAATGAATTGAGTTTTTCGGTTTTTCATGTTGAAAAAAATTACTGTAGTGATATGATATTTCTGTCTGTCTAATTTGTTCATTTTGCCTTTTCTCATCATCATCATCATCATCATGAACATTGGTCCATTATTGAACACCTTTCTTGCCTTTTCACGTGCTACATCTATGGATTTCAAATGTATCCACTATTATATTCCTGTACACGATACAAATCTGTTCTCCTTTATATTATCATAATGACTGAATTTCTCATCATCATCATTATCATCATTGATTATTTTTACACTCTTCATCATCGTTATATATATACTAGCTACTGTTAAATATCCTACAAAATGAACGATCATCAAAAAAAAAAAATGAAATGAAATGAAATGGTCTTTGTCCAACCGAAACGAAAATATATATTTTAGGAATGAAAAAAACAAAAAAAAAATGAAAAAAAATTTCAAGCTCAATTCATCATCATCATCATCATCATCAAACATATGATATGAGAATATAATTGCATACCATTTTTCCACTTTTTTTTCTCTCGTTTTCATTTTCAAAACAAAATTCAATTATTCAACACAACAGTTTGATATTTATCAAGAAACAGGAAAAAAATATTCCTTTTCAAATTTATAAGTTTTGTAACCGATGCCACACACTTGACCCATCAATTCATCGATTAGATATAATTAATTTCCGGATCCGGTTCAAATTTAGCTTTCTTTTCTTCGTTTTTTCGCCTTATTCATGAATTTTCATCCTCATTACCATCATTATTAGAGTTTTCATAATTGAGAACATGTGTGAAAGGAAAATATTTGGTCAGCAATTTGTCATTCTCTCCTTCTTTATAAGTATAACTTGATTAAGTGAATCTGTGTGTGTGTGTGTATGTGTGTGTATCTTTTTCATATTTTCTTTTTTTTGTAATTGGTTGTATATGAGGATATATTTATATTGTAAAAGTGAATAACATGACAACAATATGTGCAACACACCAAACAAATGACTGCTATTTTTTGTAAATAAAATTCAATTCAATACATACAGCGAACACATGAACCACACTTAATTATCATCATCATCGTCATCATTTGAATCACAATTACGTCATATATGGATGAAACGCCCATTTCACTTCACTATTGGAATCTATGTCAAATCATCATCATCATCATAACAAACACGATTTTTGTTGCTCCAACACACATATCCATTTTACCTTTATATAGAAAATGATAAAAGTTGATTGATTGATTGATTGATGAGTGATGTATGAGATAATTAATAAAAACCGATACATGTTTTATGTTCTATGTTGATGTTGATGTGTTGTAAAATTTTTATGAAAACCGCGCTTGTTTTTCATTTTCATTTCATTATCGAAATATTAGTAGTGTAACATTAAAATTAAACTAGTAGACTAGTAGATGTTCTGGTTTTTCATTGACTTTGCGACGCTTGCGTATCTTGTGCATGTATTTTTGATGAGACTTAATAAACGGTATAAATATAGCTACAATTACCACCACCACACCACTATCAAAAACACTATGATCAGATAGCGGACCCGAGAAAAACAAAAATGCAAAGGTGCGGCACACGCTACTTGAATATCGAATTCGAAATGGAATGTACCAAGTATTTGGAGGGGACAGGGGATACACCATCACTTCATTATTCACTCTACACACACACACACATTGAACTGGTTGGAACCGACTAACTTGACAGGAAAAAACAAAACCAAAGCAGCGGCTATAGCAAGTAGAACCTATCTATACAAAAATAGAATATGGCAATATATTCACGAACTAGCGCAGCACCAGATTCTCTTAGTTTCCGTGTACGTTATACGTAATCGCCCACTTGAGTTGAATGTGTGTCTGTGTTGTTGGAACAGTCGAATAATTGACATACACGCAAACACCATATATTCAATGTATGTATTCAAATAACAATGATAATCTGTTGTGTTGAGATTGTTTGTCGTTTTTGTTGTTTTTTCATTCAATTTTTCCTAGTGGTAGTGTCGAGTACGACAATGACGATGACGACGACATTGGTCCATTCGTTTGTTCCAACAACAACAACAACAACAACAGCAACTTCATCATCATCATCATCATCATCAGGTCAAATATTCTGCATGGAACAGTGAAAATAGCCTGATTTGGCTTGCCTATACTACGGGATCCGAGGAAATTGAAAAAATTCTTTGCCTGAATGAAAATCAACAAATCATCATGCTGATTGATTGCATTCGATGAATTTGATTACATGTTAACAGTAGTTGTTGCCTTTTCGTCTGATTTCGGATTCGTTCGCGATATGGGTAGATGATCGTAAGTTATATTTTGCTATTCATTCATTCATTCATTAAGCCGAGGTTTTTTGTTCTTCCACAGAATTCTCATTTTGACAACAAGTGACACAACGAATTCTTTCATTCAAATTGCACAACAACGAACAAGGATCCATTATTGATGTATCGAACAACAATAACAACAACAAATCGACTAACAAACACACACAGAAAAAAGAGTGTTTATCTGGTGTTAAATGTGATGTGTGTATGTGTGTGCGTGTGTGTGTGAGTGTTTGAAACGACGAATGTATGAGCCAGAATAAAAAAGAATTTTCGAAACAAATCTTCGTCCCACGAATTGATCGTCTACTTGTTTTAGTGTGTGAATATGCCACAAATATTCAAATGAGTGTTGTTTGTTATTGAAGAACTTTTTTCGATCAAATTGACTAACGGACTTGTTCTAGTTTGGTGTGCATACCTAATTTTTCAGTTTTTGTTTTTGTTTTTGTTTAGCCACATTCGAATCGAAATAGCTCAGATCAAAACAAAACAAAAAAGCATGTGATGTTCTTGTTTCATTGATTCAATCAATGTAATAATATAATATAATGATATAATATATCTAATTATATTTTCCTCTTATTCTCAATAATCCATAATCCACCAAAAACACGTGTTTGCCGTGTTTATTTCGAAAAATAAAATTTTCATTCATTCATTCATTCATTCATTCATTCATTCATTCATTCATTCATTTCTCTGTTCGACACAACATCATTATTTGTCGGTAAGTACGAATTTTTTGTTTCAAAAATGTGTGAGAACATTATGAAAACGACATGCTTCCAGACAGCAATAATAGAAACTATAGGATTACATCAATGATGAGAGAAGGGTAGAGTAGAAAAAGCACCTCGATGACATTTGCCAACTACCTCAAGGTTGTATGTGTGTGTTATGGATAAACGAATGAAATGGATATATGTGACCGCACCTTGCATGTATGTATGTGGCCCGAATATGCCACAGTAGTGAATATATGATGGCTGTTTCATTCTGTTTGATTGGATTGACGAAGAAGAAGTAGAAAACAGAAAACATGGAGCATGTGAGGAAGTTTCAGTCGGTGGTGGGCGTCCGGGTTCCAAATGTTCTTGTTTTATGCTTACTGGCTTGTCTTGATGACGTTCCTTTCATTTTATGGTTGAAAGATGATTTTTGATTTTGTTATTCATTCATTTGGGTTCATATTCGTATTCTGTTTCGCATGTGTGTGTGTGTGTGTGTGGTAGTTGGACCTTTATTCTAAATGATCCAACACACACACACACACACACATAGCGGTTTGGTGCTATATAAACACGAATGAAACCAAATTGACGAATCAATCCATGTTTGGCCAAACACTGCAATATAACTTCCCATAAATTGAAAAGAAAAATTAAAGGTTCTGCTAGCATTTAGTTGCTTCTTTTTTTTCCGTATGATGATGAATGTGATGGTGGATTGGGTTTATTTATTTGTTTTATTCGGCATCTCCGCATCATCTATTACAACAAATGGTTTGGTACGGTAGTGGTAAAAAAATGGTGAGCTTCTGGTCTTTCTCATGGACATCATCAACATCATTATATCCTCATCACTTGTAATCATCTCAATTCAAAAAAAATCGGCGCAAACTCCCATTGCTCGAATATTTATATATGAAATCGATCGACCAAAGAATTAATCAAACATGCATGCATGTGTATGGCTGTATGTATGTCGTATAAGTTGACTAGGGACCTCATCATCAGCCTATATAGTTCCTTGAACTATGGATCCTTTGGCGTGTGTTAGAAATCGAAACTGCTAGCTATAGAATATGGCCAAGTTTGTTCCAAATGTTTTCCGACAATTATGTTTAACGAACGAACAAGAAAAAGACATTGTTTCGAGTCTAAAAAGCGACCACCGCCTCCTTTCGGTTGGATCAAACCATACTGCCAGCATTTTTTTCAAATTGTATATATGACCTGTTTCGATGATTCTGGATTCTAGTGTTGTTAGGCTACGAATAACCACTACTATCGGCATCGCTCGAATCGTTGTTCCTATTTGTTTTCTCGATCATTATTCAGTCACTTTCACTATACCCCCACTGTCTTGCTTTTTTGCTTATTTGTTCGACATTTGGTCAGAAGAAGAAAAAAAGAATCCTAGAACCCTAAAGTCGGCTGTGGCGTGTGTCTGCTTTCCTTCTGGTGTTTATGATGATGAGGATGTTGTTGATGTTGCACATCAATACTATAGTTATATCAGGTTGATGAGAATGATGATGATGATCATCATCATCATTGCCACCGCCACGAAGACAACAACCACCACCACCAACAACATCATCCACTCGATTCTATGGGCACAACAATAATTTTTTTCCCTTTCTTGAAATTTTTTTTATTCATTCATCTCATTGATTGAATTTTTTTTTTTTTTTTTTTTCTGTAGCCACAAATTTTTAATTTTTACTTTTTGATTATTATTTATAATAACATAATAACATGATGTCGTCGATGATGATGAAGATGTATGGCCAGAAAAAAGACCTCAAGAATAACAGAATCTAAATCGACCGACGCCCATTCAGCTATAGCTAACTGACTAACTAACTAACTAACTAACTAATCATCAAATTCAAACTCTTTTTCTGTTTGTATATATTTTATTTGTCTCTATGTGTGTATGTTATATTCACTAAATTAAATAACGAACTGAACAACAAGCAAACGATAATGAGAATATTTTTATCAATGAAATTTTTTTTTTTTTTTTTTTTTTTGAATGAAAAGATGATGAACACGTTTTGAATCGATTGTTTTCTAACTTTTTTTTCGTTTTTCCTCTGTCCCGGTGGGTGTGTGTGCGTCGGTGTATGTCGTTGTCTGTTTAGGTTCTGTTGTTTGTTTCGATACAAGTGATTCATTCATTCATTCATTCATCCTCATTATGTTCATCGATTGATCATCATTATCATCACAAGTGACTTCGTACAAATCCACCCGATTCGAAATACACACACATTGATTCATTAGTTTATTTTTATCGATCGACACTACAGTGATTAATTCTTCAAGATTAATATTCAATATTCAATATTCAATCTTCAACGACATCGATATCGATTCTCTTGGAACATTTATGTTGATTGGTTGATTTATATCGATTCGACGTTCGACAAACACTACGACCATTACGACTATAACACATATCTGTGGCGCGATGGGTTGTGCTATGTCCGCTGAAGAGCGGGCAGCTCTTGCACGCTCAAAACAAATCGAAAAGAATCTCAAAGAAGATGGTATACAAGCGGCCAAAGATATCAAACTTTTGTTACTTGGTAAGTGACTAACCTTTGACTTTACTTTGGTCGCTAACATTTATTTTTCTTTTTCATTTTACAGGTGCTGGCGAAAGTGGGAAATCGACCATTGTCAAGCAAATGAAGTGAGTATGATGGTGATGGTGATGGTGAAACATTTTTCATAACACGTTTTTTTGTTTTTTCGTTTCGTTTTTGTTTCATGCACACCATTCATTGGCTAGAATCATTCATGATTCTGGTTTCACCACCGAAGATGTAAAACAATACAAGCCAGTCGTCTATTCGAATACTATCCAATCGACGGTTGCAATTTTACGTGCAATGCCTAATCTTGGTATATCATTTGGTGGACCGGACCGTGAATCCGATGCTAAAATGGTATTCGATGTTGTGTCGCGGATGGAAGATACCGAACCATTTTCCGACGAACTATTAGCCGCAATGAAAAGGCTGTGGTTAGATCCGGGCGTTCAAGAATGTTTTGGCCGATCAAACGAATATCAACTCAACGATTCTGCCAAATAGTACGTGCACATTGAGTAACTGAGTAACATGATATATACGATATATGATATGTTTGTGTTTGTGTTTCATTTTCAAATAGTTTTCTAGACGATCTTGACCGTCTAGGCAAAAAAGATTATATGCCAACACAACAAGATATACTGAGAACACGAGTGAAAACCACCGGCATTGTTGAGGTTCATTTTTCATTTAAAAATTTAAACTTTAAATTATTCGATGTCGGTGGTCAACGTTCCGAAAGAAAGAAATGGATCCATTGTTTCGAAGATGTAACGGCCATCATATTCTGTGTGGCCATGTCCGAATATGACCAAGTATTACATGAAGATGAAACAACGGTATGTGTGATCTATTCGACATTCGATTCCGATTAAATGTTTTTTTCCCCAATCATTACAGAATCGGATGCAAGAATCGTTGAAATTGTTCGATTCTATATGTAACAACAAATGGTTCACCGATACATCGATAATATTGTTTTTAAACAAAAAAGATTTGTTTGAAGAGAAAATTAAAAAATCCCCATTAACAATATGTTTTCCTGAATATACAGGTATGTAATAGTGTGATTCCAAATCAGCACATAATATTCATCATATATCTATGTAGTTTATATTTGATTCGATTATTGATGATGCGCGTTCATGTGTTATGTTATGTTATGTTATGTTGTGTTGTTGTCCCTGTTTATCTGTTCACATAATCCTTAGTTTCCATTCCAAATGACATCTTTATTGTCTTTTTTGTTGTTGTTGTTGTTGTTGTCTTGTTCGGTTCGAATTCAAGAGAGCGAGAGAGAGAGAGAGATTTCTTGATTGAATTTTATTTTTTGAAATTTAAATCAAAAAACTCCCCGAACACACGATAAACCAGGGACAAGCAAGCAAAATGATAAGAAATGCGTGTTTTTTTAGTAGGTCACTACTACCATACACACTCGAACAAGAACAAGAATAGCCAGATAGATTCTCTTTTTTTGTGGAATTGGGTTTTTTCCATCTAAAGCACCACTAATCAAATGACGTAAATGCGCACACCATTCTATATTGTTGTTTGGTTGAACCTTTTTTTCCAACTACACATCATCATGATCAACGAAATGATAGAAAACACATAGACTCAATAGACTAGAGTGTGTGGCTTATATAACGAATATTGTTGTTATTTGTTATGATTATGATTCAATTGGTTTGAATGTCTATTTATAGTACTTCTAGTCTGTCTAGGTTTTTGTTTAGCTTATTTTTGCTTTCTCTCCCATCCTGAAACGGACGGATGGATGGCCAGTAGTAAAACTTGCTCTCTGCCTTCCTTCCTGATTGGTTCAATCATTCAATTCAAGGTTGCGAAATAGAAAAAACCAATGTTTTGCATGAATCATCCGATGGAATTCAATTGGACAATTATTAATTAATTGACGTGATTTTTATTTTAAAAACAGGCGCTCAGGAATATGGCGAAGCGGCAGCTTATATTCAAGCGCAATTCGAAGCCAAGAACAAATCGACAACAAAAGAAATCTATTGCCATATGACCTGTGCAACTGATACCACCAATATACAGTTTGTATTCGATGCTGTTACCGATGTTATCATTGCCAATAATCTACGTGGATGTGGATTGTACTAGTCACAGACACACACACACACACACACACACAACAAATGTTTATCAATCAATCACAATGATCAGTGACCAACATTGTCCATTGATCGGTACACACTAAGATACATAGGATACACTCCCACCAATATTAATTTTTCTATCTTTTCTTTTTCGTTCTCTCTGCCTATTTTTCTGTGTTTCTGAATAATAATTGTAATGATAATGATGATCATCATATCCACGGTTGATTGATTGATCATTGATTGTTATTATTGTTGTTATTCTGTGCAACGTTCTCCAAATACAATTGACACACACACCTTCACTACCATGAAGTTGATTGATCTATGTCGCAATGCGATTGATACGTCATACACACACACACACACACATCATTATCATGATCGTCGGGAAAACATCCAAAATCAAAAATTCGACAAACATACTCTGTCAATCTTCATTTTTTGCATCGTTTTGAATCGAAAACAACAACATTTTGGGTCTATGGAATTATGAAAAAACAAAACACCCAAAGATTTTTTAGGTCCACATCATCATATCCACCATGTTCATGATATGCAATGATTTTGATTTATATAAAATAATCTCTATAAATATTTTAAAACAACAAAATAAACTGTATATTGACACACACACACACACACACATATGGCATACATTTCTGTCTTGTTCTGCTTATTATTATCATTATTTTATTCTTGAAAATCAAATTTTTTCACTCGACATTAGTGAAAACAACAACAACAACCCAATTGAATGAACACTAATGAAACAAACAAACAAAACATTCTAGTAATTAACAAACGATACTCAGCTGAAGTTTCAGTTGAGTCGTTTTTCTCCACCCGATTGATTATGAATGGAAACAATTTTACCCGAACGCAAAACACACACACGTTCATTTATACATTTGCCCCTTCCTCCCGCACACACACACACAAAAATCACACACCGAAAACCGGATGCTGAGTTGTTATTGTGACAAAAAAATATAGGTCCTTTTTCCTTTTTCTCTCTGGTCTTCACATTCAATTCATCCATCAAATGAATTTGCGTTTTCCATTTTGTTCCGTTTTTCGTTGTTGTTGTTGTTGTTGTTGTTCATTAATGTTCATCCCATTATATTTTATTCATCGCTCTCATTCATTCATTCTGCATGCTTTATACAAACAAGGACACGAACACAACAATTTTGAGAATCAAGGAATCCGTAATCCATTCTATTGCTATAGAGGTGAACATCCAACATCCAATTTCCCTCCAATTACCCTTTTTATTCGGTTCTTTACCATTTTCTTCTGCCACCCTCACCACCTCATCATGTGAAGCATTATTTTTCATATTAATAATTTCTTTGTTTTTTTGTTGTCTGCCATTTCACTTGTTTGGTTTCATGTCCATGTGTTGTGTACTACAAAATTGAATCGACCACAACCAACACCAACAACCCGAATCATCATCATCGAGTATGATAAAAAACAACAACAACAACAACAGCTTAACCTGTTTCTGTATCTAATCTAATCTAATCTATTATTTATGTAATTTAATTCATTTTTTCAAATTTTCACCATCATAATCATCTTCATCATCCACCACCACCACCACCACAACAACAACAACAACAACAACAATAAGCAACGACCAAAAACCACCAATTACACTAAATTGACACATACAAAAAATAACGACGATGATCATCGATGAATGGTATTTTTTTGTTCGATGGTCATCACTTGTTCACCCACTTGTCATTATATCGTATACCATGAACGCAATTTATAAATTTTGAATGAAGAATGGATAATTATTTGAAAATTAAATAATAAAATAAAATAAAATTGAAACAAACGACCAATTTATCACTCAATTAGGCAGAGCAGTGATTAGATTGTAGAAAACGTATGCCAACGCCACATTCAATGCACAAATTAATAGAAAGACAAATTGTTTCGTGAACCATATCTATGAGGAACAAATGAAAACAAAATCAACAATGAGCCACAACATTCACACTGAGATCACTTACGCCAATTCTTTTCATTTTCTGTTTCAATTGATTTTCGGGCCGTAATTTTCGTTCGCGCGCCTCATGAGCTAGATGGGCAACATTTTCACGGCACCAATCGTTTGTCAATTTCAATTGTTCAGCGGCATTGGAAGCAATGTATTCGGCTGGTAACGATGCTTTTCGTTGGTGAACAGCAAGATTATTGGCGGATGAATTTCTTCGTAGTTCTTGTATTTTCGATTCGACCAATAATTTTTCGCCAAGTTTCGCTGCAAATGTTTCAATCTCTGATGTTTGTACATTTTCATTCAATGGTATGTCAGTCGTCATCATTGAATCCAGTCTGATTGGGTTTAGCTCATTTCGATTATTAGTGGCAATTGGTTCGAAACAATTTTGCTTGTCGTTCATGTCGAATTCTGGAAAAAATGCCAATCAAATGATTGTTTGAAACAATGCAAAAATTCCGATACCTTCTATATCAACACAAGGCGATTGGTCGCCAATTTTATTTTTTCTATTTCCAAGAATTTTGCTCGTAACCGATTTATATTGATCACAATGATCGGTGAATGCTTGCGAAAAATGTTGATCACCACCACCAGCAGCAGCAGCATTGGAGCTATTCAATTCAGACATTGGTTTGGCTGTAAAAGTATCTGGTACTTGCAATTCATTCATTTGTCTTTTATTATCCACCAATACGGTGTTGCATTGACCCATTGCTTTGGGAGATTTGGGAGAAAGTAGATTCTTTGAGCTATCATCGAAAGACAATGTTTTCGTATTGTATTTTGAACTGTAAATGTAAGAATGGATAATCATTTTCTTTATATTTACTAGGAACTGCTATATTACATACAAATTGATAAATGTCCGAATTGGCGATGGTTCTCGCGATGGTGTCCGTGATGAGCCCGGTCGAAGATTTACCGATGAAGATCGAGAAAGTTGGGGCCGAGTAAAATTTGGACTATTCATATCTGTCAACGGCAATGGAGATGTTGGACGACTTGTGTACGGACGTTGTATACCACCACCAGGCGGAACAACTCGTGTTGGTGATAGCGAACGCCTATCTCGAACTCTATTCTTGTCGATGACAGCATAATCATTATAATTCAAACCAGTCAAGCCACCCGATGTCGGAGATGACGATGATAGATTCTCCATGCTAAATCTTGAATGAAGTTTTGGTGGCGGCGGCCTTGCCGGTGGTGTTCTGTCCTGTGCGAATCTCACTTGATGTATGGATGAATCGTTAAAGTCAAAATTTAATTTTTCTCTCTGCAAAAATGAATTGAAAATAAATTCATGACAATTTGTCACCAAAAAAAAAAACAAACAAAAAAACTTACACTACTATATTTGGGATCACGTCTTGTTGCAATCGCAGCGGTAATTGGCGAAGAAATTTGCGACGATTGATATCCATCCAACGATGGCTTGGCCATCAATGTTGGATTGAATTTAGACTGGTATGGATTATAATGAACATTGATCAATTTGAGATGATCATAATGAGGACGGACATTCATTCGATTCAAGCCGATAGCCGATGACGATGATGGTGAAAAATTCATTCCACTTGCTCCACATGGATTAGGGCTGAATCGAGTTAATGGACCAGCCATCGCTGCAAACAATAGGGATGGTTGATTATTGATCAATGTTGTCGGTTGCCGAATTCCTTGTTGTTGTTGTTTTTGTTGTTGTTGGAAATCATCACCAAAAACGTCAGGGTGATTTTGATAATCTAGCAGTCCGCCATCATGATAACCTTGGTTATTTGGCAGATAAAATTGCTGTTCTGCAGGATAGTTTTGTAAATATTGCTGCTGATGCCCTTGATTAGGTGAATAATTGTGAGCTGTAATCAATGGATTTGTTTGTGGATTTGGCTGTGAAAAGTTCAAATTGTTGAAACCCGTACGAATCAATGGTTGTAGATTATTGTTTGGATTTTGTATATATAAAGCTATCAATAAAGATGTGTTAGACGAAACGTGAAATGTAACCATTCAAATCATACCAGGAATATGTTCTTCCGAATAATTGGTTCTATTGCGATGGGAAAAGGTAGGACTACCATATCCTATAGAATGTAAAATTGATTGATTCAACAAAACAAAACAAAACAGAAGAAAGCGAAAAACAAAAAACAATTGACAAAACCATACCTTGTTGTTGATGGTGATATGATGATTGATGATTGTATGGTGATTCTTGTGAATCAAATCTCGAAGTACTCAACGAACGTTTCCTACGCGGTGGAGCCGAGGGTTCATGATGGTGGTAAAAATTCATCGTTTCTTTTTAAACAATAAAAAACAATAATGAGCCGTGGTTATTGTAATAAATTTAGGATATACTAAAGTATTACAATTGTAGATACAAAGATCATCATCATCATCAGGTTATATATTTCGCTATTGTTTTTGCGGCCAAGTTTTTAGAAGAAAAAAAACATGTCTTGTTGATAAGAATTTCTCATTTTATTCACGGTGAATAGGATTATTTGGCTAAAAATATAACAACACTTGTGGCAGGAATCCAATTTAGAATTTAGAATAAAAAAGTAAAGCGAATGAATGAAGATTTTTCATTGGTGAATTCATGTAAGGAATTTGAAATGTTAATTAAAAGAAAATTCCGTACACTTGTTTAAATGTCACACGGTGTGTTGTTCAATAACAATCCATCACAATTTGATCCGATAACAATTTCGATGTATGAATAATGTCGTCCAACAGTGATAACTGTGGACTATTCAAAGATTGATTTACGTGGATCTTGTTCATTTGTTCTTCGAATCGTGATGATGATGTTAACAGTGGATAGATGCCATCGTGTTTAGAATCGGGATATTTATCCATAATTATAACCAAATCGTTTCGATATCTGCCAAGAAATTGCATGATTTCCATTTCAACTTGACAAGAAATGAATGAATTCTCACCAAATAAACCGAATAACGATGCAAAGAGATTTGTATCGATTATCAATTGAGAGAATTGCGGCGAATCACGCAGCTCTTGTTTGCATATGATCAATTCGATCAGATTCAACAACACCAACAGCAATTCAGTATCGTTTTCATCTGAAAAAATTTGACAAACTAAACGTAACACAAATTTTTGCTGCGGCAAATCAATGCTGAATTTCGAAAGAATTTGTTTCATGTTTGCGAAAAATTGCTGTCGAAATTCCAAATCCAATTGATCAAATTGGAGAAATGATTGTTCGAAAAATGTATCACCAAGGAAATTCGTATTCAGAACGATTGATGAATGATTTGATGAATGATTCGATGAATCAAAGCAGTAATGAGCCATGAAAAGGGTTGATAGAATGTTGGCACGACAATTTGCTTCCAAATCGATCGTTCTAAGCAGATAGGCATGTTCGCCGGATAGAAATTCATTGAGCTCTTGAGTTTGCTCATCTTCCAAGATTATGTGAAAGATCAGTTCAATGATAATGTCGACAATTTCGTCATCGTCATCTTTATCGACATTAATCAGATGATTGAGCCAAATGGGAAGAAATTTTGGAAAATCAAATTTTTTTCGTTTGCGAAAAATATCAACGATTGATTGTAGAATCGATTTTCGAACCACGGGATAATTGCAATAGATTTGCAGATAAATGTCTTGGATTCTGCGGTCAGCATCGTAATTTTGAATGATCAATCTCTCAAAAAATGATAATAACAAATTGAGATGTTTCTTGTTGTTTGCTATGTTATTGTTATTAACGTTAATAACGTTCTCAAGCAATGGGACTAATTGATGACATTCAGTTGATGGTTGCAATTTGTTCAACTGTTGAAGGCAGATGGTCTGCAATCGGATCATTGGAATATTCTCAAGCAAGACTCGTTCTTCGTCCGATAGGTTGGCCAGTCCATTCGAATCATGATGACCGAGCAAATGCATTAGATAATGGCCAATAAAAGAATGGGATTTTCCACGATACATTTCTATATCCACACATTTTGAATGGGAATTTGACAAGGAAATTAAAAATGTCGAATAAGCAAAACAGTCTTGTTGTTTTAGCAATTTTTCCTTCAATAAAGCGATTAGATATTCTGTTTTATTTGCATAATTTTTCAGGGATGAAATCAATTCGATTAATTTGATTGATTGTTTCAGGAGATCGTCATCGAATCGATCACAGTTGACTAAAAAAACTTCAAATGACAAGAATATCTGAAATCGATGAAAAAATTCATTCCGATCCGGTAACAAATCAATTATATTGCAGACAATTTTTGGTAAATTGAATTTCAGATTGGCAAATTTATATGCGACAATTTCTTGCAATCTGGTCTGATCAAACTCCAATGATAAACCGATAATGTTGGCCAAAAGTAAATGAATTTCTTTTTGAATGAAACGGGTTTGACAGTCATAATCGAACAGATTTTCGATGAAAAATGAACCATTTTCTGGTGTAAGAAAATGAGTGATTAGAAATTGTTTGCCAGTTTGATGATGACAAATACTGTTGAATAATGAAAAGAGCGCAATGTTCAACATGTGGTGTTGGCTCAATTTATCTTTGTAATTTGTTGCAATTATTTTCAACACTAATTCAATGAGATTTTGGTTAGATTGTTTCAAATAAATCTGGAATATGAGTTCGCGATTCAACAATGGCTTGCATATTCGCAATACAATGACCACATTATCGATTTTCAATTCGAAATCATCATCGCAGATGAAACTTTTCCATTCCAAATGACTGTCGATCAATGAGAGCAAGTTTTCATTGGTGGTGACCAGATTTTCGAGAAATTTCTCATCAAATTCATTCAAAAGCGAGCAGAATTTTTCAATCAAAGTATCATCGTGATTATCTTTCAATTCACTTGCAATGATTGTGTTCAAGGCGGTGGATACTTTTTGATTTAATAATAATTCGGAATCATCCATCATTAAAAAAAAAATTCAAATTCTTTCCAGTTAAAAAGTTTCGGCACACTATTTTAACACTATTTGTTTAACTTGTGTGAAATTAGTTCTCATTTATCAGTGCAGCATGTTGTTGAATTTTCTGTCCAAAGTATAAATATAAATTCAAAAATTCAATTTATGATAATAATGAAACATCGACGAATTCCGAAAAGTGATCGCCATAAAAAACTAAAGTCCATCAATGATTTGCAACAAGTCAATGTAATCAATGATAATGTCGTCAGAAATAATTTGTAAGTTATGCTTTTTGATATATGTAAATGGCTAAAGTTTAAAGTTTAAAGTAATCAATCAGTTCCACGAAAATGGCAAGAAATTTTGGATGCGAAAAAGCAATCACTTGCTACTACGGCTGCTAAGAGGAAAAGGAAAAATAAATTTTCATCCAATGCATTGGTCACGATCAGTAAGTTTTGTTTAAAATGAACAACTATTCACCGTAATTTATTTACAGTTAAACCATCGGAAAAATTTGAAATCGAACCAGGAATGACGAGAAAACCAAAACCTCTGCCAGAAATGGTTGTCAAAGATTGTAACGAAAGTCATCATCATTTTATGAATCGTCTGAACAAATTGGTATCTCAATCTATGGCCGAAGCCAATCTAGAGGAACATTTTGATGTTGATCTTGGCGACAGAATCCAAACAGATTCTGAGGATAAAAAAGCAAAACAAACTGAGGATGGTAAAGATAAAGAAAAAAGTGAGCGAAAAAGAGAAAAAAATCGTCAAAATTTGCTTAGACGTAAAGCGAATAAATTGAAAAAACAGCGTCGATTACTGAGACAATTGAATCAAAGTGATGACAATCCTTTGGGTGATAGAGATTGGATTGAATTTGGTCAAGTGGTACATTGTCCACCAAACATTGATCAATTTACGAAGAAAAGAAAAAAGTGTAAATAAATCTTGTGAATGTTTGCAATTTCAATTTGTTTCATTTGTTTCAAATTCAAATAAAATTTTGTTACATTGCATATGAACGGAACACTGTTCTTGGTTTTGACACTCGCGAGCATCACCAATTCACACAAACAATGCTGCTGCTATTGTAGTTCTTGTTTGCTGTGTGCTCTCGACAAATAGTGCATTTTTGCATCTGAATATCATCATTTTTTGGCTTGTTTGTTTGAATTTGCTGATGAAATTCTTGTAAATCGCGATATTGAATAATAATAAATTAGATAAGTTATTATTATTATTTTGTTTTTGTTTTGGCGAATGTTTGTCATATGTAACGATCATCATCATCATCATCATCTATAATTTTCTATAGTAATCCATCAATATCACTAGAGAAAATGTCATTGGCTTGTGAATCACCGATTCATAATAATGAACAACAACAACAACAACACCACGAAGATCCTCCCAAAGGAACAATATATGATGATGAAGAATTGGATTTTGAGGAAGAAGTTCCATCACAAAAATCACCAAACGATGTGTCCAAAAGTGATATTGACGAGGATTTGGATGCCGATGACAATCAATCAATGAACGAGCTGCAAACATCACCAACGGGTAATAATCGTAGACCGAAAGAAAAAGATGAAGGTGAAATTGATTCCGAAGATGAACTTGAAGAAGGCGAAGTAAAAGAAGATGAAAAAGCTGAACAAGCCACAGATGATTCTACAGTCGATAATTGCTCATCCAAAGCGTCGAATCGCGAAGAAATTGCAAGTAATGTTGCGGCCACTAATGACAATAACAATATAAAACGACCATTGTTACCACAGGAGCGGAAAGGTTATTACAACAATCAGCAACAGCAGTCTTACTGTAAGTTTTTGTTTTTCATCCAGAAAGAATGTAGAATTTAACTTTTTTTTCTAGATTACAATAATCGTTATTTGAATCCAAGAATCGATCGTTATGGTAATCAAATTGTCCGAACAAAAGAACCGATTCTACCATTACCAACGCCGACAGTTGCTCATAAGCCAAAAATACAACACCAATCATCCTCTGAATCGGCTTGGGAACGAGGATTGAAACAGGCTCGTGAATTAATTTCACGTGCATCGAAACGTAAAGAAGTGGAAGAAGATTTCGATCATAAACGCTACACTAACACGGAGAAAAGTCAAGAACCATATAATGAACTTGAACCATCTGGATCTCCAACATTGCCGCCATTGCCTGCACCACCACCAACTTCGACATCGTTGCTTGGCAATCCACCGTCCAAACGACGTCGACATTCACATTCTTCGTCCGAAGATGAAATGGAAAGAAGACATCGACTTGCATATGATGCTGCTCCATGGAATAACCCACGTGAACTTGGTTCAACTGGCCAGCCATATTCATCATCATCGAATTATCGTTCTTCTCGATCTAATTACTATAGCTCTCAATATAGCCGATCATCCACTGGCGGCAACGATTCGTTTCGTGATCCATGGCGACGATCTAAATCTCCACAAGCTCGACAAATTCCATACAATAGAAATCGAGATGTGCCTGCCGATGCACGATATGGAGAAACATTGTATAATAAAAAAATGGGCGCCGAAAGTCGATCCGACTCGATGTCATCATTATCATCCATTTGTTCATCATCATCATCATCCGAATCAGGTCACAGTAGCCGAAAATTACCTTATAGCCGACGACGATCAAGTTCAGATTCGCGTAGCCGTTTGGTGGATAATGGTTTGTGTTTGTTTGTTGTTATAATGTTGATAATGATCAAGTGATAATTTTGATTCTATAGAAACATACAGCGAACATAGTAACAAATCAAAAGGTCTTGGTAGAATACCCAAAAAAATCAATGGTAAAATTCATTCATTCAGACAATGATATGTGTACTTTCGGATCAATCAATCTAACTTTTTACTCGCACTCTTCCATTGTCAACAGCCACATCAACCGTGGTCAAAACAAAACATGATGATGACGACGATGACCATTCAATTAAATCATTCGATTCGTGGTCAGAATCACTATCAGATTCGGACAGCTACTATTCGATTTCAGATTCCGATGCAAGTGATCATCATCATCACCGTCATACGAAAGAATCATCCAATTCCAAACAAGGTGCAAAAGTGTCATCCACTAAGACATGGCGAAATTCGGATGAAAATCGTTTGCAATCATCATCATCATCATCATTATCATCGAAATCGCATCATCATATGAGTAAAAATAGCAAGGATTCATCAATCAAAAATAATGACCATGCAATGAGCATGAAAGAAACGAATGTGAAAAAATCGAAAGCAGCAGAAAGTAAAGTACCGATAAAAATGACATTTATGAAAAAGGTTGGTTTCCATTTTTACAGCTATTTGGATTGTTTTTCACATTCTTCATCATTTATTTCTAGCAACAATCATTGAAACAAGATACAATCATCAATGAACAATTGAATGGAGGTAATGTATCGGATTTAGATGAAAATTCTTCATTCTCTAGAACTAGCCAGAAAAGTGTGCAAAGTAATCGATCATTGGATGACGATGCAATGGATGCCGATGATAATCAAGATGAATTACAACAACAACAACAACAAATAGATGATGATGGTGATACTACTACTACTTCATTATCATTGAAATCATCGGAAAAACATCATCGACGAGAAGAGTTGCTCATGAAATTGAAAGCTGTTGAAGAGGCTATTGAGCGAAAATTGAGTTCCAAAAATTAATTGAGCCTCAAATATATTTGACGATGATAATTGAACAAATGAGGCAGAAAACATATATTTAGCGTGAAAATATTTTCATTTTTTTTATTCATTCATTTATTCATTTCTGTATAAAAATATTTAATTTGAAAAAATAAATGTAACATTGTTTATGAATGGTCCCATGTATTGCTGCTGCAGTACATGTACATAAAATGAGCATGTGTTTGCAAAACACACACACACAAAATTCTTCCTTTTCCCTTGTTTTTTGGTCAAGGTGTCTGTGTTTTTTCATTATTTAGCCCTTTTTTAAGTGATTTTGCCCGAAAAAATTCTACAAAATGGTGGGAAAACGCAATGGTATGATTCCGAATGCCCATTTTCATAAAGATTGGCAACGATTCGTGAAATGTTGGTTCAATCAGCCGATGCGAAAAAAACGCCGTCATCAAGCACGTGTGGCTAAAGCTCGATTGGTTGCTCCAAGACCAACGGAAAGACTTGCACCATTAGTTCATTGTCCTACGATCAAATATAATTCAAAAGTTCGTCTTGGACGTGGTTTTACTATTGACGAACTTAAATCGGCTGGTATTCCGCGACGATTTGCTCCAAGTATGATGATTTGTTTATTTTTGAAAAATGCAAAACTAACCCATTTCTTTCTTTAGCCATCGGAATCAAAGTAGATTACCGACGTAAAAATCGTTCTGTCGAATCGATTCAACGAAATGTTGCTCGTCTCAAAGAGTATCGATCTAGATTGATTTTGTTCCCAAAGAATTCCAAGAAATTGAGAGCAGGTGAATCGAGTGCCGAAGAAATCAAATTGGCCCGACAAGTGACTGGAACAATCTTCCCGATTGTTAAGAGCAAGAAATCATTGAAATCGGAAAAGGCAAGAGTGCCAACCGAATCGGAAAAGAAATTCCATGCTTATCATTCGCTTCGACGAGCTAGAGCCAACAAACGTTTGATTGGTGTTCGCGAAAAGAAGGAAAAAGAAGCAGCAGAATCGTTGGATGCACCGAAAAAGAAGTGAAACAAAACAAGACAATGATCTATTTTTTCAATTTTTTGCTTTATTATAACTTGAAAAAATTGCAAGTCAATAAATTGTTCATGAATTTGAATATAGAATGAGAATTACATATTATATATACACACACATCAAACAAGGTCAATTCACTGTAATCGAGTAATGTGACATGTTTTACACAATAAATGTCCACTCAGTGGATAACAGGTACCATCGGTGAGTTGAAGATTACAATCTTCACATATATAACAATCAATATGATAGTCTTTGTCCATCGAAACGACACGGACAGTTTCTTCGGAGCCCTCCATCGGTACGATTGGGGTATTACAGACGGCACATTTTGGTGCATACAATTTATGGTAATCGGAAACGCAAAATATTCGATTGTGAACATCAACAGTGAATGGAACACCATCCAGACATTCATTACATTGCTGACAACGAAAACAACCCGGATGGTAGGATTTGCCCATTGCATGTAAAATTGTTTCCATGATTAAATGGCCACAAATGGCACAACGATCAGCTGTCTGTTGAAATCCACAATACAGATAGTCTTCTTCACAATACACTTTTCCCAAAACATTGTAGAAAGCTTTTCCTGGGAAAAAAACAATCACAATCAATAGAAGAACAAAAAAGAAAACAAAACAAAACAGACCTCGTAACGGACGACCACATGAGCAACAAGTGAAACAATTGGTGTGGTATAAATTTCCCATCGCTTGACATGCATCGATTACACCGAGGACTTTTTCTCCACAATGACAACAGATACCGAAATAATCACCGACGGGATCCTTTTCTTCCATTTCTTTTTCAATTTGTTGCGTCAAAGCTTCAATCTTTTTCTCGGCTTCGGACATTCCTAACGGTTTCGGTGGTGTCACATCATAATTGAGCTGAATATTTGTTCCGATACATCGATTCGATGGTTCGCTTCCATTCGTTGACTTGTTGTTGCCATTCGTAGTGGTGGCTACATTTGATGATGCTGATGATGATGATGATGATGAAGTGTTGAAATAATGAGCACTTGTTGGTTGTTGTTGACCATTTGTTTTGTAAATAGGATTCATCGTCGACGATGAAGTGTTTGATGTGAATGATGATTTCTTAGTCTCAACTGTTGCACGGACAGCCGTTGCCAAAGTGCTGTTGGAACTATTATTGGCCATGGAGGATGTGTAATTGTTTGCAGCACTTGATTGATTTGGCAAAGGAATGGCTGCTTTTTTAAATGTTCCAACTGAAGATGGTGATGGCTGTACTGGAGGTGGCGGTGGTGGTCGACATGGTTTGGCACTTTTGGTTGTCAAAGTTGTTTTACTTGTCGTCGTCGTCGCCAATGTTCGAACGGACTTGGATCCACCACCAATATTGCTTGATGAGTTTGGCTCAAAAAGCGATAAATCACGAAGAATGTTATTGATATCGCCCATTTGGAATCAATTGGCAATTTAGGAAAGACATTCGACGAGATTCAGTGAGTTGAAAATGATTCAATTTCGTTACAACTGGCAATTGGTTGATGGCGAAAACAAAAACAAGGATTTTTTGCTGACAAAATTGTGTGTCTGTGCATGTATATGTCTGTGTGTGTGTGTGTGTGTGATGCATGCATGAACATTTCACCATTTGTCTTCAGCTTGGATGATTCATGACCAATCATGTTGATTTTTAGCTCCGTAAGATGGTAGCACAATTTTTTCTTTGTTTTCGCTGAAAACGGAACCGGATTGTCTGAAACTTTCCCTGTCATTTGATAGTGGGTGTTTTGAAGTTTCTAATTTTCAGTTTTTTTTCCAATTTTTCTCCAATTTTTTTTCATTTGATGACTCATTCCATTTTGATGTTTATTGTTATAATGCCTATTTTGTATCGATTGGTCCATACAAATATCGGATATTATATAACTTTTAAAGATGAAAAAATCCAGAAAAGAGGGTGAATGGATTTTGAAATGAATGATTTGAGTATGTGAGTGAGTGCGTATTTACTCTGTGTGTTCTGTTGTTCATTGCTCTCAAACCGAAAAAAGTGACAGAGAATAACAATAATGAATATATGAATACCGGTCTGATTGGTTTTCCATTCGAATCATATAGCTGATGATTCGGCTAGGAGAAAAAATCCGGTTATAATGATGGAATTTCAAGATTTGTGGTTCCACCATCATCATGACCACATCACACAAAGAAATCCTCTCATAGCTGAATATGGATTATCATCAAGTCAACCAACATCCATTATCGTTGTATTGCAGACCTTGATTGGAAACCTCGCAACCAACGGTAACAAGTTTTCTCTCCATCTTTTGATGATGAGTATGTAGAAACTTGGTCATTGATGCATTGTTGGTGTGTGTATCTGTATTGTGTATACCAACACTGTATGTGCGTCTGTATTGAAGAGATAAAGTACAGACAAACAGAACCAAGACTATATATGAGAGTCGCGCGTAGATGCATCCCAATTGGATGCGTTTGATGATGATAATATAATGTCATTATGTGCGTGTGTTTAGTCACTATAATGTGAAAAAATAGAAATCCTGATTTTTTCAGTCTGATGACGATGTCCAGTTCAATGATAATGATGATGATGACGTTGTATCGCTCGTTTCTCATCAAATAATTATGATTAGAGTAAAACATTGTTAATTTGAATTCTTGGAATCCTGATGATAATATTTTTCAAACACAATTCTTTATTACCTCGAATGTGTGTTGATAGTTATAATGACCTAAACGGTTCATGTTTGTTGAAAAAGATGATGATGATGATGATGATGATGGTGGCGAAAAAAAAATAGAAATTTGACGCATGCTCAACAAGACATGGGCGGTTTTGTGATGTTTCAATTTTCGAGTTTTCTTTTTTCTTTTGCTCCACCTCCTTTTTTGGTTTAGACTCAGATTACAATAATTACACAAAGATTTTCCCACCACTGCTATTAGACCACCACCACCACCTTGATCAATGAAAAAAAAACAAGAACAAAGGGGCAAAATTCTGCTAGCAGCAATAAGAGAGTGATGAATGGATAGTTGAAAAAATAAGATTCTGCTGCGCTTGCTTGGACCAACATCATTGATCATTTCGTATCGTATCAGTAGCGGCCCCATTTTTTCAACAAAATTGTATACGTCTACAACGTGGTGTGTGTATAGCATTAGCAAATTGTCGATTTGACGATTGTCGTCGTCGTACTATTCTTTCAAGTGAGCTGAGTAATACATTCATTCCTATTACATGGAAATAATGTTTTTTCGTTGTTTTCAGTGGTAACATTTTTTTGTTGGTTGATGTGTTTCTGTATGTGTGTAACGTTTGATGTCGTTTTTGTGTTTCTCTCACCGCTAACTGTGTGTGTGTGTGTATGTGACTCTCTATCAATTGGACCTATTTTATGGGTTTTTTTCCATTGAAACAAACATTAATTTCCGATCCTTGATTTTTTGTGGTTTGAAAAAATCAATCAAAGAATATTCATCATCTTTTGGTGAAATCAAAATATCCATTGTGTGTGTTTGTGTCTTGTGAATTTGTGTATGTGTGTCTGTGTGCTGTATGTGGATTGTCTCTCTATTCACTGACTAATCGAATCTTTTATTTTCGCATAATCTGGTGATTTCTTCAATTCAAATTGTGTGCATTGTTAACTGTTTTTGTGTGTGTGTGTGTGTATCATTTAATTTTGAACCATTGAAGAATCTACATTCATCATCCATATATATTGTATTGAATCAAGAATTCTTTCTTTTCTGTTCATCAATCGCCAAACACTGTTTGATTCCTTTGTTAATATTTTATCATTTCCAATAGGTCATCATTATAGCTTCGTCAAAGTCCATTTCAAACCAATTATTTGATGCAATGTTTGGCTCACAAAAAGCCTATGGAGCAAATAATCAACATCAAAATAATAACAATTCCTATGGCAATAACTATTCATCATCGCAATCAAATGATTCATTTTGGGGAAATCAACAACAACAACAACAATATCAACAAACACGGTCAAACAACGTTGACAATAATCAATTGAATTATTCGTCTGCTGCTGCTGCTGTTATTGCCAATGATTCTCTTTATGGTTACCAGGCTAATGCTAACATTGATTCTCGTTCAGGTAATGATTTTGATTGTTGAAAAGTGTCAATTGACAAACAAATTTAATTTTAATCTATATATAATCACCACAATATAGATAAATTGGCTCCTAAATCCGAGAAATATGGTAATTTAGCTTCATTTGCATCATCGGCAAAAAAGTCAACAACATGGGCAACGATTGCATCACAGCCAGCTAAATCGCAACCGAAATCATTGAAATTGACTAAAATGGCAGGATTAACTGGTACGACATCGAAACATTTACCGCCAACAGTCGCAATGGATGCCATGTGGGATTCACCCAAGAATGGTGTTTCAAGTGGAGCAAGTAAATCAATCACAGGTCCTTTACCTACTTCTGCTTCTGTGATTACTGCTGTTCCGTCTTCAGTGTCTCCAACAGCAGCAGCAGTGGCACAACCAATGTCTGATGATCTTTATTCGCCGGTTTCGAATATGGTCGAACAATTCCCCTCTTCCGATAATGATCCACCACTTCCGTCAGCTCAACAACCAGTAACCAGAGAAAATTCTTGGAACAGTACCAATAATAATAATAATAATAATAATAATGGAAACAGTTCACCTGTAGGTTCGGTTGCTAATTCTACGGATTCAATTCGACCAACCTATGCAACGTCGGTGCCCAAATACAATGAACACAATGGTAATAATAATAATAATAATAACAACAACAATCATCATCACCATCATCATCATAGTCAAGCTATTTGCTCCAACCCGATGTATGATCAACGTAATATGATGGATTATCCGCATCATCATCACTCACAACAACAACAACGACCACCAGTAAACAAATCACCGATGGATAATAATAATCACAATCAATCCTTTGCCAACAATAATAATAATAACAGCAGCAGTAGCAGCAACAATTCCGATGCACGCTATCCAACACATGAACAACTTCCACCTCCTCCAGCAATGAGAGATCTAGAGCCAGAAGAAGATGAAGAGGATGGTGATGATGGCAATGACGAACCAATCAATGCAAATGATGATATCGACGACTTGTCATATGCGTTGTTGGAAAAGCTGCGTCTAGAAAACAATTACAATCCAAAAGAGTTTGATTTGAATCTACGTCAAGCACGATTTTTCATAATCAAATCATACAGTGAAGATGATATTCATCGTAGTATTAAATATTCAATTTGGTGCTCCACTGAACACGGCAACAAGCGATTGGACAATGCATTTCGTCAACAAGAAGACAAAGGTCCAATTTATCTGTTCTTTTCCGTCAATCGCTCAGGTATTTGATGATCATTTTTCGTGATTTGAAATTTAATTTAATTTAATTCTGTTTAATTCTGGTGCTTGTATTTGATGTAGGCCACTTTTGTGGAGTAGCTCAAATGATGTCGCATGTTGATTATGATGCATTGTCGGGCGTTTGGTCGCAGGACAAATGGAAGGGCCAATTCAAAGTGAAATGGATCTATGTGAAAGATGTACCAAACGATGAGCTTAGGCATATAACATTGGAAAATAATGAAAACAAACCAGTGACAAACTCAAGAGATACACAAGAAGTGCCCTATGAACAAGGAAAAAAAGTGATGACCATCATACACAATTACAAACATGCCACATCAATTTTTGATGACTTTCTTCATTATGAAAAGAAACAAAACGAAGAACAGATGAACTATTCGACGCCAACCAATTCTTATCATCATCATCAACAACAACAACAACAACATCATCATCATCACCAACAACAACAACAACAACTACAACAACCACAGCGAGCAAGACCAAACATGTCTTTGCCTCCACCGTCACATGTGAACAATTATTATGCCAATGTCCCGAAACCGATGCAATCAAATGTCAAGAATCAAGCACTACCACTTTGTCATGAATCGAGTAATGGTCCCATGATGCAAAGCGGGCCATATCGTGGCAATAGCAACTACAATAACAAGTCGAATCGTGGCATGGACAACAGCAGCAGTGGAGTGCATGATTATCGTAACAACGATGGATATTCACAACCACCACCTCCGCAAATGGCGATACAGCATCGAAACAATTTCCGTAATAATAATTATGGTGGTGGCTATCGAGATCGTGATTATAATTCATATTATCAACGAGATATGGGTTATCGAGGCAGCGGTGGTGATTATTATCAACCACCGCAATCGCAACGTGATTATGGCCATCCACCACCAGTCAATGATTATGGTGGTAGAGATTATGCCAGTAACAGAGGAGGAGGAAATCATCATTCATGGAGAAACTAGATTAAATTAAACTAATGAATTTGGACGAAAATCATGGTTACAACAACAATTACACTTATGATGTGTAACATTTGCAATTCTTTCATTCATTAATTCGGCAACGAACGATTATTAATTTCAAATTATCTGTCTCTTGTTTTTCGCTGCGACATGCGTTTTGTCATGATCATTTTAACCTAACCACAAGCAGAGCATACACTCGGCATACAAATACACTTTTTTTTAAAAAAAAATCAACAACTATATTGGATAATTTACAACCATATTATATTTCCTGTTTTTATCCTTAATGTATTCCCTCGCTGCCCAAGACATTTAACACACACACACACTTATCCATGATTATGATGTACACGGAATTTTTTTTTTTTTTTTTTTTTTGAAACAACAATTTATTGATAATCATAATTTGAATTTGAATATATAAAAATTTGGCTTTCCATTATTTTTCAGGCATTCAGCAACCAATTTCCATGCCAATCTAACTAATTGAACCGTTGACAAGCTGCTGTCTCTACAAATTACCACATGATTATTATGTTCGATTTATTTATTATTTCAATTCCAATAACTGATAATTTGTCTGCATAGATTCTGATTACAATTTAAAATAATATATAGACAACCAACTAACCACTCATTTGTTTCATTTGCCCATTTACTGACTGATGTGTGCATTTGGAAATTTCATCATGATGATGACTGTTGTTGTTGTTGTTTAGGAAAAATTAATGAACTAGTTTTATTTATAATTTATGATTATAATTATAACAACTTGTTGAGACTTTTCAACGATTCACAATTTTTCCAATCTTCGTGGTTTTTATTCTGGAATTGATGATTGGATAAAATTTTCGTATAAATTTTGGCCAAACATTCAATATCATGTTTGTATCGAAAATGATTTGACTGTCGTAATAGTCGATTGGTGGTTATGTGACGAATTTGGTCCAGAAAATAGCTTCTATTCATGCCGAAATGAATGGTGAGGATTCGGTCACACGTTTCATTCCATTCGTCCGTGTTCTTTAGATCGCTCATTTCATTTTGCACATCTTTCAATGCATTCAATAGATTCGAATAAACTCTGTCCAGATTACAGGCATTGAACCAGTTATGATTGATGGATATGGTATGCTCAATGTTTTCCACTTGATGCATATAACCACTTGGTACGAATAAAACTTGACCGGCCTTCTGTATGATTTCGAATCCATTGACTTTGGCAATGATTTGCTCATAGTTTGGCAATGTATAGAGATCATGGGGTAAATTATTCACACCGATTAATTGTTTTAACGTTTCGACACAATGATCGGGAATCATGAGCCATCGTTTGGTTCCGATAACATTGGCCGACCAACTAAACGACCCGAACACATCGACATGAAGCGGCGTCGTCGAACCTTTTGGTCCCATGTATGTGAATTTGAAATCAGCAATTGATTTGGCTGTACAATATTCATTCAGATAGTCGGATTCAAAGTATGTGGGAATTTCATAGAAATCGCCACAATTTGAATCTTGAGCCAGATGCCAGTCTTTTAGGTAGAGTATTCGATTAGTGTCGATTACTTGTTGTTGTTGTTGCCAATAATCAGCATATTGGCTGAATAACATTTCGGTTCGCGGATTTGAATTGAAATGTTTTTCGCTACAATCGTACACCGGCACTGGTAATGTTGCATATTTATTGACAAGATGGTCAAAGTCTATGCTTTGGCCATCAATGATCCATTCTTTTCTGCATGTCCATTGTTCAGTTAATTGTGGCCCAAACATGCAGGCGATATTTTTGCGCATAACATTCTCATAAAAGTGTTCGTATGACGGCAATTGATCCGAATAATCGATGAAATAATCATTGCTTTTCGCTTCCATTTTGTTAACATGTGATTCATGTTGTCAATACGCATGCGTCACTGGAAAAATAACAACAAGCTGATTTAAATGAACAAACAAACCAACGAACGAACGAATTGTGTTCGTTTCCATGGATTCGCTTGCACTTTGTTGGTCAAGTTGTCTCTGATTGATGAAAAAACGTTTTTTATCGTTGCCGGTGATTGTGACGAGGTGAGGCCAAGTTTTTGTTGATGTAATTTGCTTTGTCATTTGATTTCATTTTTCACCATAGTCATGATCATTGTTGTTCTATGATGAATCACATTTATGAAGCCAAGGGAGCTGCTGCAGACGATTTCGAAATAAAACAAACTTCGGTGTAGCACATCGCCATCAGCCAGAATAATGTTATGCAAGATGATATATTCAATGCAAAAGTAAGCTGCTGCCTGTTTTGTTTTTTGTTTTCTGTTGCATAAATGCTATTGCCAGATGTTGATGATGATGATTGTTCCTTCGTCATTCGTTATTCGTTCAACGTCGCCGAGTGGCAAAACAGAGAAAATCGTATCGTAAACGATTCTATAATTAGCAATGTATGTCGAGTGTGTGTAAGATGGTTGAATCGTTTTACTATTGAAGATTAACGAATGATTGATTCGTCAACATCATCAAGGAAGAAAACACAAGGCTATATGTGTGTCTGTCTGTGTGTCTGTGTGTGTGTGGGTGTGTATGGAGCGAACATCGCACTCGTAGTTTCCACCAGTGATATATAAACTATTATAAACCTGAACCTTGGATTAAACAAACTGTGTGATCACCAATCGATGACATTGGCCATTCTGAAACAATTTCCGAATGACCATCGGCAATGCAGCTTATATTTTGATTTTTCTATCTGCTTGTATACCAAGTTTATCTGAATATTTTTACATGTCCTACAGACAGATTGTTGGCGGACTTTATCCAGCATATCTTGCCTATAAGGCACTCAAACGACGAGATGGACCAGAAATTGTAAGAAATTAAAGTTTGTTTGTTTGATCTATTAATCGTTTTTTATTTATAATTGTTTTACAGACTCGATTGGTCATGTATTTCATTGTATTTCAGATATTTTGTTCTGTCGAATTTTATCTGGATCTTTTCCTGGCATTTTGGTAAGTGAATTTTGGCTGAATATATGAATATATACTTGTTGTACTTAAACACACGCTTGTTTGTTAATACATACATTCATAGGTTGCCATTCTACTACGAAAGTAAATTGATATTCATATATTGGCTCATTTCGCCGTATGGAAATGGTGCACAAATTTTGTATGAAAATCTGATAAGCAAAAAATTCGAACAACACGAACAAAACATTGATAAACAGATTGGTAATCTGCGACAATTTGCCATCGACTCAACGTGGCACTTGTTGGCCAAATTCAACTGTTGTTTGAATCGTCTACTTGTTCTGGCCATCGCAAAGGTAATTGGTTATTATATCCATCAATCAGAGTTATTGATATTGAAACACAACTCATCTCATATTGTTTGTGGTCAGGCCCAAATGGCAGCTATACAATATGTGCATGCACAACAGAATTTGATGAAAAAACCCGAACCAATCCAGGATGAAATGGCAGAAACGGATGCTGGACCATTAATCGAAATGATGGAAACTGATAACGATGAAACTGATCAATCATTGTCAATCAAAAGCAAACAAGACCAAGAACAAGACGAACAAGAAGGACAGGTGGTCCAAACAAAGAAACCGTTACGAAAGACGAAAAGAAAACGTCGAATTACAATCGAAGACATATCATCATTGTTCGTGGCAACCGAACAGAACCACAATGGACCTGTTACCCGTTCACAAGCGGCAAACAGACAGACTACCATTGACAACATGTGACATTGATTTGAGTTTTTATCATCATGGATTGTGTGTAATTTTATGGTGCATGGATTTTTGTTTATTTGTTTATCATTTGTTTTTATAATTATATCATTATAATCATATTATTATGCGTGTTATTATTCATTCTTGACATTTGATTACATTTGCTCGTCATCATCTTCATCTGGACAGTAGCCAATACTTTGTACGCCATTCTTGAGCAACGGTGTTCCCTTGTCTTTGCCCAACACTCTGGCATTGAATATGAGTGTTAATACTTTGTTCGAAGTTTGATTCAAAGGTAATAATGATACGGTTTGTTTGAGAAATTTTTCCTTGAAGGCAAACAAATGTGCAGTCACTTGATGTTCAAACACTGTTTTATCATCATCGTCTTTGGCATTTGATCGAATTTCGATTATTTGTGCATGACTATCATTCGTGCAGCTGCTGTTGAGGTCAAATTCGTTTTCAATCCATTCCGAAGATTCGAATGAAAATTTAATTTCATATTTATAGTTGACCTGCAAGAATCCCAGATGAATATTGACCACCAATTCGTTGGATATTTGCACTTGAATTTCGCAATTGTGTTCCAGACTGTCATTCTCTTTGGCAAATTGGACTCGAGTTTCTGGTGGTAAAAAAAACAAAGTGTTAATATAATTATAATACTAGTTTATTATTTCAGTTGGTTGGTTATGTTTTAAATTTAAATTACAACCACATACCGCTATTGGACATGTTGATTGGTTCAGACATCATGATTATAATCATATGAGATTGGCTCAATAAACGTTCGTCGTATGTGAACATGCCATTCATTGATGGTATAAAAGTGACGTGCGTTGTTTTGATTGGGGTTTCTTTGCATCAACAATTGAATTGATGATATGGTAATATTATATTGTTATTGTTATTAATAAAGTCATGACTAGGTCTGGACCTTTTTATAATCGATTATCCATCCTGGTCATCTTGGTATTTGTGATTAAATTGATGAATAATCTTGCATTGGTCGTCGGAGATGGTGAAACTGATGAGAATGTTTTTGATTCATTTAAACGAAAAACATCGAATCTATTACCAAACTGTGAGAATCACAACGCTGGTGATGATGGTGATGTTAGGTAATGAATTGATTGTTGTGAGAAAACAAGTGATGTTAACGTTTCATTCGATGAAACCATAGAAATTATCTGATTGCAGTCACATTGAATGGTAAAATCAGCGTCATCAACGCCGTATGGGGAACAATCAAATGGACGAAACAGATACAATCGAAACCATTGATATCATCAAACATTGGAAATGTGATGAAAATTCACGACAATTTCGGCGAATTGATGCAAATATTGCCATCACTGGATGGCAACCTCTATGTTTATCATGGCGATACGATCAAGAAAACTCAATTTTCCGCAGAAAAGTTGCTCAAAAATTCATTCAAATTCACTGACAATATAATGTTGGCTGGTGGTCAGGAAAGCAAACTTATCGGTCTGAATATAAACAATGGCGATCTACTGTATGATTGTGGCCATTCAGGCTGTTCACACGATAATGATTCGACCACATCTTTGATGGAAGATGTGGTTTTAGTGCGCAAAAATTCGCAATCAGTTCGAGCCATCAATACATTGACTGGTCAGGAAGAATGGCACTTTGTTGTGGATGATCCTCAAATAGTCAAAGTGGGCACCAATGAATGTCATCAAGGTCGACTGAATACGAATACAACGTCACCATACACGATTCAATTCAGAGTGATGCTACCGAATGGTCGTATCACATCATTGGTTCATTTTTCCAATGATTCCGCTCAAAGTGAGATATTCAACACTTGGACCACAAGTCTCGATTCTCCGATCGTAAACCTGTGGCATTGGCAAAATGATGATTTGATCAAAGTGAATCTATTTGACACACATATCAATAGTTTTGAGGCAATAATCCCGAAAAATGAACAAAAGAAACTTGGATATTTATATCTTGGTTCATACAATAATAATTACTACATTCAAGCATCAAACGACGCAAATGATGCAAATCAACTGGTTCCGTACTATGAAGAGAGTGAAAAAAATGAACAACGTAAACAAGCATTCATAGCGATTAATGAATTTGAATCAATCAAGAATGAGAATGGTCAATCGAATACACAATTGGCTGTGACGCAGACAAAATTTCCATTTCTTCGTGCTAAATTGACTGCCAATAATAATGCAACAGGTTATCTAGTGTTGCATTATGACCAACATGATGACAAGTGTTCGGCATCGATCGATGCTGATGCTGATGATGATGGTGGTGATGATGGTGATGATACAATCACGGTGATCGTGTATGCTCAGCTCAGTTACTATTGGAAAGAAATTCTATGCATTTGTATGATGTTCAGCGTTACCACCAATACGTTGTGGTGTCTTTTCAAAAAATATTGGTCCATGATTTTTTCAACCAAAAATTCTGCTTCTGCTTCTGCTTCTGAATCAATAGAAGAAATTGGTGGCTGTTTCACACCCAACGGAACTTGTACGCAACAACCAATGGAAGAAATGACGATGGAGGAGAAAACTGTTGAGCATTCGAGCAACCAATGTTACAAATCCAGATATGTCGAGGATTTCGAACAACTCAGTCTTCTGGGTAAAGGCGGTTTCGGTATGGTTTTTGAAGCTAAGCACAAAATTGACCAAAGTCATTATGCTGTCAAGCGAATCACGATACCGGCCATTGAAGAGAAACGTCATCGATTTATGCGTGAGATTCGTGCCCTTTCCAAATTGGACCATGTCAATATTGTTCGCTACTACAATGCATGGGTTGAACAGCCACCTTATGGTTGGCAGGAACAACAAGATTGCCTGCATCATTATGATTTGTCCACCAATTCCCACCTTTTGTCGACGCAATCCGTATATCCAGCAAATTTGAAATCAGAAGGTGACGTTATTGATGATGATGATCATAATGATGATGATGATGATTCACTGGAGATTGTGTTTGAAGAAGCTTCGAATGAGAGAATGGTTTTAGATCAAAGTGATGGTGACAATAAAAAAAAGCCAACACGTGATCATGTCATTAAACAGGTGCCAAAAGCCTACATGTACATTCAGATGCAGTTGTGTAAGAAAGAAACGCTTAAAGATTGGTTATTCGAGCATACGGAACGCAAGAAAAACGAAATGATGTACATTTTTGTCCAACTGCTCAAGGCGGTCAACTATGTTCATAATAACAATCTTATTCATCGCGATTTAAAGGTTGGTGTTGGATCCATGAATCATTTGGTTTAGTTTTTTGTTTCGTTCAATGTTTAGCCATCAAACATATTCTTTTCGATGGATGGCCTGGTGAAAATTGGCGATTTTGGTCTGGTCACAACCATCGTGGATGAGGACCACCACCACCACTGTGATCATGAGTCCGAAATGAATTCATTACGAAATGATCATCACACGAATCGTGTGGGAACACAATTGTACATGAGCCCTGAACAAGTAAGACCAATCTCTTGTTTAACACCCACCATCATTGATGATTGTGATTGTTAATAGATTAAGAATGAGCCATATGATCATAAAGTGGACATTTTCTCCATGGGAATCATCCTCTACGAATTATTGATGCCATTCCACACCGAATCGGAAAGGATTCATCAGTTGCAGAATGTTAGGCAAAAACGTTTGCCCAGTGATTTTGACAAACAATACTCGCAAGAGGTAAATATTTATTATTGTCACTTGTCACTATGGATATATATATTGGTTTAATGTTCAAACATTGTAATTGTGTGTAGAAAACAATCATTCAGAAAATGATGGCCGATTCGCCCAAAGATCGTCCCGAATCAATGGATTTATTGGTGCACGAACTATTCAATGTGAATGGTTGAACACACACACACAGTATTGGAATATTTGAATATCATGACTGTACATAGTAATTATATTATTCTTGTGATATATTGTTCTGCCTTGTTCATGTTTTATTTCTCGTTGATTAAACACCAGTTTTTAGATCTGATCATCGTTAATCGATTCAAGATTGAGACAGAAGCCCTTTTCTTTCAATATTTTTAATTTGATCTTGTCTTTGCGTTGTCGTTGTTCAATTTCATTCTGTTGCGACTCCAATATCTCTTCGATTGGTATCTGTTTCAGCGGACTGTTGAGTTCTTTTTCATCATCCTGAAACAAAGTTTTATAACATAGCATAAGCTTGTTTTCGATGTTGTTGTCGAGTTACTACTTACTATCTCACCACATAGTGCAACATTTTCGCCTCGAATCAGGAATATACCGCGCGGAATGTCGCCATATTTTTCATTCACATAGATTCTTTCGATTGTCTGGTGTAGCAACAGATTGGCTGTGTTTGACGACAATGGAATGGTTAATACAAAGTACCCCACAAGAATGTCGAAACTTACAAAATTGATCAATACTTCTTAGGTAGCCAATCAATGTACGACCATCACGAAGTAAAACGACAAGTTTTTCTAATTGAATCAAAAACAATTGGATTATGGATTGGCATTATTGGCATGCAAACTTACTGTCCAATTCATCAAGTAAACTAGCCGGTAAATCACTCATTTTTTATTTGCAATTTATTCACAAATTTCCAAAACAAAAACCAAAAAGAAAGAAAACAAAAATGCATGCATGCATGCATCAATCAATGATGTATTCACACGTTGAAAGTACATGAATAAAGAAAGAAACGTTTTTAATGCATTTTATTATTGTTATTCGGATTATTCGGATAATAATAATAGGACGATGAACTACTGCTACTTTGTCTATGGTAGACATTCTTATCGTTTGATAAATTAATGGATGAGCAAGATTGTAGGCGTTTATCACATACATGATCCAAAAAACGACTTAATTTCACAGCATTTGTTGTGCCAGGCGATAAGCTTTTTGGATTTCGACAATTTAACTGTATAGAATCGCAATGTAGTAGATCAACCAGATTGGTTTTGGTGGACACATTTGCAGCGACGAGGTCTTGTTTGGTGGCCACAATCAATATCGGAATGTTTAGGCCCACGAATGACTCGCTGTCGTGTTCGAAATCGTCATTATCCGAAACTGGAAACAACGCCTGTGACAGACTATTGCTGTAAAAGCGTTCTTTGTCATTATTGTTGTTGTACGTGCCCACAAGTGCTTGACCGAGCCAATTTTTCAGATTCGACTCGGATTTACGATTAGTCAGGTCTTGAACCAGAATGATGCCATGGAAAGAGTTGAAGAATATTTTACGCGCAATACTGTGGCTTCGAGAACCACCTACATCCCAGAATTCAATGAAACAAGTTTTCTCTTGTGGTGAACCTTCTTTATAGCGGTAAAGTTTTACATCGATCGCACAGCCAATTGTCCACCGTGTGCGCGCCAGCGTTTCTGAATGACAGATTAGATGAACTAACGACGATTTGCCAACACCCGAATCGCCCAGTACAAGAATCTTGATTTTTTCATTGATCGTTGCCATTGTTTTGAAAACAGTCAGCCAGTCAACAAATTGAGAAATATTTACAAACGACGACAAGATGGCAGCACTGTGATTTTATTCATTTGTTTTTCGTTTATGCTGTTTTCAGTCAATCGGAGAGACTATTGTTGGTTGTTGTCATCAAATCACTTGATAGAAATCGACAGATGGCAGTAGTGGAAAAGGATACGTTTGTTGTGAACATCTTCTCTCTATGAGAAAATGATGCGTAATTTGTAGATGAATTAAATGAGGAAGTGATCGATTGATGGTTTGATCGACTGAAAAGCACATGTTTTGTCTTTTTTACAAATTGATGTTTTTTTTATTTTTGATTTCAATTTGAATTTTCTCTGCTTAGTGCTGTGCAGTGTTTTTGGTATTCAACTCGTCACATTTCTGTTTGATCATCTTGGTTGTGTTTTGTGTTGTGTTAGTAAATTAATTATTAATTAATTATTATTAGTTATAATATATAATAATGATCGAAATCGAAATGGAATTATTGCTTGATGTATTCAACACAGAAGTGTTGAGTCTGATTTACATGATTATTTGTTAATAAATAATCAAACTGTATTCAGATTTAAACGAAAAATTTACTACACAGTAAAGAATAAAATGATTCCAGAAAAACAGAAAGAAGATATTAGCCACAAGTGAACTGAATTTGAAATCGGGAGATCCAATGGATTTTCCATTGTGCTCAAAGTATGTTCAAACGGAAATTGTGGAAAATCGTGCTATTTGAAATTATTGGTCATAATCAGAAAAAGATTATCGTGCATGTTAAACAATTGAAATTGTATAACGGTGATTGTTCTGATTCTGATCTTATCAATTTGCCAGCTTGTGGAAGATCAAGAGAGTCGACTCTGAAAAGGAGGTGTAATGATATCTATGAATGAACTCTAATTATTGTTCTTAATTAAAACGCATTATTATTATTGCTCACCTTTATTATTATTATTATTATCATTATATTTCGGCTTATTATGATTTTTATTTTTAATTTTTGAGACGCGACCCCAGCCGAAACCTCAGGAATTGGACAGGTCTTCCTGCACCGTTGATGGATCGATATTTTCCCCAATCACAGCCAGAACGTATGTTTCAGAATATTGATCAGCATTCGGAGATGGTAACATACCAATAAGCGAGCAAGAAGTATTGCGTATAATGAAAACCATGGACACAAAACACAAAGCTCCCGGGTATTGACGGTTTTAGCGGAGAAATAATCGGACATTTTGTCTATATAAAATTCAACAAATATAAAAATATAAAATAAAATCATAAAATACAAAGACAGAGACAAAGACAAAGACCAATATAAAATTTGTTACGGCATTCTTCAATCAATGTCTGATGAATGGTCATTTTGCAGATCCATGGAAAGTGGCCAGAATAAAATTTATTAACAAACCAGGCAAAGATAATATTGTTCCGGATACGGACCGAATTGTCCAAGTTTTAAAATTTCGTTTTTCAGACCGTATTGTACCGTTTTTCAAGCGGAATTATTTGGTATTTATATCAGCGTTATTAGTTAGCTCAGCTTTCATGGCAGTTTACGAAGATATTACCGTTGAAGGTAGGTTAGCGTCTAGCAAATATCCATTGCGACTAAACCGAAAAATTCCTCAAGCAGTGTTGAATAATGATTCATTCTTCGAAATTCAGGAATTTTTCGTTCGAAATTCCGAAGTTTGCGTTCTTTCGCCAATTGTTATCGAATAGAAAAACTTTTAGATAATCAGGAATTGACTTACAAAGAACTTTCGTATCTGAATTCTTTCATTTTTGATTATAAAGGTTCTAGTTTCGTTAATTATGCTACAAAAAAATAGTTTCGAAACGATGTCTTGACATTCAGGTTAGTTATTCATATTTTGATTCGATCTACATATTCTGGTTCGGTCTTCAATTTCGGGTTTGCTCTTGGTTTTGTTTTTCACATTTAGTGTTTGTGTTTTTAGGTCAATCATCATTTCTATTGATAAGTACAATTTTTAAACATTTCAAAATTTTTATTTCATATAAAAAACCAAAAAAAACTTAACTTATTGATTTCCTAATTTCCTAACCGGCTTAAACTTTGGCACAGACATATAAGCTTGCTTCACAACACGAAATTCTGCGTGAAAGAAAAAACAATTAGTCAAAATTTACAAAAAATAAACCAACCACTTAAAATTCCAATTATGGAATACACAAATGCAAAAGATGAACAACACTTCATCAGTAAATCAAATCATCGAAATCGAAATAACCTTTAATAATAATGAACACATTTCATTTCACAAAATAAACTACTACTACTTGCTGTTGCTTTAACTTTAACAGCTATACGTATTGTCTGGGTTATTGCTGCAAATATGGCTATCAATCCTGCTGATCACGTTTCATATTATAACTTCGAGGCGATGGAACCGCCAATTAATTGCGTGATTATATTTCCAATCAATTTAACAAGACGCCTGTACTTTGATGTAACTACTATATACTATGTACTATACTTTAAATTATCCTAGTGTTATGAAAACAGTGTTACACATTGTAAATTACATTCGCACCTGTACAAAATTGAGATCATTTTAATGAAAATATTTTTTATCACGACAACAATTGGAACAACAATTGTTTTTGTTGCAATTACAACAACACAAACAGCCGCAACAATAGCGACGACGACGACGACAAAACCACCATCAAATAAGTGATCAAATAATGATAGTAACTGAAGGAGATTCAGCAAAAACATTTGTTAATTGGGGATTAGATGTTGTTGGTCGACATAGATATGGTACATTTCCATTATCTGGTAAAATAATAAATGTACGCCAAGCTAAACATAAACAGATAATACAAAACAGTTGATCTGTGCATCTTCTACATTTTGCCAACGCATTAAATTTTCAACATCATGTCAATCAACGAAAGAATAACCGGCTGGCCGATATACATTGTGACATTGGACACTTGCTTTTAACCAACTGTTTATGATATTTATTGTACACAATGCTCTACACAGATCGGTCAGTCGGGCCATCACGAATTGGTATTGTTATTTAATTTGTTTTCATCATATCCAATTCCAACACCATTGTCAACATCATCATCAATTCAATTCAAGGTTATCTTCAAAAGACCAACATATTTTGACTCACAATTTATTAATCATTTTGATGACTGGTCTTTGATAAATGAATTTGATGAAAAAATAATTGAAAATTTGAAAAAAATTTGTGCCACAAGCATATCCTTTTTTTTGGCTATAATTTTTTCAGTTTTATTCCGAGATGTTTAATACTTTGTGTATTTGAAGAAAAATGCTTTATTAATATCTGGGCCAACTGGTCTCTGGATCAGAAAAGTGTTACATCTGCGAGGGTTGCAGCAGTTCGACCAAAACGGTAGGACTCTGCCCCACCTGTTTTCACCAACATATTCATTCTTAAATAATAATTTAATCTAACAATTTATTTTTCTAAAATAAAATTCTCATTCATTTTCAGTTTTTTACGTGTTTTTGTAAAAAAAGATTCCGACTCATATGTGAGCCATCTGGTCTATTTTGTCAAAGAACTATTCATAGACCAGTGGCTCACATATGAGCCGGTATTAAAATAACAGGAAGTAAATCAGTTTGGATGAAAAAAAGTGTAATAATGAAATAAGTGAAGCCAATAGCAACAAATTATGCAATAAAAAAGTTGGTCTATTTTGAGACCTTTTTTCTGTCTATGGCGGTAGCGAATGGGTTAATTTGTTTAATCTCAGACTGGCCATAATTAAGTTCTCTAAATTAACGAACGTTTCATCGCCAGCCCATGCTACAGTTTTCTGACTAATAACCTACCCGACAAAGATTCAATGCTTTTAGGTTCTCAGATTATTAGGTTTGGATGCGCAGCCAGATTTAGTAATCAGATAATCTTATAAGCCAGCAAGATTTGGTAACATCATAGCGCTGAAGAAATAAACACGTTTACATGTATAATAATGTTATAGACTTTATGAATAAACCCGACTGAAGACTGAGACATGAACTTTAAATCATCAACATTGGCAAAACCAACGATATAAAAAGACGACAAAGCTTGAAAGCGTGGGCTCTTTTCTTGTATTTTCTGTGAGTACTGTTTTTCATGTGTTTGTGTTCCTCGTCCGATTAATTCATCAATGTGTTCATGTTCAGGTTTATTTTCATCTAGATCTAAAGTTTTCCATCAACGATCCAGTTTTGATCTCATGTGCCATATATACCGTCAATCATTGATCATCGATCCTTTCCCGAACTTCATTTTTACGTTAATCTCGTGGCCTAACCTATTATTTCTACACATTGATCTTTATTTATTCCATTATTTTCTTATTCAATTCAATAAAGCATTTTTAATACGAATCGTGGGCATTCTTTCTAATACTGCAGTTCGTTTTTTCTGTTACAATAATAATGGTTTTACTTTAAAGAAATAGATCATACTCAAGTGCAAATTGTTTCTTTGCTAACAATGATGTATCAAAAAGATACAATTGTTTTTTGGATACTTTCATTTGATACATTGTTTTATTGGGGAATTGGATACAGTATCTGTTGAAAATAATTGTAGAGAAACAGACATCGTCGAACCAATTTTGAAAGATCTATATCACAAAAATAAAATAAATCATACTGTTATTTTTGAATGTCTCTCTCTCTCTCTCTTGGTCTCGGAGTCAGGTGATTGTGAGTTCACTATTGTTGCCATGCGGTGAACTAGATTGATTTTTGAATATTTCTTTTGTGATTCTTTATTTCATTGTAATAAAATTCGTTGTTTTGAAACAAACTTGCGTCCATTTCTTATCAGATACATCCTCTCGGTACACGTCGTCTATTACAATACAATGTTTTTTTCAAAAGGGAAAACACAACAACAAAACACACCAACTCCCGACTACGTGTCATCCCGTTCAGTAAGGACGTAACGACTATTGGAACAGTAGCCATTTTTTAATTTTTGGTATTTTGATACTTTGTATCAATTTAAATTGTAGCTAAAAAGTATCAGTTTTAATGTATCTTTATATTTGCTATAGTATCTATTTAAATACAGTAATACCCCGCTTAACGCTGCCCCGTTTAGCGCTGATTCGATATAACGCTCTTTTTTTAACCATGTTACATTGTATATGAA